GTGCTCCTCCCCGCAGGCCACTTTGCCCTCGAGACGCACGCCGCAGAGATCGCACGCGAGATCCTGCGCGAGTGATGCCGTTTTCTACGACTGAATAAAATCTACACCAGACGGTGGCATCTCGCTTATCTGGAAAAGTCCGGGTAAGTCCATTAAACTACACACTTCTGCCGCGTATGTCCCGTCTACCATGGATCCTGACCGGCTGAATCTGGAGGTCCTGATATCTAATCTGCCCGCAGTTAGCCCTGTTTTCCAAAAATCGGATATACCTCTTTTCTCCGGAGTGCGGCTGATTAACGTTTCCTGTCAATAAGCTGGAAAACGGTTGGGCGCATTCGGTCGCCCCGCGGAAATAAGGTTGCATAAAGGGGAATGCCAAGAATTACTATGGCCAAGCAGGTCCCGTTCTACCAGGCAGTCGTTTTTTTAGTTCCAAAAAAATCTGACTACTTCCACTGAGTTATGTTCAAGCGCGGCATCTTTTCAAAGATATCTCCTAGAAGGTTTGTTAGTCCTTGTCCTGCTCATTTCCAGCGCTTATCGTGCGTACTCGTTCTGATATTTTTAGCCCCTCGACATCCAGTCAATAAAACTGCGTCATGTGAAACCTACGTTAGAGCTCGACGATTAGGGTAATGCACTAGAAGGAGCCTACACACTCTCGCAGAACCCTAGTATGCATTTTACATTAGAGGTTAGTCCCACTTTCTGAAAGAAGTTATTTGCCAGTCTTTTTTCCAACGCCCAACTATCGTCTGCCTTTACTCTATTTGTCTCTGGCTATCCAACTCATCTACTATTTCTGCAAACACCCGGTTTGCCTCCCGCACCACCACTCTCTCGTCCGCAAACTGCAGTTGCCGGTTTCGCATCACCACGCGTCCGTCGATTATCGAGTTTTGCACAACACTTCCGTTCACCGCAAACACCAGATGCGAGTAGTACTGCCTCACATTCCCCCGTTCCAGGGGAACAAACATTGGATCCATCAGGTCCAGTGTGATCACATCGGCACACATCCCAGCCTTGATCTGACCCCCGTTTACTCCGAGTGCCTTGTTACCATTGCGGCAACACATCTTCAGGATGTCACCGGCTTGTCCCAATGAAGCATCCTGTCGCTGAGCCCTGTGCATTAGGGATGCAAACTTCATCACCTCAAACATATCACGGCTGTTGTTGCATTCCGCAGCGTCATGTCCGAGGCCAATGTTAATACCCGAAGCTCTCCATTCAGGAACACGTGCAATACCGTTTCCCAGCTTGGCATTTGATGACGGGTTGTGAGATAAGTGTGTGCCAGTCTCTGCCATCAACTCTATCTCATGGTCGTTCAAGTGCACACAGTGCGCGGCCACGCAATCGGGACCCAGGATACCGCACTCATGTGCAAGCTCAGTGGGCGGGATACCAAAACGTGCGGAAACCTCTTTCACTTCCTGTGCAGACTCGTTGAGGTGGATATGAATCCCTGTACCCAGTTCATCCGCGAGAGCACGTGCACCAATCAACAACTCGCGATCTGCTAGCGGTGTCCATTCAATTCCTACCCAGACGCGTACCCGACCATTAGCAGTACCGTCAACTTTCTCGTATGCTTTCCGACAGTCGTCTAGCGAGTCTAAGTTGTACTCCGCAGACGCAATATCATTCGACAGTACTGCACGGATACCCAATCTTTCCGCCGCTGCCGCTAAGGAGCCAAGCTCGCGAAACATATCATTCACCATCGTTGTGCCTGCACGGATTGCCTCTGTGTAGGATGCCATCGCGCCCCAGTATGCACGATCGTCGTTTAGATGACGGGTGCATGGGTACCAGCATTCCATCAGGTACTCCTTCAATGGCATATGATCATTCCAGCCTTTAGCAACGGCTGTGTGCAGGTGGAGATCCACGAGACCAGGCATCACCAGCTGATCCGTTGCGTCCAGGATGTCCGCTCCTTCTTTCTCCGCTGCGGTCGCAGGCCCCGGGTGCACGGCTTCGATTACATTTTCACGGATGACGACAGTACCCCCAATTATTAGCGCATCTGTTTCATCTAAGGTGAGTACATCACCGTTTTCTATCACAAGCTTTGTCATGTCGGGGTGCCAATATATTGTCCTTTTATTTTTTCGATGAGCGGAGATTTGAAAAAAAGAAAGAGAATTTATTCAAAGATAAGGGTTGCCGATAAGATCTCGGATAGAACTGTCTATTATTGGTTAAAAATTTTAGGGTTTAGGGGTTCAATTTACCTGAAATTATTTAGCTTCAAATCCTGGACGCTTTGGGTCATACTCTACTTCGTCATCCTTGAAATTAAATCTCTTTGCATCATAAAACATGTCTGGTGTGGATGTTGAGGTTGCAGCTCCAGGAAACAGCTCCGGACATAATGTGATATATCTTGGGAATCTCCATTTTCTTCCAGACCATGTAGCTTCAACAGGAAGCTCGTTCTTGAGTGCCTCAGCAACAAGCTCACACTCCTTCCAGACACGAAGCATGTTGATTCCCATAAACTTCTTGATGTCGTCGGCCGACGCTTTAGTCTTTTCCCAAACCTTGACAACCAAGTCTGGATACTTGGAAACGTCCTCCAGTCCTTCTGGTCCAGTTGCTCCCATGCCGTCAAAGTCAGAACCAATTGCAATGTGATCCCATCCAATGAGGTTCACAATATGGACGATGTGATCAACACAATCGTCAATCGTTGCACCAGTAGCGCCTTCTTTCTTGATAAAATTAGGCACAAAGTTTATACAGATAACGCCGCCATTTTCTTTGACCATAAGCAGAACATCATCTCTAACGTTTCTTTCGTGAGGAGTCATAGTGTAAGCAGAGCTGTGAGAAAAAATCACGGGTGCCTTGGTGATCTTGAGCACATCAACCATTGTCTTGTGAGACACGTGACTCAAATCCACCATCATTCCAATTCTATTGAACTCTTTCACGCACTCATGACCATAAAGAGTCAATCCCTTGTCTTCTTTACCGGCAATGATTGTAGTACATGCGGTTGCAAAAGGGTTGTCACAGTTGTGAGTAAGAGTGATGTATCTTACACCAAGATCAAAATATTGTCTCACAACGGCCAAAGAGGTATCAACTTGATGAAGCCCCTCAACTCCCATTGTAACAGAGATCAGCTTGTTGTCTGACTCAATGTAGCTTTTGAGAGCTTCATCTGCTGAAGTAACAAACTTCATACATTTTGAGTACTTGTCCACGAGCCTTTTGACAATATCAACCTGCTCCAAAGTGTCTCTCACAATACTGTTTGGAGTCTCAAAATCTTTGTACAACTCGTCAGCACTAGGATAGTCCATCCAGCAGCTGAAAAATTGTAAACCAACTCCACCTTTTCTCAGTCGAATCAAATCAGTTTGAGAGACAAGTGGTTCATCAAATTTAAACTTGTCCTCATTGATTTCGTAATGGAGTTGCCATCTCAATTGATAAGGCAGATCGTTGTGGACATCAACCACAGGAGTAGTTTTCACAAGTTCTTTGAATTGTTGGTGCAGATCAGGGGCTGGCATTTTGAAAATTGGGGATATCTGATCCAGCCCTATTTATAGTCGCTCAACTCACCGTAGATCGGGTACGCTACTCCTATCCAGAATGACGATCTTAGTAATTGATGTCGGAACTGCATCTCCGACTATCGTTTGCATATCTTTACGTAAGCTTTTATGATAAGATAAGGGATATTCTAAAAAAGAAACACAACTTGTTTAAATACTGTTAGATGAAAGCACTGCTTCTGACCATAACATCATGCCAATCTGTGGAGGCAACAAGATAAACCTCCATAGATGAAAGAACGAAGACCCCAATAAGCATACCTATCCATAAACCTGTCACACCCAGATTAAAGTAGAACCCTAGCAATACCTCTAATGGAACTGCAACGACGTAGTAGGCTATGAAATTCATTAGCGACCCGGCTCTTTGTTTTCCCTGTCCCCTCAAGAGAGCAGAGAAAATCGCATTAATTGCATCCCCAATCTGGTTGAATGAAACAATCAGAAAAAGTTTTGATGAGTAATCTATTAATTCTTGATCGCGGGTAAAGATAAGAGGCAGCCAGTTGCGACTGCAGACAGTGAATAACGAATTCAAAACACTTATAATGCAACTGGTTCCAAATGCAACCTTCAACACAATCTTGTAGTTTTCGGAGCGAGCGCCAATATAGTACGCAAGTCTAACGGAGGAGCAAATTCCCATTGCAAATGGAATCTGCCATGAGAATGCAGAAACGGTGGTGACAATTGTTTGAGAAGCGAGTTCCACAGTTCCAAACTTAGCAGACAAAAAAGTGATGATTCGATGAGCGAAGCTTTCAGCAAAAACCATCATGATTCCCGGAAATCCCAAAGCTGCAAACTGGCCCCATCCTTGGAATATGACCTTCGCAGTTATGTGATAGTTCCAGCACTGGTGATCATCAAATCGGTAGAGATAAAAAACAATAAACAATGCAATAATCCAGTAAGTTGAAATCAGTGAGTATGCGGGACCTAGATAGCCATACTTTTCAGTGAAAAAATGACACAAAATAACGCTCAAAGGCAGAGCAAGAGCCATCACAGTCGTAGCCACAATGAATTTAGCCTGCGCCTGTAGATACCGTTTGGTGCATTCAAAGATAACTAGTGGTGGTGCAACCATAACCATTTGACTTAAAAAGCTCGAGCACATCTCCACTATCTGAGGGTCTTCGGAAACCGAATTAACGAAAGGACCAGGAAAAAGCCAAAATAGAGAAATCGGCACGAACATGAAAAGAAGGATCGTGGTGCACCTCTGATAATAAACACCAACTTTGGAATAGCTTCCTGCACCGTATGCCGTAGCACACAAGGTATCTAGAGCAGTAGAAAAACCGTTGACTATCACCGGGCCAGAGATGTAAAACAGTGCGATAGAGAGCGAACATGCAGCAAAAACGTCTTTTCCCTGAACGCCTGCGTAATACATTGGAATAAGAGACTGCAGACAGAATTGTAGAATAAAGGTAAGTAGTACTGGCATGGAACTCTTCAAAACGTAAAGAATCTCCTCCTTGTACGAGGTTGTCAAAGGAGATATCACAATTTCCCCCGGATCTTGGCCAGATTCGATCTCAAATTGATCCATTTGACAGGGTCCTTCGGAATCACCTCTTCTATCAAGAAACGGCGTTTCCGAAGACACGGTCCACTCATCTGTTTTGTCCATTGGAAGAATTATCACGCATATGACTCAGTACTTTTTTTTTCACGGAGTTGCTTTAACTTTTTACGGAGTTGCTCTAAGTAATCTCGGAATATGGCTCCCTTACCAAAAAAATGATTCCTCATTTGGAAAAGAATTAAGGTTTCTGGAAGGTGCGGGCAAATGATTTTGGAGGACGTCAAAAACCTTGAAGTGGAAGTGAACACCATACAACCAGCCATTTTGCGGTAATTCATAATATCAGTAGTTACTTCCTGGATGTTTCTGACTCGGAATGAACCAGTTGACCATTTTCAGTTTTGCCTCCAGGTGACTCCACAGTTTTTTTCTTGGCTGCCGGCTAAACGGTACTTCGCATTGTATTGATCCGATTTATGTCTATGTATTTTATAAATTAGCTGAAAACCTTATCCATGAGGCCAAATGAAGACGATTCGTCTTCGGAGTCCTCGACGTTTTCTTCAAACTCAAGATTAATCTCAGAAAGAGGAATTTCTTTGAAATCTTTCTTCCAGATCTTGTAGCCAATCCAAAACACAGCATAAATAATAATCGAGACATAGGCTGCAAAAAAGTTTTGAGTGTCCCATGGCATGAATGCGGTGAACCCTTGAGTGATCGTAATAAGAACCAAAATGAAAATTGCAAAGATAGCTGAGTACGGCTGTAAAGGAGATTGGAAGATTGGAAGAGATTGGCGATCAATTCCTTGTTTCTTCAAAGCATAATAGTACCTGACAAAGGCATAATCAATCATTGCCCAGCACAGGAACCCAAACACGGTGGTTAAATTCATCAGCCAGTTGAAAACTTGCTCGGCTGTACTGTTCAAGGTCAGTAGGGCAAGCAAGCCAAATGCCGCATTGAAAATCACAGAAAAGACAGGAACCCCGTTTCTGTTAGTTTTGGTAAGCCATTTAGGACAATATCCATGGATCTCGCCAAAATAGTAAGTTCTCGATGGAATATAGATTTGGGTGTTAGCCGCAGACATGGCAGCAATGAGAATTCCACCATTAACGATGGATGGAAGAACCTTGACACCTGCATTTCTGACTGCAATGACAAATGGCGACTCTGCACCATTTCCAGCACCAGCATCAACTGCGCTAAGTAGGTTTTTATCTGTGGATGAAACCATCAAGGTAACCATGAACAAAGAGAGGACGTTGAAGATGATAATTCTCGCTATCACCGATTTCATCAGAGAAGGTGCCAGTTTTCTAAAGTTTGGAACCTCGCTACTGGTCAGCGCAACCACCTCTGTACCCTGGAAACCGAATCCTGCGTTAATGAACACTCTCCAGATCCCCAAAAATTTACCAACCGGTTTATCGGTAAGATAATTCACGAATGGACCGGGATCTCTCCAATACTGAAATCCTGTGGTCTTGTGCAAAGGATTTCCACCACACGTCGCCACTAAACAGAAAATCATGCTACCAATAACTAGCAGCAACTTGATCAGTGTGATCCAAAACTCCACTTCTCCGTATGCCCCAACGTCAACGACGTTAACCATGAGAACAACAAAAGTGAAGATTAGTACAATAGCATAGTTGGGCAGCTTACTGTCCGTATCCCAGTATCCAATAAGCAAGCAAATGGACGAAATCTCCGACGGTAAGGTCAAATTATAACTCAAAGCATAACACCAAGTAAAGGAGAATCCTGCAGACTTATCAACAAACCTTGTTATCATCTCGACGAAATTACCCTCACTTCCTAGGAATGAGCACATTTCTGCCAGTGAAAACAAAGTACAGGCGGTAATGAATCCCATGATTACGTAGGAAATCAGCATACCGACAGGGCCAGCAATGGATAGGGAACCTCCACTACCGACGAGCAGTCCCACACCAATAGATCCACCGAGAGCCAAGAAATTCACATGTCTTGGCTTTAAGTGTTTCTTCAACTTGTTATCCTTTTCTATTTCGATCGAGTGGGTTTCAATCAACCCATCTTGGAGCTTTGACTCTTCTGACTTTGAGACTTCGGCCATAATTCGTTAAATTCTACTCCTCTCAAGAGACATTTTATCGCTCTCCTTATCTTTCTCCTGTTCCGGATTAGGAAGTGTCGGGAAATTATCTTTTGGCCGCTGTCTTGAGGGATTGTCGTAAATTTATTTAAGAATTATGAGATGGCCTAAGCCACCAGCGGTTACTCTTTTACGGGCTACGATGGTCTCAGACTGAATTTGAGTACCTTGTAGAAGCTCACACTTATTATATCCTTGTATAGATGCTCTTTTGTTCCTATAATCCGCTTATCAAGTGGAGATCCGAGATCCGCTTGCGGCTCTGCGGCTTCAGCATGTATATAACTGATTTACAGTAAGGCGTACTCCACAGAGATGGAAGTCACACTTTACACGCCAACTGTTCCAACAACAGAGAATCCAGATCTGTTCAGCTCCTTCGAGCCAAAACTTGAAGCTTACAGAGCAAAACTTGCAGCTGGAGTGTTGGACGAGTACAAGTTGCCCGATAATCTGGTACCTCAAGACGATGGTGATGTCACAGGGATTCCTGACAATATTCTAAATGATGCTGAAAAGACAATCACTGAGACATCGGCTGTGTACCTTGCTGCATCCATTGCCAATGGAAAACTGACTGCTGTAGAGGTGTTGAAAGCGTTTGCCAAAAGGGCCACTGCTGCACATCAATTGACGAACTGTGCAATGGACCTGTTCATTCCTGAAGCATTGGAAAGGGCAGCAGAATTGGATGAATATTACAAAACTACAGGGAAGACTGTTGGTCCGCTCCATGGCCTCCCTATCTCATTAAAAGAGCGGTTTGATGTCAAGGGAAGAATCACCCATGCTGGGTATGTCTGTGCTATAGATAACGTTTCCAAAGACTGGTCGCTTATCCCTAAGAAGCTTTGGGATGCTGGAGCTGTTTTTTTTATTCGGACCTGCCAACCGCAAACACTAATGCATCTTTGCACCAATAACAACATCACAGGCATCTGTCGCAACCCGTACAATACTCGCTTGACAAGTGGTGGATCCAGCTCTGGTGAGGCTGCACTGACTGCAATGCACGGATCTGCATTTGGAATTGGCTCTGATGGTGGCGGATCAATTCGTGCTCCTGCTGCCTTTTGCGGCGTCTGGGGTATTCGGTGCACTCAAAAGCGGCTTCCACTGAGAGGAAACAGCGTTTCGTCGGCTACGGGTGTGAACGACTGTTTTCATACAGTCAATGGGCCTTTGGCACGTAGTGCTGATGACTTGGAACTTGCTTTGAAAGTGTTAAGCGATAAAGCCTGGGAAGACGACGCTACACTGATCCCGCTCCCATGGAGAACAGTTTCGAAGCCAAAGGTTTCGGATCTAACAATCGCTGTTTGCTATGACGACGGAGTGGTTAAACCAATGGAGCCCATAATCAGAGGCCTGAAATATGTTGCCGGGAAGCTAAAAGCTGCGGGAGCAACAGTCGTGGAGTGGAAGCCGAACAACGTTGATCTTGTCTCCAAGCTCTCGTTCACGGTTTATAGTGCAAATGGGAACGCGGGCCAAAAAAAGCTGTTTGAAAAGTCTGGAGAGCCCATTTTGAAGTCCAGTGTGGACACACTCAGCTTTGGATTCGGAGACAGACCGTTGACCTACTTGGAATACGAGAAGATCTGTAAGCTCCGTGACGAAAACATGAATCTGTACCGGGAGCAGATGAAAGGAATTGATTTCCTACTCACTCCAGCGTACTGCAACGTTGCTCCAGTACCAGAAACTCTCAAATACTGGGCGTACACTTCAATCTGGAACTTCCTTGACCAGCCGGGAGTTGTGTTCCCAACTGGACTTCGGATGGACCCTGAACTGGATGCTCCTAAGGAATACCATCCAAGGAGTGACATCGAGGCTTACGAAAGAAGTCTCTACAAAGATCCATCTGTTTTTGATGGTGCACCTATTTGTGTGCAGCTGATTGGTCGGAGATGGTTTTGTGAAGAGGTCCTACAAGGTGCAAAAGCTATCAGCGAGATTTTGTAATCTAAATAATCACCAGAATGAACACCATCCAATGTAATGCTGACACAAGTTCTCCACCGAAGTGGCTTGTTGGATCAGCTTGTCAACCTGGCTGGAAACATCCAATTCCTGGAACTGCTTGAAGTCGTTTCCGGTCAGTTTGTCTGTAATTCTCTTAAGCACATACGCAGCACGGGCATTGAGAATGTCTGCCTTGTACTGAGCAGCCATCTTGCTGGCCTCTTCCTCGGTAATTTGACCAGTGCGCAAAAGTTCTTGGTAATTGGCATTAGGCAAGCTCTGGTTAGGGTTGTCGACGATCTGGTTAAATGGGAAGTCAAATCCCCAGTTAATCAGTGGATCGTACGCGAAAGCCTCCAAGATAGCCATCAGGGACTCCTTGTTATCTCTCAGCACTCTCATCACGTTTTCGCTTGTAATTCTGAAAGATCCCTCAATTCCACTGACCTCCATTGCGTAACTCAACATCCGGGTGAGTCTGAATGGAACCTTTTCAGGGTACTTCTCTCTCAAAATAGCAGCCTCAAAACAGTCACCAAAATCAATATGGACGACCTTACCAGTAATACGATCCATCATCAAGTTGGAAGGATGGCGATCTCCTAGTCCCAAAATGTATCCAACCATCGACATCACAGCCAAGGAACGAGTGTATGTAGTTCTTCTATCCAGCCAGGCTTCTGAAGACTTCGATTTGAACCATAGCACCTTGTACAAATCTTGACCTCTGGTTATATCCAAAGCGTAGGTGAACACTTCAACCTTTTCCAATAGTGTCAAGTTGTCATAATCTGGAGACATCTGCAACATGATACGGTGTTCGACATCGAGCAAAATTTTGCGAGGCTCTCTGTATTCCTTGATAAGAACGTGGAAAGTGTCCGAGTTTGGAACCCAACCCAAGAGACCGGAGCTTGGAGAAAGAGGAATAGCAGCAAACTGTTGAATATCCATGTGACGCTTGAAACATTCCGAATCGTTGGCCAGAAGGGTGTTCACCAATCCAAAGAGCTGCATGACCAGACTATCTTGACGAATATCCTCGTGTCCCTTCAGCAGATATTGATAGTTCTTACCGTCACTTCCAAGGACGTTGAACTTCCGCGGTCTCTGCTTCGAAGTGATAACCGAAAACACAGGTTCGAATTTGACTGTTTTGATGACTTCTTTTCCAGGAACATACGTTCCCGGAACAGCGAGCTCAAGATCTTTAGCGGCAAGCAATTTTGGAGAAACATGCTGCAGATCCAGATTTTGCAGCTGGGGGAGCTGTCTTGAGATTCTCCGGAACACCCCGTAGTATAAATCCCATGCTTGGTTCAGATAAGCAACATCTTTGGTACGACGGAAGTTCATCAGCCACTGGTAAGCATCGTTCAATTCCTTACCGAATGCGTTCACAAAAGAGGCCTCACGAATGGTTTCTGGACCTTTTTCAAGTAACTGATGTAATGGTTCCAAAATCGAAAACATCTTCTCAACATTCTGGTCTCCAAAGTATGATCTCGAAGCATCTTCTAATCCTTCATACCACATTTCATGCCACAACACAGCAACACGAATGAGCTCATTACTCACTAAATCAGCTTGGTCAACCAATCTAGAAGAGTGAGCTCTCATCTTGTCGATGATAGTCATGGCAGCCCTTTGACGAAGAACGCTATCCGACTTGATGGCGACAGTCAGTGGATAGACCAATGCTTGTGGATGAGCTCTACCAAGCTCAGATAAAAGTCCAAGCAGTGACTTGCTCACAACAGGATTGGGTTGATGGATCCGTGAGATCAGTTGCGGAATCACATCCAGCCAAGTATCAACCTTGACCATCTGGAATCCTTCTTGGATAGCACTAGCCACATCTTCAATACCACCGTATTTCATCCAAAGAGTGAGCAGTCTCAAAATATCCTGCAATGGATTCGACAGCGACAATGAAATCGAATGGAAAAATCCACGAACAGCAGGAACAACATAGTGGAGAATATTTCCAAGAGCATTTTCCTCCTCTTCTGGGGTTTCATCATGCAATTGACTGGACTGAGGTGAAATCACTTCGAAGTTGGCCAAGGCCCAATTATGCCAAGCCTTATACCAGGTTGGATCAAAGTGCGTGGCTAAAAGGAACGAACCTAGAATACCTGTAGACTCCATCTCCGTCCAGTTGTTGTTCAATGCAATCTTCCACTCACCTTGCTTCAAGTAACATCTTGCCAATAACATGGTGTACTTTTCAATGTTATCGGAAGCTCCAGGAACCGCCGAGGGTAAAGGTTGAGTAATTGCCTCGTTTTCGTTGACTCCCAAATCCCGAGATAGCTTGGAAGCAAAATCAACAAGATGGTTCAAAGCTTCACTTTGTTGACCTCTTGCCCACATGTACTTCAGTTGAGCATAGACAACATGTGGAGGAGCCCTTGAGGTTTGGTTTCCAGCCGCACCTTCGTCCAGAAGAGCATTGAGAGACTTCTCGGCAAGTCCAAGACGACCACTCTTTCTGCAAAGGTTGGCGAACTTGATCCACATCTCCATGTCCTGCTTTGGTTTAACAACCAAGGCACGAACTTTGAGCATCCGTTGCCAGATATCAACGTTTCTCTGACATCCAAGTAAACGTTTGTTCCATGTGTCACGGATCTGTACTCTCTTGTCAGAACCTTGTGGCAAGCACTTGTACTTGATGATCTCCTCAAGCTCAGCAAGCATTTGTACTCTAACAACCACTCCATACGCTCTGTTATAAGATTCACTGACCAAAGCCGTTATTTCTGTAACAAGCAGATCTCTGGCCTTCAAGATATGTTCGGAAGCCTCGTCAAAGTTGTTTCTGTGAAGGCATAAGATAGCGTTGAAGAAAGCTTTATCGGGCGACTCCACTTTCATGACACTGATATAATTATCCATTCTTTCCCACTGTCCGAGTCCCCATGCTGCTGCTGCTGCCAGTGGAGCAATCGCACGTTTAATGTCACCGGAAGAATTGGACCATTTGTCCTGCGCTAGTTCACTCAGAGACTCCCATTCTCCCAATGCATGAAGACATCTCATCTTTCCCATGGTAATATCCATGGAATTTGGTTCTTCCTTTTCTCTTTCGTTGTATGCACGAAGCGCATCGTCCCAACGTTGCAACTTTTCATACCAGGTTTCCTTCAATTGCAAGCCATGGTGATCTTGAGCATACTTGAGAATACCAATGGCGGCATCCGACTGCTGCAGCTGGTTGTTGATGCTAATGAGCGATTCAATCGTTGGTGTAGATGGTTCTTGAATGAATTCCAGTTCTTTGTAATGAAGAGCTTTGGCATAAACATGGCTTCTCTGAGCATATTGCGACAAAGTTTGAATTCTAATTGGAAGGGACTTGTCATCGTGCTCCAAGAACTCAGCCAAATTGAGTAAAGTTTGATGGATTTCAGGTAGGTTATTTGGAGAAGAGAGAGCGATGCAAAGTGATTGTGCAAGTTCCCCTTGGTACTGAATATGCAATTCGTTCCAGCAGCTGGCAAATGCACAATTGAACAAATCTCTCGCCAATGGTGGGTAAACGGTAGCCAATGACGAACAAGCACGTAGAGCAGGGGAAGGCGATTCCTTCAACAGCTCAATGCTTAATCTTCTAGTCCACTCTTGCCAATCCTCCTTGGTTCTCTTAGTGTTACAATCCCAAACATGGCGCAATGCTTGGGTGTTAACAGGAAGCTTTCGAGGAGTTGCTTCTATATCAAAATTGTCAGTCACTGGAGGATCTTGGAGTTTGTCGCTCAATAATCCAGCTGGAAGAGGCTCTCCATGAATCAGTTTGTCAACTAACTGATCGTAGATTGGATAGTGCAATCTGTGCTTGATAATCACCGTGGTAATTCCAGGAATAAACACCGAAAACTCGTGACCCATTTGCAACATCAGCAAACAAATCGTGGTCACAGCTGTACTTTTCAGTTCGTCAGATGGAGAGCTAGCAATGATTCTGATCAATGGTTGAACGATTCGAGAAGCAAAGTCCGTGAGACTGAGTTGTCTGGATAGTTTACCAACTGTCTCTATTGCTTCACGGCTAACTGCTTCATTCGGAGATTCGAATAACTTGACAGTTTGGGGAATAATCAAGTGAGTATACGGCTCAATGTTGCTGCCAAAAACCACAAATGCTTTCAGCGCTCTAAGCGAAGCAACTTTTCCGGCCGACTTGTCTGTATCGAGAACATCCAAAAAAATAGTGATCACTTTGAACATGTAAATCTTGAACTCATCGTCTAATGCTTTTGAAACCTGCTCAATAACACCGATTATTGTCACTTGAAGATTGACTTGAGGGAAAAATTCCGCAATCAATTCGAAGATATCCGCAAGGAATGGACGAGTGTGCAGCTTGACTATTTTAATCAAATCTCCTAGTTGCTGGAAATATATTTCAAGCAATGATGGTGTACAGGAGTGGATGACGGTAGCGAACCCGGGAATGACTTGATCAAGGTATGGAACGCACTTGACTCCGAGAGTCTTGAAAATGTGCATAATAGCTTGTATCACAGCTGGGTGGTGCGTGCTCAAAGAACTATCTTTTAAAATGCGCAATAGTGTCTTGATGACCACAGTTGGGAAATAGTCTTCGTTGGAAGGTGATTTCCCCTTCATGAGTAATTCCATATCCACTGGAGGTGCGTTCTGTTCGGCAACGGTTTGCGAATCCTGTCCATACCGTTCGACTTCTCTATGCTTGTAAGGATCAAGAGCTCCCAGTATACCAACTAATCTGACCGTTTCCCTTCTGATTGAAATAGAAGTTTCCGATTTCATAATGTTGACCAGCAATCCAAGAAGTTGAGGATAATCAAGCAATGGTTGAATCACATACCCCGAAGATCCGGCAACCTGCCCCAAAGTTTTGAGTGCCGCATCTCGTTTGAAACTCATGCTTTGATCTTGGAATGTTTCCATCAGTACTGGCATCAGCTGAGAAATAAATGGTGTCATTTCTTCACCAGCGACGACAGACATTTCGCCAATTGCTGCAATTGCAGCAGAGGCGACTGGAGACCCAGGATCCATACTTCTTGGAAGTAAGACATCCATTATCGGCTTGAGATATGGCTTTGTGAGATCTCCTGTGTGCGAGATGAATACAGACAACAGTAGCGCTGTGTCTTCTTTCTTTCTAGAATTATGTCCACCATACTCCAGCGTGGTCAATAGTTGTATAAGGAGTTTCCGTAGTGACGGCACGATATACGCTGGATTGATTTCTGCTAATCTTCCAACCAATTTGATGGCTGCTTTTCTAATCTCTAGAGATTCGTCGTTCAAAACCATAAATAACAAGCGGACATTTTCTGCCTGAGACAACTGCGGGTCAAACCTCTCGCCAAGACTGTTGAGTATTTGGAGACGAATCTCTGCATGTGTGTCTGTGATACATACCGTCAATAGTTTGTCCAGAACCTCGCTGACGGCTTTGAGAGAATTGAGACTCTTCTGCAGACAAATTGGATCGCTGAGGTAAATCTTGGCAGAAGTCAACGCGGCTTTTAGTCTGACTTCTGGATTATCATGTTCAATGTAGTGAATAACAGAGTAGCGGACAAATTCGGTCAAGGAGTAGTTCCTGAAATCAAAGTAGCTCAGTGTCTTCAAAGCTTGCAGGATCACCAAGACGTCAGGCTCATCCTGATTCACACTTTTTGGAAGACCAATGAGCATGGTGAGATCCACAGGGGTGTGATTGAATTGACCACCATCTCTGCTGTACATGCTTTGACGGTAGTTGTATGCAAGACTTGGGTTCATTTGTCTTTTGAAATCAGGCGATCCCGGGTGTTTGAATTCATAGCCAGAAAGACAAAGACTCACGACGTTGATCAGTCTATCGTTGATGATTGGCTCTAAAGATGGTAAATGGTCTATAAATATTTTGGAAAGGCTGAGCATGTTGTCGTTGATTGGCGATTTGAGTACGAGCTTCATGAGCTGGTAGTTATTCACAAACTTAGTTAACGGAGGGCCGAGAGAAATTGCAAGTTTTGCGAGGCAGTAGAAACAGTATGGAACGAGTTCTTTCTTGATTTTCGGAACTTTGGATGACAAGGCATCTCTAATACTTTCGAGGACAACGCCGTCGAGATAGTTGATAATATTGTTTCTTGCCTCGACGGCAATGTCTCCTATACTGATGAGAATGAAGGTTCTGTCCTTTCCGATCTTCAACTGAGAGATATAGTAAAGAAGAACACGATGCATGTATTTGTCGACAAATTTGATCTTATCGAACCTTGCAAGGATTGGCATGATCTTGGTGACTTCACGGCGAACATCTACTGACCGGTGGTCTTTGATTGTCATCAGGTTTTCGTAAATGTCGTCAATTTTTGAATGCAATAGTGAGGAGCCTTGGAGAACCAATTCTCTATAGCAGAGTAGAGAACCATGGATGAATTCAGACGGGTTGTTGTTGACTGCGGGAGACGTTCCATTGGAGACGGCCTGAGAATTCCGGAATATCAACGTTGCTTCTGTGTAGAGTTTGGTGAACCAGTAGCTTCTGAGTTCGAGATCTCTTTCATAAACGATGTTGAGACAGTTGCGCAAACAAATGGCAGAATCTTCACGAAGAAGGTTCTTGGAGTCTCTCAGGCCAATCCAGATGTTCGAGAGAACTTCCTTGATGTATTGGTAGAGCATTGCCGGAGCATTCTCGGCAAGGGAGCTGATGATGAGAATGGCTGCGTGTTTCTTGTTTTCCACCTTTTCCGCAACTAGCCATTCGATGGACCGTTTCACCTCGAACTCCACAAAGTCGCCAGTCAATGATCCTCCTGGAATTGCAAGCTTTCCCAATGTCTTGGTGGCCTGTTTCATCACCGGTAGGTCGTTCGAGGTGATGAGCCGACGCAAGTAGTTTGCGTACCGGGCAATCATATTGGAGTTTTCTTCTGTTGTCGAAGAGGCACTGATACGGGGTAAAGAGCTGCTAATTAGATCCACTAGCGAGCTGATGGCTTCTATACCTCCCAATTGCTCAGAGACATTCGAACTGTTGATGAGGTCGAAAATGCGCTTGTTGATGTGGTTGTTGTAGACACTCAACTGTTCGGCGGACATGGCCTCGCGCGAAACCGCAACAAACTGGTCGCGTAACGCCAGCGCAGCACGCTTCCTGTGAGTCTGGTCTTTCGACCCCAGTTGGACGAATATTTCATCAACATGCCAATTGTCCGTGGAAGTCGACATGATAATTAATAAAAAGAGATTTGTGTATTTGCACAGCCGAGTTTTAATAGACGAGTGTGGGTAGAATGAAAAGGTGTTTCAGACAGAGTCTGGAGGCGTTGCTAGACGGACGGAACATGTACTATGTACAAATTAAGGCACTACGTAAATGTGGGGAAGGTGACCAGTTTCGCAAAGATATAGATGATGAAGGTAACCGTTAAGTTTGCCTGGAGACCCTTGGATTTGACTATTGTTGATAACCACGCAGTTATCGAGTTTGCTGTTTCCCTTTTGTGCAAACTCCGATGGGAACTAGGTTCCCGATCCTACTGAATATGGCAGGTCATCTGCTTGGAGCATCTCGATCCATGGAAACTTCGTGGGATTTCTGGAACTTTTTTTCTCTCGCACGACTTGATTTTTTCTGGAATAAATAGAAGGTGCAACTCCTTGGGGAATGAACCTAAACATGAGCTGTGTGGGTAAGAAGCGGTTTCTGGACACCAACGAGGTATTCCGCGATTCCAAGCGCAGACTGATAGACAACTTCTCCGGTCTGAAGATCGGGATGAAGGAGGCTGGGGGCAATAATAAGTCGCTGTTTGAAAGCGACTATCTGCCTTATACCCCTTGCAACCCTCCTTCGATGGATAGAGTGATCATCTCCAACATCGATCAGTTCTTGAGAGAAAACCCGGACCATCTTGACTTTCTGGACGGAGATAAGGTCGACTTGGAAAACGTGGATCTCAATAAATTGATAATACCCACCGTGTCTGCGGGACAACGAGAAGATCAGCTCAACAAGTTATACGACAAGTATGTTCGCAACAGTGGGGCCCTCGTCAAATACTATAACCCAGAGCAGCTCACATACGAGCGATTTCTGGACTCGAAGGATATGGAGGGGAAAATTGTGGAGCTGTTGAGCAGTGACGAAGAAGAAGACGACCAGGACGTGGATATGGATGCAGATTAGTGGTGATCGGTTTCCAAACTCGACAGTTTGTCCAATGTGCGCAATAGAGTCTGTGCAATCGATGGGTCACTGGTGACTTTTTTGATTACTTGCTCCGCTTGATGTTTGAGATCCTCGATAGAGTCTCGACAATACTGGAAACTATTAGTTGTTTCCATGATATGAAGGGCATAAGCTTTTAGCTGATGGTCTTCTGTCCGCAGTTTTAATATATTCAATAATTCGCTTTTATCAGGATTGCTGTTGATGGAGTGGATGATTGGAAACGAGAACTTTCCTTCGGTGATGTCTTCGCAGTAGCCCTTGTTATGGTTGTAGAGGTCGGATTGTAGGTTCAGATAGTCGTCTTTTATCTGGTAGATGATTCCAAGCAGGTTGCTAAGTGTGACCAGATGTTCTGACGGGGTGTCCGAGACCAGGTTCATCAATTTGGTGCTAAGTCGGAACAGTCCACCAGTTTTGCACATCACCATGTCCACGTACTGATCCTCTGTGGGACACTCGTTATTGTCACGCCAGTACAGGTCCAGTCCCTGGCCGCGATGGAGATGGATCATTTCCTCCAAAAAGATGTTTTGGGCAATTAGTCTCTTGTCCTCGACAAAAGCGTCGTTCAATTGTCTCATGGCAACAAAATACATGTAGTTGGAGCAGTTTATTGTCTGCGGAACGCCGTATATTAGATGAGCGCACGGCTTACTACGACGCAACCGCGAGTTGTCTTCGATATCGTCGATCAGTAACGATGACAAATGCAGGGTGTCAATCACAGCCTCGATCCGCTCCAAGTCCACAGAGGGGACCTTGAGCACCAGGTTGAACGTCTGGATCAGAAGCCATCGCAAATTCTTGCCCTGTGTTTGTTCGGAAAGATGGTTGTAAGGCAGTAGGATGTTTTTCTCGCTGGTGGCGTCCCATTGTGGCGAGTCTGGAACAAGGACCATGGAAATAAATAATGTCAATATTTAATTTCTCGGAAATTTCTATAAACTTGTCATCATGGAACATATGCCAATCCAATGGCTGATGGAAGTGCCCGTTGTGACACGCTGCTACACCATCGGCATTGTGGGCGTGTCGTTACTGGAATCTGCAGGATATGTCACCGAAAGAGACCTCGTGTACACTTTCGAGGATGTGTTCGTTCGAGGGCAAGTTTGGAGGTTACTGACCTCAATATTGTATTTCGGGCCGTTCACCTGGGATTCAATTCTTGGACTATACATGACGGTCCGTTATTCGCAAAACCTGGAACAATCGTTCTACCAAACACGTCATTATATATGGTGTTTGGCGTTTTTAAGCACAGGTTTGATCATCTTTAGCACACTGGTCCATCCACTGTACAAGATTGGAACTTACCTCGTCGACACCCTGCTGTACATCTATTCAAGACGGAATCCAACACAGGCTCTGCAACTCATGGGCTTGTACAGATTTGATTCTCTATATTTGCCTCAGGTGTTTTTCTGTCTTGCTGTTCTAGGATCGCAATCACAAAGCATGGGTATTCGCCTGATGCAGTCTTCCTCCATTGTCGAGCTGATCATAGGCTACCTTTGGGGACACGTTTATCTCTTCCTTGTGGACGTTTGGCCCAAACTGCACGGGTCCGACCCCACTGGTGCACGGATGTGAATGGGGTTCTCCAGGCTCTCCGCCACCGGTTTGGGAAATTACAACCGCACCTGGAAAAAGATATAAAAGGATTATTCTTGTCGGTTGAGCAAAAAGCATGTCGTTTTTGGCGGGATCAGAGTGCGCAGCGAACGCCAACCCACTTGCACAGTTCTCCAAGCAGACACAGCATGACACCTCGTTGGAGCAGTCTTTCAGAAACAGTGCTCAGAACGCTGGTGCGGAGGGCCGGTTTAGAGGGCCGGCCATGATGAACGAAACAGAACGAGCACATATGGACCGATTCATGAATCAGGGCTCTTCTTTTAATTTCCAGCCTATGGCCAGCGAGTTGAACATGATCCACTCTGGGCCTCAAGCTCAGATGATAGCAGGACCACAGGCTCCCCAGTTACCAGAGATATCACAGCAGCCCATTACACAACAGCCACAAGCTTCTTCGCGGTCTGGCTGGTCGTCCGAGTTCCAGAATTCCGCTAATGAGCAAATTACGAACATCCCTGCACAACTGGATCATTCCATGATGAGGTCTTTGGGAGCGGGGCCGCGGCTTCAATTGAGACCTATGGGAGGAGCTCCTATGGGCATGATGCAGACACATAACATGACTCAGCAGGAATCCGACCAACAGATTGACTGGGATCAGCAGTTTAAGGAGATGGAAGAGCTTGATTCCCAGGCACAGGAACCTGTTGAAGAAACAGTCAACGCAGAAGAAAGTGCTTTTGACCAAGTTTGGGACAACCTCCAGGATACGTATGCCGACCACATGTTGAGCAACGACGAGTTCCAATCTCAATGGGAGAAAGATTTCGAAAAGTACGCACAAACGCGGCTGAACTACGGAGAATACAGTTTTGAGCAAAATAACCAATTCAAAAATAACCCTGATGCATACGAAATTGGATTGAAGCTTATGGAAGGCGGTGCGAAACTAAGCGAAGCCGCTCTTGCATTTGAAGCTGCCGTTGAGCAAAACCCGGCTCACGTAAATGCTTGGTTACGCCTGGGCCAGGTGCAAACGCAGAACGAAAAGGAGCTTGCAGGCATAGCCGCATTGGAAAAATGCCTTGAACTGTCTCCCCAGAATCTGGTTGCATTGATGACACTTGCGATATCATACATCAACGAGGGGTACGACAACGCTGCGTTTGCCACATTGGAGAGATGGATCGAGACCAAGTACCCTGTCATTGCGGACCGGGCCCGAGCAGACAACCCAGAGATTCAGGCCGACGACCGGTTCTCTTTGAACAAGCGTGTGACTGAGCTGTTCATCAAGGCTGCCCAGATCTCGCCAGAGGGAGCCAACATGGATTCTGAGGTGCAGACCGGATTGGGAGTGCTGTTCTACTCGATGGAGGAATACGACAAGACATTGGACTGTTTCCAGGCGGCAATCCAGCACAATCCGGACGATGCGTTGGCATGGAACCGTTTGGGAGCGTCGCTTGCAAACTCCAACAAGCCAGAGCAGGCGATCGAGGCGTACTCGCGGGCACTGCAACTGAACCCGAACTTTGTGCGCGCCCGGTACAATCTGGGAGTCTCTTTCATCAACATGGGTATGTACAGAGACGCTGTGGACCATCTGCTGACCGGCTTGAGCATGCACGAGGTGGAAACGCTTGACGGGTCCAACTCGGCAGTTCGGAGCAACCAGAGCACCAGTCTCCTGGAGACTTTGAAGCGAGCATTTTTGGCAATGGATCGTCGTGATCTTCTTGACAAGATCAGACCGGGACTCAATGTGGAGACTTTCCGGAGAACGTACGATGTATAATAATGAATTACGAACTAATCGAACTATTTATTTTTAGTGGCATTTTTTTCTATTGATTAATTTTAGTGTTTTTCCAGCATGGGGGAAAAGAAGTTAGTAGGAGCGTGCGACATCTGTCACCGCCGCAAGATCAAGTGCGACATATCTGTGACCGGTCCCCCGTGTACCCGCTGTAAAGAGCTGAACGTGGGACCTCAGTGCACTTTACACAAGCGTAAGAAGAAGACTGACAGGCTGACTAATTTGAGTATCCATGATCACTATATGAGCGCCGTGAGCGTATCTCCCAAACGGTTTATGAAGGCCACGAGTAATTCCAGAGGTCCTCGTGTGAATATGGTGTTTTATCCGACAGTTAGTGAGACTGCGTCCAAGTTTTACAAGAATGTCGTTGGATACGAGCCCCAACTCTCGGATGTGGATCTGATGTATTTGACCCAGCTCGGCTGCTTCAGTCTGCCCGGCACCGACGTGTGCTGGAAGTACCTGAACTACTACTTCTTGTATATAAACAAGTTTGGTCTGGTTGTGGACCAGTCCAACTTTGTGAAGAAGTATCAAAAGCTTCCGGAAGGACCCTCGATAGTTTTGCTGCAATCCATGCTGTGCATGGGTTCCATTTTGAAGAAGAGCTTGGTGGAGACGGAACAGGAGCGTGAACAGGAACACAGGTATATTGGCATTTTTTACAAGAGAACCCGGGCTCTTCTGGCCGTCTCTGTGGAGCAGGATCCGGTAGCCCTGGTCCAGACCTACATGACGCTGGCGTGCATTGCCGAGATGACAGAACATGCAATGGATACAAACAGTCGGTACTGGGTTCAGAAGGCGCACCAGGTCGCCATGAACGCCGAGTTTTATAGAGACCACCCGGAGTCGGACGAGTACGAGCGCAACATTTACAGACGACTTTGGTGGGCCATCTACATCCGTGATCGGATGTACGTTTTCTGGTATGGAGGTCCGTTCCTGGTGTCCAAGTCAGACACCAAGATTACCAAGGATTGTGAGGAGCTATTCGTTCTAGATCGGATCAACAACGAAAGCCAGCATTTTTTCAGAAACATGATCAGCATTGCCGAGCTCATCGACATCACGCTCAGCAAGAGCCGTTCATCCAATGGTAAGATTTATTTATTACGTGATATCCAGCAGTACGACATGCTGGTCACCAAATGGTTCGAAAGGCTTCCACCAACGTTTGTGTTCAAGCTCGACAAACCAAGCAGCCAGCGCAGCGAGGCTGCCACCATCACGGTTTTCTACTACCTGCTACTCCTGACATTGCATCGAATGGATTTGCAACGCGAGTACAGATCTCTCGGACCAGACCAAAGAGAACGGTACGATATCCAGAATCATCCGTCCTGGGGGATGTCTTTCCATTGTGCGTTCATGATCAGTCAGATCCTGAACGTCTGGATGAAGTCGCTGGACCACGCTCCGTGTTCAGAGGCGTACTTGCACTGTATATTGTCCAGCTCGTTTATCATGCTCTGCCAGTTGCAGAATACAGATCCGCAGATCTCTCGGTTTGCAGACGACTGTGTCCGCACAAACCTTTCGCTTCTGGAGATGTACAACAAGTATCATCTTCAGGGAAGAATGGCTCACTATTTGATCACGCAGATCTATCACGACAAGGCCAAACAGACCAAGATGCTGAAATCGCTGCTGGACGTGGACAAAGAGCCGACTACCGGTCTTGCGCGGTTGCAGAACGAGATCACGTCGAGTCTCGAACAGAGACTCGAAAATCGACTTTTTGAGAGCTCAGACGACCAGATCAAAAAGGATACTGCAGCAATTCGCGAGTTCAGACCGTTCCAGGCGCTTTCACAAAACTACTCTGATTTCATGAAGGACCCAACGTATTCGAACACCAATCCGGCCGATCCAATCATCGACCCGCAGTCAAAATCCGCCCATAATCCTCCTCCTCCTTTGACGCGCGAAACCTCCAAGGAACTGGTCACTGACTGGCTTGCGCGAATCAGCAACCAGGACTCGTCAGACCTCAAAGACCTCGAGTTCTTCAAGTACCTTGGATACCCGTCCGACCCACCAAGCACGGGCTCGAAAAACTTCCAGACATCCGACTCCGATACGCGCACCTCGTTCAGCAACTCAAATACAAACTATCTGCCCGACGCAGAAAATCTGCCCGACTTTGACGAGCTGCTACAAAGTTTATAATAATAGAAGGTGTAAACAAAAAAAAAGCTTCAAATATTTTGCATTTTTCCCATGTTCAAATCCTCTTCGGCGTCTGAGCCGTATTCCAAATCGCTGAAACCGGCGTCCAGGCGTCAGTTCAATCAATTCAGCACAATAGCGTCGCACATACGACGTCGGCCGTACCTGTTGTTACTACTGCTGCCGTTGCTGTTCCTGATACCCCATTATCATAAAACCCCGAAGGTGGTGATCATTCTCGCTGCGAACGAGGGAGGAGGAGTGCAACGGTGGAAGACGCCCCAGGAGTGGTCTGTGGAACGGTCATCCATTGCAAACAAGCGCGACTACGCCGAAAGACACGGATACGTGCTTTCTATCAAAGACACAGCATTGAAAAGACGATACAGCCACGAATGGCGCGAGGGGTGGGAAAAAGCCGACATTCTCAAGCAAACCATGAGACAGTACCCGCAGGCAGAGTGGTTTTGGTGGCTGGACTTGCACACGTTCATCATGGAGCCCGACATCTCGCTGGAGGAATATCTGTTAAAAGATCTCGAGTCTCGCACCTACAGAGACCTGTCATACTGGAACCCACTGCGGATTGTTGTGGATTCTCCGTATGTGGACGTGAAGAATTCGCCCGTCGACATGATCATGGCCCAGGACTGCGGAGGGTTCAATCTCGGCAGTTTCCTTGTGCGCAGGTCGCCATGGACAGACATGCTGCTTGATCTCTGGTGGGACCCCGTGTTGTACGAGCAGATGCACATGAGCTGGGAACACAAGGAACAGGATTGTTTGGAGACTCTATATAGTTCCCAGCCATGGATCAGAGAACGCATTGGGTTTGTCCCGCTAAGAGCAATCAACAGCTTTCCTCCAGGTGCCTGCGCCGATCAAAAGGACGATCCGCAATTTTTCTACAACGAAAAAGACCGCGACTTCTTGGTCAACATGGCCGGCTGTAACTTCGGTGATCGTTCGTGCTGGAACGAGTATGATCACTACAGAAACTTGCAAAAACGACTAAACAGCAGAAACAGATGGTGGTGGTTACCCGGCTGGTTCAAATAATCTAGTGTCAAAATAAATATCCTTGTACTTTATTTATTGTATATTAACCATGAACAACGAGTTCTGGAATGACCAGCCGGCCGACGACGACATGGCTTTTTTGACGTTTCCAGATCAGCCACAGCCGTCTCGACCCGTCCAACAGCAAACTCCCATGGTCCCGACTCCACAAGGCCCGCCAACACAGGATTCGTTCTTTTTCAATGACGACGGCGGAGGGTCAGGTTCCGCTCCTTCGTTCTCCCCACAGATGTTGGAGAACAACCCGCCGGTCCAATTGGATCAGCCGAAGATGACACAGCCGTCTATTCCTGCACAGAGTCCGTTTGTGGCCTCCGCACCTACACCGACTCCTCCACCACAACAATTCCAACAACCACGCCAGGTTAACCCGCAAAATAACAGTCCAAACGCGCAAAATCCACAACAGCGTCAACTTCAGATCCAGTTCCAGCAGCAACAGAACTTCCTTCGTTTACTAGAGGAGTTCATGGCTCGCAACAACACCCCCCTTGCAGATAAATATCCAGTCATCGGAGGCAAGAAGATGAACCTTTTCCTAATATACGCGGTTATGATGAAGTTTGGAGGATTCAACAACGTTCTCAGAACCAAGAAGATCATCCCTGTGGCTGCAAAATTTGGAGTTCCTCCGGACAACAACCAGTTGTTACGCGAGTTTGTTCAAATGTATCATAGATGTTTACTTCCGTTCGAGATGTTTGCCAACACGCAGGATGGAATGAAAGAGCTGGCCGCTAGAAAACAACAGCTCGAGCAGCAGTTCCAAAAACAGGCCAAGCCACAGGTTCCTTCAGGCCAGTCGTACCAGACTCCTCCAACCTTTAACAATTCTACACCAGCATCGCAACCAACTCCACAGATGATCGAGCCGCAGTCTCGCAAGATTAGCGAGTCGTCATCGCTGCCACAGCCTACTCCTCCGTCTGTGCACGAGGCGCACCAGGCCACCCCGCCCGCTCCTCGTCCAGAGACTTCCACCACACCGGACTTTCTTAGAAACTACGTTCCACACCAAAGACCGATTGGGAAGGTTGGTGGCTACGATCTGAAGGCATTTTCCGCCTTCGGTGAGCAGATTGACAACCTGAAGCCTGTTTTCCTTTTTGTTCCAGAACTTGGAAGAATAGACCTTAACGCATTAACGTTGTCCTTGACTTCTCACATCGACGCCGAAGTTAATGTTGCTTTAAACGTTTTACTTATTGTCACCTCCGATCCAAACTTGGTGATCCCTCTGTCAGAATGTATGGGACTCCTGGATGCTCTCAGCATACTAGGAAGCGATATTGCTAATGCTCTTGTGTCTGGGGACCTAAAGAGCCCATCTGCAACTGGAAAATACGAGGACGCCCAGCCAACATACGATAAGCCAAACAAAATAGACGAAGTGTTTGCCAAGTACAAAAGCAAGTTCGATAAGGGTAAAGATATTCAGGTAGTTGTCGACTCCTTCACCTCTCAGCAAATACACGAGGATGAGGAACCTCTTGTATCTGAGCATCAACAAGATTTGGACACGGAGATGAACAGTGTTTTCAATTCCGAGAGCAAAGATCAGACACCAGCTCCAACACAGAAGTTTGAGCTGCCAACGTATATCGAGTTGTTGGAATCCAGCAAGTTCGAAGCTGAAGACCTTTCGTTCAAACTGCACAGAAAAACGTTCCTCGACCGCAGAGTCATGCTGGTGGAGCAATTGAGCACAATCTCCTTGGTTTTGAGAAATCTGTCGTTTGTTGGAAGCAACCAGGGCGCCTCAAATAACAACCTCATGGCTTCTCATCCACGTTTACTAGATTACATCTATGGACTTATTTATTCCCTTGGAATGTCTTCTGACGGCTTTGTTTTCGCTCGGAAGAGGGTGAATCTCATGAAGGATATTTTGATGATCCTGTCCAACATTGCTCATATTGTTGAGTTGCGCTCTGAAAGAGAAGCGTACTTGATTTTAGCATTGTGTTTATCTTTTGGTGTCCAATTGGAGGAGGAAGAAAAGGCTGCGGGCCTATTCGTGCCTAAATACGATCCTGCTAAGGGCAAGTTTCAATCGCACGCGGTGGATGTGATTGCCAAGATTCTGTGTGGATCTGTGCAAAACCGGAAAAACATGGGACTTGTGCTTTCGGGCAGTTTCTCGTTGAACCCGAACGAGAAACCATCGAAAGACGGAGAGCTGGTGGTGAAAACTGTTGGGTTTTTGATTTCCTCTGTTCCGCTTCACTTGTTGCACGAAGGAATTGAACCGTTTAACGATAAGCTGCCAACGTGTTTGCAACTTCTTCTTAGCTCGGTGCTTGTTTGCGAAACCATAGAGCAATCTTCATTTGACACCAATATTGCCTTGAGACTCCTGATTTCTCCTGAACTTATCGGGTGCAACCTGTTCAAGCTGGCATTCATCTTTGCTGCTATTTTCGCCAAGACCAACTACGAAAACAAGGTGATGTACATCCACATTTCTGGCAAATGTATGGAACTGGTCAACATCCTACTCAAGAGTGCAATCAACTACGCGATTGCTAACAACAACAAGGATGAGTTGAACGCACTAAACTCTGTTTCCAAGCTGTTCCCAGCAGACGAGTCGATCCTGGGAGCTTTGATGACGCCGTCGTTACCTCCAGAGATTTCTGTGCAGGCTGTCGAGTGTGTCAAGCTGATGGTGAAGCTACAAGAAGCAAGCGCAAATTAGCTATTTTTTGGCTATTTGTTGAACAGGAACGATTTCCACCGAGCTTGCGGTTTCTCCTTCCAGGTTTGGCTTTTTGCCAAACAGCATCATCACCACAGTTGCAATTGAGTGTCTGCCTTGCCATAGCGGGAACAGAATGATATACATTGCAGACAGGAGTAGCCAGATCAGGATCACCACAATAAAGGCAGTGAACGACGCCTTGCTGAATCCGTGGTGGCTTCCGTACAAGCTTGTTGGGATGATGACGTAAACTCCAATGAGCAGAAACACGTTGACGAGGAAAGCAGCCCAAATGTTGAACTTGAGTTTTTTCTCCTCGTCTGCTGGCAATTCCACGGCCTCTCGTTCTTCCTCGTCGAGGTCGTCAGCCAAGGTGATTTTCTCCTGGAACAACTTTGGGTCGAACGGAGCAGGGTCTGGTTTGAGCAGACTTATCACCACGATATAGAGCCCGGTAGAGAACAGAGCTGTACAGTTTCCGATGAACGCTGCCTGAGTAACGTTTAAAGTAGCCTTATCAACGACCTTGTCGCCAAAACAGTAGGCTCCGGCCACCCAGCATACCACGCCGGTGAGAGTTCCCAGTGGGGCGCCGATCACGAGTCCGAGACGTGTCATTCTGTTCCAGAACAGAGTCAATGAGACGGAGAAGACAGACGGGTTGATAATGATACCACTGAACCCAAGTAGCCAGCCAACAGTGACGCCAATGTAATTGAACACCACCGAGAGGACCGCCATGAACAGACTGAAGCCCACGACGGCAATATGGGCCGAGCGAACGAGCTGTTTGCCGCTGGCGTTCGGGTTGAAGTACGTCCGGTACACGTCGTAGGTGGTGACGGAGGAGAACGCAATGAGTTCAGCGCTGCTGGCGCTGGTCACCGACATGAAGAGCATCACGAGTCCTGCTGCCGCTCCCGGCTTGCCCATCACGGCGTACAGTCCGTAGATGACGGGCAGGCCGTTGTTGACCTCGTCCTCTGTGAGCAGGTCCGGATACGTGACGGAAACCGGGTTGTTGAGCAGGGCTCTGCAGGCCAAACCGGCACTGGACCCAATTGAAGCAGGGATCACTGCCCAGCAGATGGCCCCCATCATGTATCCTTGGAACACGTCCTTGGTGTTTGCGGCGATGGCCCGTTGGGAGTAGCCCGGGTCGCCAAACACAGAACTGAGTCCGCCAAAGAAGATGGTCCATGTGAGCATGAGCATGGTCTTATCGTAGAAACTGACGTAGCTTTGACCGGTTTCGGACGGGTAAACGGTTTGGATCTCCTCGAGCAGATCGTACATCTTGGACGGAGAGCCGATCAGCGGCGAGGTGCAGTATATCTTGTAGCTTGCAGTGAGCAGGATCACATAGATGATCACGGTGTGGATCCAGTCCGAGATGAAGGTAGCCTTGAGACCTCCTAGGGCCGTGTACACCATAACACCGAGCGGGAGAAGGAAACTTGCAGCCACGACATGCATGCCTGTGGTAGCTGCAAATCCCTGCGATCCACCGAGCAACAGGAGAGACGAAATGAGGATGTTGGTGGCAAACACGTAGCACAGGAACACCCAGTGGCCAACAGGGCCGAATCTGGCCGAGAAACACTCGGACACGGTGTGTGCTGCTGGGGCACGGGCTTTGAGTTGCAAGCATACAAACACGAAAACTGTCACCTGCAAGGCACCGGAAATGCCATAGAGGAAACCTCCAGAGATGCCGTGAGAGTAACTCCAGGCACCGGAGGAGAGCAGAGTAGCGGGCCATGTCCATGCAGAAACGGTGGACGAGGCAATCAGGCCGGAATTGACACTTCTGGAGGCGGTGGTGAACCGTTCAGAGTTTTGGACCTGGCCCAGGTAGCTGGAGAGAACACGTGTGATCAGGCACATGAGCAGGGCGAACGCTGCGCCAATGCCCAGCACAAAGCCATAGCCGTAGCCTTGGTCAAGAATCGGGGTGGTCATGGGCCCCACATCGGTGTAGGGTCTCACTTATATAAAGCTGAGCTTTTTTCCGATAAGCAACTGATAAGAAAAAATAACGTGCAGGGAAAGGTACATGGGTTTAAAATTAGGTGGCCAGACAAAGAACGATCCACTTTTGTAGAATTGCGCTCGAAAAATTACAATGGACGGCGCAAAACCGCCGTTATTGTTGCCGCACAGACTGGTGGAGGTCTGCGGCTCCCCCCTCACTGGTATATAGGGAGCCAGTTCAAGGTTTGAGTTTTTGCTTCAGAATTGTTTTGCTGCGTATATTTCCGATATCCGATATCCGAGATCCGTTCTATATCAGGCTGCATCGTTGAAATTTAACGATTAGCAATTTAGTATCAGCAATGAGTTGGCAAGAAATCAGAGACAAGAAGAAGGCGCAACTGGACGCTGCGATTCCGTCCGAATGGAAGGACCCGGAGATCAAGGCCAAAATGGAAAAGGCCGGCGTGGTGAGCTCGCACGAGTACCTGGACTCTGTGCTGCCTGTAGAGGAGGTCAAGATCACCGCATTGAGCGTCGGGGAGCTGGCTGCCGCGATCAAGGCCAAGCAACTCACCTCGTACGAAGTCACCAAGGCGTTCTGCCACCGCGCGGCTCTGGCACACCAGATCCTCAACTGTTGCGTCGAAATCTTTTTCGACGACGCTCTGAAACGGGCCAAGGAGGTTGACGAGTACTACGAGAAAAACGGCTCCACCATTGGACCCTTGCACGGCGTGCCATTGACCTTGAAGGACCAGTTCGACCTGGTGGGCAAGGACTCATCCATCGGGTACTGCGCGCTGTTTGGAAGGCCTGCAACCAAGAACTCTGTGCTGGTCGACTACCTGCTGGAGCAAGGTGCAGTCTTCTACGTTAAGACAACGGTGCCGGTTGCCATGATGTCTGCGGAGACGGAATCGAACATCATGGGCTACACCCTGAACGGTGTCAACAACAAGATGTCCTGTGGTGGTAGCAGCGGTGGAGAAGGTGCTCTAATTGCTTCGGGTGGTGCAGTGCTTGGCTTTGGAACGGACATCGGTGGCAGTATCCGTATTCCATCTTCTTTCCAAGGTCTTTACGCCTTGAAACCGTCCACTGGACGAGTCTCGTACATGGACGTGAGCAACTCGTACGCCTACCAGGAGCTGGTTCCCTCTGTTATTGGTCCAATGGGTAAGAGTCTAAAAGATGTGAACCTAATTTTCGAATTGATTGTCAAGGGAGAGCTGTGGAACATCGATCCTAAAGTGCTGTCGATTCCATGGAAGTCGCCTGACGAGTTTGCTGGCAAAGAGTTCAAGTTCGGCTTCTGGAAAGACGACGGCAATGCCACTCCGCAAAGGGCCATTCTGCGCTGTCTCGACGAGGTCCAACACAAGATCAAAGCCTCTGGAGCTATCGCTAAGGATGTTGATTTCGACCTGCAACCAAAACTTCTCGACACCATTGGCAAAGTGTTTGGTTCCGACGCCTACCATGAAATTGGTAGCATGACCAAGAAAACTGGCGAGCCAGACCTTGACCATGTCAAGTGGCTCGTGCTCAAGGAGGGTATCGACGAGCCATTGAACGTGAACGAATGGTGGGAGGTCAGCAAGGAAGTTTACGAGAGAAAGCAGCAGTTCTACGCAGACTGGAAGAAGTGGGGCATTGACGTTCTGGTGTGTCCTATCTGGCCGTCTGCTGCGTTCAAGCCACACAGCCCGCACCGTGTCAACTACACATGTCCGTTCAACATCACTGACTGCGCGAGCGTGGTGATTCCTGTTGGAAAAGTCGACTCCAAAGTCGACGGCGACCCGGACTGGAACGGAATGCCAGTTTGTGTGCAGGTGGTTGCAAGACGGTCCGAGGAGGAAAAGGCTCTATATGCTGCCGGAATTATTGACAAACTGGTCAACGGCGTGTGATTGCGTGCTATTGAGCCAATCAAGCGTAGTTTGCCATATGTTTTCAATATCTGGCGACGAGTACTCCGTGCTATCGCCAATTGGACCTTCCATGAGTTTATCAAAATTTGTAGAAATTGCCTGTCTTTTCTCGAGAATATCGTAGAGCGACTCGATAGCGTCCTTGGCTATGAGCTGGATACTGCCAGCTTTTGGTCCTGAGGAGTCGCTCACAAATAAGCATGTGTCCTGCAACACCTGCCATATTTTCTTGGCCAGTTCTTCCTCGATGTTGGCCTTGTTGGTCATGATGTAGAAGAGCAGGATCGTGCTAGTTGCTTCGAGGTGTGTGCACAGGAAGATTGCGGGTTGTCTGAGTCGCACTCGGTGGTTGACTCCGATGATGAAGTCGGCCAGTTGAATGGTATAGTGGACACACGTCTCAGAGAGCTTTCGGAGCCGGTTGCAAAGCTTGACGTTGAATTGGTGGTTCGCCATAGCGAGGTAGGCGTTGAAGATCAAAAACGGCTTGTAGATCATCATCTTCAGATACAGGTAGTATGTGCGGATCCAGAACCATTCGCGCACGGTGTTGCTGTCCATCTGGAGATGAGCATCCAGATCAGAGCTTGTGAGCACTTTTTGCGGCGTGCTGTAATAGTCGTTGTCGATCTCCATCGACAGTCTATCCACAGCCTCCAATGCCCCATACAGACCCTTGTGTTTGGCGTAGTAGAGCTCTGTCTGGATGGTGCTGCACTTGGTACCGAACCGGCGGCGGATTTGCATGTGGTTGCTGTTAATTGCAAACCGGTTCTTTTCGCCATAACCGGGGGCAGAAAACACGGACTCCTCTGGCGGGTCAGGAACGTTCTCGTCGCGGCAGCAGCTCGGACGCCCAATATAGCATCCCCAGAACTTTTCCCAATGCCAGACGCAGATCCACACGCGCGACTGGCGCGCAGACTCGTGGCTGGCCGTCTGATGCAACCCAATCGCAGTGGCCACTCGCACCGCGTACCCAATGTACAGGTACGACTGGGAGGTGTCTCCAAGATTAGCTGCGCTCAGGCTCATCAGAAACAGGACCTGCACGGCGTCGAAAGACACCTCGGTGAAGATATGGGGCACGGTGCTCTGTGCCAGGATGAAAAACCCTCGGGCCAGCGAGAGCGTTTTCTCGCCGTCAGCGCTCTTCTCGAAATACGCCGAAGCGGCCCCGATTGACAGGACCAGATACAAAATGGCCTTGGAGTGCGGCGAGTCGGTGGCTGTTTTCCACTCCTGCACGGATAAATCAAATAAGTCCTCGGCTATAAACACGGGATATGCAACGTGCCAGGTCTCCAGATAGAAAGTAAGCAACAGGTTGACTGTTTGGAACGAGATGGTCTCAAGACTGAAATCAAAGTCCTCGGCGGTTTCCTTCAGAACGAGAAGATTGATACCAAAGCGTGCGAGTCGCTCGTTTTTGTCTGTCTGGTCGTGGCTGCCGGCAACCTGCCGTAAATAGTGGTTCAACTGGCTCATTAGGGAGAAGTTACTGGCCGGACCAAAGTACTCCACGCCGGAGTCGGACCTCTGTTTGCGCACAAGCAGTAAGGGAGGGATGGACATTCGTTCTTCTCGGGGCCTCCGTTTGGGCTCTCTGTACCGTTCACGCACCACGCAGTCCAGCTGGTACTTGGCGCACTCTGCACAAACAGGCCCGCCAGAGCATTTGATTTTGCGCCGGCGACAGTTCTCGCACGCTTTGGAGATACGCTCCGGAAACCGGTTCTTCATTCTTATCAGTAATCGATAACATTTTTTTCCACTACTCTATATATTTCGCTCGAAAAAACGCACAACCTTGCCGGCGGCCTCTTGGCCAATGAGCGGTGCGAGCTGCTCACGGGTCATCTGGCTGAGCTCGCGCAAACTGCGCACCTTGTTGATGATCAGGTGCACGTTCACAGAGCTGATTCCAGGGATGTTCTGGATCAGATCGATGGCCATGTCGTTGAAATAAGTGTCCTTGTCGAACATCGGGTTGAGTCCGGCGCTGATGGCACGATCCACGTCCGGCTCCTCCTGTGTGAGCTTCAGCTCCCGGAACACGCGCGCGGTCTCAAACGGAGACGATGTCCAAATAATCTTTAAGCTGGGAAAAGCTATCAGCAGCATCATTAATTTGAGTTGCAAGTCCTGCTGCAACCCGGTGTTCACAGAGCCGGAAATTCCAGACCCGCGGCCGTCCTTGTAGCCCGAGAATGGCTCCAAAGAGAACGACTTGCCCTCCTCGAACTCAATCAGCAGCGTCGGCAGCTCGTAGTACCGGAACATCTGCTCGCACTGCTGGTAGAGCCGGCCGCTTTTCAGGGACCCGATCAGGTCGGGAATCGACTTCCTCTCAATACAGATCTTGGGCGACAGAATGTAGTCCCCCACGGTCAGCATGCACGGAATCACCTCCATGGCGGCCAGGTAGCACAAAAACGGCAGCTGCGACCGGAACTCTCGAACATCAACCACCACTTTATTTTTGGTATCCAGCGGGTTCCCGCCGGCAATACGCGTGTTCGCACTGATCGTGGGCAGGAACCGCGCGCTTTCGTCCTCGTCGGTGATAAAAGTTTTGGGCAATGCCGACTTCTCGCGGATTAGTTTTGTGAATGCGTCTTTCTCCTTCTTAATACTGTTCAAGTACCCTTGTTCCTCGATCGAGTCGCCATAGTACATGAAATAGCACTTAGCCGGCCGCGTGTGTCTGAGCGACTGAAACAGCTCAACTTTGCGGATAAATCCCAGGTCCGGCTCGTACAGAATGATGTACGACGGCATGATCTCCTCGAGCAAGAAGTTGCTGCTCTTGGCATCAAACTTCTCTATGATCACCTGCTCTGACCGGTCGACGTACTCGTAAATCAGACCTTTCTGTGTGTGGTTGGTGGTGGACTCGCTCAAGATTTCAAAATCGTCCATGTCGTCGCTCTCCTGTTTCACCTCGTCGTCGCTGGCCTCGCTCAGCTGCGTTTCCAAAAGATCCACCATTGCGTCCTGGGCCTCCTCGTTCAAGCTCTCCCCTTCTGTTCGGCTGAGCATCTTGTTGTACGAGGTGATCACCGCTCCTCCACGCGCCCTACGCCGTTTAGTTGGCGGGGCCTTGCGACGGATAAACGTGCGCGAGACTCCCGACTCCTCGGTCTCAGGAGCGGTCTCCGAGGTCTGTTGCTGAAACGCCTTGTTGAGCTCTTTCTGGATCTTCAAGTTGCGACTGCCAGCACCTTTCTTCCACGCGAGATGGTCCTTGAACCGACGAACCATCATTCGCCTGCCGCTGAACCCGACTTGGCCGCCTTCTCTGTACTCTTTGTAGGTGAGCAAGAAATTGCTCAGTTGATTGCAACAATGACCCGTCGAGCACATAATTAACACCGGTCCATCCTCGGAATGGTTTCCGTGCTCTTTCTGGTCGTTAATATCGTCTAGAATCATCGCAAGTTGCTCCCATTTCGGCAGCTCCTCCAATAAATATGTGGCCATCTCGTTGTCGTCCTCGCGCACCTTATCAAACACCCGTGCTTTGGCACAGGAGATCACCGTCATGGCCTCGTCAAGCAGTAGCCACGGAGCCATCCGCTTATCGTTATTAGTCACAGACGGCTTGTTAGCCTCGACGATGCTCGATAGTTCCTGGTAGAACTGCACTGCATCCCAGGTGAACAGTCTGCCCAGCAGGTCACGTAGCGTGGTGAAATCAAACAGAACCTGTTTCGTGGTGTACGAGACACGGTGCCAGTACGGGTCCAGGGCTGCGCGGATGTTTTTCACAAACTCGTCGTCCAGACAGTTCTCGATGGCCCAGTAATCCGACGAGATCTCTGGGTTGTGCCGTCTGAGCTCGTTGATACAAGCCTCCATGCACGCCATCAAGCCTGTCTGGATCTTGACCATGTAGCTGGTCATGCGGACATTGACCTCGGTCACTTTATTCTCCACCTTGCGCGACTTGAGCGAGCTGGTGATCTCCACATGGAATCGCGGCCATAACATCACCTTCTGCAGCCGCAGATACTTCATTCGCGTGTACAGCGGCTGGAACCCGGCCCCCATGCGCTCGGGTTCGTCAGAGAACGCTTTCAGAAACCCCCACTTGTTTTTGCGACGGTACAGATTAGCAACAAACCGTTCGGTGGAATACTCCTTGACCCGTTCTGCGTGCAGAAATACGACCCCTGTCACGATGTCTGGATCCAAAACGTCGCCGAGAAAGTCTGTCACGAGGATTCGGGTCGAAATGGACAATATCCCGCCCTTCTCGTAAAGTCTACGCCGTTTGTCCAAAGTGGTGGGGTCTCTGCTCACCGAGACAAAAGTCACGGTTTCGTCCTGGCCATCGAGCCATGCCAGTTCGCGCAACTCCTCGCCGATCTTGTAGCTCTCAAAGTCGCTCGCGTTCACCAGCAAAATCAGGCTTTTCTTGTCCTCCATCACAGACAAGCTCAGCACGTGAAGCAGGTTTGCCACCACGGTCTCGAGCCCGAGGCCCTTGCCCAAAACCACGAGCCCATCATCTTGGACAAGCTCCTTGACGATTTGGCGCTGGAAATTCAGACTCAAGGATAAATTGACTGTTCTGTCTTGACGATTGCCCATAGAGAATATGGGCCGTGTGTCTGGCTGACGGGGCTGCTCGGGTCCATCCTTCGCAACCACGGGGATAACCAGCTCCTCGTCGTCCTCGGCATCCTTACGCAGCAGTTCGGTCAGCTCGTTCTCGACCCGCTCCTCCTCAGAGTCCGGCTCAAACAGCGGATCAGACATGGCAGATAATATATGTGGAAAAATGCACGCCGATCGACGCCACAATTTATTAAGGAACCGACGCTCGCTGGTTTTTTCTCAATTTTTCAATCTTACTCTCCATTTAGTCATGTCCATCAAGATTACTGATAAAGTGGCCGAGCTCGGTCCTCAGGACCCGTTTTTCTCGTTCGAGTTCTTCCCGCCCAAGACGGAGAACGGGCTGCGTAACCTGTACGCGCGGTTGTCGAGAATGTCTTTGCTGGGCCCGCTGTTTGTCACTGTCACATGGGGAGCCGGAGGTTCCACTGCCCACAAGACCTTGGACCTGGCGGCTACTTGCCAGGCGGAACTGGGACTCACCACGTGTCTGCATTTGACGTGCACCAACACGTCCAAGGAGGTGATTGACGACGCTCTGACTAAGGCCAAGAAAGCAGGCATCAGAAACATTCTGGCATTGCGCGGAGACCCGCCTCGCGAGGGCGTCGATCCCGAGCACCACGGCCATTTCCAGTACGCCGTGGACCTTGTGTCGTACATCAAGGCCGAGTACGACGACTACTTCTGCATAGGTGTGGCGGGGTATCCCGAGGGACACGTCGAGGGAGCAGACAACAGCGACCAGGACATGAACAGCGATCTGCCGTATCTGGCGGCTAAGCTGAACGCGGGCGCCGACTTCCTCATCACGCAATTGTTTTACGACACCGACAAGTTTGTGCATTTTGAGCAAACGGTGAGGTCACATGACCAGATCAAAAATAAAGATATCTTGATCATTCCAGGGCTGATGCCGATCAACGGGTACAACATTTTCCAAAGAGCTTCCAAGCTGAGTCATGCGTCGATCCCAGATTCTGTTCTGGGCCGGTTCTCGGAGGATATCCAGAACGACGACGACAAAGTCAAGGCGATCGGCGTGGACATTTTGTCGGAGATGGTTTCCAGAATCCACGACAAAACCGGCGGCAGAATCAGAGGGTTCCATTTCTACACGTTGAACCTCGAGAAGTCGATTGCGCAGATCATCAACAAGAACAAGCTGCTTTCGGAGGTGCTTCGTAAGAAGGAGGAGGAGGAGTTGAAGGAGAACAGCTCCAGTTCCGACGACGACATTGATGAGACCACCACGACAGCTAAACGCGCGGCGTACGCCAACCGGTTCCGTCACGTGAACAACCAGGTGATTGTGGACACGCCGATGGTGCGGTCCGAGAAGAGAAACTCGATGTCGCAGGTGAAGACGATGATCTCGATCTCGTCTGGCCAGGGAACGCTGGGCAAGGACGCCACGTGGGACGACTTCCCGAACGGACGGTTTGGTGACTCGCGGTCTCCTGCGTACGGAGAGATCGACGGGTATGGTCCGTCGCTGAAGATCACGTCTGCCAAGGCGTACGAGCTATGGGGGTACCCCAAGACGCTGAAGGACATCTCCAAGGTGTTCATCAACTACCTGAGCGGGAAAGTGGACGCGTTGCCGTGGTCAGAGCTGGGATTGAACCCGGAAACCGCCCTGATCCAGGAGGAGCTGATTCGGCTGAACGAGATCCTGTGTTTCACGGTTTCGTCGCAGCCAGCAACCAATTGCAGCAAATCCAGCGACAAGATCTTTGGTTGGGGTCCTAAGAACGGATATGTCTACCAAAAAGCGTTTGTGGAGATGTTTGTTTCCAAAAAACACTGGGAACAGCTTCTGCCGCGGTTGCAGGCGAACGATTACGTCAGTTACTATGCCATCGATAGTAAGGGCAACTTCTCCTCGAATCTGTCGAACCAAAAGAGTAATTGTGTTACGTGGGGAGTGTTCCCCAACAGAGAGATCGTGCAGACCACGATTATTGAAGAGGAGTCTTTCCGGGCCTGGAGCGAGGAGGCGTTCAGCATCTGGCGAGAGTGGCAGCTACTGTATCCACGCGGGACGCCGTCGCACAGCCTGATCGGCAGCATTCTGGACGATTACGTGAACGTGAGCGTGATCCACCACGAGTACCCGAACGAGCAAGCTCTGTGGGAACTGCTGCTGGAATGATGAGGCGGGATGATTATGCGATGTAGTCTATTTGATGTTTGAATTTTTCCAGCTCGCGTTGGTATAATTTGTAGTTCATGTGGGGTAATTCTCCTCCCAAGAACCTGCAGGTGTTGGCGCCAAGGTGCAAAGTTGCATTCAGCATGACGGTTGTGCCTTTGTAAACCAGCAACTTGGAACCTAATTTTATGGGGTAGAGATCGGCGGTGGCTCTCAGGAACGGCAACGGCTCAATTTCATACGCGTAGCACAAGTTCCCGTGCGCGTCCTGCAGCGTCAAACGGTACATGCTAGAATACACCGGCGGGGGGAGATGTTCATGCGCGTCGCCGTTGACGTCTGCCGAGCGAATAACTTTCTGTCTGGTGGGCTTGGATCTGTTTTGGCGGTCATAAAATCCCTCGTTCGCGTCGATAAGCTCCACCAGGCGTTCAATGTAAGCGATATTGGATTTGGTCGTGTCCCTCACCTCCACGATCTGGAACACGGTATCCGCCTCCAGGGCGGACGAGTACGGCGGGAGGGATTCAGCCGCGGGTTTAAAAGGTCCCAGCACGGCTCGCAATGACTCGGGACGCACTTTGGTCAGATCTTGTGATTTCAAAGCCTCCATGGCAATAGAAAGGGCCTTATCACACAAATATTTTTTTTCTCTCGTTATTTATTAAAAGATCAGACGATTTGACGCAGAGTGGAGAGACATTCGGAAAAAGTAAATTATGACCCACGCCGCACCTGCAACTTTTTCTGCATAGAAACAATTCCTCACCTTCCTAATTCGGGTCATCGACTGACTTCGAGTCATGAGTGCGGCTTCTCTCATACCAGATCGGTGGGGAAACATTTATAATGTTAATCTTGCACCCTGATTGCAATAACGTTTAGGGTTCAAGAATGAAGAATCTATCAAACATCACGCTCAACAACAAGTACCAGTTCCAGAACAGAGTCGGTTCTGGCTCGTACGGTGTCGTTTACTCCGCACGCCATCTCTACACGGGCAAGACCTATGCCATCAAGATTATCCTCAAGAACCAGACCGGTCACGGCAACAAGCAAGCGTTGGCCGAGATGGAGGCCGACCTTCTGGACACCGCGCTTTTGAACCACAACAATCTCGTCGCACATCTGCTCAACCTCGACCTAATTGAACGCAACGGAGCAAGCTCCAAAATCCTCAAGGAGATTAGTCTACAACTCAAGGTGCACAAACACCCCAATATCCTCTCGCTTTACAAAGTCTACGACCTCAAGTCCGCAATCATGGTGGTGATGGACTACTACCCGGACGGGGACTTGTTTAATACAATCGTGGAGCAGCAGCGCTACAAGAACGACCCGTTCCTCATCAAGAAGGTGTTTCTCCAACTGATCGATGCAATCACCTACTGTCACTCGAAAAACGTCTACCATTGCGATATCAAGCCGGAAAACATCCTTGTCACTGAAAATGGAACCAAAATGATCCTTGCCGACTTTGGCCTCGCGTTGCAGGACCAGCAGATGGAGTCCAACATCTGCTGCGGGTCCAGCTACTACATGTCGCCCGAACGGATCCAGAACTTCTGTCAGGGCTTCAACCAGACAGAGTCGCACTGCATGCACCTCGAACGGATCCTCAAGCCAGACGACGGCCAGGTGCACCAGAACGTCAAACTGCCAACTAGCGCAGGAGACGTGTGGTCGCTGGCCATCATCCTAATTAATCTCATCTCGATCCGGAACCCGTGGCTCAAGGCGTCGCTGCAGGACCCAACTTTCAAGGCGTTTATCAAGGACCCTGCAGTGTTGCTACGCATATTGCCGATATCTCACGAGGTGTACCATATTCTCTGCAAATACCTCACCGTCAACCCGTGGGAGCGCGGGAACCTGTTCGATCTGCGCCAGGAGGTGCTCGACTGTCGGAAACTCGCCGAACACGGCCCGCTGTCCGTGGACTCGCGCATCAGCCCGGCAGACTACCATCTGTACGCGTGTCAGGTGCCTGTTGATCACGTGCACCTCGACAAGGTGCGCAGCAGAGAGCACTCGGGAATGGAGAATCTGGAGCCGCAAAGAGAGTATATTCTGGAGGCGTCGTTTCCCGGGCCGCACGAGCACGAGCGATCCTCGAAGCTTGGTATGCTAGACCGTCTGTTGCACAAGAACAACGAGCTGCAGCTCGACACCGCCCTGATTGGCAACAAGGGTCAACCTGGCGAGGAGGAGATCCGCATCATGATCCACGAGATGGGCTCGAACTTCTCCGTTCGCACGGAGGCCAGTGTATCTGGGATGATGGCCTCCAGCGAATGTTCGCTTATGAGTTACGATTACTAGTGTTATAGATTGGGGTCTTGTCGATTACCTAAGCACTCAATAAAATGTACCAGAAATATCGGAATTATAATAATAATTTTCCAGTAGCTTCGTTGATGGATATTGGAGTGAGGTTTGGCGAGTCTCGGCCACAGAAGGTTCGTCGGTTTTTGGCGAGCACGGGGCCCAAGACCAGGCTGGTTGCGTTCATTGTGTTTGTGTTTTTTGCGCTTCGCTATTTCGCAGGCAGCAAGCCGGTCGTTGTTTCTGAGTCGGAGCCCAACGATGTGCAGGACCTGATCGACGAGAACGAGATCCGGCGCGAGAAGATCCAGTATCTGAACTTTGCACAGCCGTTCTTGAATCCGGCCACGCTGTCGCTGGTGAACTACGAAAACGGCGGCAACATGGTGATGAAGAAAGACGCAGAGTATGTGCGATTGGTGCCGGAGCAGCCCAACTCTGTTGGGTATGTGTTTTCGCGGCTGCCGATCTCGCTGAAGGAGGCAGGTGCGTTTGAGGCCGTTGTGGACTTCCGGATCCACGGCGAGCAGAACCGGATGTCGCTGATTGGCGACGGTATGGCGTTTTGGCTCACCTCGGAGCCATTGAGCCAGGGTAATCTGTTTGGCATGCAGAGCAACTACCACGGGCTGACGGTGATTCTGGATACGTTCAAGAACACGCAGAACCGGCTGCGCAAGTCCAACGGCGCCACGAGCTTCCCGCGTGTGTCTATCCAGACGAACAACGGCGTGCACGACAAGTACAACAAGGACGACGACGGAACGAGCACCGAGATCGGCAGCTGTTCGCTGCACCGCGTGTACAACACGCGCACAGACACCCCGTCGCGGATGCGGCTGATGTACGTGCGGTCGTCGAACCTGTTCCAGGTGGACTTTGACGTTCTGGGCGATGGTAGCTGGAAAACGTGTTTCACCACCAAGGAGCTGTCGTCGAGTCTGATTCCGCAGACGCCGTATTTTGGCGTCAGTGCCGAGACCGGCGAACTCTCGCACAACGTGGATCTGTACGGGATCGAGGTGAGCGCCCTGAAGGATACACAGGGCAACTCTGTGCGGTCGGTGGACGCTTTGATGGACAAGCTCGACGACAAGATCGACGCCGAGAACAAACAGTCCGAGGCCAAGCGTCGTCACCGTCGCCTGGAACGCAAACCCAAGCCCGTGAGAAGAAAGTCCTCGCGTCGGCTCAAGCAGTCCGAAAACAGAGCAAAGAGACGGAACATGGAGCTGCACAACGACGAACGCGGGGCCATTGGCTCGTTCTTCTCCCTGGTGTGGGCCGTGATCAAGTACACGGTGTACACGGCGATGGCGCTCGTGCTGGCGTACATCGGGCTGCTGGCGTACCGCGTGTATCGCGAAAAACGCAGAAAGCCCCAGCGCGGGCTATTGTAGCATAGAAAATATATCTGCCAATATTTTGTTAGCGAAAATATTTAATGATTTATTCGGTGTATATAACGTCACGGTCGGGCTCTTTGCTTTATCAAAAGGACTTCAAGACAGTGAATTCGCCGATCACGCGCCAGAAGTCCAACGATTATCTCGTGATAGCCAGTTCGTTGCACGGGGTGCACGCAATCGCCTCCAAGATCACTCCTCCCGATGCGGTTCACAACCACGAGCGCTCGAAATTGCTCGCCAACTCCAACCGCACCGGCCTGCGCGAAATCGCCACCGCCCAGTTCAAAATCTTCATCAACCAGACCGTCACCGGCGTGAAAATCATCCTGTTTGTCTCCCGCGACGTGGACGAAACACGGTTCGCCCTCATGTACGACAAGATCTACCAGTACTACTGCGACTACGTGCTGAAAAACCCCTTCTACGAGCTCGAAATGCCCATCCGTTGCCACCTGTTCGACGAGCAACTCAATTCCGTCGTCGCCGCCAGCAACGTGTGACCAATAACCATGCACCGGTTTTCCCTCCGAGTACGGCTGTGCAGCCCTTGACCCAGGAAAAAACTCTTGTTCAAATATTTCTCACTTCCTTATATGCGTGATATCATTGTGTTTTCCGGGTCCTCGAACCCAGACCTGGCCGAGCGTGTGTGTCGCAACCTCGGCCTTCCTCCGGGAAAGGTCGAGCTCAGAAAGTTTGCCAACGGCGAAACGTCTGTCCAGTACGGCGACTCCGTTAGAGACAAGGACGTCTTTATCATCCAGACAGGAGCAGGCCACGTGAACGATTTGTTTATGGAACTGCTCATCATGATTTCCGCCTGCAAAATGGCTTCTGCCAAACGTATCACCGTCATCTGTCCGCTGTTCTTCTACTCCAGACAGGTCGACTCCAAGGGCAGCAAACGGGGTGCTCCTAATGGAGCCCAGCATAAGGGCACCCAGATCGCAGATAGCGTTCCGTCCTCGCCCAAACTGGTCTCCAGGTTCTCCCATGACCCGACGCCAAAAGAGATTCTCAACCAGAAAGCGCGCGGATCCTCTGCAGCCCCTGCACTCCAAACCCTGCGCACAAACGACGCTGCCATAGCCACCACAGGGTACCGTTCATGGATCGCACAGAGTGGCACTCTGGTCGCCAACCTCATCACGTCTGCTGGAGCAAACCATATCATTACCATGGACCTTCACGACGCCCAATTCCAGGGCTTTTTCGACATCCCAGTCGATAACCTGCTCTCCAAACCCCTGTTTCAACATTACATCACAAACTACGTTCCGGACTATAAAAACTGCGTGATTGTCTCTCCCGACGCTGGTGGTGCAAAGAGAGCAGCAGCCATAGCCGACGTGCTATCCATGCCGTTCGCCTTGATCCACAAAGAACGTCGCCAAATGGCAGACCAGACCCCTTCCCAGGACCTCATGGCCCACTCCAACCCGTCCAGTTCGAGCGTCAACAGCGTCAGCTTTGCAACTCCCGGTCTCTCCATGCAACGGTCGCCGTCTACCGCTTCGATGTCGCAGTCGGCAGTCGAACAGTACGTTGCAACCACCATGCTGGTTGGCGAAGTGCAAGATAAAGTCTGTGTTCTTATTGACGATCTAGTTGATACATCCAGTACAATCACCCGTGCAGCCAGCCTGCTAAAAGACCAGGGTGCCAAGTATGTCTATGCGTTGATCACCCACGGGATTTTCAGTGGTGATGCAACCAGCAAGCTGAAAAACTCAGCAATCGATAAGATCATCACCACAAACTCTGTCGATCAGACCACTCATTATACACAAATCGGCGCAGACACCATGGTGATACTGGACGTCTCGCGCATCTTTTCGGAGGCAATCCGGAGAATCAACAACGGTGAGTCGGTGTCGATGTTATACGACCATGGCTGGTGAGCTTACACAGCCTTGTTCACTGGGGCCTTGGCTGGAGGTTCGGCCTGTTTCTTCAGCTCCGCGTCGGCTCTCTGAAGGTCTTCCTCAGTCACTAGGTAATGCGAGTGTTTACCCTTGATGTTGTCGTGGCACCAGTCAACCTCTGCCAGAAATGGACTCTGCACTGCTTCAGGAAGACCAATGCGGTCTCTCGGATCCACCGCGAGCATCTGACCAATCAAATGGCTCGACTTTGATGGAAGCATCTTGAGCAGCTTGGTAGAACCTGGGGTTGGTTTCGGGTTCTCTTCGGTAGCAGGTTCACCCACAAACGCCTTGAAGGAGTTGTCGGTTGTTTTGGGGATTTTCCATGGGAACCGTCTGAGCACCATGCAGCAGAATATGATTGCCAGAGACCAAACGTCTGCTGGACGCGGGTCGTACGAGCTCAATGACAAGCATTCTGGTGCCAGGTACGGATCGGAGCCAACAATTCCCCTGACTTTGATTATCGACCGTGGATCGTCCAACGCAGGATCTCTAAACCTTGCTGCGGATCCAAAGTCGATCAGTTTCAAGATCCCCTGCTCGTTCACCACGCAGTTGTCCAGTTTCAGGTCGCGATGAGCAATTCCTTGCCCGTGTAGATAAAGAACACCTTGGACCATTTGTCTGAAATAGCAATAGATCTCGTCTTTAGACATCACTCCTCCCATGACAATGGTGAAGAAGTCGTATTTGCAGTATTCCATCACCATCACATACAGATTTTGCTCGTTGAGCAGATCGTACACCCTGATCACGTTTTCCTGGCGCAGATCTGCCGACAGCTGATACTCCGTGTACACCTTTTTCCGGTAGTCGTAATCTGTTTCTCTGCTGTTTTGGGGACGGAACTTCTTGATAGCAAAAACCATTCCATCTGAAGGCCGTCTGACAATCAAAACAGAGCCGCCTGCACCTTCTCCTAGAACGTTCTTTTCCACGGCAATATCAGGAATCTCGCCATATGCAGCCACCAATTTCCTCACGGTAGGCCCGTCGTTGGACGAAGGTGTTTGCTCGTGCCCCTCCTGCGCGTTCTGGTGGAGTTCGAGTTTCTGCCGAGCAAGACCGGGATGGTGTCCGCCAATTTTTAGCTTGCTTAATTTGTTGTGGATGACATGGTGGAGATGTTCCTGTTGTTCCTTCACCTTGTGCTGCTTGAACGGAGGCTTCAAGAACCGCCGTAACTTCAGATGACGTAACGAGGACGAGTCAGAGCTCGCTGCCGTGGACGCAGCGCTGCTATTGCTGGCCTTAGGAGTCAGCGTGGGAGTATCCGTGGTGAAAGTGGACGGAGGTCTGCTGGAACTGCTCAAAACACTCCTGTTCGACCGGATTGACCGGTCTGATCCCTTGCGGAACAGCTTGGACAACACATTGCTACTTGCCCCCGTGGCGGTACTGCTTGAGTGGGAGTGCAAACTAGAAGACGATCCGTTGCGTTCCATCGCCAGGCTCGTCATGCTGGACGGCACCTGCAGATGATCGTCTGACTTGGGCATCACTCCGGGTGTATTCCGCTCACAAAATGACTGGTGAGAACAAACTGTTTCAAACAAGCCAAGAAATGTTTAGCTCACGTTAAATAATTTCTACATGGGAGTCGGTGAAACTAAGCACCTGGGCACCGATCGACGCGTCGATATAAAAATATTGGTATTTGGTTCAACCCCAGTCCCAAAACCGCTTGGAGTCTCTGCGCGGTTTGAGGCCATTGCTCTTACTTAGGAAAGGTTCGCCCTCATCCAGATGGTCCTCGTCGATGTGCATCGTGTCGCTGACCACGGTCTCGCCAATCACAGTCTTACTCACTCCGCGAACGCTAATCACGTTCTCCACAATGCCCGAGCTGCTCTTCAGGGACATCCCCTCGCTCAAAGGCTCACTCTCGGGCTCCCTTGAAATGTCCATGGCGCCCGACTTCACTGGCGTGGTCTGGTCGTTCACCTCAGAAAGATCCACCGAAGACCGCTGTTGTCTCTCGTTAGGCAGCGTGAACCGCTTCTGCACCGTCGTAGTCTTTGTCTGAGTCACAGACAGCTTGCGCGTCGGTGTCTTGGACTGTTTCTCTGCAGCGTCACCCTCAGACCCCGCCGCACCGTAGTTGGGTGTGCCGTTCTCGGTCTTGATGTTCGTCCCGAGCTGGGGCTGCTTCTTGATGGTCACATGCACGTTGCTGGTCTGCAGCGGGTTCACGGCAAGGTTTGACGGTTTCATGCCGTTGGCAATAGTGGAGTTGATTGGCGCGTTATGCTGTGGCTCGGGCGTGTTCCTGTTGTCGAGACTGTCTCTCTTGTGGTAGTACGCCGGGGTCGGCGAGGCCGTCTGTCCGCCCGTTTGGGAGGTCGACCGCGACGAGTACAGACTGTGAAGATACGTGGACACGTTCTTCTTGGCCAGCGGGCCAGGATTGCTCCGCATAATGTTCTTGTCCACGTCAACGTAGACGTCACTCTCGTCAATAATCTCCTCGCCAATGAGCTCCTCAATAACGTCCTCCAACGTGAGCACTCCAACGGCTCCAGTGTCCATACCTGGAGTATTACTGACAATCACCATGTGAGACTTTCCCTCTTGGAAGTAGTTCAGAATGTTCAGACACGAGGTTTCCAACGAAGTCTCTGGCAGAGTTGCAAGCGGGAACGAGGAAACAGGCAGCCCGTCTTCTGGGTCGTAGCTGATCAGAATACGAACCAGCAGCATTCCAACGAAGTTTGTTGGCTCGCCCGGAAGATGGATCGGGATTCTGGAGAATCCGGCGTTGAAGATCTCCTCGACAACCTCCTCGTCCAAAATCCGATCGGACGGAAGCGTGTACACCTTATCGATAGGAGTCATGATCGTGCAGACCTTTTTCTCCTTCAAGTCGAGAACGGCACTGATGATGGTGACCTCGTCCTGGTTGAGTCTCTCGACTCCCATGGTTTTGTGGAGAGTGACAAGGGTCTTGAGCCCGCTTTTACGGTATGCGGTACCGTGATCTTGACCCAAAATGTAATCCAGCAAAAGCGCAATCGGGTATGCAACAGGGTACATCAAGTACATCAATGCAAGCACGAAGGGGGAGAAATACGCGCCCAGTTGTAGTCCGTAACGAACACAAACCGACTGGGGGATGATTTCTCCGAAAATGACAATCGCAGCGGTGGAAGATAAAACAGCCGCAAATCCTCCACCTAAAAATCTGTCCAACATAACAGGTAACGTTTCGTTAGTTATCACGTTGGACAATAGTAAAGTGACCAGAACCCAGTGTTTACCTCTGCCGATCAGACTCAGCACCTCTCGAGACCATTTGCGCTCGTTAGGGGTGCCACTATCGGCCATCACTTTGAGGTACAGCTCGTCCTGGCCCATCAGACCCAATGTTAGCCCGGCAAAAACGCCACCCAATAACACCAACGAGATGGACGCGATCATATAAATGTAGAACTCGCCCTCGGATAGTGGTTCGTGTGTTTTTCCAGCCGTGTGGAGAACGCCCCTGGCAATCAAACCCTTTGCCGGGATCGGCAAGGCATTTGAGAAGCTGGGCAGGAGCGACACCAGAGCGAACAAGCTCTTATACAGCGGGTGGGGTGACTGGAGATTGCCGGGATACGATCGCGGGAGACGTTTGGTCATACAGTAATTGCAGAGTAGTGTTTGAACGTAAAAAGTATAGTCGTTTTAAGGGAAAAACATGTTTGGGCACCTAATTTAATATTTAAAAAGCTGCGCCACGTGCAGAACCTGGGTCCGGTGGCGCATTAAACAAGAACGGTTGCAACTGGTCAAGTATACAAGAGCCATGTTAGAGTCTAGAAACCTCAATGTTACGCCTTCTTCTCGTTCTTCCAAGCCACCTCAAGAGGCTGGAATCCCTTGAGCGAGCGCGAGACCACAGGACTGTTGTCGGCGATTTCCCTGAACCATTTGTATAAAACAGCGTGTTTCTGGGTCCATTTTTTGTCCCAAACGGACTGGAATCCCCATCTGACAGACTGGACAGCCCAGATGTCGGCCAAAGTAGGTTGGTCGTCGGTTGCCAGATACTTGGTCTTCTTAAGCTGGTCTTCCAGCAGGTTGGCAAAAGTTTCCAAGGTTTTTTCTGCCTCTGCAACTTGTTCCTTGTTGTATGGTAAGGTTCCATTCAATGGATAGATAAAGTTGACCAATTCACTAATCCATTCGCTGTTGACAAACGAGACCCATTTCCAGACCTGACCCTGTTCGTAAATGTTCTTTCCGTAGAAGTTGTGGCCGTTGGGAGCCAGTGAAATCAGGTAAATCAAAATGGCAACAGCTTCATGTAAAATGTAGTTGTCTGGGCCAATGAAAGTAGGAACCCGTTTCAACGGGAAGTTCTTAATAAAAACTGGATCCTTGTTATCAGAAATTTTGATATCCAAGTTGAGGTACTCGGCCAAATCCTTGAATAGAGAAGAGCGTGGAGAAGCAAGATTCAAAAACAGTGTTCCTTGAGACATTTTCGATACCTTTACAGATCGTCAAAACATCCCTTTATATACCGTTTGGCTTGAGGCTACTATATCCATGGTCCGGGATTTTGTTACCCAAACGGGTGGGGATTTCCTTCAAATAGCCTAACAGCTTGATATTTATTTCCAGCTACACGCGAACACTTTTGACAATATCACATGAAAAAATACCATCCTGGTCCTCATTGTTGTTTACACTCTGCCGGCTGTGCTTTTGCGGCGCCAGCGTCTTCGTCTGCGTCGGAGTCGTCGGAGTCGGAGCCGTCCGCGTCGTCAGACTCCTCTTCTTCAGAGTCCTCCTCGTCGTCGTCAAACTCCTCCTCTTCTCCCTCGTCGTATTCGTACTCCAGAGCGTATCCGGTGAACCAGTCGATCGCTCTTGGAATCAGCTTGTCTTTGAACAGCTCGCCGATCTCGTAGTCCAATTGCAATTTCTCCTCCAAAGCACCTTCTTCCTCCTCCTCTTCCTCGGAGTCCTCCTCTTCGTCCTTTTCTTCTTCCTCCTCCTCAGGCTTAGTTGGCTGTGGCGGAGTAAAGAAATTGAAGAATGAATCCACAGCTGTCAATTTCTCAATGGTACGCACCTGCTTCGTGTGCTTATTTCTTTGCTTTCTCTTCTCCACACTAATTGTCAGGTTGTGGTCATTGTCCTTCCATTTAATGTCACATCCCTCTGCATGGTCATACACAAAGTCTCTTGAGTATCCTAGCTCCTTCTGGTAATAATATGTTTTCACAAGCTGCTTGTTGGTAAAGTACTCGTTTTCTTCAAACTCAAACACCAGTCTGAACCCAAGAGCATCAAAATACTCGAGTCTGATGTCAATAAGGTGGTTCAAAGCTTCGGAATCTCTATCGGTTATTAGCTCAGCAATAGGCCCCAGATTCTCCATGGCAGTCAGCCAGAAACTTGGAATGCCCTTCACATCCTTGAGAGTTTCGTCAATCTCGCTCTTGGCCTCATCTTGCTCCTCCTCCTCCTCGTCCTCCTCTTCGCCCATCAAGGCCTGGCCTTCCTCGATCTCCTCGGTGGTTGGTTCCAACGACCCCAGCACGATCCTCTTTCTCTTCTGGAAGATCGGGAGGTGCTTCTCGTGGTACTTCTTCTCCAAGTTGAGCAACTCCATCTGAAACTCTGCCTCAAGCTTGAATTGCGTTTGTTGCAGAGCCTTCAGCCCGTATAATCTATTCTTGATCTTAGGAGGAAGGGCCTTCACGTACCCCGAGTCTGTGCCCACAAGCGTATTCAGCTTGCCCTCGATCATAGACAGGATCGCTGGATTGGCCAGCAACTTCTTGTGCAACTCATCGTCTTCCTTGATGGTGGACGGAATCGTAGGCAACGGAGCGTTCTTCAGGTACGAGCCGCTCACGGAAGCAGGGGTGTTCTGGGGAGTAGGCGCCTGGGCAATGTTTCCCTTCTTAATTGGCTCAGACATGGCAATATTACTAAAACTCTGGCAATGCTTGCTGTTGAGGGCAAAACTTAAATTCTGACTAGTTTCACTCTGTTAAACGCTCGGGTTTCCAAATAAACGCCCAATATGTGCAATCGCGCGCGTCGTTACTTGTTTAATGTAGCCGTTCTGTGTATTTGTCACGCCAGTACGCTATACACTCCACTTGACAATTTTTTGCGTTGACAAATCGCGCCTTTCACAAAAAATTGACAAACTTCAAGGCTGTGTACGCGCCTGCCTTTTGGTAGCACGTTGACTACAGAGCACGCTACAGGGATTGAACACAGGAACTTGTTATATTCTGATTTCGTAACTTTTTGCCTTCGACGCGTAGTTCACGCTCTTGACGGTTGCGTAGTTCATGCTAGGCTCCTTCACCTTGAAGAACCTCACCTTGTGGCTTGCCACGGAATACGATGCCAGGTTGAAACTCACCGAGATCGGCGGCTTGGCAGCAGTCCACTTCGTCGACACTTCCTCAACCTCGAACGCCAGCTTGCCCTTTTGATGGCCCATCATTTTCTTGATCTGCCAGTACACCATGTTCTCTTCCTCCACGAGACGGAACTTGCCAATATCGACCAAAGGCTTCACTCTGGACGTGCCTGGCGGCACAGGGATCTTGATGGTCACGTTCGACGCAGCCACGCTGGCCGGGTACGTCGATTCCAGATCCACGCTGTAAGACAATTTCGAGCCTCCAAACGGCTCGATGTCGGCATATATATTAAACGGAGCGGTCTCGACGTCTGTTCTGTAGCTCATAAGCTCGAACTCGCCGTCGGGCGGAATGAACTTGATCAGGTTGTGTTCATCGTAGTCTTTGAGGTTGACACTTTGGTGGAACGTGCAATCGGTGGCCTTGAACCCATCAAACGGGTCGTCTGAAACGTTCTGCGACATGGCAAACGAGCACGTCGGCGTGCCCGACAAACGACAGTCCATTGTCACGCGGCCGTCCACGAACGAACGCAGCACAAACCCGTTCGCGTTCGTCAGCAGGTTGAAATCCTCTAGAACGTTTATCTGGACGGTGTTTTTCTTATATTTCGGAGCGGTGGCCCGCCACGGATGCGGCGAGTCTTCGAGGTCGAGCGGACTGTTGAACAACTGTGGCAGCTTGCCGGTGGACTTGCGCCGGATCGTGTTGGCTCTCGCGAGCAATCCGCCAGCAGAGTTGCTTCTCGATCGACTAAGATCGGCCGGCTGTGACGATAGCAATGGCCTCAGTGTCGACAGCTCCATGTTGGAAACGTGGCCGGACTCGATGGTTTCGTCGAGCACCTCGTACAGAACGGCAAAGTTGGCCTTCACATCCGACTCCGTCACGGTATCGATGCCAATGAGTTTTTTGGTAACGTCCAGAAACCGGTACAGGTACTCAAACACAAGCGAGGCGTCCACGTTCGACCGCGTCACAGCGACTACCCACAGCGAGCCGTGGCGGATGTGGATGAACGAGGTGGACCCAAGAGTCAGCACCGGAGACTTGATGTCGGATAGCTTGGAAATCACCTGGATCCGGAACACCTCGCACACGTTGCGGCGCACGCCGTCCCGGAACAAGCGAGAAAGCAACACCTCTCCCTTGCCGTTGTACACAAACAAAGCGTTGATCATTGGGATACATCCGTGCACCAAAATTTCAGGTGATAAAACTAAGGGAATAAAATAAATACGGAAACAGAATGCCAGTGACATGCCCTGTTTTAATTTCCCCTATAGCGCGGCACACCTCGCACCGCTGCATTTTGGGAAAAGTTGAAGAAAAGGTTTTGAAAATTCTAGAGCAGTAGCTACAATCTGTCCATGGCGAGGGGTAACCAGAGGGACCTGGCTAGAGCCAAAAACTTGAAGAAACAGCAGGAGCAGGCAAAGGGGTCGAAGAAGTCCGGGGACCCGAAAAAACGGCTGGAGCACGACGCCAATATTCTGCGTGCTAAGCAGAAAGCGGCCGAGGAGCGCAAACTCGCCGAGGCTGCGGCCAAGAAATGATGTCGGACCAAGTTAGCTGGATTATATCTATTTAGCTTCAATTTCAAATTGCTGTGTGGCCTGGGCAGTTTTTTCCACGTCGTAGAGGAAGTCAAAGTAGGATTTGTGGAAGTGGTGCAAACGAACGAAACCGTCTTCGGATCCAGAAGCGTAGCATGTTCCCTTGGGATGCACCGCCACGTAGTTCAACGGACCAAAGTGTCCCTTGACACGGCCAATCTCTTCTTCAAATATACGGTGGTAGAATCTGGCCTCGAACTTACCTTCAGAAAGCGATGTGGTGGTGACCTCTCTGGCATCCTGACCACCTCCCAGAATCACAAACTCCTTCACGGGAGTCAAACAAGCGCTGTTCATAGGAACGTCAGCGGTGTACCGTTTCAAAAGATCCAAGTTGTCAACGTCGTAGAGACAGGCACTCTTATCCTTCGAAGAAACAACAAAATACGTTCTGTCTGGAGAAAATTGTAGGTCGGTAAGCAGCAGCTCCTGTTTCTTCACGCTTCCAAGCAGCTCGCCGGTCTTTGCGTCGTACTTGCTCACTTTTCCGTCAGCATGAGCAGCCAAAATGTAGAATCCTCCGTAGGACCAGCCAGCAACGGTATATCTCGAAGCTGGTCCGTCCTGGTTCACGATCTCCAACCATGGAGCGTTAGATTGTGCGTTCTTAGTGTGGTCAATGTCAAAGATCTTAATTTTACCCGTCTGGCCCATCACCTGGTCTGTAATAATCAACACCTGGTTCCCGTCAGGACTGAACTCCACTCTCTTCACAGGCGACTCCAAAGTCCATGTGTGCACACACTCGCCGGTCTCCACCCTCCACAGCTTGGCAGTGAAATCAGCGCTTCCCGTCACCGCAAAAACGGTCTCTGGATCAATATCAATCGACCAAATGGTACCATTGTGGCCAATAAAGGTTCCCAGCCGTTCTCCGTTGGACGAGTACCAGATCGAGGCCTCTTTACCTTTAGAAACAGAGAAAAGCAAGTCGCCCTCTCTGTTGAACTTCACTTGGGTCAACGCACGGTCGTGACCCTTCAACATCAACGGTCTCATCATGTTGGATAGTTTTGTTTAATTCCTTGAAATTTTTTACCCTTCACTATATTTAAAAAGTCGTGTGCTGTGCAATTCTGCGGTAGCCGGCCATAGCTAGCTACACGACCGCTGGTGGGTCTCTAAGGCAAGCGAGACGGCGTTGTATGTTGTAAGAGTCGTGTTTTCGTCGGTACCAATGACACACATGACTCGTGTGCCTTTTGCAAGACTTGCTAAAACATCGTCGAGCCGCTGAGCATCGGTCTCCAGAAACGTCAATGTGCCAGCTATCTGTTTCTGTGTGTTGCGGTTCGTGCTGTTCACTTCCAAACAACACGAGTTCTCTCCCTGCTGTTCACTAATGTCAATCTGCCAGTTCGCGTACCGGCTGGACCTCGCTCTCGCGTCCAGATGCTCCCGTACCGCGTCCAGACACTCAGAGTCGACGTTGATACCTATTATCGCGCAATTCGTTCCTTGTAACACCACCTCTGCAAACACGCAGACCCGTCCTTTTGAGTACTCGACAGCATTCGTGAACTTGGACGCCTTATCAACCAAAATGCACGGCTTCCCTTGCAAGTTCCATATCTCGTTCTCGATCTTGTACCGGGTAAGCCTTTCTGTTTCCAGACGTTTCATCGCGTCCTGATATTCCTGTGATGCGCTCAAGTAGTCTGTTTCCACAAACTGCGAAAGATCCCTGTTTGTGGCGTCCAATTGGGTCAACAGCTGGGTCTTCTCTAATTTTAGGTCCAGAACCTGCTGGTCTAATGAACCCTTGTAATTCTCCATAGACCCCAGGATCGACCGTTTCTGGTCCACCGTTTGGCTCAGCTGCTCCAACTCCCTTGTTTTCTTGTCCAGCTGTGTCTCTATACTCTCCAGCTCTAACTTGCAGTCCTCAACTTCTTTACGAGGCCCGTGCAACTGCTGTTCTTTCTGCTTGCTTTTTGCCAAAACCTCGGCGTCTGTCTCGCCCAAAAGATCGTCCAGCTTGCGCTTGTTGTCGTGTCTCAGCCCATCAAGTCGTTTCTCCAGCTCCTGTTTCTTTTCCTCCAGAACCTGTAACTCTTTGCTCCAGCGTGCATCTTGCTCCTCGTCTTTCAACGAGCTCTCGACCATCTCGACCATATTCTTCTCCACTTCCTCGAGTTTCGCCTGCGACGTTTCGGTAAGCTCCTTCTTCTTTGTCTCGAGCAGCTTCTTGTGTTGCAAAATTTCATTGTCTATGCTTTTGTTTTTAATCACCAACGTCTTGTCCAAATTCTCATAGTTGGCCTTCAGATCGTCGATCAGGTTCTGGATCTTCTTCTTCTCGCGCAAAATCAGATTCTTCTCGCTGTTGAGCTCCTGGATCTGTCCAAGAACAACATTGATCTTCTGAATAAGCTGCGTGGTCTGCTGTTTCTCCAGAATCAAATCCTGGTCAACATATGCCTCTAGAATCTCAATGTACTCCCTCGGCGTGTGAAACTCGTCCGACGTCGTTTCCGCACGCGCAGATGAGGGGATAGGGAGCATACTCTTAACAGAGTTCCCCCCACTCACGCGCCGCGTGTTCCCCGTCGGAGTGATTGTTCGTCGCGGAATCAAAGACCTGCGCCGATTCGTAACGTTCTCTCTGCTCATATAGATAATTCAGCCACAATAATCAGCTTTAGTACTCTGTGTTGATGATGTATCATATATTTATTTATTTTTGTTTTGATCTACAAATTACCCCGGCTGTGCAGAGATTGATTTTAAATTAATCCGTTGATTAGCTACTCATAGCTATAAAGAGCAAATGTGTCTAAACGCCAGAAGTGATTCTCTTCCCGGCCGAGACTTTACGGACACCAACGTTTCCTATCACCTTATCGGTGGAGCTTGGAATGCGGGACCCGTTGAGTCTGGCTTTTCCGTCCTTTGATCCAAGCGAAGCTCTCTGCTTTGGAAGCGACAACATGCCGGATTCATTAGACGCGGAGTGGGTTGGCGAAGAGGAAATCGTGGTCGTGGTCGTGGTGGTTGTCGAAACACGGCGGAAATACGGCGACCCTTGCGGACTCGTCTTCTTTGTCTTTTCTGTCATCTCTGCTTCTGTCCCATAGAAGATCTCGTCTTGCTCCATCTGTCTGTTTGTTTTCCGCTTTGGACTCGACAGCTGGTGCGCAATGGACTCGTACGTGGCCTCTTCGTCGGAATTTGCGTACGGCTGGTTTTCCTTGGTTGACGAACGGTACTTGCGTGGCTGTCCAGGACTCTCCATCGGAACGGCCTTGTGCGCACTCTTGAGAGTGCCCGAAACCTTTCTTCTGCGGGTAGGTGTCATCACATGGCGACGCAGCTCGACATCGACCATCTGGGCTTCGCGCTCCTCAATAACGTTATATGGAACCAGAGAAAAGAGTCCGCCAATGGCCTCATCCGGCTGATTGTCCATGACCATGGAGTATCTCCAGTCTCTGAATTGGTTTTGGTGCAGGTAGAGCCAGTGCTGTTGCGGGCCCACCACCATTCCTGGTCTGATCATTCTCATGTAACCAATACACTCGTTAGCGGTGAAGCCGTGAGTGTAGATCAAGTGTGCTCCGATCAAACAGCCTGTTCTTCCCAAACCGGCCTTACAATGAACGGCAATCTTGCCGCCTCTTTGGATCACTGTCTCTGCTGCACCGATGAATTTTTGAACATATTCCATTGTTGGACATGTTCCATCGTCGAAAATCATATCGATATGCTTGATGCCTCTTTTTTCAAACTCGTTCTTGTCATAAAGGTGAGAGTTGAGTCTCACCACGAGTTGGACGTTGCTCTTGACGAAATAGTCCAAAACTTTCTTAAAAGGCTCGTTCAACGGAGCCCCAGGTCTTGACTGTTTTGGCGATGCAAATGCAATGAAATCTTTAGAAACAACATTAAAATCTCCCTGGTCAACTCTTTCGTACTGCTCGTACTCCTCAAGGTTGAAGGAGGTGATGTCGAGCATCCCGCGCTCCTTTGCTCTCCAAACACCATAAACAATGTCCTGGATACTCAGCTCGAAGTCGGCGTTCGAATACCCAGCGTCTCTGAACCCACAGAAGGGAGGCTCCTGTTGAGCTATTGGCTGCAACACCTGGTGGGGTGACCAATTTTGAACAAGAACCATGTAACAACATAACAAACATGCTGCGTTGGTTCTCTCCTTTGCGCCAGACGATGAGTAGAACACAACAGCCTTGTTCTTATTGGAACTGTCGTTCAAGATATTGTGCAAAGTCACTGCAAATCTGTATAGGTGGCCAATATGGAGTGGTCCAAAGTCCAGGTGGAAAGCGTTATAGGGAAGAGTCTCCTCAACGGTGAAGAACACCAGCTCTTCTGTGTTTTGAGGATGGTGATCATAGCTGCCAAGGTATACTCTTCCTCTGAGAAACTCGATGGCTTCTATAGCGATTTTACGGGCCATGATATCTGATGCAAAAGAAGCGTTCAAACCTGAGTCTTGTGACCGATTGATGAAACCTTTATTTTAGTAAACAGGGGATGTTTATTTTTTGCTACATGAGGAATCGACCTACGACTCGACGGAAATACTTTTTTTGTCGACGCTGGATCTGTCGACCTGGAGTGTTTTTTCGTACATATTAAAAATGACTGAAAAAATAGACTGAATAATTATGTCATTTGGTGGGTTTGGATCGTTCGGATCCTTTGGCCAATCGTACGGACTAGGGACCAACGGGTTCGAGGTCTCATTGAATTATATCACAGGAGTCCCAGACCCTAATGTTTTGACCTCTTCGAGTTTGAAGCTTATCTTTAAGGCTCTGATGAAAAGAGACGATACCACAAGAGAGAAGGCAATTGCTGATTTGACTGTTTTTTTCGACTCAAACACCGCCGACTTGGACGATCTGGCGCTTATTTCGTGGTGCCAATTGTATGCCAAACTGTCGTCGGACAGCTCAAAGAAAGTGCGGCTTACTGCCCATCAGATCCAGGGCAAGCTGGTTTCTTTGCTAGGCAAGAAGTACGTCAAGTATCTCCGAGACACGGTGGGGATCTGGATGAGCGGATGTTTTGAGTCGGACAAAGTCGTTTCCAAGGGCACCGTCGAGGCCATTTCTGCCGCGTTTGGTGGCTCTCCCGAGAAAACCAATAATCTCTGGAAGATCTTCTCCAAGCAATTGCTCACATACTGCCATCAGCTCCTGGTTTACGAAACCGTGGATACCCTGTCTGATGAGAGGTTTGTGGGGAAAGACGAGAGTCTCGTCAAGTTCAACCGTTCAGTCAACACAGCCATCCAGATGCTTATCAGTCTGGTCACAAGATACAATAACGAAGAGATACAGCTCGATGACACGGTATTGACTGAGCTGATCGAATCAGACTCATTTCTTGCATTCTTTGAGTCGAAAGATTTGCAGATCAAAAAGGGCATGTACATTCTGTTGCAACGGCTGCTTCAAACAGAGGTGGATCCAGAGATATTCAAGCATTTGGTGAAATCCGCATTCAAGGGACTCAAACTGGAGAAGATCAACCCAATCCTGTATTCAGGCGTGATTATCACTCTTTTGGAAGCCATTTTGTCCATTTACAAGTACGACGCTTCAGTGGTTGCCTCTGTGAAGAAATCAGAGCAAAGAATCTTTGATCTTCTGAAACTGGGCTCGCTCAATTCGGACCCTTCATACTATACCATACTCTCATTTTTACTCGACCAATTACCCAAGGATACAGCCACTCAAGAGTCGGTGCTCAGCATTCTAGAGACCGACGTGTCTAACGAAAAGTTTGCACCGTTCATTCAGCATTCCTGGATCTGCTACATCGGCTACTGTCAGAAACTCTCTGGAGTGGTGGACCGTATAATAAAACAGCTGGTTGTCACATTGGACTCGAGACGGCTTTTGCCAAACGTTGTTTCTGGTATCAGTGGAGTCTCCAAAATAGCCTCAGATACCGAAGACGTGCTTCTGGATTTGAATTCGGAGATTATGAACGCTCTTCCTGGACGTGTGATTGAGTTTGTCGACCTGGAAGTCTCCGTGAAGAATCAAACTATATTTATCGACAATTATGTCAGAGTGCTTTTGGAGGCAGGATCCGACTACCTGGACGATCTGGTCACCAACGCTGTGGAGTCGCTTACAGACGTTCAAGACGAGTACGAGCCTCCTGTTCTTGCTTTTGACATCATCAGCACTGTTGTCAAGTCCAACAGTGTCCAATTTAGACCGCAGATCGAGATCGCGTTGCAATATCTACCAAAATGCATCACTCCACAATTCCTAGAGCCAGTGTTGAACTTGCTCTTGAACATATCCAAGTCAAAGTTTAACCTCGAACTACTTGACACTGTGTCTACAATTGCCGACCAGCTCCAGGAGTCTGATCTTGAGCTGCTACTGAAATACGTTGCACAGATTCCAAATTTCGACCTGAGTCAATGCGAAAGACTCAACACATATATCCACGAGAAGTCCAGCTCTTCTGACACTGACGACGTCATGTTCAAGTTCCTCACTGTGGATGTGCTGGAAAACATGTTCAGTAGACTTCCAGAAGACGGGTTTGCTGGGTTTGTGCACAAGTGCAATTTGCATTTCCAAAACGATGTTTTTGTCCCGTTTGCAAATAATGCCAGCTTCATGGCTGCTCTATGGAAAAGTTCCTCAAATAGCGACTCTCGTCAGCTGTTGGACAAACTGGAAAAGAATTTAGGTGACGAGGAGTTTGAAAATGTGTATCTTTCCTCGTTGAAAGCAAATTTGGCTCAGATTGATGAAGAGGCTCTGCAACAAAGACTAGCCAATTATCCAAAGGAAACCGTCGTCAAACTGATTCCAGAAGATTTGGTCGATGAGCTTGAGAAGTGTGTGGGAGAGAACCCTGACCAACGGCTTGCAATCTCCAATAAACTTGGACTTGCCGTTTATCTGTTCCCCGGTGGAGGGCTTCTTGACCAGCCAGCCAAGTTTTGGAATCTATTTGTGAAAGCCGATTTTTACCTCCAGCTCGCCGAAAAACACCAGCTTCTCACTGACTCGTTGATATTCCAGCTTGGTATGATCGCCGAGGTGGCCCAAGACTACTTGTTTTTGGGACTTTTGGAGAACGAGACTAAGATCAACCAGTTCCAGGCTCTGGTGGCTTCCAAATGGGAATATGCCCAAGGACAGCTCGACCAGTTTGTGCAAAACGACCATTTGGCCATATATGGAGTCTCTGGCCGCTCACCTTCGCTGCAGTTTTACTGTTCCAGATTCTGGGTGGTTATCCTCACGAATATCTTTGAAACCATGCAACTGAGCGTGTTTAATACCTACAACTTTAACAAAGTCACAGACTCTGTCAAATTGGCCACACTGGTCATCAGTGCCAACAAGTTCCTCACAGCTTCGTCTTTCGACCGGTTGCGCAACCAAACGTGTGCAGAGTTGGTTGGAGTTCGGGGATCTTCCATTGTTTCCAGAGGATTGCACAGTCTTCTGCTTCTGACTCTCTTCATTGACTTGGACCTCGACTCTGTGCCTGACCAATTCCAGTTGTTCCCAGCTCAGCGGTTCGGGATGATGCTCAACGGACTGTCAGGGTGGCCCGATTCTGAACTGGCCTACGAGAGCTCGTTTGTGCCTGTCAGAACGGTACTTTCCCGGTTCGTGGAGCTGTACATTAAAAACATCTACTACGTCTGTGACTCGGACTATCCGTCTGACTTTATCGACAAGGTGTTCTCGCTCGGCGCTGGTCTCTGCTCTGACTCGTTGAGTATGCTCAATTCTGGGGAAACAGACCTGATTTTGGAGTACCAAACTCTTAAAACGTTTACGGTGCTTCACCAACACAGTGAAAAGATAGACTGGGACGAGAACGAGCTGTTTTCCGATCTTGTGGACATTCTGTTCAAACCTATGCACTCTGGCCAGATCGAGCTGCTGATCCAGTCTCTTATTGGCCGGATATTTGTGGATATCGTGCCTACATCTTCGTACAAGCCACGATTCGACGACCTACTGCCTCTGGTGTCGTCGCCGAATATCGAAAGCCAGAAACTAGGTGTCAGCTTGCTGCACAAACTGGTTCCAGAGATCCAGGACGAGCTGGTTGTGGAAGCCACATTGAACCAGGACGAGGAGACCAAGTTGCCAGAACCCCTGGTGAACAACACAACGCTGCTTCCAGACGAGGATCAGGCGGCTCTGAACAAGTTCCTATGGAGCTGGTATCTGATATTCGACCACTTCAAGAACATCACCCAAAAGATTAGACAGGACTACATATCTGAGATTGGCGAGGACCGGTTTGGCCAGTTCCTCGACTTCATCTTCGACATGGACTTGAAACCAACAGAGGACAACAAACGTGCTATTCTGCACTACTCGGTTGCCACCGGCGACGAGGACGACCTGATCTACCATCTGATGTACCTGTTCTGCAAGTACGTTGGTGGTAGCACGGCCCAGACGTGGTTCCAGTCCCTTAGAAACAAGCAGCACAAGTCCCAGGTGGAGACTTTTGTCACCAAGAATATCAGTCCGTTGCTGATCGACGAGACCCTTGCCGGACTTTCGCAGAAAGGAAACTTGGAGGACTCCGAGTTCAGCATTAAATTGAACCGTACCACTAACGAGGTGCGGTGTATCTACGAGATTGACGAGCAAAAGCTGGAAATGACAATTATGCTACCAAATAACTACCCATTATCGGCAATTACCGTCAACGGAGCCTCGAGGCTCGGTGTTGACGAGAAGAAGTGGAAGTCGTGGATCCTGTCGTGCCAGTACGTGATCAACTTCCAGAACGGAACCATCTTGGAAGCTATCCAGCATTTCAAGAACAATGTCAAGGCCAACTTCGACAACTACGAGGATTGTGCAGTGTGCTATTCTATTTTGCATGTGATAGACCACTCTACCCCAAACAAGGTGTGCTCGACATGTAAGCACAACTTCCACTCGGCATGTCTGTACAGGTGGTTCAAGAGTTCTGGTTCGTCAACTTGTCCGCTGTGTCGGTCCAAGTTCCAGTTCAAAAAACACAGCTAATTATACAAACTGGTCTTCCAGCAGCTTCTCCATCTCGTCCACGGTGAAAGGTATGTACAGTATCTCTGCGCCAGAGGAGTTCTTCGTGAGCGTGCACATCTTGTGCTCCACAAACTCGCCAAGAACCGTTCGGAACGAGATCTCATTAGACGTAATAAATTCAGATAGACAGTGCTGGTAGAACTCTGTGAATAGCAGACTGTACTTGGTGCTTCCCTTGGTGGCCGCGCGCTTGGCCAGGTCGTCGTGGTTGAGACTCAGATCGATTTTTTCCAGCTGTTGCAAGATCAGCATTCGGTACAAGTTCTTGGCATTGGAGGTGAGCGAGCTCAGCACGTACTTCACACCTTTGCTACCAACGTACTTGTTGCTCTTGCCCAAACCGAGCGGGTCTTTGAACCCATTCTCCACCTTGTAGGAGAGATATGTCGTGAGATTGTGCCAGACAAAGTTGAAGCTCGAGAGCATGCTCGAGTTCCAGAAAAGAGGCGTGCTGATGTTGTCTATCGTGCAAACAAACTGGATCTGGGGGATCCCTGCCAGCTCACTGATCACCTGCTGCATTCTGTCTGTGCGCAACGAGTCGCCGTCGATGTTGTTGATGAGCAGGACCAGCTGCACGTGCTGGCCTTGTTGGTTGAAGTTGTCCTTGATATTGGACAGTGTTTCGTGGATGTGTGGAGCAATGGCGTTCTTAATGCCGAAGACCGTCTCTTGGACCGCCGTGAGCAGCGTCTTGACACGGAAATCCGGATTGTACCCGTTCACAACCAGGCATTTCACGTTCTTGGACCGTGGTAGCAGGTATTTCTGCAGAAACTCCAGCACCAGCAGCCGTTTGGAGCCAACGCCGTAGAAAGCCAGTCCAAACCCTTGTTGCAATTCAAACGCCCACTGACTAAACTGCAGACGGTAGTAGTTGTTCAAGTTGGCCACCTCCGTCTTACAACTGAGCGCCAGGATCTCGTTGTACTTGTCATACTCCTCGTACGTGAGTTCGGGAGCCATGGCCATCGACGCGGTTCCGGGTTTCTTGTTCTTCAGTTTCTGCTGCTCAAAGTAGCCTTCGTGGCCGTCGTAGAACAGCGACTTCTCCTCGTCCGCAAAGTTCAGCAGCTGGTCCTCGGCACGATCAACGTCTGGAATAGCCATCAATTTGATCGAACTCATCTTCAATGGGGCCAACTCTTCCTCCTTCAGCACTGGAACAGACCCTTGTCGCGACGACGGCTTGGAAACAACAGAACCGCCGCGCGACTTGCGTTTGGGCCGCGAATTCCGCTCTGTTTCGTCCTCGAACTCAGAAACATCGTCCATGTCCTCGTCCTCGTCCTGGTCGTCGCTCTCGATGTACTCGTCGCTCTCGCTCTCCTCAACGGAAAGCGACCGGTACCCGTCGCGCTTGCTCTCGGCGATGATCTTGTCGGCCAGGGCGATCTCGTCCTCGTCTGCCTCGAGCTCGATCTTGACCTTTGTCGCACGCTCCAGGGCAGTCCTGTTCAGCTCGGCCATGCTCCGTTTGGAGGGACTACGGAGCTTTGTCGGAGCGTCCTCATCAATGAGGATCGCGCGAGTTCTTGTGGAGCGCGGCGACCGCGACAATCGCGTGCCAGATCTACCGGAAAACGGAGTACCCATACTAGAGAAAATTTATTTAACGTTTCCCAAACATTATACCAAAACGGAAGGTGTACGAGAACAAGACACCCCTTGCAACCCCCGGATCCACAACTCGCTACATGAACCCAGTGCCGCTACACGGTTGCTGGGTTGCTCGGCGTGAGTTGCTAGGCGCTTAATTTTTTGTGGTCTCCACGCCAGCCTCGGCGATCTCCATTTTAATCCCCTATCTAGATTAAATAATAGCCATTATTAATTAAAGGGAATATTCTTGCCGCTAAAAATTCCCCTGCTTCCTCTTTGCAAAATGGCTCCTCAGGAACAGACTCCGTTGGTATCGCCTCCTTTGCGGGCAGCTTATGTCCAGCAACCGGAAGGGCTCAAACTGTCTCCCCTTAACACAACATTGTACCATGAGGTGGAATACGTGATGAAAAACTCGATTCCTGTCTTGTTAACCTTCTTGTTCCAGTATCTGTTCCAGATAATGATTCCCATCTACTATTCCAGTCAGTTGGGCGAAAAATACCTCTCCGCATGCTCGCTGTCCATCACCACATTCTATGTCACCGGTCCGGTCATTGTGAACGGGTTTTCGACCTCGCTGGATACCCTTTGTTCCACTGCTTATGGTGCCGGTCATTATGAAAAAGTCGGACTCTACTTCCAACGGTGCACAGTGATCCTGTTGCTCTTGTTGATCCCTGTGTGCGGGCTTTGGCTCAACTCGGGCCCAATCATTTACATGGTCACCGGAAACAAAGAAATAGCAGACCTCTGTGCAACTTACTTGAGTGTCATGGTTTTCGTCACACCGGCCCTTGTGGTTTTTGAGTGTTCTAAAAGATACCTCCAGTCGCAAAACAAGTTCAGCGTTCCCACCCGGATCATCTTCCTGGCCGTTCCCGTTAGTGTTCTGCTCAACAAGGCCCTTGTCCCCGTCATTGGCTTCAATGCTCCCGCAGTCTCGTTCGTGTCGACTTACTGGCTCATCGCCGTCCTCCTTTGCCTGTACATTTACTTCATCGACGGATACCAATGCTGGCATAAAGATACTTCTTTTGCACTGCTGATGGCCGACTGGTCGCCGTTCTTCGCCCTGGGAGTGCCCGGAGTGCTGATGATCTTATCAGAAGCCTTTGCGTTTGAGGTGATCACGTTCTTGTCTGCCAAGTTTAGTCCGCTGGAGCTGGCCTCGCAGTCGATCGTGGCCACCATCGCGTCTCTTGGGTTTCAGATCCCGTTCTCCGTGGGGATCTGCTGCTCCACCAGACTGGCCAACATCATCGGAGCAAGATCAGAAAACTACAAGATCGCCATCGAAGTGGCTCTCGCGACCGCGTGTTTCCTCAGTTTCTTCAACTTTGGATGGATGTCGCTCTTCAGGTACCAGCTGACCAACATGTTCACCAACAAACCAGAGCTGGTGGAGTACGCTTCGAAACTGTTTCTGGTGGTGGCATTCAACCAGTTCCTCGACTGCATCAACGTGATCTGCGCCTCGGTCCTGAGAAGCCAGGGTAGACAGCGCACAGGGTCCATTTTGAGCGTGGTTTCGTACTACCTTATTGCGCTGCCATTTGAGATCTTTATGGCTTTCTACTGCGACATGGGCGTCTACGGGCTGTGGCTCGGGCTCGCGGTGGGCGTGTCTGCTTTGTCAATCTCGGAACTGATCATTGTGCTGAAGTCCGACTGGGAGGCCATCATCGTCAACAGTACACAGATAGTTTAATAGACATAGAAATTATTCATAGTTAAACCAATAAAAAGCAATTAACCGGGTATCTCTCATTCAATATAAGCGCCCAGCGCACTAAGGGCACCAACCGTGGCGACCGAGCCAAACACCAATCCGGCCAGGAACGTTTTTGCCTGGAACGGAGAAGATTGCTTGGGCTCAGAAGGCTTGACCCTCTTGGAAGGAGCTTCGATCTCGTAGATTGTGATGCAATCGGAACAGGATCTCTTTCTGCTCTGGCAACCGACCGACTCTGTCTCGGACTGGTCCGATTCCGACTCGGACTCGGGCGCAAAGTCGTCCTTCACAAGCTCTCTAAAGATTATCTCCTCTTCGGGTGCAGAGTCAGACTCGGTTCCGTTCGAACTGAGCAGATCGTAATTGTCGTCGTCAAACATGTCCTCCATCTTATTGTTTATCTGGTCCTCGCTAGGGGTTTCTTCGCTGTCCGAATCGGTGTAGACCTCGTCAGAGTCGGTCCAACACTCCATTCCCGGGTCTTTCCAGCCGATGTAGTCGTCTCTGACGAAGTGCCACTCTTTCCAGTCCTTGGCGTCGTACACGAACCGGTCTAGCGAGTCGTTTTCGCATTGGACCAGTTCGCGGAACTTGCCCAGCTCTGCTTCGTACGGCTCGCCCCCGTAATGGTCCAGCGACATGTCCTCGCTGGACGGCATGTGGTTCCAAACGTCAGCGTCGTCCACAAGGAAGTTCTCAAGGTCCAAAAAGGCGTCCCTGTTCAGTCTCACCAAACACAGCCGCGACTTGTAGTCTGTGGCCACCTGGAACTGCACCTTGGTGGAACGGAACAGGCTGAACACGTCAGAGGGACTAGGCACGTCTGTCACCACCAGAAACAAAATGTCACCGTTTCTGATGATTACGTTTTCATCCGGTTCCAACTTGAGAGGTTCTTGTCTCTTGTGGGCCAAAACATAAGACCCGTGTTGGGAAACGTCCCTAACATACAGCCCCAATAGCTCCTCGTCGTGCACGGGAGACGCAAATCCAAGAATATGGCTCGCACTGATGGCTGCCTCGTCAAAGAACAGCGTGTCTGGGCCCAATTTGCGGTTCGAGTGCGCCCTGCTGCGGCTGGCCCTGCCAAGCACAAAAGAAGGAGACGAAGGGATCACTTCTGATTCCGAATCCAAAACAGGCCGGCTCAGACTCACCTCCCTATAAGGGAATGGATCGCTGGTATCAAGGTATAGTGATGGGTACTCTAATTCGTTGCTAAGCTCGTCGGTCGTCATGTGTGGGTGGAATAAGGAGTACTTTTAATATTTAAATTTATTTGAAGGCAAAAATCAATTTGCGATAAGATAATACGGAGAGCCAGGCTGTGCAATGGGGGAAGGGGTTTAGTCTTTTCTAGCTGTATCTGCCGAGAAGGTGTCTAATGCTTTGATGTAGAAGGCAAAGGTTGTCTGGCTCTGGGTCGACTCAAACAACGGCCGGTTGCCCAGGTTGTAGACGGGTGCTCCGCAGAACGAGTCCAACAGTCCTCTTGGCCGGGCAAACTGCAGAATCAGCTCCGGTGCATCAAACGCGTCTAGCTCTCTATCCACAAACGTCTCCACGGTCTCGCCGCTCTTGGCAAGGTAGTTCTGAACAAGCTGCACAAGGCGGTTTTTGCCATCCGCCTCGCTCACCAGGATCACCGTGAGTCCGGTGCTTGGCGACGACGACTCCAGGATCTTGGCAGAGGCAAGGTCCGACGTGATGGGTGCGGGTTCCACGGCTTCCAGCCCGGTAAACTCGCCGGGATGGCTCTCGAATGCATTGTAGCTGTTGTTACTGTCCTCAATGGTGAGTGTTTGAGAAAGGCTGAGGTTCACTAGTTTGATCCATGGGTGGTGGGTAGCGTCCTCCGACGTGAGACCGGCCAGTTCTGTTTGGATGATTGAGCTCAGCCGCTCCAAGTCTTTCCAGCAGTTTCCGGATCGTTCGTATAATGTGAGGGTCTTGGTTCCCGAGTAAAGAGCCCACGCAACCACTCTTGCAGACTCGGTGCAAACACGGATCACCTCCGAAGCCTTGTGGGTGTGGTGGGCTGCGGCCCACTCGGCCCGCTCAGAAAGGGTTTTGGACATCTCCTTCTTATCAGGAACCACGATTTTCTTGTCTGCAGTGAGATACGGAGTCGGCAGCTCGGGGGGTGGGGGCACAACAAGCGGGCTCAACTCGTAGATGGCCATGAGGTGCTGCGGAACAGTCTTGTCTCCCACGGCCTGTCTGATGGTCAGAGCACTTTTGGGAACGTCAATTGCCAACGACCGTGCCAACGCGAGGTTCCCCAGCCTGGTGGGGGACTCTCGCAGTCTTGTGAAGAAAGAGCCTGTTTCAGACTCGGCAGAAACCTGCAATTTGTTGTCCAACGTTTCTGGCTCTGCCTTCAGCGACCGTGGGAAAAGGTCCAGAATGTTGATTACCCACCACAAGTAAACGTTAACAAGGGTCCATGTCCACTCATACCACGCGGCCACCAATAGCAGCAGGGCGTACAGTTCGTGGAGTCTTGTGAGGAACCGTCTTCTGAACTTGAACTGAAGAAGCCCCCATGTGTTGGAGTTGGCCAGGAGCTGTGTGTTGGACCCAGGAACAATCACGTCCTCGACCTTGACGGCTGTGGGATTGTGACCAGAACGACCAAACATCCTGAACGTGAAGAACTTCATGTCTGAGTCGGTGACATTGGGCTTGATGATGGATGACTGGCTTGAAGAAGCCGAGGCGAGCTCTTCGACGATCTCTTCAGACATGTTGGAGAAAGAAAACGTAGACAGGTTATCAGTTACAAGATGTGATCCCTCAGGATGTCCCCTTTTCAGGATTTGGTATGGGGCGCACGACCTGGAAAATTTATTATATATAGGGCGGACGAGACTGGCAATTAGTGGTCTAAGATGAGTTCGTGCGACAGCCCGTGCAAGCGCGAGGCGTGCAATATCCAGGGTAAGTAGGCAGACGACTGCTGATACTAACCGCAGACTGCTTGCGGAAACGCAACTACGACGAGTCCAAGTGCACCAAGCAAATCGACGAACTGTACGCCTGTTGCACCGGGTTCTACCAGGAGCAGGGCAAAGATGCCCGGTCTCCGTGCTGTCCGATCCCGACTCTGCTGGAATTCAAAATCAACCAGCGCAAACTCGAGAAAATGGACGCCAAACTACTTCACTAAGCTAATAGCATGTTTGTTTTGGACCACGCGCTGCCAGTAGAGCTGAACACCGCTTGTATGGCGATTTAAACAAATCTGATCTCAGGCTAACCCGAGCACAAAATATGAACTGACAACCATATCCTGTGACTCTAATGGGCGCCTTTGAGTTAAGACATTATATGAAAAAAAAAAGCTTTTTTCCAAGGGCCCAGAGCCTTTTATACTCTAATTTTTATTTATTTATTCCGTGTATATTCATGAGCGTCTGGTATTAATGATTTCAAGCGCGACTCCCCGGGAACCCACAGGTTGATGGTGGTCGGGGTGGTCTCCATCTTGACGTTTTCCTCAAACTTGTCTATTGCTTCGTCGATCGACACCGGATCAATGCCCTGGTCTATCAACTGTTCTCTGAGCAGAGCAACGTGCATCTGCATCTTGCCCTGGATCATCAGGTGTTTTTTCGAGTTCTCCACTGACGCCAGCGTGATCTTCTTTTTGTAGTTTTGCATCTGGATCAGCATTTCTTTCTGGTTCTTGCGTAGAAGCTTCATCTGACGCTCGCCTTCTTGAACCTTTTCTGACATGTCCGACAGCAGCCAGCCCAGCGTCACGCTGATGGCGAACGACGAGAGCCCGATGCCCAGCCCGATGCCTAGCTGCCGATATTTGCCCGCAGAAGACACGACCGCTTCAACGTCCGAGGACCCAGGAAACCCTGACCCCTGCGCCTGGCGCAGCTGGTCCAGCGTCTTGGGCGGCGCAGACGGGTTCTTGAAGTACGATGGCGGGTAATTGAGCGAGTAAAACCGCAATCCGCGTGGCCGCACCGTCATAAGCATCAACTACTGAGTCAAGAGATTTCCAACTGGAAAACCCCCAACTACGCCTCGCACCACATACTACTACTTTTATTAACTCGTATCATATACTGTGCAATTAGTGTCTTCTAGATTCAGCAATGATTTGGGTCATCTCCTCGACCTTAGCCTTGGCTCTCTTTTGGGTACCGAGTCTCTTCTTGGCGAGCTTCTTAGCTCTCTTCTCACCAGCGTTTCTGATAAGTTCGATGACTCTTCTCTCGTATGGGGCAAGACCAGCGACTTCTCTCACGAGCGATCTCACGAAGGCGGTTCTCTTGGAAAGAGCACCCTTTCTGTAGGAAATTTTTGGAGCAACCTCCTTGGCCGTAACTTTGTGACCTTTGTTCAAACCAGCAGCGATACCTGAATGTTAGTGGGTACAAGTGGGGGACTGGGATCCAGCTGGGTGGGGACAAACGGTGCAACATGTCATTTCATCGCATTTCGGGTCCTTTGGTGTCTTTCATGCCAGACTAACTGCTGTTTTGAAATACATCAGATCTGTAATGTTGTTTCACATTCTGAACAGTCAACAGCCGCCGCTGCGTACTTCCAACACCTCCCAACAACTCAAGATGATCTCCCAGCCCGTCGCAGAGCGTTCAATTATACATACCAGACTTAGCCATTTCGATGTGTAAAGTGTATTCCTTTGAATTTGTGAAAATTTTCAAATTCAATACCAACTGCTGCCACTCAAAAAAACGGGTCAAATTGTATACGATAGAAAATTCTCCTATTCTTCCCATCTACTCCGCACACCGGATCAAGCGTGACTGTTAAAAAAACATTAGTCTGTGCAAAGGTGTGTTATTTGCCTGTCTATGTACATCTATTTCACGATAACGTCACTCAGGTCGGCGTTGTAGGTCTCGAACTCGGCCAGCAGCTGGTCGAACGGCGTGCTCTTGCGTCTGTTGTTGAATGCAGCAAATGCAAGGTGTCCTGGGGTGTTGGTCTTGACCAATGGATACAGCTTCTGTAGCAGCTTTCTTCTACCAACAACCAAAGAAACCGGCTCTCCATTGTACGTTCCCTGGTAGAAAACCTTGATCTCGTTTCCCTCGGCGTCCTTGACCACACTGTAGTTCTTTTGTTTCAATTTCTCCGCGTTCTGTCTGGCTTTCAAGACATCGTGTCTCAATCTCCAGCCAAACGGTCCAAGCTCTTTGATTCTGGCCTTCTTGTCCTTGGTCAGGTAGTTGTCGAGTCCTCCTTCCTTGGTGATAATTCTCAGCACGCGCGCCGTCACCTTGGTGGCCACAATCTTGTTCAGGGCCTCCGACCACAGCTTCTTGGACACAATGTTGGGAAGCCACGATCTGCGGGACCTGTTTTTAAACTCGGAGACCTTGTTTCCAAACGTGATGAATTGTCCTCCAAACAATCCGCGGTTGCTTCTCTTGAAAATGCGGGACTCCCCGTACGGATAATCAGGGTACTCGGGTCTCTTGTCCGGGATTCTCAGGTTTCTTGGCTTCAGGTCGCCTGGCTGATATATCACCTTCTTCTTTAGCTGCCGGTTCACAACATGACGGTAACTACGCGCCAAAACACTCTGGCTCGTCGAGAAAAACCGCACGCCACGCATCACGTTACTAAGCGCCGAATCCATCGTGTTTTGATAAACGGTAAAGTTATTTGTCGGTGACGGTTTTTAGTTGACTTTAATTTTCCAAAATTTTACAAGCCGGTGTAAAGATGCAAAGTTTTTCAAGTACTAAAGCTACTTAAAAGCTACCAGAAGCTGTTTTTCTTGTACCATTTGCCCTTCATCTCGCCCATCTGCTCCTTGGCCTCCGCAAGCTGTTGGGTCACAGCACTGAGCTGCTCCTCCAACACCCGGTTCTCCTCCATAACCTCGAGATTTCTCTCCATTGTCTTTTGGATCTCCAGGTTCATGTTGCTGGAAAGCTCTCCAGTAAAGTCCACGCTGCTGTCTGTCTGTTTCTCCGACTCCAGTCTCTCCATACGGCCCGTCAGGTCGTCAATCTGGTTCTGTAACTGGCGGTTCTCGTCTTGAAGATGCGCAATCTCCACCTTCCCTTGCACCATCTCGTTTGCAATCTCCACATGCTCTCTGTTCAAAGTGGCATAGGCAGCCTCAATGTTGCGGATCTCCCGCAACAGCTGTCCGTTCTTGGTCTTCAATTGGGCAATCTCAGCCTCCATCTCGCTCTCCAACTTGTGAATCTCTATAAACTCGGCCTCGTACCGTCTCAGCGTGACTGGAAGTATCTTGATGTTCATGGAATCAGAGACAAACTCCTCCAACTTGTATGTGTCCACAGAGATCTCTCTGTTCGAATATGCGTCCTTCAACGTTCTTCCAGCATGGTCGTCGCCGCTGTTATCCACGTAGTAGAAAAATAGCTTGTCTTTTAAAAACGGTAGCAAATCGTCAAACTTGAGCTCAAGAAGATGCTGTTTGTTTTTGGCCATCAGATTCATAGCGAATTTCAACACAGACTCAATCCCCTCAGCAATCACAATATCGTAGATCCGCAAAACCATCTCCAGGGGAAACTTGTAACCAAACAAGGTCAAAAACCATTGTGTGGCATACATGGACGATTTCACCCCTTGATGCTTTAAATGCAAGTATAAGTCCGGAAGCGAGTCCTCCAGCAGTCTGTCAAACTGGTACAGTTTCAGATGCAGACCAGGCATGTGTGGGATGAACAACTGCTTGAAGTCGTAGATGTTCATCAACTTGACCAACATGCAAAACGATTCGCTGGCCTCCATGTTCATTAGCAACGGAACAGTGATGAACGACATTCCTTGGGTATATCCAACATCGGTATCGTACACGCTGTAGACCTTGATGATCTCGTACAAGTCATCGATCTTGGTTCGCACAGCGCTATTGGTCACGAAACTCGTTCTTGCAAGGTCTCTTTTTATAAGTTTCTGGTAATCGCTTTCGCAGTTTCTGTTTGCTCTAAAGAACTCTTCCAGTTCTAAAGACTTGGAATTGCAAATCACCTGCCACACCATTCCTCTCAGTTCTCTGGGTATTCCTTTTGTTATGTTTTCGATCAGCTTCTCTGGCTTGTGTTCCAACACAGAGCTGTAGTCATTGATGACTTCTGACCAGAACTCCCAGTCAATTCCTTTCATTAACTCGTTATCGTTGGTGATCTCGATTCCTGTCTTGATCTCGTTGAACGTTTTTCTGATGCCGTTGGCTCCCTGGCTCAACAGCTCGCGGTCTTTGGCAGATTGGAGTTTTAAATCCTCAACGTTCTCCCAATACCGCGAATACGCAAGACTCTGGTTCTCGGGTCCTTCCAGCTCGCTCATCACCTCCTTCAAATCGTCGCTATAGGCCTCGTCCTTGGTGTTGAAATTGAACCACTTGCGCAACGTCTTAACCGATCTGTTCACGCCGAACTCGCCGTCCCGATATTCTGCTCCGTTTTGTTCCTCAGGTATGATTTGATCCGATGTGATCAAGACGGCCTCCTCTTCCCGTGGAGGCAGCTCTGGGGGAACTGGTTTGACCACAGGCACCGCCTCGGGTTTTTCTTCGTCCTTTTCCTCGTCGCTGCCAGCCTCGGCAACCAATCCTGAACTCTGAGCCTCCTCTTTCAGCGAGGCAGTTGTCTTGTCTAAAGAAACAGACTTGGCCGTAGAAATCTCGGAAACGTCTTCTCCCACCGGCGTCGTGTCCTTCTCCGGAACAGGAGTGCTTTCTTTAGGTTCTTCCAGCTTTTCTCCGACCGGCTCCTCAAGCTCCTCCTCGGGCTCCTCCGTGCTGGATACCGTGACACCTGTAGCGTCTATGAACTCGTCATGTGATTCGCTTTCCGGTTCGTCCTCTGCAACATGGTTCAAAACAGGAGCGTTATCTTCTGTGATCGGTTTCTCAGTCTCCTCCCCAATATCACCCGTGTCCTGAACACCCGATTCTTGTGGCTTATCGTGTTCTGTACTTTCTTCAATTGAGTCCTGCTGATCAACGTCCGCCTCCACGACGTCTGATTCACTTCCCGCCGACTCTTTCCCGGCGCTCTGCGGCTGTCTCTGTCTTCTGTTCTTTTTACGGGCCATCCTGAACAGACAATCTGTAATTAACTTGTGCAAAAGAAAACACCTATTTTTTTGTTCTCGCTACAACCCGGGGCGGTGCACAGGTGTTTATATTTACGTCTATCTCGCATTCATAAATTGTAGTAGCTATGTAGCTCTGTCATTAACCATAATAATTGCATCCATATCGCTGTAAACCTCGTGCACGTTGATCACAGGTTCCACAAACTCTAGTCCGTCGCTCGAGGACAAAACTGGGTGTTCGTCAAAGTAGAAAAGCGCGTCGCTTTCCTCGGACTCTGACGACCGGCTGGTGAGCACCGCATCAAACGTCTCGTAGTCTGTTGTATCGTAAGAGTCGATCATACCGTACTCTTCGGAATCTGTTGCGCTTGCAATCGACGACGCACGGCTCTCCAGGGTCCGCACCACGCCCGTGGTGATCCCTGACTCTGCCAGCATCGTTTCCATCTTCGCTACCTCGCAGTTCGGGAAGTGACATCGGATCACGTTCTTGTTGTCCAGATGTTCGATGACCGTAGCGCCAATGATTTCTTTTAGTCTCTTGAAATCGTTCAGGATCAACATACGGTGTTCCAGCTCGTTCACAACATACGCTTGTTCAAACTGTTTCAGAATGTCATCATCCAAAAGGAACTTCTCTGGCAACACTTGGTCTTGCAACGACAGATTGAACTCAACAACACAGCCGTCAGCAGTGCTCTCGCCTCTGGCCAGCTCCATGTTCTCGTCCACAAATGCCTTGTTAACATTTTGCGACGAGTTGTAGTTTGCACTCATCAACTGGCTCTGTAGCTGATGGCCTTTCAATAGCGTAGCACGCAGTCCCTGGGTCAAGTTATGAGTGGCCTGCGCAGCCACCGACTGACCGTAGGTGGAGAACATCCTTGCATTGTGGCGAGGGAAATGGGAATATAGTGACGATCCGACAAAGTTGCAGCCGACTCTGGCTGAAATTCGGAATGGCTGCACCTGGTACACAATGTTCTTTGTGACAGAGGAAACAGAGGACCGGGTGGCAGACCGGATATATGTGGGCGCTCTGCGCGAGGTGGAATAGAATCGTTTGGAAAGCCCAACAGCCCCGTACCGGGGGCCCTGGAGACCGCGATTTGCCAAGGGATGCGATCTGGCCGGGCTGCGCACCGGAACCCGTTCCAGCTGGACTTCCAGTTGCCGCTGCCGCTGGTTGGCTATCAACTGCTCAGCGATCTCGTCCAGCGTCTGCCGCACATTGCGGGCAGACCGTCGAGTGGCCGAGATCAGCTCTCTTATCTTGTTGGCAACCATAAGCTGTGTGGTTAACTTTTTGCCACTCGGAATTTGCGCTCAAGACGCCAGTAATAAAATATGTGGCTGGTGCGAAAATAAGGCGCATGGCACAGACCTACCCCACAATCTCAAAATAAGCTTAGTAGTACAGAGTGTCTATTTATTAATACACGAGCACAGCGCTCTGATGAACGACATGGCCATCTTTTGGTTCTGGGGCGTGTTGAGTTGTTCGAACAACGTCTGTTGGTTACCCTGTTGCGATTGCTGTTGGTATTGAGGCTGTTGCTGGTATTGGGGCTGTTGTTGGTAGCCACCTTGTTGATAGCCACCCTGTTGATAGCCACCCTGCTGGACGTTGGCCTGGCCGTTCTGCGGAGGTCTGAGCTTGACGTGGTCGTCGTCCGGAACGTTCTGGTGCTCCACCATGGCTCCAATGCCGTTTGGATTGACGTTTCCCCAGGAAGCAGGGATCTGTGCTCCCGCCAGCTCGATGATCAAAACTCCCGTGTTTTTCGGGTTGATGTAGTTGGTGAGCCGGGCCTCGTTACAAAGCTGCTCGACCGCAGGCTTCAACTTGGCCACTCCGTTCTTGGAGTGCAACCCTTTGCCAACAATACACTCCAAATGGTGCTCTCTGCGGTTGATACCGTTGATGATACGCTGTTTCAAAATGTACTCGGCCTCTCTCACATACAGTCCGTGCAAGTCGATGTCGTTGTTGTCGGAGTCGAGGTTGTTCTCCTTGAAAACGTACTCTGCTGCCTGCTGGTTGTACCGCTCGGCCTCGGCAGCGTACTGGGCCGCTTGCTCAGAGTACTTCTTGGCCTCGGCACCATTGCCCTGTTTGTACGCTTTCTGCGACTCGCTGGAGAAATGCTGCTTCTGCTGATAAGCCTTGTCGGCCTGGTCGCGGAGCTGCGAGTACTTTGCGTCGGTAGCATGGTTATAATCGTCCTGTCCTCCTGTTTGTTAGCGCTAAAACGGCACCAAACACCTACCCGAAAGGAACGTCCCGCGGTTGCTGGCTTGGGTCATGCTGGAACTTGTCAAACTGGTCAATCCAGTCCCTTGCACGTTTCGGGAATTTCATGTACTGGTCGCATCGACGCGTCGACGTTCGCGGGTTTTGTACATCACGTGATGTCCCATTTGGTAGGCCCTCGCCAGGTTGAAAAAAAAACTTTTCAGTGGAAAAAAAATCACATCCAAATACAACTCCAATGGCTGCTCCGTATGTTGACACCTGAAGAGCAAGGATCTGGACGGTTCTTGATGTGATATGACACTCACTGCGAAAGCGGTGGTTTTGAGGCTATTACAAGCGACGCTGGCGTCCTCGTACTTGTCTCACTGTCAAACGCACTGTAATCCTAATGGATACAGCTGACACCTGTTCATGTCTATTAGACATGGTTCTGTTGGGTATCGAGAAGATCGATTCTGACGAAAATGATCCCAAGGAGAAGTGGTGTTTTTTAGGTAAAGAACCCGTTCTCTCTGAAGACATTACGTTCCAGGAATGCTTTTACGGCAGTTCCTGGCAGGGAGTGTGACAGCGACTGCGTTTCACAAGTGCACCTTCCAGAGCCGAGTGCTCTGAACACCCCAATACTAACATTCTAGAATTGCTAAACCAGAGTCCCAAATCAAAAAGACCAAGCAGGCTTCCAAGACCGCTGAACAAGTGGCTGCCGAGAAGAAGGCCAGAAAAGCCGTATGTATTTGATTTTTCGCCCAAGTTTTCCCTTCAGATGATGAAGACCTTAAATGCAACAGCGAGCAACCGCAATGAAGCTTGTTAGTTAACCATCTTTCGGGACTGATTTGGGAAACTTGAAAACTTTTTCAATACTAACTATTACAGGCCAACAAGGAAAAGAGAGCCGCTATCTTCAAGAGAACCGAGGCTTACACCAAGGAGTACGCTGACGCTGAGAAGGCTTTGATTGCTGCTAAGAGAGAGGCCAAGGCTTCCGGCTCTTACTACGTTGACGCCGAGCCAAAGCTTGTCTTTGTTGTCAGAATCAAGGGTATCAACAAGATTGCTCCAAAGCCAAGAAAGGTTTTGCAATTGCTCAGATTGACCCAGATCAACGCTGGTGTCTTCGTCAAGGTCACCAAGGCCACCGCCGAGCTCATCAAGTTGGTCGAGCCATACGTTGCTTACGGTTACCCTTCGCTCTCCACCATCAGACAGCTCATCTACAAGAGAGGTTACGGTAAGGTCAACAAGCAAAGAATCGCTCTTTCCGAGAACTCCATCATCGAGGCTTCCCTCGGAAAGTACGGTATTGCTTCCATCGAGGACTTGATCCACGAGATCTACACCGTTGGTCCAAACTTCAAGCAAGCCAACAACTTCTTGTGGCCATTCAAGCTCTCCAACCCATCTGGCGGCTGGGGTGTTAGAAGAAAGTTCCAACACTTTATCCAAGGTGGTTCTACTGGTAACAGAGAGCAATACATCAACGAGTTGATCAAGAAGATGAACTAAGTGTATCCTTAATATATTACGAATCCTATTTCTTAGACACCCAATCGTTCAGGCCGTATCTGTTTCTTAGAATCTCGATCGCGTAAAACTGGAGCCGGACCACAAAGATCGTCCCGTGCTGGTCGTACTCCTTGGAGGCGTCTGTGCGGAGCAGTGTGCCAAAGTTGTAGTCTGCCACCTTTTTCTCAAACTTCTTCAAGAAATCTCTCCAACGGGCCTTTCCCGCAGCGGATTTCATCTCCTCCTCGTTGATCACAGCCACGCGCTCTGGGAAGGCAAACTCCGGGAAGTCCTTCAGCACTTCCTGGACAATCTCGTCGTCGTACTTGGTCAGCTTCAGCTTCGAGCCAGGAATCGAGCGCAGCAGGTTGAAGTACGTCTCCATCTGCTGCACCGCCTTGACAGCAAACTGTTTCTCGATGTCTTCGTTGTTTTCGGCGGTTTCCGGGTCAAACGTGTTGAGCGACATTACTGAATACTTTAGCTCCACTGGTTTTTCTAGGGTTTTTTTTTTAATTTAAAAAAATTGCCAAACGTCTGCCATAACAGAATCGGGCGCACTGGTAGAACCTGTTTTTGAACAGAATATGGTGGTTTGCACAGCTATAAAGACGTGAATGGAACAACCCAGATCTCTGAGTAAGTATCTCATCATGAACGATCTGGAAAAACGGCCCGAAGTTGTCCAGCAACAAGTCCAAGAGTCTCGTGGGGGCTGGTTGCAACGCAAAATCAACACCTTCAAACCAGCTACCAAAACCGACGGAGCAGCCCCGTTGAAACACCAGCTTGGCTCGTTCCAGATGCAGATGATCTCGCTTGGCGGCTCTATTGGAACAGGCCTATTTCTGGGCTCGGCCCAGTCGCTGAAAGATGGCGGTGCCGGCGGTGTACTGATCTGCTACTCGGTCATCTCCATCATGGTTTTTTGCATGGTCCACTCGCTGGCCGAGCTCGCATGCAACTTTCCTGTTCCCGGAGCGTTCTCGTACTACGCCACGACGTTCATCGACCCGAGCTGGGGCTTTGCCATCAGCTGGAACTACGTGATGCAGTGGCTGGTGCTGCTGCCATTGGAGCTGAGCGCAGCCTCCATCACGTTCAAGTTCTGGGACGGGTTCCCGATCGGCGACGGGTACCTGATCACGGCGTTCTTTCTGATGATGATCCTAATCAACATGCTGCCCGTCAAGATCTACGGGTTCGCGGAAGTGGTTTTCTCTGTCACCAAGATCATTGCCATTCTGGGCTTTTTGGTGACCGGGCTGGTGATTCTGTTTGGTGGAGTCCCAAACCACGACGCGATCCTGGGCAGGTACTGGCACGATCCAGGCCCGTTCACACCGTCTGGGTTCAAAGGCATTGTGGCCGTGTTTGTCACTGCTGCGTTTAGTTTCAGCGGAACAGAACTCTGTGGCTTGTGTGCCGCAGAAACTCCAAACCCTGTCAAGTCCATCCCCAAGGCGTCCAAACAGGTGTTCTGGCGGATCCTGTTCTTCTACATCAGCTCGCTCACACTGGTCGGGTTCCTTGTGCCGTATAACGAGCCACGGCTCATGGGCCGCGACGAGTCCGGTGCAAATAGCTCGCCGTTTGTGATTGCCATTCGCAACGCAGGAATCCCCGTGCTACCATCCATCATGAACGTGGCCATTTTGATTTCGATCCTGTCTGTGGGCAACTCGGCGATCTACGCCACGTCCAGAACGCTCGTGTCACTTGCCCAGGCCGGCATGGCCCCGAAAAGCTTTGGCTACATCGACCAGGGCGGCCGGCCAATGGTGGCTATTCTGGTGACTCTTGCGTTCGGGTGTCTCAGCTACCTGTCGCTCGTGGGAAACGGGGCCCAGATCCTGTTTTCATGGCTCCTGTCGCTTTCTGGTCTCTCGTCGCTACTCACATGGTGCTCCATCGGTCTGTCGCTGATCCGGTTCAGAGCAGGCATTGCTGCACAGGGCCAAACCACCAAGGATTTGAACTACGTGTCCACGACCGGTCTCGGGGGCGCGTGGATCTGCTTCGGGTTCGGCGTTGTGGTGCTGGTGGCCCAGCTGTGGATCGCGGTGATGCCCGTCCAGGGCACGTCGTCGGCAGAAAAGTTCTTTAAAGTGTACCTGGGAGCATTTGTGGTTGCAATTTTCTTTGCAGCACACAAAGGCTACGTCTACTGGCAAACGGGCCGTGTCCAGTTCGGCATCAACCCGGCACACATGGACGTGTTCTCGGGCCGGCTGGAGATGGAACAGCAGGCGCTCGCAGCGAAAAAATGGTACAAGTGGTAAGTTGTTTCGTTTTACGGAATCTAGTCATGTTGGTGTGGCTCTGTCTCCGGCACAAACTGCACAGAAACCGTCTTCAGGTTGGTGTAGTTGTGTTTGAGTTGTCTTTTCAAGCCCTCGCCAATCTCACTCATCTGCTCCAAAGTCAGATGGTTGGTGTAGTGTTTCTCCTTAGCACTTAGATCCACAATCACATTCATATTTGTTCCTGATGGTAGCACAGACATCTTGTCCACCTTGAGCACGCTGTCTTCTCTGGCGAGCTGTTGCTCGGTCAACGTTCTAAGAGAGATGTATCTTGGGTCGTTGGTTGGCAGGGCCTTGTCGGTGAGTTCTTTAAACGACTGGAATAGGCCAGAAAGTCCGACTTTCATCACCAAAACAGAAACAAGCAGTCCTCCCACCGAATCTAGCCAGTAGATGTTGAGGAAATAGCCAGACGAGATGGTCACAAGAGCCACCACCGACGTCAACGAGTCCACACGGTGGTGCCACGCGTTGGCAATCAGAACTTTGGAGTTGAGACGCTCGCCAACACGGCTGGTGGCCCGGAAAAGCCACTCCTTGGCCCCGATCGACGCCAAGGCCAGCCAGGCCGCGTTGATGTCGGCGCCCTGCACAGCCTCGTGCGCGTCGTGGTGGTCGTGCACATGGGTGTGGGTGTGCGAATGGCCGTGGATCGGCAGGGACTGGATCATGTCCATGACTCCGTGGGGGAGAACCGGCGTCATGATGTCGATCAAGGACCCCCACCCGATCTGGAACCCGGCATACAGCAAAATCGCAGACACAAAGAACGAACCAAGCGTCTCCACCTTGCCAAACCCAAACGGATACAGCTCGCTGGGCTTTCTGGTGCTGTACTTGACGGTGGACAAAGTCAGCACGTCGGACACCAGGTCCCCCACGGCATGCACGGAATCGGCCACCAGGGCTTGCGAGTGGAAGTACAGCCCGCCTGCAAACTTGGAAACGGCCATGGTGACGTTAACCCCGAGTCCAATCCAGGTGATCTTCACCCCCTCATTGGCCCAGTCTTTGGTATCGTACAACTTGGCGGAGTCGGGATCGTGCGAGTGGGAGTGGCCGCCCGAATGCGAGTGGGAGTGTGCTCCCAGGTGGGAAATGGGCAGATGCGGGTTGAAAAAGTCCTTCACTTTGGACCACGGAGTTTTCGACACTGGCGCTGCTGGCGGCGGCGTGGTGTGCGAATGCTGGTGCTGGTGGCCCGCGTTCAGCACAAGCCGACCTGTGCTGAAGTGGAGCCGGGTGCCAGCAGTGCGGAACCGCACAGGAGTTATCATTCTACCGTACATTACCTGTAGTCCTCTAACGAATATCTGGCTAGCTATAATTTTTCATTCGCTTCCCCCCACTTGTTGGGGGTGCGTCGTCGCGTCGTCGCGTCGATCGACCTCGGGCAACCGCATCAGCTCGGCCACCTTGGCTCGCAGCACCAGTCTGTCCTGCTCGAAGTTCACACGGCACGCCTCCATCCGCCGCAATGCAAACCGGATTCCTTCCAGGTCGTTCTCCAGAATGTTCGAGATGCTCAGCTTGAAAGTGTAGCAGTTGCGCAAAATCCACAAGATGTTCTTGTACTCCGCCGGAAGCACCGTCAGTTGCGAGTTGGACCAGTAAACAAACTCCACCAGCTGCGCCAGTGTCGGCTTCTTGTCCGTCTGCTCCAGATGGTGTCGTGTCGACTTGAACTTCATGTCGATGTCGCAGATCGGACACAGGAACCCGCTGATCTCGCTCTCGTCCTTCTCGTCCAGCCCCAGACACCCAAAGTGGAACCATTGCTCGCACTGCTCGCACTCAATCATGATGCCGTTCTCGTGTTTCTGACGACACACGCAGTAGTTCGACGAGCCGGGCGGTTCCGCGAAAATCTGCTCGTCCGCGTGCTGCCACTCCTCAAAATAGCTGCGCAGCTTCTTCACCTTGGAAAGTCCGAAATATAGCACCAGCTGTTCGTACCAGACGTCGATCTGTTGCTCGTAGAACTGCAGCGTCTGGTGCTCGGACACAAGGTACGAGTACTTGGCCACTTTCTGTGTTATTTCTGCCAGAAACGGCCGGCTGATGTTGAAGCTCGAGTCAAAGTAGCGTAGGTTCGAGTCGATCATCCGCAGCAGCTGGTCGGACTCCGCGATCTCGCCAAACCGCAGCTGCACCGTCTGGGCGATCTGCTCCAGCTGGCCGTACGTGGTGGAGTACTCGTCCAGCACAGAAACAACGTTGCCCCGCGTTTCGCGGTCCAACGGCAGCGACTCGTACTTCTCGTACAACTGCTGGAGCTGTTGCACATCGCCGAGATTCTTGGCCAGCTCCCGGTTCGCCTCCATCGCCTGTGCGTACACCAGCTGCAGCTTGTCGATGGTCTCCTGGTCCTGTGTCGACCCAACATGGAGCCCCTCCTCCAGCAGCTCGGCCACCGCAGGCGTGTCGATCGCGTAGAAGTCCACAGTCTCCATCTTGCGCAGCCACTGTTTCCGCTTCAAAATGCGGTCCAGCAGCAGAAAGGAGTCCAGCTTCACTCCAAAAGACGCTCCCAAAGTGTGAAGACTCTCGAGCTCCTTTTCGTCCGGCTGTTTCATCAGCTGCTCCACCAGTTCGTTGTACTTGATGATCTCGTTCGAGTACTCCAGCAGCTGGTCCATCTCGGGCGTCGAGATCGGCAGGTGCGGGATCTCCTTGATCAGCCGGTCAAGATCCTCCAGCTCGTTCCAGGACTCTGTGTCGGAACTGTACTCCATCTTGCGCTGCCGCATCCGCGTTGACACCTTAAATTGCAGAAATTTCAACGCCCGAGCTACCCAGTCCTCCGTCAGCCTGTACAGCCGGCGCAGCTGGTCAAACACCTCGTACGCGTCGCGGTCCTGCGGGTCGAGCTTGTCCACTCTCGGGAAAATCGACTCTCCTTCGGTCAACAGCGGCCGGATCAGTTTCGTCGACGGCTTGTCGTAGCCGGAAATCAGCTCCTGGTACTTGCTCAACCACTGTGCTCCCGTGACCAGCTTCGACCGAACAACCTTCTGCGTCGTTCTCAAAGCGTCGTCGGACATCCTCACCGCAAACTCGAGCCGGTAATCGTGACTGTCGGAGTCGTAGGTTTCCAGGAACTGTGCAACACTCATCGTCAGCGACTCGCCAGACCGTTTTCTATCAGAAAGAACAATGTATGACGGATACGCGTCTGTCAAGTCCGTGTCCACCACGTTCGCTGTTCCTGTGGAAGTCTCCTTCAAGTGCAAATCGCGCACATGTTCTCTGCGATCCATCTCCTGTCCAACTAGAGTGTCCAGCACAGGCTCCAGGTCGCGCAGAGTGTCTCTGTCGTTGCAGTTGTTGGCAATGTTCACAAGAAACTTGAAAGTGGAGAAATTAGGAGCAATCTGCTGGCTCTGCATCCACTCAATGCTGGCTAAAACGGTCGAGAGCCAACATCGGCTGGCGAAGTTGACGCTCTCGTTGATGGTAGTGCCAAGCGAGACGTTGAACGAGTAGGTTTGCGGGTATTTGACCACGATCTCGCCCGGAACCTGATCGGTGGAGAAAACCTCGATACCGTTCTGCTTGAGTTCCTCGGGAGACATTATCAAAGAGTCGTCCAAAATGTCCTGTTTGGATACAAACTCGCGAAACAGCTCGTTCTTGAGCTTCTTTCTATCGCTCACTGTGGTTTTCCTCAACTTTTCGTACTTCTCCTGCTCGCTGGGTGGAATAAAGTACCATTTTTTCACAGCTCCCGAATGGTGATAATCGGCCCGTTGCAAAAAATGATCCTCCATTGTCCACGCCTGGAAGCTGTAAGTGGCACCAATGTGAAGCTTTGGCTGGATCAGCGACGACTCCTCGTTCAGATAGCGCAACAAGGACCCATCGCAAACGCTCAGGTACCGCAAGTTCCAGCCGGTTGCCGTATAATCTATTTCAGGAACCTCGACCCCAAACTGGGTCTGGACGTCATTGTTCCAGAAAAACGAGTCGTCCGTTGATTGTATGCGCTCACTGTTTCTGTCTAGTTCTTCCAAACTGGAAATCCCGCTGATCAATGCCCCATCGTCGTCGACTTCAGAGCCTGTCCAATGATAAAAGTCGTAAGACGGAAGGGTCTTAGAATCGGGCGTAGTGTAACCTGGAGTGTGTATAGTGGACCTATCGAACTTGGGCTGGAACCCAAGACTAATTAAAAGGTCTCTTTTGCGAATGAACTGACTGTAGCCGCCAGAAACCACGGCTCCTTTCTTGGACTGTGAAAATGTAGCAAATTTGCTTGGCAGATGGATTCGGTGGTGCTGGTTGGGGACAACCACCTTGATGGCGCCATATTTGCGGCCGATGTCCTTCAACGACTCAACGTATGCCATCGGGTCTGCAAATTGGTCCTGCGAGGGCCGGAACACAGGGATTTGGCAGGCCGTCTCCAATTGGTCCCCTTCGCCAGAACGGGCGTTCTGAAGCACGTACTCGGGCTTGTGGGCCGTCTGGAATCTGTCTGTGGACGGCGGCCCGGCAGACTGTGTCCGATGGCGCGGAGGGTCGAACAGACGGAATTCCTCCTGCTTCACCCCCAGGGCCAGTCTCTTGCGATCTGATTCCAGCTGGTCCTCGGGACTTCTTTTGAACTGGTCCAGGCCCTCGGACGGCGATGCGTACCGCGAACCATGAGCCGGCTGTAAGGCGTCCGAGATAGACTCGGTCAGCTTGGCCAAAGAGGGAAGCGTAATTCTTGTCTCTCCCGGCTCGGGCGTGGAAACTATACTGTTGAGCGGCGGGAGAGAAAAGTCGTCTCCCAACGACGACAAGGAGGGAAGCGTGATTTTCGGGCGTGTCGCCGGATCGACTCGAGCGTCAAATTGCGAGCCTATCGGCGCTCTCTCCTCCAACATAACTTTAGAGAACAAAGTATTTTTCAGCTTTGGAAAAAAAATTAACTATGCATGGGTTATTTATTAAACAGGAATCGGAAGCAGCGCGTGGCTCCTAACAGGCCGCAGACTGGCACTGCCCGGAATGACCACTTCCTGGAAACTGGCCTGGTCTCTCAGAGCGTCGCTGAAACTCGTGTGTTCCTTGATTCCGTCCTCGATGGACTTCTTGATCAGATTGTCCCAGTCGGTAGTGAGCACGTAGTAGCACTCAGCCAGCGACACAAAGCACAGGGCGCACATCATGCCCACCCATAGCCCGATCAGGCCCATGTGCAGGTTGAACCCGCACGCAAACGCGATCGGCAGGGCAAACACATAGTAACTCACAAGATTGAGCCAGCCACTGATGTACTGACGGCCCTGTCCCCGCAAGACTCCGCCGCTGACACAAGCAATTGCGTCGTTCACTTGGTACGCCGCCCCGATGATCAGCACTTTGCTGGCGAGCTCGATCACCGCAGGATCGCTCGAAAACAGTCCAACAACCGTAGTTCTAAAGTGCACAAGCAGCACCGCATTGAAGGCTCCAAACAGCAGCGACATCCACAGCGCGGCGTGCGACGCTCTCACGGCAGCGTTCTTGGACGCCGAGCCAATGAACCACGCCACTCTTGTCGACGCAGCCACGGAGATCGCAAGCGGGATCTGGTAGATCGTGGACCCCGTGGTTGTCATGATGGACTGCGAGGCCAACGCGGCCGTTCCGAACTTGGACGAGGCAAACGTGATGATCTCGAACGCCAGCCACTCGGCCTCGATCATGATGACTCCCGGACCGGCCAGCCTCAGAGTCTTGTTCCAGTTGCGGAAAACGTCGGCAGAGAACCCGCACCAGCACCGGTAGCCGTTGACGAACCGGGCGTAGCAGAAAAGCATCGTGGCCATGCACCAGTTGGTGATCACCACGGCTGTAGGTGCTCCGAGGAACCCAATGCCAAACCGTTCGTTCCAAACCAGTTGGTAGTTGAGAAAGATGTTCAACGGAGCGCACAGCACCAGCACCAGTGTCGACGCGTGGAAAATTCCCTGTGCTTGCAGGAACTGTTTGAGCACCTCAAACACAATGTAGCCCGGGACTCCGTAGATGAGTCTCTTGAGGTACGATGAGGCCAGATCGCTGAGCTGTTCGTCCTGGATGATCTTCATGAGCAGCGGCCGCGACCCCCAATGCAGGAAACTGAACATTGGGATGTACAGAAGCAACAACAGCACCAAACACCGCAGACTGTGCATCCCCACAGATCTGTAGTCTTTTCTGCCGTACGCCTGGGGACAGAGGGTAGATAAGGACGAAGCGATTCCTTGGATGATGGCGTACGCAGAAACGTTACAGAGCAAGTTCGACAACGACACTGCTGCCAGTTCCTGCGATCCCAGGTTACCAACACTGAAAACAGAGGCCACCGTCAGGGAGAACTGGAGAAGGAAGGTGATCACCAACGGCAGGGCACTGAGCGACAGCAAGCCGAGCTCTTGCACGACGGAGGTTTCGACCTCCAAGATCAGTCCCACGTCGGTTGTTCTGGTGGGGACCAGGTTCAACATGGTGAGCTGAGACATGGACGATTTCATAGAGGCTCTTCTGCTTTGGATGTAGTGTTCCTCGCTGATGGAGCCGTACTGGTGAAACGACTCATCCGCGAGCAGCGACACGTCGTCGTCGTCCAGATAGGACCGCGTGGAGGGCCGTCTGGGAGCTCTGGCGGTGTTCATTAGAGAAGAAATGAGATACGAGATTGCTTGTTTTGTTTATATTTACAAAATTAGATTTGAGGGATTATGGGCTGTGGGGAAACGCGCATGGGGGACTGGGATGGTATTTTCCTAGTGTTTAGGGCGTGTGGCGTAGTTGGTAGCGCGTCTGCCTTGCAAGCAGAAGGTCATCGGTTCGACTCCGGTCTCGTCCATTCTTTTTTTTTCTTAATTCTGCTGACATGACCAGTTACTCCAATTGGTTGCCCCACAGTACCCCGCGAAGAAAAGAGTTGGCTGGGAAATCTTCCAACCAGAGCCATGTGGAAGAGTGCTACAAGAGCGTTGGGTGTTGGCAAGCGTGCCATTGGACGCCACCACGCACGGACCGGTGTTTTTGCCGGGGCCGGCTTGGCCTTGGTGTATTACGAGCTAACCGACAAACAACCTGTGATGAACGACTTTTTCAGAAAGTCTGCCAATTCCAACACCATCAGTGTGGCCGAGTACGCAAAGCACACGTCTCCAGACGATTGCTGGGTGGCTATTCGCGGCCAGGTGTATGATATGACGGAGTTTCTGCCGAATCACCCCGGAGGACGAGCTGCAATTCTCCGAGTCAGCGGATACGATGCAACCGAGATCTTCGAGCAGATCCATCCAAAGGGCACGATTGAGAAGTTTTTGCCGAAAGAAAAGCATCTGGGCCAGCTGGATGCGCCGGCTCCGGAACTACAACAGGAAATGGACGAAGCTGAGGTCCAGAGACTGGAAAATGTGGATAACAAGCCATCACTTGATGAAATCATGAATTTGCACGATATGGAGTATATTGCCAAGAACACGTTGCCGCGGGGTGCCTGGGCGTACTATTCCTCGGGGGCGGACGACGAAATTACCTTGAGAGAGAACCACTATGCGTACCAGAGAATTTATTTCCGGCCTCGGGTGTTGGTGGATGTGAGCAAGATCGACACAAGCACGACACTTTTGGGCACCAAGTCGAGTGTTCCGTTCTATGTGAGCGCCACTGCTCTGGCGAAACTGGGCCATCCGGACGGAGAGTGTTCGATTGCTCGCGGAGCCGGCAAAGAGGGGGTGATCCAGATGATTTCGACTCTTGCGTCCAACTCGTTGGACGAGATTGCGGCTTCGCGCATCCCGGGAGCCACCCAATGGTTCCAGCTGTATGTGAACGAGGACCGGAACGTTGCGTTTGACATGGTCAAGCGTGCGGAGCAGCTTGGAATGAAGGCCATTTTCGTCACCGTGGACGCCCCTAGTCTGGGAAACAGAGAAAAGGACGCCCGGGTCAAGTTCAAGGGAAACTCGAATGTTCAGCAGGACAAAGAAGTCAAACGCGACCAGGGAGCCTCGAGAGCGCTTTCTGCGTTCATCGACACGAGACTGACGTGGGACGACGTGAAGAAAATCAAGTCGACCACCAAGCTCCCAGTGTTGATCAAGGGGGTGCAGCGGCTCGAGGACGTGGAGCAGGCGATCGACGACGGATTTGACGGCGTTGTTCTGTCCAACCACGGCGGACGGCAGCTGGACACGGCTCCAACGCCGATCGAGCTGTTGGCAGAGGTTGTTCCCGAACTGAAGCGCAAAAACAAGCTGCGCAAAGATTTTGAGATCTTTGTGGACGGAGGAGTGCGTCGTGGAACAGACATCCTTAAGGCAATTGCCATTGGCGGCAACGACGTGCGCGTCGGAGTCGGGCTTGGCCGGCCGTTTCTGTACGCCAACTCGGCGTACGGAGAAGATGGTGTTCGCAAGGCTGTTCAGATCCTAAAGGACGAGCTTGAGATGAACATGAGACTGCTGGGAGTTCGCAACATCGACGAGCTCAACAGCACGTTCGTGGACACTAGGCGACTGTTGGGCCGTAGCGCTCCGGACGAGCTGTACGACCAGTTGTACAGTCCGCTCAAAACAGTCAAGTTCAAAAATGAGTAGAGTACGTAGATCTGATAGATCGTCGTCATATGTTCAGTTCCTTGGCCTCGAACTGCTTTAAGGCGGTGAGGATGTGCTGGTTTTTCAGCCAGATGAGGCGGTTTTCCTGGGTGGTGGCGGCCAGTTGCGACTGGAGGTTTGTTTTAAGAGATTGCAGTTTTCGGAGGTACTGTTCGAGCTGGACGGCGTGGTTTTCGAGCGCCGAGTCCGGGACCTGGTCGATGGGCACGGCCGTTTTGGAGGTGTAGATGTTGGCGAGTTTGGAGTACTTGTTGGCGAAATGCGGGCTTGTATTCGACTGTTTTTGGTGATTGTACTTGTCAATGTCTGTGGCTAATGGGGTAGGTGTGGCGACTAGACGATGCGACTGTTCGTGTTCAAACACCGATTCTGGCGATTCGAACTCGAGCGGGCATTTCAAACACCCAAACGGTGTCTGAGAGTGTCTGATCAGATGGGACAAGAGCGACGAAGGAGACTCGAGCACAGCCCCGCACGTGAACCACCGACAAACAGAATCGGCGGCTATATGTTTGGTCACATGAGCCGCCAGATCGGATTGACGCTCGAATTGGGCGTCACAATCGGTCCACTGGCAAAAAAATCGAACGTGGTTTGTGCTGGCCATAATGAAGGAAACAAATACAGGAGTGGAAAAAAATTTGTCGAATATAATAAATACCGTTAATTTCTTGTGATGTCGTCCCTCCAGCATTTAATTTTGCAGACGCTGGATAAGAAGCAGCAAATTGCCGACACGGCTGTGGAATTCCCCGACGCCGATACCGCGGCCGTTCAGGCCGCTGTGACGTCGTTGGCAGCCAAAAATATGGTGGAGTTCAAGACAAAGGAAACCGACAAGTGGACTCTGACCGACGAGGCCAAGGATATCGTTGCGAACGGATCCCATGAATACAGACTTCTGCAGAAGGTGACCGAGTCGCTGGAAGGGCTGAAGATCTCGGAGGTTGACGGGGTGATGGGTTCCAACGGAAAGGTCGCCCAGGGCAGAGCTTTCAAGAATGGGTGGATAGGAAAAGACGGCGACAAGTTGGTCACCAAGCTTTCCAAGGACTCCCAGGTCGAAGACACCACCGCGGAACAGCTCAAGGAGATTGAGAAAACTGGAAGTCTCGCCAACAAGAAAGATATTGCCGAGTTGAAGAAGAGAAAGCTGATTCTACAGTCTAAGGTGTTCACTTTCAACGTGACCAAGGGTAAGGAGTTCGCTTTGGAGATCAAGCAGCTCGAAACAGACATCACCAGCGACATGGTTGTGACTGGATCGTGGAACAAAGCAGAGTTCAAGCCTTATAATTTTGATTCGCAGGGTGTTATGCCATCTTCTGGTGCTCTTCATCCGCTGAATAAGGTGAGAGAAGAGTTCCGTCAGATCTTCTTCAGTTTGGGATTCTCCGAGATGCCTTCAAACCAGTACGTGGAGAGCGGTTTCTGGAACTTTGACACCTTGTTTGTTCCTCAACAGCATCCAGCCAGAGATTTGCAAGACACCTTCTACTTGAAAGACCCAGCTACAGCAAAGGAACCGGAAGACAAAGAATACTGGGAAAACATCAAGAAGGTCCACCAAGAAGGTGCCTACGGCTCCATCGGTTACAGATATCCTTGGAAGGGTTCTGAGTCGCTGCGTACGGTGTTGAGAACACACACCACCGCCATTTCGTCGCACATGCTCAAGAAACTGGCTGCCGATCCAAAACCAACCAGATTGTTCTCGATCGACAGGGTTTTCCGTAACGAGGCCGTCGATGCCACGCACTTGGCCGAGTTCCACCAGGTCGAGGGTGTCTTTGCCGACTACAACCTGACCTTGGGCGACCTGATTGGCTTCATGCAACAGTTCTTCGACAAGATGGGTGTGCACGACCTAAGATTCAAGCCTACGTACAACCCGTACACCGAGCCTTCGCTGGAGATCTACGCTTGGCACAACGGGCTCGGCAAGTGGGTCGAGATCGGAAACTCGGGTATGTTCAGACCAGAGATGTTGGAGGCCATGGGTCTGCCAAAGGATATGAGAGTCCTGGGATGGGGACTTTCTTTGGAAAGACCAACCATGATCAAATACGCCGTGAGCAATATCAGAGAGCTGTTGGGCCACAAGGTGGATCTGGACTTCATCGAAAACAACCCTGCTGCCAGACTAGACGAGGATATTTTTTAGTTGGATAGGTATTGAATATATGATAAATATTTCAGGCTGTGCTAAACTGTGTTATCTTTTGTACCATGACTTTGTTTTGTTCGTTGGGGATGTTCATTATTGACGAGATCCATTTCGCCAATGGGACGAGTCTGTACGATGTTCTTGGTGGGGGAGGCATTTATGCGTTAGTGGGGTCACGGCTGGTGCTCGGCAGTGAAAACAGCCAGCTGTGTGGGGGCGTGATTGATATCGGTAACGACTGTCCCCCGGCCATATTGGACGAGCTGAAACGGTGGGGGACAGGGGCTGTGTTTCGGTACGACGAGTCTCGTCGGTGTACTAGGGGCTGGAACAAGTACGGCGACAACGAGTTCCGCGACTTTAAGTACACCACGCCCAAAAAACGCATCCAGGTGGACGATCTGGCGCAGTACGAGCATCTGATCAACACCAAGTCGTTCCATTTGCTGTACTCGCCGTCTCGCGTGATGGATATTCTTGGCCAGATGGCGAAATACCGGCCAGACCGGCCGTTGACGATCTACGAGGCGATTCCGGACCTGTGCACGCCAGAACACTTGCAAGACCTGAACGAGGCCCTGCGGTATGTGGATGTGTTTTCGCCGAACGCGGCCGAGGCTGCTGCGTTTTTTGGCGAGCAGGAGCCCACGGACCGCGTAGGGTGCGAAAGAGTGGCCCAGAAACACGCGGCCAAGGCTGTGGTGCTGCGTTGTGGAGCCATGGGGTGTTTGTTGGTGGCCCCGGGCGTGCAGAAATGGTTCCCAGCCTACCATAGCGACCCCACATTGCCCGACTACAAGCTGGTGGACCCAACAGGGTGCGGGAACACGTTTGTTGGAGCCCTGGCTACCAAACTCGCCCAGAGCGGGAATTTAGAGCTCGCATGCATAGAAGCGACGGTGGCCAGCGGTCTGGCGATCGAACAGCACGGACCGCCTCTTCTGCAGAACAACGACCGCTGGAACGGCCAAACGTTCCAAGAAAGAGTGGAGATCTATAAAAAACGAATCCAATATTAATTACTTATTATTTCCTTATCTAGAATGGTGGCCGTTTAAGCAGCGTACTTCTTCTCCAAGTCAGCAAAGGCACCGGCAATGCTGTTGGCGATGATGTCGCAGTGCTCCTTGGTGAAGGTGTAGGCTGGGGCAACAGTCAAGTGGTCACCGTGCATGATGACGTTTCCTCCCTCAAGAATCTCGTTTCTGATGGTTCCGGAAAGACCCATGGAGGTGATGCCTCTGGCAAGACACAAAGCGCCCAGGGCAGGACCAGCGGCCTCGGATGGCGCAAATGGCTCCTTGGTGGTCTTGTCCTTGACAATCTCAATAGAAAGGAAGTTTCCTGCTCCACGGATGTCGCCAGCGTACTTGGCGTCCTTGAGCTTGAGCTTGAGCTGCTCCTTGAGGTAAGCACCGTTGACTCTGACGTTCTCGATCAGGTTGTCTCTGTAGATCTTCTTTTGGACGGCGAGACCGACTCTGCAGTTGAAGTCGTGCGAGTGGTAGGTCTGTGCTCCCATAACGGCACCAGAACCTTCGACGAACACCTTCTTGACCTTTGGCGAGATCAAAACACCAGCAAGAGTCACGAATCCAGATCCAATGGTCTTACCAACAGAACAGAGGTCTGGTCCTCCCTCGGAAAGACCGAACTCTGGCGACTTGTAAGTGTATGAGTAACCGCATCTTCCAAGACCGCACATAACCTCGTCCAACATGAACAAAGCGCCGTACTTGTGGCAGATGGCTCTGCAGCCGTCCAAGTAGCCCTTGGTTGGGGTTGGGGTACCGAAAGTAGAACCACCAACGGTCTCGATGATCATACCGGCAATGGTGGTTGGGTCGTTGTCGATGAAAGTCTGCTCCAACTCCTTAAGCAGCTCCTGGGTGTACTCCTCCTCGGATTGGCCAGCCTTCTGGTTTCTGTATGGGTAAACAGGAGAGACCTTTGGAGTCTTGGAAGCGTCGATCAAAATGTCGGAGAAAGCGTACTTTCTGGATCCGTCTCCAATAGACAAGGCACCAATGGTGTATCCGTGGTAGGATTGGTTTCTAGAGACAAACTTATGTCTCTTGTAGTCCTTCAACTCGTTGTGGTATTGCTTCATGATCTTCAAAGCGTTCTCGTTGGCCTCACTTCCAGAACCAGTCCACAAAGCAGAAGCAAAGTCTCCATCGGACTTTTCACACAAGAACTCTCCAAGCTCCTCAGCAGCGTAGTTTCCAAAGGATCCACCGAAAGTGTAAACAGACTCCTTGGCGAATTGGCCCATCAGCTCAGTGATCTCTGGGTCACAGTGGCCAAGAGAAGAAACAGCAGCTCCAGACATGGCATCAAGAACAACCTTCTGTTCCTTGGTCTTTGGGTCCTCCAAAACAAGGTACATACCGTTGTTCTTGGTACCAACACACAAAAGACCCTTGTCGTCGATCTTTCTTTGGAAAACGTAGGAAGTGTCTTTGCTCTCAACAGTCATATTACTCGATAATGATTAATGACTCTTAGACGCGGAATTGAGGGGCCTTTTATAAGAGTGTGCGGTTTTGGGTTCCCGCAGATAAGTCGCATGTTTCCTAATTAGGCAATTGATAAAGTGCAAACGGATGCGCTTGGTGTATTGGGAGAAGGAGAGGCTATTTCCCGATTTGGAGGTGACAACTTTGTCCACGCACAGGGGCCGCGCGTTTGCACAGATCCAGAGCTTGACGTGTGGGGACACATTTAGCGTTTGGCGCACCTTGCCAACGGCTCGCGAAAAATTACGGGCAGTCTGAAATAGTGAAAAAATTAGAAAGCCGTTGCAAAAAAAAAAAAAAAAATGGACGAGTTGGGAGTCGAACCCAAGACCTTTCGCATGCTAAGCGAACGCGCTACCAACTACGCCACACGCCCGTGTACGGTGAATTTTGAAGCCCGGTCAAATATGTTAGGTTTTTGCGACAGGGCGTCGGTTATACGTTGTAATTAGCAGAAAGGGTTTTTTAATTTTGGAAATGGTAGCTGCAAGTAGCAACCAGTGGGGTACCGAAAAATAGGGTGAGAGAATTCCGGAGGTTCAAGTATACACTAGCTACTGCCTTCTGTTGTCCATTGTAAACTCTCTGGATTCTCCTCGCTGTCCCCTTCTCTCCCCCATATTCCTATTTCGTCTCTGGCCCAGCCAATCATAGCCTGCACTATTCTAAGCAGCCTGGAAAACCTGTAAAACTCAGCACGCCCGCCCACCGTTTTCCATAACTGCCCCGCGTAAAAACCTGCCCACGCGCGAAAAACCAATTTAATTGAAAATTTTTTTTGAAATCAAACAAAACACCATAAAAAGCTAAGGGCTTGCTCCATTCTCTGCGGGATACTGCTCGATTCGCCTCTGTACAACGTTAGCCAATCATATCCAAACCTGGCTGAAGTCGTGTTCATATAATAGCTGCCATGAGTCAGAAAAATACCCGTATTGCCATTGTCTCTGACGACAAGTGCAAACCCAAAAAGTGCAGACAAGAGTGCCGAAAGGGGTGTCCGGTGGTCAAGACCGGAAAGCTGTGTATCGAAGTGACGCCAAGCTCGAAAATCGCCTTCATCTCGGAAACATTGTGTATCGGATGTGGTATTTGTGTCAAGAAGTGCCCGTTCGGAGCCATCAACATCATCAACTTGCCAACCAACCTTGAGAAAGAGGTTACCCATAGATATTCCGCCAACTCGTTCAAGCTTCATAGATTGCCTACCCCGCGTCCAGGACAGGTGCTGGGTCTGGTGGGGACGAACGGTATTGGAAAGTCCACAGCATTGAAAATTCTTGCCGGTAAGGAGAAGCCAAACCTCGGAAGATACGACGACCCTCCAAACTGGGACGAGATTCTGCGTTATTTCAGAGGATCTGAGTTGCAAAACTACCTCACCAAGGTGCTCGAAGATAATATCAAGGCCATTATCAAGCCGCAGTACGTGGATAACATCCCGCGTGCCATCAAGGGACCAATGAACAAAGTCGGAGAGTTAATAAAGGCCAAGCTCGAAAGACAGGACGCTGCCAAGACGGTGGTGGAGACGTTGGAATTAAAGGCCATTTTGAAAAGAGAGGTTTCCAAACTGTCTGGTGGTGAGTTGCAAAGATTCGCAATTGGTATGACATGCGTTCAAGACGCCCAGGTTTACATGTTTGACGAGCCTTCGTCATATTTGGACGTGAAGCAGCGTCTGAACGCTGCCTACATCATCAGATCGCTTCTGCAGCCGACCGTTTACGTGATTGTGGTGGAGCACGATTTATCTGTGCTGGATTACCTGTCGGACTTTGTTTGCATTCTTTACGGTGTTCCATCCGTGTACGGTGTGGTGACTCTTCCAGCATCTGTCAGAGAAGGTATTAACATCTTCCTTGACGGTCACATTCCAACAGAAAACTTGCGGTTCAGAACCGAGTCGTTGCAGTTTAGACTCGCTGATGCTTCCGACAAGATGATTGTGGATCAAACACACGCCTTTTCGTACCCATCCATGGTTAAGACCCAGGGAGATTTCAAGCTCACTGTGGAGGCTGGAGAGTTCTCCGACAGTGAGATCATTGTCATGATGGGAGAAAACGGTACCGGAAAGACCACTTTGTGTAAGTTGTTGGCTGGTGCCATCACTCCTGACGAGGGAAGCAAGGCTCCAAAGTTGAACGTTTCGATGAAACCACAAAAGATCGCTCCAAAGTTCACCGGTACAGTGAGACAGCTGTTCCTGAAGAAGATCAGAGCGTCGTTCCTGCATCCTCAATTCAACACCGACGTGGTGAAGCCATTAAGAATAGAAGACATCATTGACCAAGAAGTGCAGCATCTTTCTGGTGGTGAGTTGCAGAGAGTTGCCATTGTTCTTGCTCTGGGTATGGAGGCCGACATCTACCTGATCGACGAGCCTTCTGCTTACTTGGACTCGGAGCAACGTATTATCTGTTCCAAGGTGATTAGAAGATTTATTCTCCACTCCAAGAAAACCGCCTTTATCGTGGAGCACGATTTCATCATGGCCACGTACATGGCAGACAAGGTGATGGTGTTCGAGGGTGTGCCATCGAAGACTGCTACTGCGAAGAAGGCAGAGTCCTTGTTGACGGGATGCAACCGGTTCTTGAAGAACCTGAACGTGACGTTCAGAAGAGATCCAAACTCGTTCAGACCTAGAATCAACAAGTTGGACTCCCAGATGGACAAGGAGCAGAAGCTGAGCGGTAACTACTTCTTCTTGGATAACACCGAGTTATAAGCTTTGGCGCAAATATTTAAAGGCTAATAATATTAATGATACAACAGTTGAGTCATTTGGACTCTTTGTGCAAGTTATAATAACCTGGAAAATTTTGAACTTTTTAAAACTTGTAATTTTTTTCCAATGAGTCTTGAAGACAAAGTCGAAAACCTCAAGTTGGACTCCCAGCCGCCTGCAGAGGTGGTTTTGGGCCCTGATGGCCAGCCTCTTTCAAAGAAGGCCTTGAAGAAGCTCGAAAAAGAGCGCGAAAAGGAGAAGAAGAAGGCAGAAACCGCCGCCAGAATCGCCCAGGAACAGGCCGCCAAGGCTGCGGCCGACGCTGCCAACGACACCGCCAAGGACAACTACGGCAAGCTGGGTCTGATGCAGTCGAACCACAAGACGGGAATTCCACGGATTCTGTTCAACACCCTGACCCCTGAAGACGACGGCAAGGAGGTGGTGTTCAGAGCCAGAGTGCACAACTCCAGACAACAGGGAGCCACCATGAGTTTCTTCTCGTTCAGACAGCAGGACGAGCTGATCCAGGGTCTGATAAAGGCCAATGGCAGCTCTGTTTCCAAACAGATGGTCAAATGGGCCGCTTCCTTGAGCTTGGAGTCGATTGTGCTGGTGCACGGTGTGGTTAAGAAGGTGGACGAGCTTGTCAAGAGTGCCACTGTTCAGGACGTTGAGATCTCGATCACCAAGATCTTCTTGATCTCGGAGACTCCTTCGCAGCTGCCGCTGTTGATCGAGGACGCTTCGCGTTCCGACGCCGAGGCTGAAGCTTCGGGACTGCCTGTGGTCAATCTGGACACCCGTTTGGACGCTCGTGTGATTGATCTGAGAACCGTGACAAACCAGGCCATTTTCAGACTGCAATCCGGAATCTGTCAGTTGTTCAAGGAGTTCTTGATCAAGCGCAAGTTTGTGGAAACTCACACTCCAAAGATGATTGCTGCTGCTTCTGAAGGTGGAGCCAACGTTTTCAAGGTCGACTACTTCAAAGGTTCTGCTTATTTGGCCCAATCTCCTCAGTTCTACAAACAACAGCTGATTGCCGCCGATTTCGAGCGGGTGTTTGAAATTGCTCCTGTTTTCAGAGCAGAAAACTCAAACACTCACCGTCACATGACCGAGTTTGTTGGTTTGGATCTGGAAATGGCTATCGAGGAAGACTACCACGAGGCCGTCGATTTGCTGTCGGACCTGTTCATCTTCATCTTCAGCGAGCTCAAGACAAGATACGCTAAGGAGATCGCCACCGTCAGAAAACAGTTCCCTGTTGAGGAGTTCAAGCTACCAAAGGACGGAAAAATGGTGGTTCTCCACTACAAGGAAGGTATCCAGATGTTGAGAGACGCCGGAAAGGACGTTGACGACTACGAGGACCTGTCCACCGAGAACGAGAAGCTGCTGGGTAAACTGGTGCGCGACAAGTACGACACCGACTTCTACATCCTGGACAAGTTCCCGTTGGCTGTCAGACCGTTCTACACGATGCCAGACCCTGAAGACAGCAACTACTCGAACTCGTACGACTTCTTCATGCGTGGCGAGGAGATTCTGTCGGGAGCCCAGCGTATTCACGACCCTACTCTGTTGGCCGAGAGAATGAGAGCACACGAGGTGGACCCAACCACTCCGGGACTCTCAGACTACATCCAGGCGTTCACATACGGCTGTGCCCCGCACGCGGGAGGAGGTATTGGTTTGGAGAGAGTGCTGATGTTTTTCCTGGACCTGAAGAACATCAGAAGAGCCAGTTTGTTCCCAAGAGATCCAAAGAGACTCAGACCTTGAATATACAGGAGCTACTCCGCACACCGGGTTATTTAGTTATGAAAAATAAATTAGTGCAGCTGTTTAAAAAGTAATGACAGAGCCTGTTGACATTCCTTTGAAAGCGGCCGACTCTGCGCAAATCTCGCGCACCTCGAGCGGCGACGTCGTTTCCGAGGAGGAGACCAAGTTCGGATCTGTTCACGACCTGTCGACGGTTCATTACTCGTACACAGAGGACAAGATTCTCAGGGACCAAGACGCCAAGGTCAAGGCGTTTAATTCGATCGCCACCTCGCCCAAAGGGTCGCGGTCGTCGTCCGTGCACTCTTCGCGGCCGTCGGTTGTGGACTTCATGTCTCCCATCCCTGGACTCAAGGCTGCGCCGGCCTCTCCCACGTCGAACAAGTTCTCGTATAACTCCATAACGCACGAGATGACTCCGATGACGTCCACGGACCACCAATTGCTGGCTGCCAAGGCGCGCATGGGCAATCTGATTCTGAACGACCATAACTCCATCTCCGAGACTCCCTCCAAGGAGTTATTGGACATTTACAAGAACATCGAAACGTGTATTCAGATCCGTGAAAAGTATCAAAAGTTATCGTTGCAAAGACCCCAGGATAACCCGAAAAATAGACAGGACTGGTCCATCTACCCCGACCCTCCAGCGCCGTTCTGGAAGAAAGGCGACCGGTACAGCATCGAGCGCAACCCAGACAAGGGCGACCAGCTTGCGTCGCATTTCGACATCGACAAGGTGGATATACCGGGACTCGACCAGGAACTGGACTACATTCTGGACGATGAGGACGTTTTCCAGGTGGTGGAGAAAGGAACAGAAAAAAAGATCGTTGAGATCCCCACCATCAAGGACTTCTACGTCGATCTCGAGCGCATCACGTCGATTGCGTCGGACGGACCAACCAAATCGTTTGCGTTCAAAAGACTCGAATATTTGGAAGCCAAGTGGAATTTATACTACTTGCTGAATGAGCACGACGAAACGTCCGAGAGCAAACGGAATCCGCACAGAGACTTCTATAACGTCAGAAAGGTCGACACTCACGTCCACCATTCGGCCTGTATGAACCAGAAACATCTGCTGCGGTTTATCAAGCACAAGATGCGCAAATGTCCGGACGAAAAGGTGATAATCAGAGACGGACATGTGTTGACGTTGAAGGAGGTGTTCGAGTCGTTGAACCTGACCGCATACGATCTCAGTATCGACACTTTGGACATGCACGCGCATCGCGACACGTTCCATCGATTCGACAAGTTCAACTTGAAATATAATCCGATCGGCGAGTCCAGACTCAGAGAGATCTTCCTCAAGACAGATAACTATATTCAGGGAAGATATCTGGCTGAGCTGACGCGGGAGGTGTTTGAGGACCTGGAAGCTTCCAAATACCAGATGGCAGAGTATAGAATCTCCATATACGGCCGTTCGTTTGACGAATGGGACAAACTGGCTGCCTGGGTCGTTGATAACAAGCTGTTTTCGCATAATGTCAGATGGTTGATCCAGATCCCACGGCTGTACGACGTGTACAAGAAGGGAAACATCATCGACAACTTCCAGAACGTGGTGAAACACATTTTCCAGCCGTTATTCGAGGTGACCAAAGACCCGTCCTCGCACCCCAAGCTATTCGTATTCTTGCAAAGAGTGATTGGATTCGACTCTGTTGACGACGAAAGCAAAGCAGACAGAAGATTCCACCGCAAGTTCCCATTCCCTCGCAACTGGGACTCCCAGTACAACCCGCCGTACTCCTATTACATCTATTCGCTGTACGCGAACCTGGGGTCATTGAACCAGTGGAGAGCACGGCGTGGATTCAACACGTTTGTTCTGAGACCGCATTCGGGCGAGGCTGGTGATCCAGAACATTTGATTTCTGCGTTTTTGGCAGCAGAAGGAATCTCGCATGGAATCTTGCTCAGAAAATTGCCATACATCCAGTATCTGTACTATTTGTGCCAGATCGGTGTGGCCATGTCGCCGTTGTCCAATAATGCGCTGTTCTTGACGTACGACAAGAACCCGTTCCCGAGCTACTTCCAACGAGGCTTGAACGTCTCGCTTTCCACAGATGATCCATTGCAGTTCTCGTACACCAGAGAACCGCTTATCGAGGAGTACTCGGTTGCCGCACAGATCTATAAACTGTCCAACGTGGACATGTCCGAGTTGGCACGCAATTCTGTTTCCATGAGTGGATTTGAGCACAAGTTGAAACAACACTGGCTCGGAGCAAATTACGTCCTACCAGGCAGCGACGGCAACGACATCGAAAAAACAAACGTGCCCGATATCCGGATGGCCTATCGTCACGAGACTTTGCAAATTGAAAGAGATTTGGCAAAGGCGTATGCAAATATGTCCAGATAGCCAAATATGAACTTCACACAGTAACCGGTGTAATATCTGCGGATCCAAAAATATGGCCCTCGCCCGCTTTGACCTGCTGGAACACCCAGCTCTTGAATGTGTTGGAGAACGTCGTTTCTTCGTGCACAACAACCTCCTCGGCGGTTTGGAAGTCGTATTTCCGGAACCAGTCAATAAAGTTCTCCCATCGTCCTTTATTGAACGGGTGCTGGTTCTCCGGAAGCGGCAGCACGACTCGGATGTTGAGCTGGTCTGGGTGTTCGACGTTGACGTACCGCTGGGTGTTGATGAACTGGGCGTATGTCTGGTCTCTATTAAGTTTTGTAGGGAAAAGGAAGTCTCTCAAGGATTTTCTTTTCGAGTACAGCTTGAACCTGTACTGTTTGGCCTTTCCGATCTGGAGAAAGTCGACGCTGGTCTCATTGAACTTGAACACGCGCGCAAACGAGAAGTTGAGCGCTAGCAACATCAACGAGAAGAACCCGTTGCATGCAACCATGATGATGGCAGCTGGATGGAGAGTGTTTTCGGAGCCATAGTTGAGCACAGATCTGGAGTTTGCAAACGTGGCCACGTAGATGTAGATGAAGAGCACCTCAAAACACATCACAAAGCACAGAAACCACGTGAAGTTGTTCTGGGCAATGATGGTGCCAATGTACAGACAGTAGTGGTCGAACTTGGGGATGCAATGGCCGAGTTTGGACGAGTGATGAGCCCGCTGGGTTTTGATGGAGCGGCAGTTGGAGCACCAGAAAGGCAAACCAACCGAGTTGCACAAAAACAGCTGTGGAGGATCAATAAAATCCGGGTCTGGGATCGACTCTGGCTCTTTGGGGTCGAGTTTATTCTGCAGATACAGCTGTCCATTGGAATAGTATTTGTTCAAGTTATAAGGCGGCACCTTCACAGAGATAGAGCCGGGGCCTTTGAGGAAGATCATTTTCCACGAGGCCAGCAGAGCAGAAACAATAACCACTTCGCCAACTATGAGACCAACAGCTGTGGATTTATGGCCAGAGTTCCAGATTCCCTGTTTGCAAATGACGTAGCAGAACGCGTATTGGATATACAGCAGCCAACAAAACACGCCTGGCGGGAATAGCACGCGAACAAGGTAGCGGATCGCCAACATTAGAGGTTTTTCAGCTGTGTGTTTGTGGCTAGAGTTCTAGAGAGACTTTGGAAATCGGAGTCTTGGGTGTTGAACAGTTTGTGGATCTTTGTCAAGTCGGAGTTCTCCTGTAGAAGTTTATCTGAAATGTCCAATGGTGTTCCTTTGACAATAGATTGGAGGTTCTGTTGGATCAACAAGGGATCGTCTTTTTTGTTAATAAGTTTAATAGCCAAAAGATGTGGACTTTCAGAGACTCCAAACGTTTTCAAACACTCGAGGATGTTTTTCAAGGGAGATAAGTTGTAGATGATTTCAGAGTTGATGGATTTGGACTTTTTGCGGTTGAAAGAGTCGTCAAGAAGGGCTTTATACACTGCAGAAAGGATTTGTTCTTGGGAAACGAGATAGTCGCCGTTGACAAATGCGTAGTTGTAGTTTGGGTCTGCGGCTAGAAGGCTGTTTTTGATGGATTCCTGGTTAGAGACGTTTGAGAAGTAGGCCGCAAAGACTTGAGTTTCAGGGAACTGGGGGAACGAGTAGATTTTGAACATGGAGAAAAAAAAATTACGTATGGATTTTACTGAAAACCCCTGGGAAGAGGTGGCTGATGCGTCAATTGTGGGGGGAACAGTGGGGGAAACGGTACGGGACGATGCTGTTTCCTTGGAGCAGACGGTGAGCGAGCATACAAGTGACGAGGAGTCGTCGATGGATTTTGGGGATTTCGAAGAGGTGCAGTACGACCGACCCGAGATCGACTTTGGGGTGTTGCGACAGGTGGGGGAACGCAACAAGGCCGATGACAAGGTGTTGGAGTTCAGTGGAGACTGGACAGACAGGTACTTGGCGTTGGTTTCGAAGAAACGCCAATGGAACACACAGCAACAGCAGAAAACGTACCGAACGCGCGTGGCCTACAAGGACACAGAAATACACCGCAAGCTGCAAACGACCGCGCAGCACTGGACGAGCGTGGAGAAGCGCGTGGCCGCCGAGACAGGCGTGACGAACCTGTTCAGCTGGTCGAGCACCAGGGAGACGGCCACGCCGGCGAAGAAGACGCACCAGATCAACAACAAGCTGTTGCGGGTTGCCGCTTCGCGGAGCCGCAAGATCATTGACGACCGGCTCGAGGTTCAGCGGCAGCAGCGCAAGAAGCTGGACGCAGAGCGACGCGAGCGGGAGCGGCGAATATTCGAAGAACAACAGCGCAAGGAGCAGGAGGCCCGCAAGTACCAGGTGGTGGATGTGCCGCAACGGAAGGAGAAGACGTTTTTTGGCCGTATTTTTGGCGAAAAGAGCAAAATTTCGGCCGACAGTTTATCCCACGACAAGGTTGCGCAGCCCACGGATGGTGGAGAGGACGCGGGGGATATGATCAAGGAGATCAAGGAGAAGCTGAAACGCAGAGAGGACAGCGACGACGAAGAGAAGGAGGTGGATTACGGCGAGATCGGGAACGACATGGAGTGGGAGCCCAACTTCCAAGAAGAAGAAAATCAGGAGGGTCTCGATCATGTGATCGAGGGACCTATCCGAGAAACGCCAAGCGAGCCGGAAACAGACACCGATTCGGAGTTTGACGAGTTTGTTTCCGAGCCCACCCCGACCGTTGTGGAGAGCGACCCGGTCACGCCAAACCAACCAACTAATCTAATCGACCTATAGGGCGGAGTTGCCTCAATTTTTCTAAAGGAGCCGTTTCCCCAGATTTCGGAACATAGCCCGATTTGGAAATGGTCCGCAGAAATTTATAGATTTCTAATCAATTTTTCTCTCTTTAATGAATCCTTCTTCTTCAGCAACACAAACGTTCGAGCGCAAGGACCTTGATGTGACTGAGTTGAGCGACTTGGCATCCTCTGCCAAGTCTGTTGGCCAGACGGGCAGCTCTGGCGTCCACAGGAGAACCTCCACCTCCATTCCCACCAACAGTGTTGCCCCATTATCAGACTCGGCCAACATTCTTCCTCTTGTTCCCGAGTCGCTGCCTACCACGCCAGGCTACGAGCTGGGCAACAATGCATACTTTGACCAGCACCAGAACACCTCGTACTTCGATCTGGCCTCTACAAAGGAGCTGCTGCCCTCCACCAAAACCATGCCGATTCCTCCTGCACAGCAGCCTTCCTCCAGCTTCACGGGCGAGTCGAACTCCGGTTCGGGCGCCAAACATAGAGTCGAGGGCGGCATGACCCTGGTCAACCCACCAAAGAACCGGTGGAGACTCATTTCCGTGGTTCTTTGGGCCACTTCAGCCGGCCTATCGGACGCAGCACCAGGGGCTTTGTTGCCAACGATCGAAAAATACTACAACATCAGCTACGCAGTGGTCTCGTTGATCTGGCTGGCAAATGCGGTCGGGTTCATTCTCATTGCGCTGATCTGTCCAAACATGGAGCCCCTGCTGGGCAAACGGAAAATGACCGCTGGTGGCTGTCTCGCTCTCGTGGCAATGTACGCCTGTGTCAGTCCGGGCTACAAGTTCCCTCTTGTTGTTGTTGGCTTTTTCTTTGGCGGCCTCGGACTCGCAACGTGCCTGTCACAGCAAAACATCTTCCTGTCCAAGTTCAACAAATCCTCACAATATCTCGGCTACTACCACGGTGGTTACGGTCTGGGAGCCTGTATTGGCCCATTGATTGCCACGGGAATGATCGATAGAGGCGTCAAATGGCACTTCTATTACCTCATCCTCCTGGGAATGTCCATGTTCAACTTCTGGAACCTGTGGTTCTCCTTTGGAGGAGCAGACGACGACCTCAAGCCTTGGGACAACTGGGAGCCAAAACAAGAATCTTCCGCGTCCGCTGATCCGGTTGACGACGATGGAAAGTTTACCATGCTGGAAGAAACCTTGGGTTTCACCGAAACCCTGAGACAGCAGGAACATGCTACCGAAACGAAGGAGGCCAGTTTGCTGAGTCTGTCTTTGAAAAACTGGAGAACCTGGCTCCTGGCCCTGTATGTGCTGTTCTACCAGGGAGCAGAGGTGTCCATGGGAGGCTGGATCGTCACTTTCTTGGAAGACTACCGTGATGGAAGCGTTTCGAGCATGGGTTATGTGTCTTCCGGATTTTGGGGTGGTCTCACCATCGGTCGGTTATTCCTCACAACTTTTATCCACAAATACATTGGAGCTAAAAGAGGTGTCTTTTTGCTCATGGTTGGCGCCATGGCCACCACCATCCTGGCCTGGGTCATCCCCACTCTGATCGTCGAGGCCGTGTTTGTCTCGTTTGCCGGTGTTTTCATCGGACCAATCTACCCACTAATGATTACCATTGCTGTGAGAATCCTGCCCCGGAAAATCCAGGTTATCTCTCTCACCATCATGACGGCCTTTGGATCCTCGGGCGGCGCCTTGTTCCCGTTCCTGGTCGGTCTGATCTCCCAGTACGCGGGCGCCTTCGTGTGCATGCCGATTATCCTGGCCCTGCTGGCCTGCACCACTGCTATTTGGTTTATTCTTCCAAACCCAGACAGACCAAAGCTGGGCAACGTTTTACAAAGAGTCTGGTGATCTTTTGTCAAATATATTCTCTATTTACAATTGGCGTGGGGTGTAGTCGTAGAACCATCCAGTCCGACTTGGATGGTCCGTTGGAACGCGCATTTCCAGCGGGAACCGTTTTCCGATCTCAGATTCGTTAGCGGCCTCAAAAAGCTTTGGACTCAGGTGTTTGAGGTCCTCGTTGGCCTCCTTGATGGCCTCGTACTGCTGCTTGAGCTGGTTCTGGGCGGCCTGTTTCTTTTCTCTCTGCAACACGTTCCATGCTCTCATAACTGTAACGTGCTTCACATAGTCCTCGTGACATAACTTGAGCATCTTTGGCATTTTTCTCGTCGCCGACGTCACCGACAGCTGCGTTGCAACTCTCTGTGCGACGGGGTCCAGCCCGGAGCGGATCCGCTTCGTTCGCACAAACTGCAAATTGATGCCGGACTTCTGTGTCGTTCTTGCCAGTCCAAACATGAAAAAATTGTTCAACTTTTTCAAAGACCGGTTTGAGTTATAAAATCGACCCGACCTGGGTTTCCGTTTCCGCTCGCGACTTAGCTCAAATTATTTTTTTGCGCCTCTTTTCGCCGTGTAAAGGTGGCCGATCTGCTTAGTTAAATTTCATGTCTCAACCTAATTACCCCAACCAGTCCTCCCACAGCGTACCCAGCATCAACATCGTGCCCGCCACCCAGACAGGGGCTCCTCCGAGTCTCCCAGCACGGCCCTCCGCGTCCAGCTTGTCTCTCAACACCCTGGCAACCGAAGAGGAGGTGATCGCAAGCCTCCCTCCGTCGCCAAAATACACCGAACAGCCCTCCCCAGGCGAACTCAGCATCCCAAATAACCAGGCCATCGACCCATTGTCGATCAACGACGAAAGACCGGAAACAGACCCGCCAGAATACTCGGAAATGTCGTCTGCTGTGGCCCCTGTCGTTAGCAGACCCCCGTTCGCAGACATGGACATCCCACCACCGACTCCAGAACGGCCACCAACAAGACCTCCTCGGCCCAATCAGCGCCCACAGGCCGCGAGGTACCAAAGACCGCAGATCCCCCCACCAGTGCAACCGCAGATGTACCTCCAGCCTCAGCAGCAGTACAACCGGCCACCCGTGCCCACACCTGTGCATCCGATCTACGCTCCCCCACCGTCAGCCCCGCCATTGCCACAGAGACCTAGCTCTCCGTCGTCTATCTGACTGTTAATATCTTAATTCAGGTTGCACTTTGCATGTAAAAGAACCGTGTGTCTTTTCAGATAGGATTATCCGATATAGTGTAACGGCTATCATGGTCCGCTTTCACCGGGCAGACCCGGGTTCGACTCCCGGTATCGGAATCGGTAATCTTTTTTTTGCCAAAATTTCGAGCTTTTTTTATTACAAGTAATAAAAATAACAGCCGACAAACCGGTAATTCTTGGGCGTGTGGCGTAGTTGGTAGCGCGTTCGCTTAGCATGCGAAAGGTCTTGGGTTCGACTCCCAACTCGTCCATAATTTTTTCCGCCAAAATAATTATCTTTTTTCCTATTGTTTTGCGTCTTTGGCGCAACATGGTACACGCATTGGCCCTCGTCAGTGTTCGAGCATCTTGTCAATCACCAAGCGCTTTCAACAAAGCTGCTTCGACCCCACATCACCCATCTCGCATCAATAGCCGTCGCACGACCTATTTCTTTTTCTGAAAATTTTTTTTATTCATTTAATATATTTTTTACTCAGGTTCTTCTTTTTTCCTTCTTCTTCTCCTTCTCATAGACAAAGACCTTCTTTCAGCTCCTTCAAACCCATTCTGGAATTTGATTGCTGCCATTATATTACTCCGAACTAGTATTGGCTACTGAGCTTGAAAAAGGATCAAAAGTACGTGAGTTAAGGAGAGGACTAGCTAGTTGTAGCCCTCTCGTAAAACAAGACCCAAACAGATTTTAACCTCTAAGAAATTTTTTTTTTTTACACAATGTCTGTGAAGTTTTCTAATCCGATCTCTCCTCCAATGGAGAGCACGGGAGATACTCTTGTGACGTTGGAGACACAGGACGGTGTTGTGTTGCAGGGATACTCATTTGGTGCTGAGAAGGCTGTTGCTGGTGAGCTTGTTTTTCAGACCGGTATGGTGGGTTATCCTGAATCCATCACTGATCCATCGTATCAGGGACAGATTCTGGTGATCACGTATCCATTGGTGGGTAACTACGGTGTTCCAGACCGTAATCTGATGGATGAGGTGGTTAAGTCTCTTCCTAAATACTTTGAGTCCAACAAGATCCATGTTGCTGGTTTGGTTGTTGCTCATTACACCGAGGAGTACTCTCATTATCTTGCCAAGTCGTCTTTGGGACAATGGCTCAAGTCTGAGGGAATTCCTGCAGTCTACGGTGTCGATACCAGAGCTTTGACCAAGAAGTTGAGACAGGACGGTTCCACTTTGGGTAGACTTTGTTTGCAAAAGAAGGGAACCAGCGTTGATGAGTGCTTGCAAGTCAGTTCTTGGAAGTCCAACTTCGATGTTCCTGAGTGGGTCGACCCTAATGCCCAAAACTTGGTTGCCCAGGTGTCTACCAAGGAGCCTGTCGTGTACAATCCTCCTGAGCACCTTGCCAAGCTTGGTCCAGACGGAAAAGTCATCAAGATCGTTGCTGTTGATGTTGGTATGAAGTACAACCAGATCAGGTGTTTCGTCAACCGCGGAGTTTCCTTGAAGGTTGTTCCATGGGATCACGATTTCACCAAAGAAGAATATGACGGTTTGTTCATCTCCAATGGTCCTGGAGATCCTTCTGTCATGCAAAACGTTGTTGAGAAATTGCAAACTGCCCTCGAGAACCCAAAGGCTCCAATCTTTGGTATCTGTTTGGGTCACCAACTGTTGGCCAGAGCCTCTGGTGCTTCAACTCTGAAACTAAAATACGGTAACAGAGGTCACAACATCCCATGTACATCCACCATCTCCGGTAGATGTTACATCACCTCCCAGAACCACGGTTACGCCGTCGACGTCGATACTTTGAGTGCTGGATGGAAAGAACTGTTTGTCAACTCCAACGACGGTTCTAACGAAGGTATTTACCACACCGAGAAGCCGTTCTTCTCTGTTCAATTCCACCCAGAATCTACACCAGGTCCAAGAGACACCGAGTTCCTGTTCGACACCTTTATCCAGGCCGTTGTCGACTACAAGATCACCAAACAGCTCAAGGCTGTCCAATTCCCAGACGGAAACATCGAGGAGAACAGATCTCTGCATCCACGCGTCAACGCCAAGAAAGTGCTGGTTCTTGGTTCCGGTGGACTGTCTATTGGACAGGCTGGTGAGTTCGATTACTCCGGTTCCCAAGCTATCAAGGCTTTAAAAGAAGAAGGAATCTACACCATTTTAATTAACCCAAACATCGCCACCATTCAGACATCCAAGGGTCTTGCAGACAAGGTTTACTTTTTGCCTGTCACTCCTGAGTTTGTGAGAAAGGTGATCAAACACGAACGCCCGGATGCAATCTACTGCACTTTTGGTGGTCAGACCGCTTTGAACGTTGGTATCCAATTGAAGGACGAATTCGAATCTCTGGGTGTTAAGGTCCTTGGTACCCAGATCGATACCGTGATCACCACCGAAGATAGAGAACTGTTCGCTAGAGCTATGGACGAAATTGGCGAGAAGTGTGCCAAATCCCAGACCGCTTCCTCCATGGAAGAGGCTTTGGCAGCCGTCAAGGAAATTGGCTTCCCAGTCATTGTCCGTGCGGCTTACGCTTTGGGTGGTCTTGGATCCGGTTTCGCTGATAACGAGAAGGAATTGGTCGAGCTCTGTCAAAAGGCCTTCGCTGCTTCTCCTCAGGTCTTGGTCGAGAAGTCCATGAAGGGATGGAAAGAAGTTGAATACGAGGTTGTTCGTGATGCTTTCGACAACTGTATCACTGTCTGTAACATGGAGAACTTTGATCCACTGGGTATCCACACCGGTGATTCCATTGTGGTTGCTCCTTCCCAGACTCTTTCCGACGAAGATTACAACATGTTGAGAACTACTGCTGTCAATGTGATTAGACATTTGGGTGTTGTTGGTGAGTGTAACATTCAGTACGCTCTGAACCCACATTCCAAGGAATACTGCATTATTGAGGTCAATGCCAGATTGTCCAGATCTTCTGCTTTGGCTTCGAAGGCTACTGGTTACCCGCTTGCTTACACTGCTGCCAAGCTTGGTTTGAACATCCCATTGAACGAGATCAAGAACTCCGTTACCAAGGTCACATGTGCTTGTTTCGAGCCATCTTTGGACTACTGTGTGGTCAAGATCCCAAGATGGGATCTGAAGAAGTTCACCAGAGTTTCCACTTTGCTTTCTTCCTCGATGAAGTCTGTTGGTGAGGTCATGAGCATTGGTAGAACTTTCGAAGAGGCCATTCAGAAGGCCATCAGATCTACAGACTACCACAACATCGGTTTCAGCAAAACAGAGGCTCTTATGTCCATTGATATCGATTCTGAGTTGCAAACTCCTTCTGACCAGCGTTTGTTCGCCATTGCCAACGCCATGTCTGAGGGATATACCGTCGACAAGATCCACAAGCTCACCAACATTGACAGATGGTTCTTGAACAAATTGGAAGGTTTGGTCAAGTATGCCGACAAGATCGCTTCTTACGGTGTCAAGGAGAAGTTGCCAAGATCGATCTTGAAGGAGGCCAAGCAACTTGGTTTCGAAGACAGACAAATTGCCAAGTTCCTCAACTCCAACGAGGTTGCCATTAGAAGAGTCAGAAAAGAGTTTGGCATCGTTCCATTTGTCAAACAAATTGATACCGTCGCTGCTGAGTTCCCTGCTTACACAAACTACTTGTACATTACATACAACGCAGACTCCAGCGACGTCGAGTTCAACGATAACGGTGTGATGGTTTTGGGATCTGGTGTCTACAGAATTGGATCTTCTGTCGAGTTCGACTGGTGTGCAGTTAGAGCCATCAGAACGTTGAGAGAACAGGGACTCAAGACGATCATGGTCAACTACAACCCAGAAACTGTTTCTACCGATTACGACGAGGCCGACAGATTGTACTTTGAGACAATTAACCTCGAGAGAGTCTTGGATATCTACGAGCTCGAGAAGTCTTCTGGTATCATCATTTCTATGGGTGGTCAAACTTCGAACAACATTGCTTTGCCATTGTACAGACAGAACGTCAAGATTTTGGGTACTTCTCCAGAGATGATCGATTCTGCCGAGAACAGATACAAGTTCTCCAGAATGCTTGACAAGATTGGTGTTGACCAACCTGCCTGGAAGGAACTGACCTCTATCCAAGAGGCCGAAGAGTTTGCCGAGAAGGTGACTTACCCAGTTCTGGTTAGACCATCCTACGTTTTATCTGGTGCTGCTATGAATACTGTCTACTCCAAAGCGGATCTTGCTTCCTACTTGTCGCAAGCCGTTGAGGTTTCTCCAGATTACCCAGTCGTTTTGACCAAGTATATTGAAAACGCCAAGGAGATTGAAATGGATGCCGTTGCTAAGGACGGTAAGCTTATTATGCACGTTGTTGCCGAGCACGTTGAGAACGCCGGTGTCCACTCTGGTGATGCCACTTTGATTGTTCCTCCACAGGACTTGGACAAGGAGACCGTCAGCAGAATTGTTGAGGCCACTTCCAAGATTGGTAAGGCATTGGATGTTACAGGACCATTCAACATCCAGTTCATTGCCAAGAACAACGAGATCAAGGTTATCGAGTGTAACGTGAGAGCTTCCAGATCTTTCCCATTCAACTCCAAGGTTGTTGGAACTGACATGATTGAGATGGCCACCAAGGCCATCATGGACCTTCCACTCACCCCATACCCAGGTGAGAAACTCCCAGATGACTACTGTGCCGTGAAGGTTCCACAGTTCTCCTTTTCCAGACTTTCTGGTGCCGATCCAGTTTTGGGTGTTGAAATGGCTTCCACCGGTGAGGTTGCATGTTTCGGACACAACAAGTACGAGGCTTACTTGAAATCTTTAATCTCCACCGGATTCCAGCTTCCAAAGAAGAACATTTTGTTGTCCATTGGTTCTTTCAAGGAAAAGCAGGAGCTTCTTCCAGCCATCAAGAAATTGCACGAGCTTGGCTACTCTCTTTTTGCTACTTCGGGTACTGCTGACTTTATTCAGGAACACGGAGTTCCTGTGAAGTACTTGGAGTTACTCACTGATAGAGAAGACGACCAGCAAAAGGCCGAGTACTCGCTCACCCAGCATCTGGCAAACAACTTGATTGACTTGTACATCAACTTGCCTTCTTCCAACAGATTCAGAAGACCAGCATCTTACGTTTCTAAAGGTTACAGAACCAGAAGAATGGCCGTTGATTACGCTGTTCCATTGGTTACCAACGTCAAGTGTGCCAAGTTGTTGATCGAGGCTATTGCCAGAAACATCAGCTTGGAGGCCGCCAACATCGACTCTCAGACTTCTCACAAGACCATCGAGTTGCCTGGTTTGGTTTCTATCTCTACTTATGTCCCAACTTTTGAGACCGAGACCGCTGCCTCTGATGTTGAGGCTGTCACCAAGGCTGCTCTTGCTGCTGGTTTCACCTTCACCTCCATCTCTCCAGTCACCGAATCTGGCTCCTTTATTGTCGACGCCAGAACTTTGACCAGAGCTCACGAACTTTCCCAGGGCTCCACCTACACCGACTTCTCTTTCGGTGTTGCAGCCACTGAATCCAACCCAACCCAAATTCAACACGTTTCGTCGCTGACATCTTCTCTGCTTGTTCGCTCCGAAGAATTCCTGAAGAACAAGCTTGCTTCCACTTCTGCCCATTTCGGAGTGTGGCCAGAACGGAAGCCAATTGTCACCGACACCAAAACCACCGATCTTGCATCTGTGTTGCTTTTGGCCTCTCTTTACAGCCGTCAAATCCACGTCACCGGCGTTACCAGCAAGGACGATCTTGCTCTGATCACCATGTCCAAGAGCAAGGGATTACAAGTCACCTGCGATGTTTCTGTCTACACTTTGTTCCTTTCCCAAGAGGAATACCCAGGAGCCACTTTCTTGCCAACCAAGGAAGACCAAAAGGCTCTATGGGACAACATTGAGTCGATTGACTGTTTCTCCATTGGCCAGGTCCCATCCCTGCTTGCCAAGTTTGTTGGAAAGCCAGCCGTCCCAGGTGCTGGTATTTCCGACACTCTTCCATTGTTGATTTCTGCTGTTGCCGAGAACAAACTGACCTTTGACGACATTGTTGCCAAGTTGCACGACAACCCAATCAAGATCTTCAATTTGAGAGACAACGAGTCTGTTATTGAGATTAACGTTGACAGAGCCACTTCGTCGTTGAAGAATACCAAACAACAATGGTCTCCATTCGCACCTAACCAGCTCAAGGGTGCTGTTGAGAGAGTTCACATGAACGGCCAGACTGTCTGTTTGGAAGGTGAGTTTGTTGTTGCCGAGGCTTTGGGCAGAGAGAATGCATTCTTTGTTCAACATCCTTCTGCCTTGACCGCTACTCCTTCTGCCCAAGAGGCACAATTGGCTCCATCTCCTATCACCACCAGAAGAACCTCGAGATTCTCGTTTGACGGTGCTAGAAGAGCCACTTTGATCGATTCTTTGAAGGACTCCAGTGCCATTGCCGACTCTCAGGACACTCCTACGGGAGCCGATCTTGTTTCGTCGATGCCACCAAGAGAACTCTCTCTTCCAAATGCCATCATCTCCTACATCAAGGGCGACAATCCGTTCCTGAGAAACTCGCTGCTTTCTGTGAACCAGGTTTCCAGATACCACTTGCATGCTCTTTTCGCTGTTGCCCAGGAGATGAGACTTGCTGTTGAGAGAGAAGGTGTTTTGGACGTTTTGAAGGGCCGTGTTTTGACCACAGCTTTCTTCGAGCCATCGACCAGAACTTCCTCATCGTTCAACGCTGCTATGCAGAGATTGGGAGGCCGTGTGGTGACCATTTCGGAGCAAGGCTCTTCCGTCAAGAAGGGAGAAACTCTGCAGGACACCATCAGAACCATGGCCTGCTACTCGGACGCCATTGTCCTGAGACATCCCTCCGAGGAGAGCGCCGACATCGCAGCCAAGTACTCTCCTGTTCCGATCATCAACGGCGGTAACGGATCCAGAGAGCACCCTACCCAGGCTTTCTTGGACCTGTTCACCATCAGAGAGGAGCTGGGAACCGTCAACGGAATCACTGTCACCTTCATGGGAGACTTGAAGTACGGAAGACCAGTGCACTCGTTGTGCAAGCTGTTGCAACACTACCAAGTGAGAATCCAGCTCGTTTCCCCACCAGAGCTGAGACTTCCAGAGAACTTGAAGAGACAGCTTGTTGACGCAGGCATGCTTGTTGGCGAGTCTGTGGAGTTGTCCAAGGAAATAATTGCCAAGTCGGACGTTCTGTACTGCACCAGAGTGCAACAGGAGAGATTCGCCGATAAGGCGCAATACGAGCGGTTGAAGGACTCTTACATTGTCGATAACCGGATTCTGTCACATGCTAAACAGCACATGTGTGTGATGCATCCGCTTCCAAGAGTCAATGAGATCAAGGAGGAGGTTGACTTTGACCAGAGAGCCGCCTACTTCAGACAGATGCGGTACGGGCTATTTGTGAGAATGGCATTGTTGGCCATGGTGATTGGTATTGATTTTTAAGTAAGTAATATAGATGAACCATTTTAGTGAAGAATTAAGATTCAAAAAAAATAAATGCCTCCTACCGGATTTGAACCGGTGATCTTCGCATTACGAGTGCGACGCCTTACCACTTGGCCAAAGAGGCGATATAACGCTAAAATCTTGGGTCCTCCAACCATATTGCGCGACTGTGGTTGAAAGCACATGATAAATGTCCTCGGCTCAACAAACATACCTACACCGTATCACAAATGACGGGTCTCTATTCTATGTAAGTTATTTGACCTTTTTCTGCTCCTCCCGCTTCTGGTAGATCTTGGCGGTGAATGGCTCCTCGAGCAGCTCGACCAGCTGGTACATGGCGTAGACGAGACCGGAAATGAAGATTCCAGAGGCCTTTCCGTACCACAGAGCAGTTCCCAAGAAACACAAGGTGGAGCCGTCATACATTGGGTTGTCAAGAACAGAGAATGGGAAGTCTGTGATTCTCTCGTCCTTGAGGAAGCCAAAGTGGTCTCCGAGGTAAGTTCCGACTATTCCCAGCTTGTACATGGAGCTGGACACAAACACGGATCCAACACCAAATGAGAGCACGCCCAATGCCTTAACAAGAGGAACGTCCAGCAGCGGCGAGGTTGGCTGCTCCAAAATAGCCTCTTTGTAAACATGATCTCTGATCAGGCCAAGAGTGAACACACTAACGGAGAACAGGTACACGGCAAGCAGCTTGCTTCCAAAGGCCAGTTTGGAAAGCAGTTTGGTGTTGTACTCGAGACGGGCTCCAAAGTTCCAGTACAATGGGTTGAACACCACAAAGAAGATGGACAGTTGCAACTTCTTGGAGTTGAAGTCAATGTCTTTAGCAACGTCCCAATACGAGTCCATGAACTTATCAACGAATTCCATTCTTATTCGGCAAATTGCAATGGTCTTGTGACTAAAAAAGGCGGGCAACACTGCGTCATTTTATATGGGGTAATTTCCAAAATGTTGAACCGGTAAATCACATGCGCAAGTGTGAAAAAAGGGGAGACGTTTCGGATATTATAAATAATGGGCCTATTCCTGATCTGGATTTTCGTGCGGACCAACAATCCAAATTCACATGCCATTGTAAAACGGCTATCGGGATTCAGTTTTAGCCGTGCTTCTGAGTATTTCCCCTTTACTAATTGTAGTGATCATGGTTACTGATATATCTGTTTAGTCGTGAAGCCGTTCTGCCGCGAGTCGCCGCTCGATCTCGGCCAGCTCTCTCTCCCGGGCTTCGATCTCCTCTCTCTTTGCAATCAGGTCCCGCTGAACACGCTCCTCGAAAGCACGCAATCTCTGTTCCTCCTGGCGGATCTGCTCCTCCTTGTCGAGCCCGTTCACCGCAGCCCCGTGCTGAGAGACAGTGCTGCCGTTAGCAACGCTGGTGACCCCCGTGGTGATCGACGGCTCCCGCGCACTGCTGATCTCGCTGGTGTCTGCTTCCTCGCCCAGAGTCTTCATCCGATAGTTCTCATAAAGCACCTCGTGGGTGTAGTCCTTGAAGTCGCTCAGGTGGGTGATCAACAAGGTGTTCTTCAACGAAACAAAGTCGCTGGTCTCGTTGTCAAACACGTCGATCGTCCCCCACGGATACACCCTTACTCTTCTGGTCTCGCCGGTGGCAGGGTCTTTGTGCGTGGTGTTGGAGCCCATGACGGCAAATGGCACGGTCTTGGACAGATATCTGTTGAGTTCGATGGTTTCCTCGTCGGCTCCCTCGTCGTTGTTGAAAAAGTCCTCGTTGAAGTTGAAGATCGGCAACTTGAACCGCTCGATGTCTTCCATGATGAGTTTCTTGTTTAGTTTCAGCTCAGAAACAGTCAACGAGTCTGATTTGGCAATCAAAGGAATCACATTCACCAATTCTCCAAGGTTTCTAATAAACTCCACGTCTTGCTCTTTCAGTCCATGGCCGGTTGGGGTGATGAAATATAAACAAACGTGCACTCGGCCGTCCTTGAATCTTGGGTTTCTTCTCAGTTTCGACTCCTCGATCAAAATCTCGTCAAATTGGTGCTTCACATAGTCCTGGATCACTTCAAAGGACATGCTGTTGTCGAGACTCGTGCCGAAGCCAGGAGTGTCAATCAGGTTCAGACTGATCCGAACACCCTCGCCGTCCTCCAGCTCAACAGTGCTCTTTCTCAGTTGCAAATCACGCTCTGGGTTCGAAAGTTCTTCCGGCGAATAAAGGTTAATTGTCGAGGATGGCTCGACAATCAACTGGTCGCACAAAGAGTTGATGAACGTCGACCGACCCGAGCCGCTCTCTCCGGCCACCATCACGGTGAAGTGGAGCGACTTCTTGAGTGTTTTCCGTTTACGCAAAGCTGCGGAGTTTCCAATAACTGTCACCATGCTGTGTTGTCAACGCGTGAAGAAAATTCGCGTGTCCTTGGAAATTAAAATAAAAACAGTACACCTATTACGAAAGAAAAAGATCCTGCACAGCCGTGAAAAAGTTACCGAGACACACAGACACTAGTTTGCGCGGGCCTTGATCATCTGCAACTGCTTGTACCGGCGCTCCCAGCTGAACTCCCAGTCTGGGTTGGTCCAAATGTCGCAGAATTGGCCGCACAAAGAGCTCACGTTCCGGATATAGCTGGCAAGGTTTTCCTCACTGATCAGCTTAAAATGGCTGGGGCTGAAGATTCCGGGGATGCCTGCTTTTCTGTACAGTTTGACACGGTACAGTGATGTTCCCTCGCAAGGCTCGATCACAAGACTCACGAAGTTGAACTGCGACGCAATTTTGTGGAAATCAAACGATTCCCCGGACTCGTTCCAGTATATGTTGACAAAGTCGTTTCCAATGTGTCTTTTCTTTGAACTGATTCCTTCGTCTGTGTCGTCGTCCTTGCATCGCGGCATCATCGTGGTCACATGGTAGCACACATGACTGACCGGCGAGTGGTAATGCACCGTGTATTTCCCGTCAAGGTCGTTCTGAGTATCAAGTCCCCCGACATAATACTCTTTGCAGTTGCGCAGCCGGATCAGATTGCCCAATTTAGTGACAAACGTTTCGTACTGTCGCGATCCAAACTGATTACCCAGGATCTCACGTTCTGTGGTCTGGCCTGGACCAATATACACCACGCCGACCTTTTCCAGGTTCACAACGGGCATTCTGTCCATGACTGCAATGGACCGACGTGTTTGGTCGTCCATCTGCAACGGCACCGCCTTTGTGTTTCCGAGATTGAAGAGCTGCGACTCCAAAAATCGGGGGCCCAGCGCTGGACTCGATTTGCGGTTGGACAGCTTGACCTCGAACCGGTCGGTCGACGTGGGTCTGCGCACCACAACAACGGATTTATCTGTTTTCTCGTGCGAACAGATGGTGAGAATGGCGTTTTGCGTGATCCAGCTCTCTGTCTGATAGTCTTTCTCCGTGCCCAGAGCTGGCTCCACCATGAACGTTGGGTTCAAGTTCGACTCGCTGTACGAAAGCCTGTTGATGGCTTCATAGTACACTTGGTTCTTTGTGTTGTCGAGTCCAAGCATTGTCAAGTGTTTGGTGATGAACTCGACCATCTGGTTTCTGTGATCCACGGACAGTTTCAGAAACCAGCCGCAAATGGCACGATACGACATCGTGGTGAGGAACAACAGAAGCTGCTGGCTGACCTCAAACGATTGAGTCGAGGGCAGTTTGTCCAGAGCCGAGTCGGCGAAATTGACATCGTACTCTTTCTTCTGTTGGAACGTATCTTGCGAATACTCGATGTATTTGAACGCAATGGCAAAGATACGCTTGTATTCCTCGATGGTGAGATTGGAAAGTAGCGACGGCAGCTCCGACAAACTGAACAGCAAATCCAAAATTGGTCCTGAAGTTGTTGGCGAAGAAAGTCTGGTTTGCAGGATTGTGAGAATTGGAGTCAAAAACCGTTTAATAGAACCCGGGAACTCGTAACAGGAAACGTTCAAAAAATGCAGACATGGAATGCCTGTCTTGTCCCACGACTGCAATGCGGAAATGACAGAGCTGATCAGGAGATCTTCCTCAGCTCTGGAGAGATTCTGTTTATAGGCTGGGATGGACGATAATGTTCTGATCAAGGCCACCTGGACGTCTGCTTTAGACAAAGAAACAGGATTAAAAGACCAAGGGAACTTTAATTGCAGTTGGTTGCAAAGCACACGCAAAAGTCTGGACACTTGCTGAATTGACGGGAAAAGTGTCGAACATGCCATCTGTGGACAGAAATGTCCCAACACAAACGAATACACTTCCCAATCGACAAAGTTCTCAAACACATCGATCACCAGGTCCAGCCAATCGGACAAGTCTGAAACTTGCAAAGCCTTGGAGTTGCATGTTTTCAGCAACTGAGATGGGAAGTATGCCAGCTGTTCCGGATACTTCCACTTGACTGTGTCTGAAAGTTGTGCTCCCGTGTTGGTGTTTCTTCCTAGATTGTCACACAGTCCTTCGACATTGTCGACTTCTTTGAAGCAGAGGTAGTTTCCCTTCGGACGGGCACTAATCAGCAATCTTGCAACCACAAGAAACGTGTCATGGTCTGTTTTTAAAGTGTCAACTGCCGTTTTAAACAGAAAGTCAAACAGAACTTTGGTTTTAACTGTGTTTCTGGAACCTTGGCATAACACCAACAACGAGTACACGAGATGTTTCACGAACAAACATGACTGCGGGAACTCAGAAACCAGGTTCTGAAACAAGGCGTCGTCGACTGCTAATAGCAGCTTTGCTAGCGTCTCCTGATAGTCCTCCACCTCCCAGAAGCCTGGGTCGATGATCAGCTGAACGTAATACTTCAAATCCTGCGGGTCTTCCACGATCGAGTAAGACTCATAGAATGCTGTTTCGAGGACGCTGAGCACTTTATGAGACTTGCCGAACGTCGACACGAGCGACTCGCAGTTTTGCTGCCAGTTTTCCGTCACCGTCATGCACCGCAATTCCATGTTGTATGTTTCCATGACGAAATCTAGCTGGTCTGGCGAAAGGACCTGTTTATGTTTCTCAAGCAGCGAAACCAGGTTATCTCTCCACAGAGGTCTGGAGAGAGTCCGGAGATGGTCCAACACCTTACTGAAGGCGTCTGTGTCAATTCTTGTCCCGTCCACTTGCGAAAGAAGGTCCCAGAACTGCGAAGACATAAGGTGTCTATCGGAGATGAGACCGTGCTCCAGCATGGAGAGTATTAGCGAGATGGTTGAGTCTGCGATTTCGCGGTCCTGCGATCTTGACGACACCATCAGAGCGTTCAAGACGAGGTGTTTCGTGCTGTTGAGCACATCGGTGACGAGTTTGCCTGTTTTTGTCGCGTCGTTGTAATAGTGGAGGTATGTTTGGATGAGGTGGAAACAGCCGAGCGTAGAGCCTGGTTCCTTTTCGATGACCTCGCAACAACTGACAAGGGTCAGGAGCGAGTAGTTGGGGCTGCTGAGTAGGTTGAGCAGCATGCTGTTGCAGATATGGTCGATCTGGATGTTTTTAAGGTTTTTGGATGCACCAATGAGCTGGATGATAGGGTACAGCGATACCGACGGCACACTTCCCAAAGATATGTATGTGTCTATTATTTGGAGATGCAGGGACAGAACGTCGATGTTTGGGGTGGATTTGGCGGTCTGGAGGATTTTCGCGAGATAGGTGCTCAAATCTGACAGGTCAAACAGGTTGAAGTTGAATTTCAGACACTCTGCCAGGAAATTCAAAAATTCTATCTGGAGTTCATGGTTAGACGTCAGTTTGTTAAGTTTTTCCTTGAGGACTTTTCCCAACGGCGATGGTTGGTAGATCAGCAAATCGTAAATCTCTCTTCCGTGGTCGGTAAGCAGTTCCAAACTTTGGATGCAGTAAGATAGATCTGTTTGTAAATATTTCAAGATATCTTTATAGTAGGACATTTTAGTAGGCACCGAATGGTCGCTAGACTGAATACAAATTAACAACAAGTTGAACGTTTCGTGTCTGAGCGATTGCGGGTTTGATTTGTCCAAGTTTTGTTTGGCCAAGAACCATAGTTCGGGAATAGAGGAAATGGACTTTGTTTTAATGGAGTGTGCCAGCTGACGGATGGCTGTAATTTTGGCGGAAGTTGAGCCGTCTTTTAGCGTCGATAGGACCTCCTTTTGATTGATCAAGTCGGTTCCCACGACGCTCGGCTGAATCAGCGTGGGTTTTGACCGAAAAGTCTTAGAGATGGACTTGAACATGACATGAATGCAAAATAATTAATTTTTTTTCTGTGATGCATGAATTTTTGATGTGTCAAAATGTCTTGTTTGTTTTCATATCAACCAGCATGCTCGAAAACTATATAAACGCGCGTGTTTGCTGCTGAACATGCAATGGATCGTTTTCTTGTTTCTGTGTGCGAATTGGCGGCTAATCCGACCGCCCAGTCTGTTGGGCTCGGAGTCGGTGCGGCTGTAATAGGGATACTCGGCACTTTGTTCACTGGCAGAGCCGACGACCAGGGACTCACTCTATTGCAGGAACTGATTGAGATTGAAAATACCAACAAGACAAACACGATGGCTCAAGAACAGTACAAGGAGCTTGTTGAGCTGGGCGGGCTGGTGGCCGCGGTCGTTGTTGTTGGTGGAGCTGCTGTTTTGGGGGCTGTTTTTTATTTGTGGGCTCGACTACGGAAAACAGAGTCCCAACTGGGCCAGATACGGAATTTGCTGGAGAAGTCCACTGGCAGCGAGGAGGAGATGTTCTACAACGTGTCGATCCGTCTGCAACAGGAGGAGGACAGAATGTGTATGACGTTTGATGAGTTGATGGCCAAGAACTTCTCGCTCATTGACGAGAAGGTTGCACATTTCCAGGCAAAGATGAAATCGTGTCGCCAAGCTATTAGAACCGAATTTGACAAACTCAAAGATATCAGATCAGAAACAGATACTTGCAAGCAGGAGTTGCAACAGTTTGACACATCGCTGACAGAAAACGGTTGCAAATTAAAAGAACTGCAGCAGTCGCTGGACTCCCTGAAATCAAAGGTCCAGGTGTACGACGCAGATATTGATACCAAGTCGGAGCTCATGGAGAAAGAGTACGAGCTGACCAAGATCCAGCTGTGCAAAAGCAACCTGATGCTGACCAACTCGCAGATCTTGTTTGAGAAAATCCTCGGCAAATTGGATGAGGAAAACGCCATGGACCTGAGCGACGTGCTCAAGGACCTGGACCACGGCTCGTTCGACCAGGACGACTACCTCAAGTCGTACATGGAGTCCACAGACCTGACTCTTGTTGATTTCGGCAAGAAACTCGACCTCGTGCAGCTGACGTTGTCGTCTCACCAGGAAGACATTGAAAAAAGCAAAATGTACGTCCAGGAATCCAAGGACAATATGACCAAGGAACTGACTCTGTTCAAGTCGCACAACGAGCAATGGTTGTACAACTGGATCTCCGTGCTGTACGGTCTTTTCAACTCGGACGTGGCCCAATTGCAGCTGCAACTACTGGGAATTGACGACCTGGACAGCTTGAAAAAATTGGAGCAAACGGGAGTCTATTTGAAAGACGAGTGTGTTTTCATCGAGAACTTCATCTTTGACTGCAAAAAACAGTGTTTCAGTCTCCTCAGGGAAATCAGCCTGCTGTTGTTCGAGTTCTATCTGCTCAAAACAGAGTACCTGAGCCAAGACCAGATCCTCAAAGAATGCGAGTCACGTGTCGAGTCTACAGTCAAGGGTCTTTTCCACATGTTTGATCTGAGTCTTGGCAATTCCGGGCTCAGCGACAAAGACTCGACCAACCTCCGTCAAATTGTGTACAAGTTTGAGGACAAATTGGTGAGCGACCTGAATCTCACGTGTTCCAACTTCAATGTGATGGTGAAGCAGAATCTTGACGATTTTTTGGTCATATTCCGAACACTAAGAGAAATGGACGAGCGGTTACCAATGAGCGACGAGGACTCCTCAGTGATAATTGCCGACTCTGAGAGTACTAGAACGTCCGACTCCTGGGGCCTGGAAGACGTCTCCAGTTACAAACCACTACGTCTTGTTGAGAAGAGAGCTTCTGGTTAAAGTTTGCACTGCCCGGGGAAAATTCAAGCTGGATAATTTTCGAGATTGAATTACAATTATTTTCCAACTTATTGGATAATAAATGGGACGGATAATCTTGCTGAAAAACAAAACTGTGCCCAGCGATCCGTACGATGCACTTTTCTCCGAGAAGCAGCACGAGCCGGTGTTTCTTCCGCTACTGAAACACTCGTCGATCAACCAGACAGAGGTGAAGAGTTTCCTAACCTCAGAAACGTATCTGAGAGAGTATCAGGCATTGATTGTGACTTCGCAGCGATGCATCGAGGCGTTGGCGGATCTGGTGAACGAGCTGCGACGCGACGGATTTGACCGTCTGGACTCGATCCTCAACAAGCCGTCGTACACTGTGGGTCCTACAACGTACCAATATTTAAAGGATCTTGGATTCAATGACATTAGGGGCGGTAAGCTGGCGGGCAATGGCTCGATTCTGTCGGACATCATCATCAAAGACCCGCTGTTCGAACAAACGCCCAAAAAAGTTTTGTTTCTCACAGGCGAGATCCGCAAAGACATCATTCCTCGCAAACTGAAAGCCAAGAGCTTCAACGTTCTGGAGCTTGTTTCGTATCGCACAGAGCCTCTGGCCGACATTGGCGCGCGCTACGTGGAGGCCACGCGGTCGCCTCCGCAGAACTCGTGGCTGGTGTTCTTCTCGCCGCAGGGCACCACCGAGATCGTGCGCATCTTGAAGCAAAACGACCACGGACTGCAGATCGCGTCGATCGGCCCCACGACGGAAGAATACCTGCTAGCCAACGGCATCACGCCGGCTGTGGTGTCGCCCAAGCCGGACGCTGCGTCGTTGGCAGCCAGCATCGCTCAGTACGAGCACTCGCTCTAGAACGAGTACGTCACCTTGTTTAGTTCCGAAACCACCAGCACGCTCTCCGAGCTATTTTTGTAGTCCAGTTCCATCTGGATTTGGAAGTCCGACCGGTTCTTGATCTCCACGCGGGGCAGCTCCAGCTTGCCCACGCGCAGTGGAGTCAGCACCAGGTCGAACGCGTAGCTGAGACTCTTGTCGTTGCGCAGGTCGAGGTCGAGCTCAAAGTTCTTGATTCCAGACACCAGCCAGTTGTTCTCGTTTTCCAGCAGCTCCAGCCGCAGGTTCACGTCCGTAGGTACCTCTGGCTCGTTCTGGAACCGCACCTTCTTGTTCTCCTTTTCTTCCAACTTGAAGAGCACCACGTTCAGCAACAGCCGCGCGTGGATCGGCTCGCAAACGAGGTACTGCAGCTGCTTGTCGAACTCGAACTCGACGATATTGATGGTGTTGATCGTCGGAACCGTCACGACGATGTTGAGCTGCTGGTGCACCTCTTCTAGCACCGCCACACGCAGCTCGGGAGCCACCTCGAGACTGGACTCGAAGAACAGTCGGATCTCGCGAACGAGGTCGGCCAGATCTTCCTGCTTGATGCGGTCCAGATGCTGGTGATGGCGACGAACGTCCAGCGGGTCCAGCCGGATGTTCCCCGTGAGAGCATAGTGGTTGACCTTGAGACTCTGTGCGCGCAACAGAGCACGCAACAGCCCCAGGTACTTCACCAGCCGCGGACTGTGGCGCATGATCTGTGCAGTGAAGAGTCGCTCCAGAATGCACACCATCTCGTCCTTGATGTTGTTGTAGTCGATCTGCAGGTTTAGGCTCTCGTCGTTGAGGCTCTCGATCTTGTAGAAAAACGTGGACCCCTGGTCGTTGAACGCGACGATGTTGTGCGGCTGCTGCCACGTCTTGACGGTGGAGTTACGCGACGTGAGCTCGACCGTCTGGATACGCACCGGCTGGTTCAGAACGGGCGAATTGATCGAGTAGTTCGAAAACAGCTTCGACGACTTGAATATGTCCTGCACGGAAACGGCAATGTGCAGCTGTGTGTCCAGCTGCGTGGTCACGTGCTTGGCGTGGCCAGCAAAAGCAAGTCCGTACGACAGCGAAACGAGCGTGTTGGCCACCTCTGGTGGGAAGAAGTAGGGGATCCGCACGAGTGCTGTGGTTCCGGCCGCAAACTGTCCATGGCACTGGAAAACCAGCTTGTCCGGGGTGCTTTCGATCTCCGCGTCGATCTGCTTCCCCTCGTGCTCCACCACATAAGTGGACCCGGCTACCAAACGGTCGATATCTGTTTTGTAGAACACGAAACTGCAGTCCTCCACCGGCCGCGACCCGACACGCGCAACCAGCATGATCTCGTCCTTGTTGAGATGGCGCACGCGCGGCACCACTGCCTCCAGCACCGTGTTATTCTGCAGTTGGCCGTCCTTATGGAATTGCTCGATCTGGAACGCAAACACCTGGCCTTTCAAAGAGCTCTGGATCTCCAGCTGGCCGATGCGGATGATGATCTTCTGTGCCTCCAGCACGCCGCACGTGAGGTCGCCCGACGTGAGCACAAACGTGTTGTACCGGCCGAGCTTGCCGTTGGCCAGCCGGAAAGAGGCCTTGTCGAACGTGATGATCATCTCGTCGAACGCGACCTCGATCTTGCTGGTGATCTGCACACTGATCCCGTACACGTCCACGTCGACGGCGTCGATGCAGGTGTCGAGCTTGCACTCAAACAGCTCCGTCGACACAAAGTTGACCTTTTCTGTGAGACTAGCCAGCATGCGGTCGAGCTTGTCTTTCTCAAACGGCTCGTCTTTGGCAACGAGCTCCAAGTAGGAGCCCAGCAGTACCGGCAGAACGTCGCCGTGGTTCCCGCTGAGCTGCTCCAGGTTCTCGATCAGGATCTTGAGCACGCCCAATGTGATGAACTCCCAATCAGAGTTCTTGAAGTAAGTGAACGAGTCGCTCAGAATCTCCGACGACGTCTCCAGCTCCTTCATGTTGTGGAAGTAAATCAACGCAAGTTCGGTCGACAGCGTGTCCACGGTGCGCGGACGCGCCTGCGACTTGGAGTATGCCTCGATGGCGTCCTTGGTGTCCTGGACGGCTATTTGGTGGAACGTTTTCTCCGAGGCCAGTTTGGTCTGCGAAACTTTGGCGATCAGCTCGTACGGCTCATCAGACAGCGGGATCTCCACCAGAGAGCCAGAAAGAACGTACTTCTTCGAGTGCGCAAGTTTGATCAGCTCGTTTCTGTTTAACAGACGCAAGTCGCCAAGTTTCTCGTACAGTTCAGAAAGATCTCTGTCTGTTTGGCGGAGCAGCTGTTGCAACTGCTTGCTGGACAAATAGTCGTCGATCAGGGCTAACGAGAGCTCGTTCCGTCTGTAGCTGGCGTCGAACGACCGTATAAAGCTCAAGAGCAGGTGGATCCAGCGGATCTGGTTGCGCACAAACGAGGCCTCTGTGGTGGCCGAGTCGCGCAATATGACGGTCTGTTGCTTGAAGAAGTACGCCTTGAGCTTGAACTTGGAGTTGAAGTCGATGACAATGTTATTTTCTGCCAACGGGAACTGGTCCACGGTAGCTTCTTCCAGTCCGTCAGGGATCTTCATTCTGTTCACCTTGACAAACATTCGTTCGAAACAGTCCAATGCGTCCTCCAATTGGCCCAGATCCATGTACAAGTTTGCTTCGTTGTTGAGACTCGAAAGCGAATCTTTGGACTGGAAGTACGTCAGCCGGTACCCGAACGCTTCAGTGAGACCGGCTCTAATGGAGCCCAACAATGCTGTCCAGTTCTCCTTCTTGTCTGCTGGCGACGGGTACGACGACTTGATCTTGAAAATGGTATCGAACGGGAGCTCATCGTGAACAAAGTCTGTTTTCAATTTGGTGAGCAAATTGGTTTTCAACAACTTGTCTGTTCTCGAGACCTGCGACGAGTCCTCGTACAAAATAATGAAATATATACATGCTGGTTTGAGGGCGCGGATGTTGTTGAGCCATTGCTTGACCACCGGACGCACCTTGGCCCGGTACTCGTCGAGACTGGTGCTGTTGATGAAGATGAAATTGAGGTAATGGTTGTCAGATGACGGGACATAATGCAATTTGATGTTATTAATGGTCCGGACAGAGGCCGACTGGTTGGGTTTCCAATGGAGCTTATCCAGCTTGGAAACCAGGTCCAGGTCATCCTTAAGTCTTGGGAAGATCGCAAACGGATCGTAGTAGCCAACTTTCAGTGGTATTGGCCCTTTTGATTGGTTCATATCATCAAGATCATACACTGGAGAAAAAAATAACAATAAATTCGCGTTCAACAAGGTTAATTATTTTGTACAATTTTTTTTATTTACATGTCTTCCGAGGACAAACAGAAACCGGCGCTTGTCTTTGGTGGGCTGACTCCATTTTTGGGGAAGGCCGTGGCGCGCCTGTCCAAGAGCGATCCACTTGTGGAGGTGCGATTGCGGGAGCCCGAGAAAGCAGAGAATACAGAGTCTGGTACGGTGGAGTACTGGAAGACCTTGGCCAAGCGGGCCAACATTCACATCCAGGATCCGGAGGAATTGGATTCTGAGGTAGCCAATGGCGATGTGAGTGCGACAAGGACTTCGAATCTATCGTTGTTGAACGGACACAGAGACAATACCCCGGCAATTGAGAGTTTGCCAGCGAGAAGCCTCAAAAGTCGCAGTGACGACTTTGGGTGGTTCCGCAGGTCAAAGGAGCGGTACGCGCGGTACCTTGAAACGTCTGCGCGCGAGGAGCGGGCCTTGTATGAGCAGATCCAGAACGAGTACCTCAACGAGCGCGAGAGCCTGCGTCAGCTAGAAGAGGATGAGACTCGTGCAGCCCGTCTTGCGGAGTTCCTAAGCAGCATGAGAGCTGGGCAGGAGGCGAAGGAGCAGGAGGAGGTGGAAAGTGAGGAAGAGAAGGAAGTGGATGTCGAGGAAGAGAACGATGAAGTGGCAGAAGAGGAGCCAGAGGAGCCAGAGGAAGAACAGTCAGAGGAAGAGGAATCTGAACAACTAGACGAACACAGTGAACAGGACAGCGACAATTCCATTGAGGTGATCGAGCTCGGATCGGAAAGCGAGGAAGAGCCGATCGTCGAGAACGTGGGACGCTACGCCGGCAAGACTCTTCCCCGTCTGAACCACTACTTGAGAATGCAGGACGTCGAGGCTGAAGAGAGCGAGGAGGAGGAGGAGGAGGAAGAGGAGGATGAACAAGAAGAAGAAGAAGAAGGAGAGGAGGAAGAGGAAGAGGAAGAAGAGTCCGAACAGGAATCTGACGCTGCGGACGTCTCCGTGGCCGAGTCCAGTCCTGAACAGCGGTACCAGAACCTGTTTGGCGAGAGCTCTCAGGCAGAAGAGTCCGAAGACGAGCCAGAGCAGGAGTCCGAACAGGAATCGGAACAAGAATCCCCTCAGTCGTCGGACGTCGACCACATCATGTCTGAGGCCGACCATGTGCTCAACCAGCCGATCAACGACAGCATCTACTACTCCTACAACGAGCCAGGAGACATCACCGAGAATATCGACTGGACACAGATTGCAGCTCTCGCGCAACAGGACCTTCCGTCGAACCAAACCACCTATGAGGACGAGGTTGACGATACCACGCGGATTGTTGTTCCTGCTGACCAGACCCAGTCGCACACAATCGACGAGTCGATTCTCGATCCTGAGCTGTATCAGACAGCCATTGAGGACGACCATGAAGAAACTCAGGAACAGGCCGCACAGGAACCTGAACCTGTTCCCGAATCTGTGAAGATGCCACCTCCTGCACCTAAACCGGTCAAGATCCCGCCTCCCATTGAGCTTCCAAAACGCGTCCCAACTCCCGAGTCGCCTAAACTAAACCCAGGCCTACTGGATCTGTTATCTGGAGCTTTCGAGGTCCACAACAAGGCCACCCAGGAACCCGAAAACGAAACAGAGCACGCTGAAAAGTCTGTCCAATTTGTGGAGCCAGAGGAGTCGACTCTTGCCGAGGAAACTGTACAGACCGAAGGTTTGGTGGAAGCCGAGTCGACACAGATGGTGACGGCAGACGAAGCTGACACCACGCATATTTACGAAGAGACTGCGGACGGTACAGAGCTGGTGACAGCACAAGAGACAACTCTTGGGGCCGAGGAGCTTGAAACCGCGCACGAGTTCAGCGAGACCGCGTTTGAAAGTGCGCTCGATATTGACCAAGAAGGTCCGCTTGAGATTGTTGCAGAGTCGTCCATGATCGAAAACGTGGACAGCGGTAACGAGTCGATCGACCAGGAAGCGTATGCTACTGCTCTAATGAACACGCGGGTGGAGGACGACGACGACACGGAGTCGGTGATAGCCAACCAGACTGTGTACTACGACGAGAACGAGGCCGAGGAACTGCTGACGGCTGTTGACGACGAATCGGACTCGGAGATCGTTGTTGACTCTGACGAGTCGCTGGATGAGCAGGAAGTGGAGGAGAACATTATGAAAGAGTACGAGACAGAAGTTGTTGGAAAGCGGCCACTGGAGGAGGAGGACAAGGAGGAGTCTGTGAAACGGCCCAAGGTTGAGAATAGTCTTTTGAGCTCGCTGGCTCAGTTTGCGTCCGAGGCGCTGATGGACATCTCGACGCCTGAGATTTCAGAGTTTGCCGAGGAGCAGGCGGAGGATGCAGAGGAAGTGGAGGCAGAAGCGGAAGAAGTTGTTGAGGTCATTCCTGCTCAAGACGAGTCCGAGTTCGTGACTGCCGTTAACGAGTCGGAGGCCCAGTTGGAGGCCCAGTCGGAGGAGGAAGAACAGGCTGAAACGACAGTTATCCATGTTCCGCTGGAGGAGTCTGCGGACTCTGACGAGGAATCCGCCGTGGAAGCTGAAGAGGCGGCCGCACCCGAGCCGGAAGAGGTGGACGAAGTCGAAGAAGGTGTCGAGACGATACAGGTGCCTGTTGAAGAGGAGGAAGCAGAGGCTAAATCAGAGTTAGAGCCACAGGAGGAATCAGACGTGGAGCCACGGGGAGAGCGGCTAGAGCACCCAGGCAAGGCAGAGGAGCAGCTCGAATCCGAGCAAATTGTCGAGTTCAATGAAACTCCCGTTAGCGAACCAGCTGATGCGTCCGGCGACGTGGCATCTCAGGAGGAAGTTGAGGATATCGAAGAGCCCCAGGTTTCTTTCCCCGTGCAGTCTTTCCCACGCTCGTTCCTGAGCTCTTTGAAAGACTTTGTGTCGGGTACCATGATGGACATGGACGAGAGCGGCGCGGAGCAACCAGAGGAATTGGAGGAGCCAGAGGAATATGCCTTGGAGCCGCAGGTTGAGGCCGTCGAACCGGAAGAGACAGAAGAAGTGGAGCAGGACCGAGACCAAGCAGAGGAGGAAAAAACCGTCCATGAGGAGGAAGTGGAGACCCCAGAGGAGCAGGAAGAAGCTCTCAACACTGCCCTCGAGCCTGAGCTGCCTGAGGAAGCTGATGAGACAGCGCTCGACGAACAGGAGACTACTAATGATGCCGAGGAGACTGTTGTTTTGGAGCCCGAATCGGACCACGAGATTACGGAGGTTGGCGAGGTTGACGTTGCAGAGACACCACGCCGTGGAATCTTCTCTTTCCTACAGAGCTTCACCTCGAAGACGCTGCTCGACATCACTCCAAAGAAGCAGGAGCATGAGCAGGGGGAAGAAGTGGAAGAAGTGGAGGAAGTGAAGGAAGAGGAAAAGGAGGAGGAAAAGGAGGAGATAAAGGAAGAACAGGAAGCGGAAGCGGAAGGCAAGGCCTCAGAACAGGAAGAGCCATTCGAGCCATTCGAGCCAGTCGAGCCAGCCGAAGAAAATGAAGCCCCTGAAGCTCACGAGTCACCCGAACAGCCGGCTCAAGAGATCTTTGTGCCTCCGGAGCCGGAAGTCTCTGAAAGGGAGTCTTCTGTGGAAACGATCGTGGTCATGCCGGAGAAGTCGCCAGAGAAGTCGCCAGAGTACTCTACAGAGGAGTCTGCTGAGGCGGCCGTTGATGAACAAACTGAACCGTCTCCACAAGCAGAATCACCGCCTGTGTCTCCTGCTACCTCCCAGCCAGAGCCGGCGGAGGTGCCCACGATAGTGGTGAAGCCAGACCCTGTTGTGCTGGGAGCCGTGCCGTCGCTGGCTGCCGAAACCAACTCGGACGAGGAGCGCGAGACGTCGCCCAACAGACGCACACGCAGCCGGGGCGACAGAAAGCGCAAGGGCGAGCAATCCTCGGAGACGGCGAAACGGCACCGTGTTGTTTCTGACTCGAGCGACGGTGGGCGCAAGCCGCGCACGCGGTCGCTGGTGCGCAAGGACCGGTCGTACCGTGCTCCGTCGCCGATCAAGATCACGAGCAGCGGGATTTCCACACGGAGCGGACGAGTTCTATCGTACGAGCTGGACCAGAAGCCGGAGGTGAGTCCGCCATCGTCGGCGCTACCAAAGGCGGTGAAGGACCTGGTCACTGAGGCCGAGACGTTCATCGAAGAGGAAAAGACCAAGGAGCTGAAAGATCTGGTGGACGAGGCGGAGAAGTTTGTGGAGAAAGAGGATAAGGAGGAGTCTGAGGAGGCAACGGCGCGGCGGTCGCGGCGGTCGCGCGAGCCGGAAGATACCAAGAAACGCATTCCTCCGCCAAGACGGCTCCGCAGACGTCGCAACAGGAAAAACTAGATAGATGATAATATATTGTACATTAGCTATTACTCGTAGCTATTACTCGTAGTCGTCTTCTTCTTTGGCGTCGACCCGCTCTGCGACGGCCTCGCACGCGTCGACCCAGTCGGAGTAGATGTCGATTGGCTGGGACAGCGAGTTGATTGGCGACTGGAACGACTGGCCGCACACCTTACACGACAGCATGCCGATGTTGATTTTCTTGTCGAGCGTGCAATTGACGGACTTTTCGTGGTTGCAGAACAAACACGAGAACTGTGTATCAAGCGTCTGTTTGACTTTCTTGGCTGGAGCGGCCTTTGTTTTCCGTTTTCCCTGGCGGTTAGTGAACGGCGAATTTAAACACTTACCATTTGAACAATAAAGAAAAAGAATTTAAGTGAAATATTTTTGTGAATTTTTTGAATTTTTTTCAAATTTTTTAAGTCCTAGCACTATGCCACCTAAAAGAACCAAGAAGGCTGCCAGTGCCATCAAGAAGGGCAAAAAAGTTGTTGGGGAGGTTGTCACGCCGAAGGTCGCCGACGAGGGTTTTTCTCTGAACGAAAAGGCCGTGAAAAAAGCAGTTTCTGAGCTGATCAAGTGGAAAGAGTCTTCCAAGTCGGATAAACCACAGCTGTTTGATGACGATGACGACACCAGCTTGTACCTGCAACTGACAAGCGTCAAGTTTTTCAACAAAAAACAGGGCTTCAAGCCGTCTGTGGTTGCTGTTCCGCATCCAGTGTACGATCTGGAAAACGACTTCAAGGTGTGTCTGATCGTGAAGGACGGCCAGATCAGCGCCGAGACTCTGGCGAAAATTGAAGCAGAGAACATCCCACACCTGTCCAAGATCATCGCCGCCCAGGAACTCAAGGGAGAGTACAAAAGTTACGAGGCCAGAAGAAAACTGCACAAAGAGTACGACCTGTTTCTGAGTGACGAAAGTTTGATCACCGCGCTTCCTAAACTGCTGGGCAAGATCTTCTACTCTACCCCGAAACTGCCGCTTCCAATTAGACTCACCACCAAGGACAACGTGTTCTCGGTGACGACGTTATCGAACCAGATCTCCAAGATGGTGAACTCGATCCACTACGTTGCGCCTATGGGTGTGAATCTGACCCTGAACTTGGGCAGTCTGCACCAGCCGCTAGACCATATCTGTGCCAACATCCAGGTTTTGGCGCAGCACTTTAAGAACCAGCCGTTGAAGACTGTCCAGTTGAAGCTGCTGGAGTCGCCAGGCTTGCCGATCTACGTTGCCGACCAGATCTTCTCCGAGAAGGACGTTGCTGAGAATGAGACAGACGAGCCAAAGTCCAAGGACCTCGAGGTTAGACTGTCCAAGTTCGAAAAGGGACTGGTCGAGCTGGCTCTGGATGAAGAACAGGTCGACAAGATCGTCGGACGCAAACAGAAAAAAGTCGACAAGCTCAAGAAACAGGAGTCCAAGCGCGGCAAGGAAAACCAGCCGGGCTCGGCCGCCAAAAGAAGAAGAAGAGCCTGACTCCAGGCTATCTAATGTACACTCTATAATTTTTCAATATAAAGACCGGGCTGTGCTGGAAAATAATTATCTGTAATGGTGACAAACACGGTTGTGGTGACCGACAAGCATCTTCTTGACGAGCGGAACAAGGATCTGTTGGCCGAGTTTGAGACGACGGTACGCGAGTCTGTCCCGTCGGGCGAGTCGGTGTCTGTTTCTGTTTTACGGTCTTTGCGACGGGTCGTTTTGATCTTTGACCAGATCGACACTGCAAAGAAAGTGTACGAGGCTTTGCAGAGTCAAGGAATTTCTGCAACCTATTCGCTGCGCAACACGAGCGTCGTGGACTCGGACGCGACGGCCGCTGGCGGTCTGTTGATGCCACCTGAACGCCGCATCGAGCTACAGTCTCCGCCTCCGTCGCCGTATCTGGGGTACACCCAGGAGCCGGAAGAACCACCGGAGCTGATCACGATGACCGAGCCGGAGTCGTTCTCGCACCTGTTGTACCAGCCCACGCAGGACGATCTGGACAAGGAACGGGTTTTCAACAGCAAGGAGTCGATCTCCAACATCCCGCTGCTCGTCGTGGACAGAGAGGAAGGAGAAGCTCTGCGCAAACGACAGCAAGATATACAGCAAGAGAAGTCAAGCAAGCCATAGCGAACATAAATATAAAGTGTCTAAATAACGTTCATCTTAACGAAATAGCAAGTCCCAAGGAAACAACAAGCATGAACTCGGTCGCGTAAAGAGCGATCTTGGGGTCGATCTCGATTGTCTTTGAGTAGATGGTGAGTAGAGCGGTTGGTGCGAGGATGAAAAGCACGTTTCTGATCATGGCGATGCATCCAAAGTACTCACCGTTGCGTTCTGGGTACGGGTAGTATTTCAGCACTGCTGAGTGGAGAACCGGGTCGAGGATCGAGGAGAAGCCGCTGAAAGCCACGCTCGAGTACATCACCAGCTGGTTGGGTGCGAGAATCACCACCATGCGTGCAAGCACGTCCATTCCGAGAGAAAGCATAAAGAAGATACGGTCGATGATGTCGATCTTCTTTGGCTTTTTGGTGAACTTCTGCGACAGGAACTTGGTGAACCACGGGTTGAACGCCAGAAGCACACACGACTTGGTCATGGTGGTGATTCCGGCGTACGTGCTGAGCTGTTTGCCGGCCCAGTTGAATTTGTATGTTCCGTACAGAGCAATCACGATTCCGGCTCCAACGGTGGACGAGAACGTGAGCATGTCGATGCATATTAACTTGATCACGTTGTATCTGGCGTTGTAGTCGAGATTTCCGTTTTCGTCGTAGCTTGTGATCCACAGCAGTTTGAGGGACGAGAAAAAGTTGTTGAGCGACGAGGTCTGTGCGCTGGTCGTTGACAGTCTTCTCTTCTTAGACATGAGTCTCTTTGGTCTGGACTCCGGCAACAACAGCGCTCCCAGGAAGAAAATGAACGTTTGGAAAAACGTTCCGATCTTCAGCACGGTGACGGAGGTCACAGGCAAAATCCCGCCAACCAACGGGCCCGCGGTGAGTCCTCCATACAAGAACGCTGTGAGAATGGCCAAGTTCTTGGGCCGGTCGGCCTCGTCCACCAAGTCAATTAAATAACTGTTGGACATCCCCATAGTAATAAATATTCCTCCTCCGATGGCGGTGCTCGTCTCTGCCAGCAGATACAGCGCCGTGGAGTAATGGTAGGCGTTGTTCACAAACAAGTACAGCTTGAACCAGGAGCAGAACACGAGCATAGCGAGATTGAACATTAAAACCGGTCTTCGGCCGTACAAGTCACTCAGATTGCCCAGCTTGATACTGACGGCGACGGTGATCAGTCCGCTGAGAATAGTTCTCCATTTCTGCACTGAGGCCAGCATATGTTGCACTTCTGGCGACCGACACATGATCGGATGGGCAGGGTGGGCCTCGTTAGCTTTTGAACAGATCGCGTCCAAAACAAGCGAGATCTCGATCGAGTCTCCCATGCTCAATCCAACACAAAGCAAGCTGATAAACGCACAGATCATGGCCACCGAAGGTCTCTTGTACCACGGAAGCTTACTGTGTTCGGTTCTGCCTTGCAATAGCAAGTCCATGTCCGATTCTTCAATCTCATCAGTCGGAAGATAAGTCTCTTCAGTATCTTGTCTTGCTGCAAGACCTTCTTCCAAAACATCGTCTCTAAAGATGGCGTCCACCATTGGGTCGTCCAATGGCATATGGCCCATTGCCGAGTAACCTGACTTGGGCTTATCGATCAGGTTGTCCGACTCGTTGCTCATAGTTCAACAATCAAGGGGCAACCTTGAGCTAATAAATAGTGGCACAGCCGAATTAGCAAGCGGCACTAATTTTTTTTTAGAATTATCCACACATTTTTTTAAGATATTGATAACCCACAGATGACAGAAGAGGCTCATGGCCTAAAGGATAGGATCCCGATCAAACCTCTTTGCACGGTGATCGTAACCAACTTCTTTAGCAGCGAACATGATTCGGGTGTTCTGAACCTGATGGTGGACGATATTGTCTACGTGCTCAATACCCCAAATTCCAAGTGGTGGGACGGGATCGTGGTGGATCCCGCTGGAACCGTAATCAGAGGCTGGTTTCCTCCGTCATGCACCCGTGTGATCTCGCCCGAACCTACTCCGCACACTTCCGTGTCCACCACAAGAGAAGACCGTCGCACAGTGGACTCCCTGCCCGTGCAGAAAACGTCCTCTTCCGTTTCCCATAACTCGCTCCACACGCCAACCTCCACCGACGAACGCTCGCGCTCGATCAACCTCACCTCCATCGAGGAAATCGACTCCTATTTCACCCCCGTCTCGTCCCAGCCCAGCTTCAACTTCATGCCCGTCTGGATCCCGCAAATTACCCAGGACAACGAGTTCATCTACTACAATTCGGCCCTCAACGTCCATTCCAAGGAATTGCCGCTGATCAGCGCGGACTACGTCGACGATGGGTCTGCAGTCGAAATTCCCGACCCCTCCAAATTTAACGGCATTCCAACCGTGCCTATAGATGTGAAGGAAACAGTTGAGCCCCAGCGTCCCGCAGATAAACCAGAAGACCCACCCCAGCAACACATCCCAACACGCGAAACCTCTGTCTACTGCCAGGCACACTCAGACGTGTCTCTATGGTACAATCCGGACCTATTCTACCATTCTCCAGGAGACGTCACCAATTGGAACATGATGATCAAAAGACTGCGTTACCTCGTCGGCATGTGCATGGACGCGATGAACAAAAACAACCAAAAGCTTTTTAACATTCATCTGAACCACGTCGGGTCTGATATCACCCTTCTTCACCAACTGAGTAACCTGATCATCAAGGACCTGCAAAATAACAACATTCTCGAGGCGGTGAAACAGCTGTTGCGGAAAATCACCACTTCCCTCATGCAACTGACCATCAATGGCCAGCTAGAGTTTGTGAGTCTGCGTATGGAGCAGACCAATTCAGACCCCGAGTCCGACGACGAGCCCGAAGGATCGCCGGAAAATAGCTGTCGGTTTAGCGAAGTGTACTACAAACGGGCCGAGATCAATGGTATCAAGCTGCTGAAAAGAGTCGACGTTCTCCGCGAGATCTTCATGAACCTCAAGTACGAACAGAACGTGGATCCAAACGGTATTCCGCTTCTGTACCCGAGGTTCTTCAAAAACAGATTCCACGCAGGTAACCTGACGAATCCGTTTGACGATATGGACAGTACATCAAATGTTGCGGAAAACCTGTTCATCGACCACCAGTCGCGCAAAAACAACATCCTGCTTAACGACGAAACGATCGAAAGTCTCGTGGAGGCCAGAAACCAGGCCTGTGAGCTGTTGAAAGAAGTTTCTGTGGTTCTCACCACTCCGATTCCAACAGAGACGAAATACAACGATTTCCTGGACGACCGCAACCTCAACATCTCGACGCTAATTTATCGCTGTGTGCCGTCTCTCAGTCGGTTCCTGAACCAGCTGGAGTCTATCGATTTCACGATTTTTGTCATGGTGAACCGACTATCCAAGAAAGAAAGACCTCAGTTTGAAGGTTTCTCCGAAGAGGAGCCGAGCGACTCGAACGTGTTGTTCTATGAGACCACGTCGAAACAGGTTGAACCGTTGTTGACCGAGTTCATGACTCTGAAGCAGAACCTGCACATTGTTCTGTCTGATCTGATCATTGACGCTCAGAACATGACCGTTGAAGATCCAGAGGTTTTCAAAGGACTGAAGGATGACGAGGTATTTTATGACAAGGGCGCACAATCTATGAAGACAGAGAAGTTCTCCCAGATGTTGATCAAGAATTTGCAGAAACAAGATCTGGAGAGCCTAGACAACGGGCTTTATCTTCTTGATTCGAACTTGAAATTACGTGCCACCATTTCCAAAGCCATGGAGCAGTTCAAGTTGCTGATTATTTCGGTGACCCAATTGAAAGAAGAACGTCAGACAATCCTGAACTACTGTTCCAGACTCATGAACACAGACTTCAACGTGGCGTCGCTGTTTGTTGCTGAACGGCACAACACAATGGTTTCTGCCAACAGTCAGTCAGAGTTCTATTATGAACGCAGATCCTCTTTGGACGGCGAACAGGAACTGCCATGGTTTTTGGGGGCCGACGACGACGAGAAGTCTTTGATTTTCGATACAAGCGGAGTGAAAGGTGGCCCGGTTGATGGTTTGATTTCGCGAATGGTCAATCCGTCGCATCCTAACGATGAGGAGTACAAGAACACGGTGTTGGCGTTGTTTGTGACGTTCATGACTCCTTTGCAGTTTTTTGACAGTCTGATTGCGCGGTACAACTTGGAGATGCCTGAAGGCTTGAGTTACGAGGAGTACAGTGTTTGGATTGACAGGAAACGCAATCTACAACGCAAAGAGATTATGAGACTTTTTGCCAAACTGTTTTCTGAAAAATGGTTGTGTCTGTATTCTTCGCCGGAGTTGTTGGACAAATGGAACAGGTTCATCACCGAGAATGAGGTTGACCCGAAAGTTGCCCAGCTGGGCCAGCTGGTGATTTCTATGCAGGAACAGCCGGAATGGTTTGCTGCGTTTGGCAATGGTAATCCTGTACCAGAAAAGAAAAATCAACGGCCACCAATCCCATTGATGTTGGGCAAGAACATTAGAAATGCTCCAAGATTGCGTTTGAGAGACATCGATGCGACCGAACTGGCAAGACAGCTGACTCTGATCCAGTTTGAGCTGTTCCACAAGATCGATAAGTTTGATCTTCTGGCAAGATCGTACAGGTCAGGACGGATTTTTAAGCACTCGTGTTTGTCCAAGTTTGTCAACATTGCCAACTTTATCAAGAACTGCAACCAGATTACGCACTTTGTGATCCACATGATTCTGCGGCAGCGGGATCTGCAAGCAAGAGCAGAAAATATCAAGTATTTTGTTATTGTTGCAGACAAGTTGATGAAGCTACGCAACTTCTCCAGTATGACTGCCATTGTGTCTGGTTTGAGCTCTACGTCCATTAGTCGACTCAAAAAGACTTGGTCGCACGTTCCGACACATATCGTGTCCAACTTTGAGAAGATGGACCAACTGATGTCGATCGGCAAGAACTACAGCGAGTACAGAAACGTTTTGAAGTTTATTAACGAGGACGAAGATCCATGTTTGCCGTTCTTGGGGATGTATCTGTCTGATCTTCGATTCCTCACGGACGGAAACCCTGATTACCTGCACGACTCGAACAAGCTGATTAACTTCAGCAAGCGACTGAACATCTATCGGACCATCGAAGAGGTGATTAAGTTCAACAATAGAAACTACCATTTCGAGAAGATCGACGAGCTGTGGACGTATTTGCGCGAGATCTGGAACAATCTGCCGGACGAAGACAAATTGTATAGCATTTCGCTCAAGCTGGAGCCGTTGGTGAGCTTGGTCAACCAGCAGCAGGACTCGGATAAAAAATTTCTGGGCATCAACGCGCGTGTTGCCTAGACAACCAATATATGAAATGACGTTATGAAGCGTTCTTTGTAGCTTTTTTGAGCAAGTATCCGTTGATTTCTTTCCGTAGCTGGGCGGAATCGTTTTCACAGGCATCTATCGACTGGTCGAACGTAGAGTCAAAGTCCTGGAAATCGCTCCATATTCCGAGAATCTCGTCTTTGGCGGCAAAGTTGACCACGGTCTCGTGGCTGTCGGACCCAGAATACCCTGAACAGGCAATAGCTTTAATATTTAGGCCAGAGTCAACCAAAGCGACACTCACACTGTTTAGGATATTTTTCAGAGTGTAGAGCAGCGAGTGGGTAGGGTTAAGCGCCACCACTTGCACAAAGATCTCAATAGACGACTTTGGGTAGTTTTGAAGCAAAATTAGACTCTGGTAGTTAGACAACAGAAACGACTCCAAAGAAGATACCAGTCTGTCTTTGTCGGGAACAATATTCTTCTGGTTATCTTTAAAGTTGTCCAGAGGCAAGAACTTGGACAGTTCAACGTTAATCTTCAAGTTGGCCTGGTCGTTGAACGATCTGGTGAAGTTTGGCCGGGGACCATAAACAGAGGTGATGATGATGGTTTTGTCATTCTCCAAGTACGAGGACCCGTTGCAGTTCTGAATAAGACCTGTTTCCAAAAACACCCTGGTATCTGGGTCCTGTTTGGCGGGCGCAGACTCGGCGAAAACCAGCGGCTTGACGTTGGCAGGGCCCAGGTTTCTTCTTCTATCAATATTCATTAAAAATAAATTTGTTTAGTTTTTCAATGAACCATCTTCAGCAATACATCACTCCGCTAATTGAGCATCCTGTTATTCAGGACGTTTTGAACAACCCAAACGTGAAGAATGCGTTGCAAACAGTTAGAACCAACGAGAATCTGTTTGTTTACGGCGTCTTGGGACTGACGGGAGCGCTTGTCTTGAAACAAGCGTTGAGTCCCACAAAGACGAAGAAGACGAAAAAGTCCGGGAAAAAGACCAAGAAACAACAACCGGTTGTTGTCAACCCACAGGAGGTGTCCAAGACCCAGATCGAGCAGATTTTGGCCGATTTCAACACTAACTACGTTCCGGCTATTGACGAGTATCTCGAGCAATTAAAGGTTTTATTGGCCGCGCCAGAACCATCAAAGAAAAAGGGCAAGAAGAAGACCGCAAAGAAACAAGCACCACCCCAGGTTTCCTACAAAGAGAAGTTGGAGTACCAATACTTGTACTTCAACGAGAACCTGTTGAAACTGTTGATGAAACTGGACTCGGTGGAGATCCACGAGAATCAAGACCTTCGTCTTCAACGCAAGCAGGCCATCAAGGCTATTCAGGGATATTTGAAACAATTGGACTCGTTCAAGCCAGATATCGACAAACTTACCAAAAAGGGCTACTAAGAGGCCTGTTGCTGGCTGTGCAAATAATAATTTTTTAGTGATTTTTTCTTCAACCATGGTGAAGGAGAATATCATTGGGAAACTCGATCTTTTGCAGTATAAGCACAAGCAGATTGATCCTCCGCGGTTCGAGATTTCGCGGAAGTTGGTAAAGTCGAAAAACAGCAGTCATTTCAAGCTTTTGACGCTTCCTAGAGCCGAGGCATTGGCAATGATCAAACAGCTCAAACGGCAGCTGTTTGAGCGCAAGTACCATTTTGCGTTTTCGAAGCTGGAGCGGCTGTTGCGCGGGACGGTGAAGCAGGTGTTGAAGACGAAGACCGTTTCTTCGAAAGAGACGGCCTTGTATGAGCAGTTGGACAAAGAACTAGAGACAGTGATCAAACAGAAGCTGGGGAAACTCGGCAGCAAGATCTTCCATGCGGAGGAGAATCGCGAGGTTCCCTCGGAGGAGTTCTGGCAGGAGCGCGAGCAGCTTCGCGAACGGCAGTTGGCGGGCGAGATGAACAATTTGGTTTCCAAGCTATTCAATAAAAACACAGTGAGGGAGGTGATACAGCAGACGGAGGCCAACTTCAAGCTGATTCTGGGCGTGAAGAAGGAGCGCAAGGAGAGGGAGGTTGTGAAGAGCGAGGCTAAGATTGAGACTGAGAGTGAAAGCGAAAGTGAAAGTGAAAGCGAAAGCGAAAGCGAGACCGGGTCTGAAGGTGAAGAGCAGAGCGACTCCGAGAAGCTGGACAGTATTTACTCTTCGTACAAGTCGATGGTTGCTGGCTCGTCGGACGAGAGCGACGGCGAGATCGAGCAGGGCGTGGACTACAACGAGGTCACGGACGAGGAGCCGAGCGCAGAGAGCGACGTGGACTACGAGACGGTGAAGGAGGAACGCAAGAAGCTGGGCAACGACGACTTCTTCAGCGGGGTGCAGGTTCCGGAGCTGGTTGGCGGGTACTACTCGGGCGACGAGGAGGAAGACGAGCTGGAGAAGGCCGACAAGGACATGAAGCAGGCAAACAAGGAGCGCAAGAACCGGCGTGGCCAGCGGGCCCGGCAGAAGATCTGGGAGAAGAAGTACGGCAAGAGTGCGAACCACGTGAAGAAGCAGCAGGAGCGGGTGCGGTCTGAGCGCGAGCAGCAGCAGCTGGCGTACGAGGAGCGGGTGCGGAAGCGTGCAGAGAAGCAGAGGTTGCTGGCCGAGAAGGAGGCTGCTAAGCCCGTGAAAAAACACACAAACCCAGAGGCCATGCATCCGTCGTGGGAGGCCAAGCGGAAGGCCGAAGAGGCGCTGAAAAACGTCAAGTTCCAGGGCAAGAAGATGAAGTTTGACTAAGTAATATACATCAGCACTGCCGTGAATATTTTTTTTCTTGTATGTTTAGCAGAGTGCAACTTTTACGACAGATGAGTAGTTCTATTGTGCCGCAAATCCAGCTGAACAAGGTTGAGACCCAGATAGTTGATCTGTTGAACGAGTACACGCGGTATTTCAACTCCACGCGGGTGTCTGACGTGCAGAAGCCGTTGCAACTTCGAATCACCGGAGGATGGGTCAGAGACAAGCTGTTGGGCCGAGAGTCGCACGACATCGACATTGGAATCGACCATTTGTCTGGGGTAGACTTTGTGACGAGCCTTCAGGAGTACATCCGTCGGGAGAAGGGCGAGAACACCAATACCAGCATGTACAAGATCGAGAAGAACCCGGAGAAGAGTAAGCATTTGGAGACATGTACGACGAAACTGTTTGGGTGGTCGATCGACTTTGTGAACCTGCGGTCGGAGAAGTATGCAGACAACTCGCGGATTCCGGAAATCGAGGTCGGCACGCCCGAGGAGGACGCTTTCCGGCGGGACGCGACGCTGAACTCGCTGTTCTACAACCTAACTACGGGCCAGGTGGAAGATCTGACGGGCCGGGGGCTACAGGACCTGCAGCAGGGAGTTCTGCGCACGCCGTTGGACCCGGTCAAGACGTTTCTGGACGACCCGTTGCGGTGTTTGCGGCTGATCAGGTTTGCTGCTACGTACAAGTTCACCATCGAGGAAAAGACGATGGACGCGATGCGGTCGGCGGATATCAAGCAGAAACTACGCGAGAAGATTAGCAGAGAGCGGATCAACGTCGAGTTCAAGAAGATCATCATGGGCGACCATCCTGTCTACGGACTGCGTCTGATTGACGATGTTGGGTTCTACCAGCTATTTGACTGTGAGGACGATGGATTTGAGACAGGTAATCAGCTCACCAGAAAGGCTTTAAGCGAGCTGGTGGAAAAGTATCCACAGATAGAGACAGCGGTGAAGAACCAGTCGCAGCTGGGACCGCTACTCCAGCAGGTTTACTCGTCGGAGATCAGCAAACAGTCCCTGTTCCTCAACCTAATACTGTATCCATGGGGAAACGAGACGGTCACCATCAAGAAGACCACGATACCGGTTGCAGGCCGTGTTGCACAGACAGCGTTGCGGATGCAGGTGAAAATCACCGATCTGGTGGGGCTGTGCTGCTCGTCGCTGGAGACGTATAAGAGTACATTTGGCGGCTGGAAGACGGCGTCGCGGGCCACCGTTGCTAAAACGCTGCTGATTCCGTACAAAGAAGAATGGCCATTGATGCTGCTGACGTATCTGGCCGTGGAACTTCTGCAGGGCTCTGGCGAGTCTGCTGTGCGCGACGCGGCCGAGTTTGTCCAGCACGTGGAAAAGGAGAACCTCACACAGGCACATCTGATCAAGCTGCTGCTGAACGGCAAAGAGGTGGCCCAACTGGCCAACAAGAAACCAGGCCCCTGGCTCTCTCGAGTGAACGAGAAACTGCTGTCATGGCAGCTGGATAACCCGTCCAAGACGAAAACAGACATGCAACAGTATCTGGCTACAATTACAGAGTGAATTATGTATCGCAACGACTAAAATGCATTAGCATATACTTAGATCTTCTCCTCGTTGACACCGTGCTTCCAAATAGCAACGAATGGAGTCACACCGTCCTCTCTGTAGTTGAGCAAGACGATCATGGCATCTGGATCCATAGACTCACCGGTGAAGAATTCCCAGTCCTTGAAAGAACCAACAACCTTCTTGACGTAGGCAGTAGCACCTTTCTCGAAAGCCTCAACCTGGTCTGGGGCATTCTCGGCCAAGTGGGCCTTCACCTTCTTCATGTAGCCCTTGATGTAGGTCAAGAAGGATTTCTTGTCGAACTGGGTCTGTTGCAGTCTGAAGGAGTACACAACGTTGTTGACGGTCTCGACACCGTCCTCAACGTCCTCACCACCGTCCTCAGCAGAAGGGTTGGCACCAATGTCAATATCGGCACCAGACTTCACCTGAACCATCTGGCAGTCGGCCTCGTAGATAGCTCCGTCGACTTCCTTGACGTCGTAAGCGTCGGAAAGCAACTCATCACCAGAAATCACGTCTTTGTAGATAATCATTATAAACAGGGAGATAATTAACAAGGTGAAAAAAAATTTTCATCAATGCACGATGCTGGTGGGAGATACTGCTGACGTCAGCAAGGTTTGGATGTTTTGCTTCATTCGATGCGGATGCACTGGCCCGTGGTTGTAGGGTCCAGAACCAACGCGAGCACGTGGTCCGCCACTTCGTCGGCAGAAATCTCGCGTCCTTTGAACAAGTCTCTGTTCACAGACTGGCCGATCTTGGTTTCTGCCACCAAACTGGGCATTAGTGCGTTGACCCGCACGTTTTTGGGAGCCAGCTCCACAGCCAGGTTTCTGGTGAGCTTGTTGAGTCCTGCTTTGGACGCGCTGTACACAGATGTTCCTGGAACCGTGTCTGTTGCCAGCACAGACGAGACGTTGATGATGCTGGCGTTGGGGAGCCGTGTCATTGTGCGCGAAAACAACCTGCACAGCACAGCCGGGGAAAGCAGGTTCACGTTCAGAATGTCCACCACCTGTTCCGACGACGTGGACGGCAGCAGCGAGTTTTGCGAGATCCCGGCACAGTTGACCAGGATGTTGATCTTTTTGTAGTTGGGCAGGTGTTTTCTGATTCTGCGTTCGAGCGACTGTGGTCTGAGCAGGTCGTAGGTTATTCCGTAATGCTTGTCTGAGCGGGGGAACTCCTGGTTGAGTTCATCGATGCGCGCGTTCAGACGACGCAGGTCCCGCGACAAGATCGTCACCCGGCACCCGTGGAGACCCAGTTTGTGTGCAATTGCGTACCCGATCCCGCCTGTTCCCCCCGCGATCAGGGCGTGTTGGCCAGAGAGCATTTTTTTATTAACTTTTTTCTACGTGCACAGCCCTATTACTGGGGCTCGGGGACCAGCGGCCGCACCAGCATGCAGCTGTTTTCGATGCTTACGTCGGAGGTGACGTAGTTGAACAGGGCCACGGAGTAGCCGCGCTGGCGCATCGCGTGCACACGGCTCTCGTCAATAGCGCGACGGGCCTGGTAGCCGATGCGAGTCCGTTCCTGGAGATTCAGCTTGGAGAAGTGGTCCTGGCCGTCTGAGGACGAGAGCCCCGGCCGCACACCGTTCGTGGTCCAACATGCCATCTTGGAAAGATACAGAAATTCCTGGGCGTTGATCCCGAACTTTTCTTGCAGATACTCTCTCGACTCAGGGAGCAGCCAATTGTACTTACACGCGTGACGACAGCACATTGCCACGAGAAACGCTCCGAACTGGAACTTGTCGTCGCGAACAGCGTTGATCAGACACCGCAACGTCAGATCAGTTGCCGTTCCGCACAAATGTTTGGATATCCCCACCACCTTACCTGGAGACGGGAGCTGTTTAACTGCTGCTGCGAGATCCAGATCTTTGATGTCTGACTTGAACCGCGTGACCTCTAGTCCTGCGACATGCGACTCGTTCTTCATTTTCATGTCGAACTTCATTCGCGGCGACTGGCGGTCGATAAGCAGAAACTGGTCGTTTTTTGCAACCACCTCTGGATCGGCCTCCAACGCACTAAGAAGATACCGCGAAAACTCTCCCCGGCCGCATCCAAACTCCACATACACGGCGTTTTCACCAAGAAGCTTCTCGTGGGCCAGATGGCCGATAAGCGACGACTGTTGCGTAACGTGCTTCTTGTTGCTGAGCTCGCTCAACCGGTCTTCCAGGCCGTGCTTGTAGTCGATCTGATTTGTTTCAAGTGGAGGCAGCTCCAAAGAAGTAAACTGACGGTCGAACCGCTGAATGAACTGTGCAAACTCGGCATAGTCCATAGGCTTGTTGCTAAGAGCAGGTTCATCCTGGACGTTGAAATTTTCCACCAGCCACGGGAACTCGCGCTGGTTACGCTCGAACTCCTGTCGTTTCTTCAACGCGTTGCACGTTTTCGTGTGGCGGGCCAGTTTGTCGGACCAAACGGTGTGCGACGGATCCAAAGGACATGGCACTCTGGTGATAGTTTTACCGTTTTTCACCTTGGAAAAGGACTCGCCGCCCGGCATGTGGTTGTAACAGAAAGGCGTGTCGCTACGGAGCTGGACCCCGCACGCACGGCCCTTGTTGGGCATCACAAAGGGACATCTGCGAATCGTCTCCGAAGACATGGAAAAATTATAAGGCTGTGGAAAAAATTACACTACTTGGACTGAATGATATTCAACAATATTCAATGATCTCGTATGTATACACTGGAGAAACGGAATGGTGGATGGAAATGGTGTTTGTGGACTATTTTTTCTCTAAAGAGTCTTCAAGGGTGCGCACATGACCCTCCAATTTTCTGATACTCTTTTGTAGCAAAAGCACGTCGGAAACGACGGCATCTGAAGAGGCCTTGTACTCGTCGAGCAAGTAGTAGTAGGCGCCGAATCCGGTGATCGAAACGCCGGTGAAAAAACCCAGCAACACTCCCCGCAACGAGGTGTTTGGTCTTCTGACTGGGGTCGCCACTGTTGATTGAAGTCTCTTTTGGATCACGGCAAACATGGTTTTAGAAGTCGAATTGCGCTGTGGTAGTGTAGCTGAGGTGTCGATCGGAGTTGTGTTGATGAATTGAGTAGGATTCCACCGTAAAGATTCGCTTCAAAGTGAGATTGCGTATCTCTTTGTATAACTTCTCCACCAAAAATTATTGGCTGGGAAAACAATGTTACAATTTTAGGAGGAGCCGGGTAAAAAGTTTTAACACTATAAATTAACCGAACAAGTCAAAGCCCATGTCGTCGTCGCTCTCCTCGTCGTCTTCAGCAGCAGCAGCAGTAGCCTCCTCAGCTGGAGCGGAAGAAGCAGCAGCAGCAGCTGGAGCAGCAGCAGCGTAAGCCTCTGGGTTGGCGATTCTGTCCTTGATGGCCTCAGATCCCTCGAAAGTGTACTCGGTAGCAACAGAAAGAGCAAGGATGTTCTTGTAAGTGTTGACAATCTGGTGAGACACAGCTGGGACGGTTGGGTAGCCAGAAGCAAGGGAGATCTGGGTGATGGTGGAGATGGCAGACACGAAGTGCTTGACCAACTCGTCATCGGTGATGTCCAAGATGGAAGATGGGAACACCTGGCCATCGTCGTAAACCTGAACAACAGTCAAACCGTAGGTGAACGGAGAGATGTTCAACATGTTCAACAAAGAAGCCTCGGAAGGTCCGACCTTTTGGTCCTTGGTCAAGATCTTAACGTCGGAGGTAATTTCAATGGTACCTCTGGCAATCTTGGTTGGAACACCCAAAGCCTGGAAGAAAGAGGTCTTACCTGGCTCCATACCGGTGTTACCAGCTGGGACGTAAACGTCAGCTGGAGCAATGGCACCGGCTCTGGCTGGAGCGGCAACCTTGTTGTCCAAGATGACGTTTCTGATAGACTTGAGGTCGGAGTTGGTGAAGATGAAACCAACATTACCTCTGACAAATGGCATCAACTTGTCAAAGTCTGGGTTCTCGGCGATGAATCCTCTAAGGGCTCTTCTAACCATGGTGTTCTTACCCATAAGGACAACAGCGTCCTGTCTAAGGGCCTTTCTAATCTCGTGCATTTGCTGAGAAGAGACGTTGTCGACACCAACGATGAAGACAGACTTGTACTCCTCAAGCAGCTGCTTGAGCTTAGAGAAATATTCGACCTTCTTGTCCTTAGTAGCTCCCATTTCGTTCTGTTTTAACGTTAGGCTTTTTAAAGCTAGTTGAGATAATATTCTTGCACCGGTTGGATTTTGACTTTTGAAAAATTTTAGGAGGGTGCGGAAACCATCTGAAAGTCACGTGATGTTCTTATGTTTTTTTTGATCCTTTCCCCGGCCCCTTGCCTAAAAAAGGGAGACAGCCAGCAGAACATTATTTCTTACCACCGCTAACTAATTGCTACCTTATGAACGTCGGCGAGCTCGACAAACTACTGCTGGAGCTGCCCTATGACGACCTCGACTCGGCGCTTGTCCAGTTCAAGGAACAACTCAAGCTTAACGAAAATACCCCGGCGTTTCTCCAGACTGTGTTCGACCGCCTGGTGCACGTTCTGGACAAGCTGGTGATTCCTGGGTTGGAGAACTATGTGAACGAGACCGACAGGGAGTCGTTGGAGAGCGCCTGTGACATCATCTGCTGGTTCTACAACACCTCCTACATGCAAAGTAGAAAGGGAGGTCCCGAGGTGATCTCTACCGATATGACACTCAGTTTGTTGTCCTGTTTGTGGACCAGAATTCATAATTTCACCGAAACGGAGCACGAAGGACTTGCGCTGGTCACAAGTACGATCCAGGTTGTTTTGGAAACGCTACCGCAGTCCAGTTATGCCCAGATCTTGGAATGGTTGCAGAACGTTGAGCCTCCCAGATACTCCAACACGGCAATGGACGATTTTTTCTATGCTTGTCTGCGATCTTTCACGGCGAGGATTGCACTGGACGAGCTGGAATCGATCACCACAAAACACGCACCGTCGAGTCCATCCCAGGGAGACTTCCTGAATACTGTATTGCAGCTGTACGACCGCTGGAGACCAGACGATAGCACGGAAAAGGGCGAGTACATTTTGGACCGCGGACTGAGTATCGTCAAGAAATCGCTCAGCTCTGAGCCCGCTACCGTGGTGCACGTCTCAGCACACGATCCGGAAACAGACCCCAATTGTTATAGATACTATCTTGCGCGCGAACAGTATCTCAAAAACCAAAAGAACCCGGACTGGGTGCAGATTTTCGAGAACGACGGAACCGTGGAGGTTTGCGAAATCGACGCAGAACTCGGCTCGCTCACCACCATCAGTCTGGACGAGCCAGTGATACAACGGTTCAAGGAACCCAAATCTAAAGCTAACGTTTTCCGCAGAATATACAGAGCTATCAAGCCTCGGAAAGTCGAGCCTGAAACACCGGTCTCTGGCCAACTGTCCACCATCTCGACACTTAAATACAGGTTTCTGGACTGGTTCTGGGGATTCTGGTACCCTGTGGATGACCATGAAGGAATGAGGTCTAGCCATTTGTCAAGAGTCAACTCACATCTGCTCTTCCACACAGACTCAGACGAATTGCGATAATATATCGCCTGTGATATCAGCCATGGAATCCACACCCCACTGCACTCTAGCCTTCTGCTTCTTGCCCTTAATCAAACTGCTATTTCTGATCTTTTCCTGTAGGAAGTATGACAGTCCTTTCAACAGAGTTGGCTGTTCTTTGCACTTGCTCAGCCGTTCAACAAGTGTCTTTTGGGTGTATTTCATGTCCTCTGTCTTCAATTTGCGGTCTCCTCCGCCAAACATCTTCTCCTCAGACAACTTGGCCACCACGTCCAGGAACGTTATCATGAAGATCTCCACGAAAAGTCTGGTGTCTTCGGTTGCCGTGAGGAAATTGACAGTACGTAGCACGTTCAACGGAATCGACCCTTCACCAACCAAATGGCCGTAAAGCCGCCCCAGATTCAGAATCCGGCGCAACTTCTGGTCATCATCAAGGTCGCTTGTGTCGTCCTCGTCCTCCCCCTCCAGCTCTTTCAACAGATCCCAGAGATTGAACTGGAGCGTCTTGCGCATTCCGTGGTCCTGGCACAGCTTCTTGGCCAAAAACGCATAGTACGGGTTGAACGCGGTCTCTATAGAAACACAATGCATCAAGATCCGCGGAATCTCGCGCTGCTGGGTCTTTCGCAGCCCCAGCTTCTCCAGCTTGGCAAACGCATCCATGTAATCGGTTGCTGACATAATCGAAACGAATATCGCACGTCTAATGTCGGTGTTCATGCGGTGCTGTTTGGCGAGCTCGAGCCAGTTGGGCTCGGAGCTGTCCAGCGCGTCGGTGACAGACTTGGAGTATTCCTGGTACTGTTGTTCCTGGTTTTCCTGGCCCTTCCATGCAGATCCAACGAGCCACCATTTACCCTTCTCCTTGATGCTTTCTATGTCGTTGAGAGAAACTTTGATCGGGTCGCCCGACCTGATCCGGCCGAGCTGTTTCTTACATCTGGTAACAAGACCAGAAGTTGCTTCCGACTCGATGCTCTTCAGCTTGTTGTTTTTCAGATTGGAAACGGTCTCCACCAAAAACCGTGCTCTGGTGCTGGAGTTGGCAGCAACGTTCTTGTTGAGCAAAAGGACGATTTCCTTTAAGGAAGTTGGATCGTCCGATCTTAGTTTGTATCCACAGGACCGGATCAGCTTGAGAAGCAGCTCGGTTCTGAACTCTGTTGGGTTGGAAATCAACTTGTCCAAAATTATGTCGTAAACCAGTCTCGAGGATAAAAGGTTCAGTTCGTAGCAGAAGCCAATGAGTCCTATCAGGTTAGAGGCTTGTTTCGACTGTTCCTCGGCCTCTATCAGCTCGCACAACTTCTCCACCAACGATTGAATCGCATACGCTCCAAACTCAACTCCTTGGAGTCCATACAGTGCAACAATAGCCGTAGCATAGAGCACAAGGAAACTGTCCAGCATCGGCGTCGAAACAAGCACAGACTGAAACACTACCTTGATGATGGCCTCGTTCACGATCTGCCGAGGGTTCTCAGCGTACAGCTGGTTCAGCTCGTTGACAACCGTCATCACTTGTGGCTCCGACAACCTGTTGAACGGACCTTTCACAGACCGCGTAATCTTCAGCATCTCCTCAGAATCGGTGCTTTCGAGCAGCTTACGTCGAAGACTTGGCGGAACATACTTGCCGGGAGCAACGGGGGCAACGTAGGGGTTTTCGCGCACGGCAGGCTGCGAATCCGACTCCTCGTCAGAAGACTGCAGTCCTTCCATTTCCTCTAATAGTTCTCTGTCCTCGTCGCCAAGCGACTCAGTAGACGAGTCTTCTTCCTCTTCCTCCTCTTCCATTTCGAGTCCGTCCAGAAGTCCGCCAACTATGTCGTCATCGCCCGTCTTTTTCAGACTGCTCTTCTTGGAGATTCCGAGCTTGCGAGCGTAGTAGTCGATATCATCCGCATAGTCGCCCGGAGGAGCATCGAACTGCTCTGGATCATCGTACTTCTCGGACTCGTCGTCAGAAGAGTCTCCAGAGACATTCTCGGAAGACTCTTCATCCAGATCGTTCTCCAGATCGTTCTCCAACTCGTCCTCTTCCAACGCGTCCTCCTCGAGATCGTCCTCCTTCACGACTTTGAACCCGCTGCTCTGTTTCTTTCCTTTCATCTTCATCAGCTGAGCCATGACGTCTTTCTGCTCGTCGTCCAGCTCGTCCTCCTGCTCCTCTGACTCTTCCTCCTCTGACTCTTCCTCCGCCTGCTCTGCATCGTCAAATCCTGAGAACTCGTCCTCAAACCCAGCGAACTCGTCCTCTTCCCCCTCCGACTCCACCTCATCCTCCTTCTTCTTCTTCTCCACGCGCGGCCGCTTGGCCTCTGCTCTGCCGTCTCCGTCTCGTCGTCTCTTCTTCTCCTCGCGCTGCTGCTTGCGTCGCTCCTTCCGACTCACACGCTGCTTCCCCCGCACAAATCGCTTGTCGTTCTCGTACCGCCCGCTCTCGGAAATCTGGTCCAGCAGGGCCCCTGGAATGTTCACTCCGTGACGGTTCCTCTTCATTATACCTGAAATATTTTTTTAACGGCTGTGCTTGTTAATTAGAATTTCCCTTGGCTGTGCTTCTTTGTGGCAAACATTCTAACCGATAATCTCACACCGTTGCAATCGACCATAATGTTCAAGAAAATCGACCCGAAACTGGTCACAGACGCAGTGTTCTTTGTGGGCGCCTCCCTGTCCATTTTCTATCTGCTCACCCACATCATGGGAGAAGAAGGCCCGGCAAGAACGCTTAAAGAGAACAAGAAGAAAGCCAAGCTGTCGCTGGAGAAACTCAAGAGATCCAACCCGGGACTCAACCTGACGTTGTCCGAATACGAGAAGGTCATTCTGAACAGCGTGGTTCCGCCAGAAGAGATCGGTGTTTCCTTTGAAGACGTGGGTGGTTTGGACGACATTATTAGCGATTTACAAGAGTCTGTGATTCTGCCGTTGACTTGTCCTGAGCTGTTTGACCAGTACGCCTCGCTTCTACAAGCTCCAAAGGGAGTTCTTTTGTACGGTCCGCCGGGATGCGGAAAAACCATGCTGGCCAAAGCTTTAGCTGCTAAATCCAAGGCCAACTTCATCTCCATCAGAATGTCTACAATCATGGACAAATGGTACGGCGAGTCCAACAAGCTTGTGGACGCTCTATTTTCGCTAGCAACGAAACTACAACCTTGTATCATATTCATCGACGAGATCGACTCGTTCCTTAGAGAAAGAAGTTCTGTGGACCACGAGATCACCGCCACTTTGAAAGCCGAGTTCATGACGTTGTGGGACGGCCTCACGTCTTCGGGCAGAATTTTGATCTTGGGAGCCACAAACCGGCCAGACGATATTGACTCCGCGTTCATGAGAAGAATGCCCAAACGGTTCTCCATCAGTTTACCAAACGACGAACAACGACTCAAGATCTTGGAAAAACTACTAGACGACGTCAGCTACGACTTCGAGCTCGACAAGCTCGTGCAAATCACCCAGGGACTAAGCGGGTCCGACCTTAAAGAACTGTGTCGCAACGCCGCAATTAACTCCACCAGAGAGTACATCCGCAAGAACGTGAAGAACGGCAAGCCAATCAACGCGGACGAGAAAATCATCCTGCGGCCGCTCAGTCTACACGATTTCGTTCAGAGCGTCTCTCCAAGCGACTCGTTAATCAAGAAACTCGACAGACTCAAGGTGGACCCCGTGGACTAGATTATATACGATGTACCGAGTTTCCGTCGACCCAGAATCACAATCATCTGCGTGCTATTGACGGATAAACGGGCCTCTGTTCTAGACATCGCTTTGAATCAACATACCACCAAACAGTTATGTGGATCTTCGAAGATGTCATGTATATAATTTCAACACTGAAAATTTTCCAGCTTCTCTACACTCCTGCCGCGTGCACAGCCCGGGAATAGCTAGTGTATTAATGTCCTATAGAATGCGCTTTTTTCTGGTTGAACACCCTGCTCTGGACGTACACGTAGGTGACGTGGGTTCCTCCGATGATCAGGGTGAAGAAAAGAAGGAGCAGGTTGAGAGGAACAGGGTTCATGTTGAACGAGGTGTGTGTGAGTCTATCCAATGGAGACTGCAAGAAGTTGAACACACCTGAAACGGTCATGACGGAGCCATAAACGGTTCCAAACGTTTCGAATCCAAACACCTTGGCGCAGTAGTCTGAGATGGACGTGTAGAAGAACGGTCTGTAGCACACGAAAATCAGCACGTTAAGGAGACCCGCGAAAAACGAGTTTTGGATGCAACCAAGCACACCGATCACGATCGACACTCCTAGAAGAATGAACATCACCACAGACGTGGAGAAGTTGTCGAGGATCATTCCCACAACGGGGATGGACACCACTCCGCCCAGTGGGAGGGCGATGTCGAAGATCTTGTTGAGTTTCTCGGATCTCTCGTAAGAGCCAAGCAAAAAGGTGTATTGGGAGTTGATGGTGGCCACAAAGTAGTTGAGTCTAAGCATTTGGATGGTGGCGAAGATGCAGATGAGAAGGAACCAGAAAGTCTTGAACTGGTACGATGCTGGGAATCCGTGGAGAATACCAAAGATGGAGTTGGACAGGGGTTTATCCACCTGGATAATTTCATCTTCAACGTAGGCAGACTTGTACGCCTCACCAATGGAGGATCTTCTTTTTGCGCCTGTAGGGCCGCCCAGCAGAGCGGTGGACTCGGTTGGCTCGTGCAGGATGTCTTCCTGCTCGGCGGCGGCAGCAAGTCTTTGTTGTTCTTCTGTAGGGTTTGGAATAAGGTCTGCTGGAGGAGTGAAGTAGGACTCGTTAGGCATCAAGAACAGCTGGGCGCCGGTCATGAACACAGGGATGATCAGATACACTTTAAAGAAGTTCTCTAGCTTGAACAGGGTAGGGAACTTCATGTATGCGATTTTGTACACCAAAAACACCGCCGAGGAGGTGTCGAAAGCTCCGGTAAGCAGAGCCAAGATAAGGCCGGATTTTTCTGGGAAAGCGTTGGACAGCTGGAAACTGGAAATAAACGAGAACGGACCACCCAGAGCCATGGACGAGTAGCCCACGAGGTATGGGTCGAACCAGGTGATGTTCTTGGCGTTGATGAACACAAACGAGGCAAAGAACAGGAAGAAAGCTCCAATAAGGCCGCACACCTTAGGACCATAAGAGTCCAACGTTCTACCAATGACCAGCGCACTCACGTTGGTCAGCACGGCACCCACGGTGAACATCAAGTTGAGCTTCAGATCCTGCTCGGTGCAATTGGCAACAAAGCCCTGGATGCGGATATCTTGCGGACTGAGGTCGCAGACGCTATCGTAGATTCCCTGGTCCACGAGAGTCGGTTTCAACGCGGCGAACCCGAAGATTGGGCCCGCGCCAAACAAACACCAGACAACCGCACAGGCAACCTGGGCCAACCGTCTTTTAGTAGGTGTTTCGAAGAAGTACATTGGCCAAAGAGGTGTGAAAAAAAAAAATCCTGCATATTATGTACTTATATAGGTTTATCAATCGGCTGCAAAAAAATGCGCAGATAGTGGAAAAGATAGCGCAGGGTGAAAAATTTGATTGGTACGGGATTTTGTGGCTGACCTGGGCCAGCACCGGGCGCGGGGTACAGCCGGGCAGCAGCCGAGAGGCAGCCGTGCGAGAAAAACTGATTACCGCTGTCGCATAACGGCCTGCTGCATCTGCCAATAGCACCTGTACTGCCCTATAGCCAGGAACGGAAATAGGAGTTTCTACATTCACCATGGCGCCCTCCGAAATGGGTCTTCATGGCCAAGAACCACAACTATTTGTGGTTATGAATGTGATTCTCGCTTACTGGTGGCCGTTGTGAAACTGCTCTATTGACTTTATTTCACGGCCAACTCCGATCGGCAGGCCGATTTAGTTGACACAAATTTTAACTTAGCCACAAGGCCGTGCCACTTGTATTTCCATTTTTTCCATAAACCCCGTACTTTGACACCGGATGAGTGATTCTGTCGTGACCGTCTCGCGCGACGTGCTCACGTCGCTAAAGTATCTGGACACGCGGCTTGTTGCGTCTTCGCTGGACGGGTCGCTCGCGTTTGTCGACGCGTCGCTCAATGTGGACCGTGTCGTGCTGGACGCGCCTGTGCTCGACTCTGCTGTGCTGGACTCCACGGTGTACGCCGCACTGGCCAATGGGTCTGTCCAGAAAGTCGGGTTCCCAGCCAAAGACGTACAGGCCACCTCGATCGGCCACGATCTGCCCGTCCAGTGCGTCGAAACACACCCGCGTCGAAACCTGGTCGTTTCCGGGTCCTGGGACAAATCCGTCCAGATGGCTGACCCGCGCATCCACCAGCAGCCCACCGTGCTCAGAGTGCCCGGCAAAGTGTACGCGATGGACGTCCACCAGCAGACCGACCGGTTTATTGTGGGTCTATCCAGTCGACAGATCCAGATCTACGACTTCCGCAAACTTGACCAGCCTGCCAGCGAGCTGGAAAACGGGTTCCGCTTCCAAACAACACAGATCAAGTTCCTTCCAAGTGGCGCCGGGTTCCTGCAGAGCTCGATCGAGGGGAAAGTGTCGCTGGACCTGTTCCAGGACACGGAAAATAGCTACGCGTTCAAATGCCACCGTCAGAAACTCGTTGTGGAGAACGAGGACATCGACCTGGTCAACCCCGTCAACTGTCTGGAGCTGTACGACACGGAATCTAAGTTCTTCACCGCCGGCTCGGACAGATCCGTTTGTCTGTGGGACTACAAGTCGAAGAAACGGGTCAAACAGTACGCCAACTTCGAGATGAGCATTGTGGCCCTGGCCTATAACCAAACGTCGCACCAGCTGGCCATCGCCATGAGCGACGACTCCTACAAAAATATGACCGGCATCGACGACCAGACCAACAACAAGCCGGCCATCGCGTCCAAAATCGCAATACGAAATATGCATTCATAATTCATGATAATCTTGTCTAACCGTCCACCGAGTCGATCGACTTCACCGGGTGCAGGCTGTTGAACGAGTCGGCGCTCTTTTTGCGGGCGTGCTTCAGCACCTCGTCGGTGGTGGGTTTCTGGTCTTCCTCGTTTTCATCCCAGATATCGCGCACGCAGTACCGGATCCACCTGCGGCGGCGCACGTCTCCGCGCACCTTGCGCACGCCCGCACTCAGTCCAACGTTGTACGAGAACTTGGTCACCAGGTCGTAGCACCATTTCTCGTCCTGGTCGATCTCCATCGCCTCGCTCAGATAGTTCTCCTTGATCCAATTTTCCGGGGATAGGTCCAGGATCCAGCCGTCCAGAGACTTGGTGTTCACAGACGTGTCTAGCAGATCCACAAACCGCCAGCCTTGCGGCGGCTTGACAGAGCTCAGACTAAGGGTCCCCACCAGAGGCTGGTTGTGCAGTCTGGCGTGCGAGTTGGCAGGATACGTTTCCGAGGAAAAACAGATGAGCTGCCAGTTGTGCGATTCCGGATCCAAGTGCTGCAACTCAAAGATCTCAATTTCTTTCACCTCCTTAGGCTCCCGCAGGTTCAGCTCCTCGTTCAGCCACATCTCCAGTCTGTTCGAGATGGTGAGGAACTTGAGCCGCGTCTCCTCGGAGTACAAGAGGTCTAGGATAAATTGTAGATAGTTTGGATGCAACGCGACGGTGAACGCCCAAAGAGCCAAAACAAAGGTCACTTTGATAAAGGGCAGCATGGTAACGATCATCTGCGACCCAAACAGCGTCAAAAGCGTTCCACTAGTGAGCATTGCAGCGAAAATGAAAATTGTAACGTTCTCGTCCTTAAAATAAAGGTACTGTATGGTGAGAGACGTCACCACGTCGTAGGCCATCACATACAGCAACATATGGTTCTGCAAATCGGTGGAGTTGAGCACAAACTCGCGACTGAGTTCCGGAACAGGCTTGGGAAGGTCCACATTGGCCACAGACGGGCCCTCGGCAGGAATCGGGTTCGACTCTTTCAAAATCGTGTGTTTGTCCGGAGGGTGTCTTTTCAGATATGCTGGAACGATGATCTCGAAGCAGATGTAGAAAAACGGAACGCTTAACAACAAAACAGGCTTGAGGATCATCAAGGTGCAAAAGTTGAGAAACGTCAGGGTGTAAAGAGGCTTGGACCAGCTGAAAATCACAATCACTTGATCTATAAGCTCGAACGGAACAGAGAGTCGCGACAGCAGCAGAATCGAGTTCTTACTCATGGTGTTCAAACTCAGCTGCGGACGCGTCTTTTGCATCTCTATCCGAGCGAGAATCGACTGTAGTTCTTCTCCTGTTGTAGTGGTTGTTGTAGGGAGGGCAACCGAGAGAAACCGTTCAAACAGCTTGTCGGTCAGGGTGGAAGTATGGTCTTTCGACGAGGAGAACATATCGTCAAAGATTGAATTGGATGCCTTGCCCTTGGGAGGCGATTTCTGGGACTCTGTCAAAGACGACCATAGGGTGCTACTTGCAACAAGCTTGCGGTCCTCGGGGCTGACTTTAGATCCCTCCGACGCTGTGTCGTCCGCATTGGTGCTCGTGGTCGCCTGTGACAGCGTGTCCCACGAGGACCATAAGTTATTCACGACAGACTCCATGAAAACAGTGTCTGGTCTGTTTACTTGCTAGAATTGCACATGCCTTTTTTTCGTGCTTTGGGGGGGAGCAGGAGCTTTGCTGACGTCATGGCTTAGTCATCCACGAGACCAGATCCTGCTGGAGACCCGCGTGCGCGGCACGTAGACTCACCAGATGCAAGTCCAGCTCAAACTGGACGTCTATGGACTCGTCCAGAACGAGGCCCGAGTCTCTGTTTTCGAGCCCGAGGTAGTTGAGCAAGGTGTCTTCGTTGGATCCAAGCAGACGATTATTAGGCTTTGTGTTTTTAATCTTTTTGTTGGCGACAAAGTAGCGGTAGTCGGTCACTAGGTCTGTCTTGTTGCACAGCACCAGCATCGGGACCTGTCTGTGTTGGTTGTTGTACACGATGGTTTCATGGAGCTTTTCTTTGGCGGTGTCGAGCGTGAGTGTGTCAGCTATGTCGATCACAAAGACGATGAGACTGATCTGTGGCGAGACCATGCAACTTGTCCAGAGGTCGTGGTGTTTGCGCTGGCCGCTCAGATCGTGGATTTTCACCACTAGTTGTCTGGCCGCGTGGTCTTCGAGAAGCGGCGAAGTCTCGGACGATATTCGTGCCGGCGCCGGTGCTGTTGTGACTGTATGATCCAGACTCAACACCACAACGTGCTCTTTCAACGTGGGCAGCGTGTCTGGGACAAACGTGTTGTGCTGAAGGATGTTGACCAGACTTGTCTTTCCGGAGTTGCGCAGCCCAATTAGCGCCACATCGAGCTGGTAATACTGACGTTAGCGCCAAACAGAGTGTTCCTAACTTACGTCTCGCGACTGGACCCAGTTGGAAATCCAATTGCAGCAGGGAAACATGGCCGTTTAGACAAAGTGCAGAAACAAAATAACCTTAAACTTTGCACAGCCCGGTGTTTTCCATCAATTCTTTTTGGCCGCAGGCTTATCTGAAAAATTTCCCAGTCTGACCAGCCGATGAACGAGACAGAGCTTTCTCGACAGCGGGAAAGGGATTTGGCACAGTTCAATTTCCCCAAGGTGTTCAGCAGGGGTGTTGATTACGCGAAAATCGACCGGGTTGCTGTGGAGAAGTTTATCGAGCAAAGGTTGGAGCAGCTGGTCCCTGAGGACGATATTATTGTAGAGTTTGTGAACAATCTCGTTCTGGACGAACACACGGGCCCTAAAGATCTGTGTTTGCAGCTGAAACCGTTTTTGGACGACCAAACGGTAGGATTTGTCGAGGAACTATGGAAAAAGATGCTGGCTACAGAGAACAGCGAGGAGTTGAAGCCGCTACAAACCAAACCGGCCGGCGGAAAGAGCCATAAAAAGAGAATAGTTGATCGGTCTAAATACAAAAAACCATACCGTCGATAGTCACTTTCGTTTAAATAGATTTCTGAAGAATCCTTTACGGTCCTTCTCTTTGTCCTGGGACGCGCTGCGTTGCGGTGACAGCTGCGGTGTCGACCGCGACGCCCGTAGAGGCTCCATTGGAACCGCGGTGTCCGACTGGAACCGGCCGTACTTGGGGTGGCTGATGTCGAACTTGACAGACGACGGCTGGCGGGGCTGGTCGTTTTGGCCCAGGGAGTCAATGTTGATGGTGGGGATCTTGGGCGTGTGCGGCGACCGTGGCGGTGGCTTGGGCGACGGGTCCAGCAGCATCGACTTGGCCCGGCCGTAGTGCGGGTCCGGGGCCCCCGTCAGCGTACGCACCAGTTTCGCACTCTCCCCGCCGCTCTTGGCCGTCTCGGCAAGATTCACGCCGTAGCTGTGCGCCGCAGACGACACCACTTTCAGCCAGTTCTTGTACTTGTCCTTGTCGTTGCCGTGTTTGAGTAGCTCCGCCAGCTCGTTGTAGATCCGCACACTCGTGGTATGTTGTAGCTGACGCAGGTTACTCACAGACGAGTCTGCTGCATTGGAGTCCTCTGCCTGCTCGTCTGCCAGGATCGCCAGCCGGTGGTCGCTCAGCTTGTACGAGCCCACCTGGTCCAGCTGCTTCACCATCTTCGGGTCGTCCACGCCCTGCTCCAGTTCCTCCATTCTGGTGTTAAGAATCCGGAAGAGCCGCTCCTCAAACAAATCCATGTTCAACGACGGCACAATCACCACAGGCACATGGAAGTTCTTGACGAGCCGGTCGGTGACTCTGGAAGTGACCCACGACCGCGTCGAAGCTGCCTTGGTGGGCTTGGCCGCAACAACAACCAGGTACGGCAGATACAGCGAATACATGTCCTTTAACACGTCCTTGGTGCCGCCAACAGCCAGCTCGATGGTGATCTTGAGCACCTTATTCGGATTCAAAATCGCCATGATGTACTTCATGATGTTCTCTGTCACAACCTTGGCGTACTCTGGCGAGTTGCGAATGGTGCTCTCGCTCCAATTGACGTCCTTGCTGTAGACAGAGCCGGAAGAAAGACGCCGTGCAAACAACGATTTCGAGTTCGGGTTGATCGACGCGGTGACAACCATCGTGTCTCCGTCCTCCAACAACCGGTTGCAACACCAGTCCAGTGCAACCCAGGTGTGTTTGCGGCCAGAGATGTAGCACATTATGTTTCTATCAGGAAGGGCAGCTCGTTTGCCCGAGTGCTTCGAGTACAGTCTGTCGTAGTCCTTGTGTTTCTTTGTGAGAGTGCAAGCGTCGTGGGTGATGATCGGGGTGGTTGGATATCGTCTGGACGAAACACCGCTGATTTTCAGGTTCCGAATTGGAGAAACCGACCCAATTCGGCCATAATGGGTCGCGGCCGGCGACATGCTCCTGTCCATCTGGTTGAATTGGTTGTTTCTTCCGGGAGATTGTTCTCGCGACGGAGACCGTCCTCTGGTTGCTGCAAAATTTCCACCGGGAGAAGACGACCGTTGGCCTGCCGACGGCCCCCATCCGCCGGTGTTGAGAAGGTTCTCGCGCCGGTTCATCCGATCTCTGTCAAACGACATGCCCATCTCGTACTCAAACTCGTCGTCGCTGGACTCTTGGCCCTCATCCGCAACTTGTAAATTCACCGTATCAAACGAGACTCTGCGCTCGTAATTCGCCGCCGCCCTGGCCGGTACCACGCTGCGGCTTCTGATCAAAACAGGTTTCTTCTCGCCATCAAAGATACTTCTGGGCTCAACAGGCCGGAACTCGCTCAGCACATGATCCAGATGCACCGTCTTGTAAGCAGGAAGTGGCTTGTTATCAGCCTTCGGGTGGTCGTAAAATCCAGACGCCTGATGTGTCTTGGCCTTACTCAACGGATACGTGTAAGGTGATTGGACACGGGTGAGCCGATTGGTATCACTGATGGTATGTGCAAGACCTTCCCCGGTGAAAGGAGCCGGCTCCACAGTGGAAGATGGAGAAAGACTATCGCCGGTAGACTCGGTGATCAACCCGGCCGACTGCGCCGAATTCATCCGTCGTAAATCCGTGTTAGGCATAGCAACAAGAAACTTTACCAAAGCACTTGTGAACTCGTCGCCTGTTGCTACTTGCAGACTTCTTTTACTTATCTTTTTATTTATTTATACTCATAAAAATGGGGCAACACCTCGCACCGCATTGAACCCTGGAAAAAGCTTAACCTTGACTGTTGACAGCAAGCTCCATGATGAGTTTGGTGGCCAGGTGGAGGAATGGGTATGCGCTGAAGGACGAAATCTCGTCGGAGTCGTGCTGCCTGTCCTCTAAAGTGGCGGTCGTGGACGGACTCGACGACTCCCAGCCGTCAAACTTGAAGTCAACCAGATAATTGTTTGGTTCCAATTGGAACAGCTGGATCTGCATCTTCATCAGGTCGGCGTCTTGTGAATTGTCGGGAACAACGTACTTCCAGCGGACTTTGATTGTCCATAACTCTTCTTCGGATGGCCGGGCCCACTCGGCTCCCAGGTTCTGTAATGCACGGTAGATTTCTCCCATAACGTCTAACGGATACGATCTCGAACGGATACCAAAATGCCATCTGGTCTTCGACTTCTTGGTGGAGATCGGCTGGATCGACGCCAGCTCCGGTCGCGACTGCACCATGTATGCTCTGTGGATTTGCGGGAGAGACGACGTCAAAATGGCAATCGTGGAACTAGGGGTGTAGTTTGTGGTGCTGTCCTGCTTGGAGTACTCGATATTGGTTGGGGTGCGCCATCTTGGATTGAGCGGGTCTGCCAAGTTGCTCGACTGTGCCTGTTTGTTGATGTCCTCCACAAGAACCTTGTTGTCCTTCACCAGTTGGTAGCTATCCAAAATTTCCTGTGTTTCTGGCTTGCGGCCGATCTTGATAGCGTCGATGATTTCTTCGCGCGAGTAGCCCATGGCGATCGACAATGCGTTCACCACCTTCTCGTCCACGTCCTCCAACTTGAACTTTCTCTCGGGCTCGTCCTGGTTCAGCAGGTACTCTGGCAGATCGACCTTGAACCATTCATCTTCTAGAATCTCCTTGATTGTGATTCTGTTGAGCGGGTTCACCACCAGCATTTTCGTCAGCAAATGTTTCGCGCCGTCCGACAAGTCGTGCGGCAGCGTGTACACACCGTTGCTGATCTTCTTGAACAATGCGGGGATCAGCTCGTCGTCAAACGGTAATCGACCACACAACATCACGTACAATATGACACCGCAGGACCAGACGTCCACCTCGGGACCAGCGTACAATTTGCCCGAAATCACCTCCGGAGCAGCATAGTTTGGCGACCCGCAACTGGTTTTCAAGAAGTTTCCGTCGGTCATGATGTTACTCAGCCCGAAATCGGCAATCTTCACGTTCAACTGGTCGTCAAGCAACAAATTCTCCGGCTTGAGATCTCTATGCACGATTTTGTGACGATGGCAATAATCAACCGCCGCAATGATTTGTTGGAAAAACCGTCTGGCCTGGTCCTCCTTCATGCGTCCATTCTGGATAATGTAATCAAACAACTCCTTGCCCGCAAACTCGATAACCATGATGATTTCGTCCTTGCTTTTGATCACGTCGTACAACTTGATGATGTGCGGGTGTCTCAGAAGCCTTAAATACGAAATCTCCCGCTCAATTCGACCCTGCATGTCTGACTTGGAGAGGGTTTTTCTGTTGATCATCTTGAGGGCCACTCGTTGACCAGTGGCCGTATGATAGGCCAATTTGACCTTACCAAACGACCCTTCGCCCAAATCCTTGACAATCTGGTACTTACCGATCCGGTTCGGCGTCCCGGACTGGTGATGATGGTGATGGGGATCTGCTTCTGACATGAAATGTGTTCAAGTTTTGTTGCTAACTCCACAATTTTTACTTTGGTCACTGGTTTGGGTCGTGCACTACGTTTTGTTTCATTAAACCTATTTAACGAGTTCTGATGATTCCGGCAGCCATCAGCGTCATGATCTTTCTGCTGACGTCTGGGTTTCTCATGTGTTCCTGCAAAGCGGCGGGATTGTTCTGGGCCTGTTGCAAGATGGTCTGCATGACAGGGTCGCTCAAAATCTGCACCACTTCCGGGTCCTTTTGAATTCTGGCCATGGTCTCCTCGTAAGTCTCGCCGTCCAACGGAGCAAATCTAAGACTGTTGGCCTTCTGGGTCAACGACTCGATCTCGTTCAAGTTGGCCGTCGAGTTGTTCTTCAATTCGGCCTCTCTGGCTCCCGCTAGCGTCTCAAGACACTTTCTGTATTCCTTAATAGCGAGCTCCGCGTTGGCCTTACGGATGTATGCTCTCACAAAAGTAGGGTCAAGCTTGATGGCTGTCTCGCAATCCCTAATGGCATCTGGGAAAGACATGAGTTTGGCCAACGAGGCTGCTCTATTGGAGTATCCTCTCACGTCAGATGGGTCTCTCTTGATCATCTCAGTGTAGGCCTTCACAGCTCCTGGCCAATCTCCCTTGGTGAAAGCCTCCTTTCCGTCGAGTCTTGCCTTTTCAGCCAAGTCCTTGTCGATGTAAGACTCGGCCTCCCTCTTCTTGGCCTCCTTCTCCGTGGCTCTGAGCTTGTTCAACACCTCAGGCGTTCTGTGCTCCGTCAAAGACTTCTCAAAGAACTCGCAAGCAAGTTTCAGCTCGTCTTTCTTCAAGTACGAGTTTCCGATTCTGGCAAAAGACTTGGCAACCAGCTTGTAGTCGGCACGCATCTCTCTTCCCTCTTCAACGGCAGTTTTGCATGTCTGGATGGCGGCGTCGTAGTCGCCCTTCTCGAACTCGGCAGCAGCACGGTTGTTCAAGTAGGTGATATCCTTGTGAGTTTCCCAGGCCTTGTTGTAGAGCTCAATGGCCTGGTCAAATTTCTTCTGTTTGTACAAAGCGTTGGCCTCGGCCTTGTAGCCGTCTGCCTCGACCTTTGAGTCCTTCACTGGTTCTGGAGCCGGCTCAGGAACAGGCTCGGCGGTCTTGGCTGGCTCAGCGTCCTTCATCTCAACGTCGGCAGCAGCTGGCTCTGCTGACCCAGTTGGCTCGGGAGCAGGAGGAGCCCCGCTCATGTCGACGCCGAGAATAGCAGCCAAAACAGTCATCAGTCTCTGGTCGGTGAACATGTCGGTGCTCAACGAGGCAGGATTGGTGCGCAGCTTCTTCACCTTCTCAACAAGAGCAGGATCTTTCATCAATTCAGCGGTCTTCGGATTGGCCTTAAGCTTGTCGATTAAATTAGGGTCCGAGAAAATCTTGGCCATACCCATAGTTGGGTCGCCCTCGGCCATCTTGGCGTCCGTAATAGCGTCCAGTCCGCTCTTGGCCATCGCATTGGAAGGATCAAGCTCCAGAGCCTTTTCATAAGACTTCTTGGCATCGTCCAATTTCTCCAGTCCGTACTCGGCAGCAGCCACACGGTTGTAACCTTTGGCCCAGGTTGGATTGATCTTGACACATTCCTCAGCGTCTTTCAGAGCTTCCTCGTACTTCTTCAAAGAGGCATAACAAGCAGATCTGTTAGAGTAGAGAACATGGTTAGGAGTAGGCGAAACTTCGATAGCCTTGGTGAAACTATCAATGGCCTTCTCGTAGTCCTTCGCAGCAAACGCGGCGTTTCCTTGAGCTTTGAATTCTTCAGCAGACATGAGGTTATTAGAGAGAAAACTGCTCTTACTTATAAAATGCCCAACTTATGGTTGAACTTTTCTAGAAAAAACAGACAACATCTCTACACGGGATAAATTCGTTAGATCAAAGGAGAAAAAATATATAAAAAAAATTGAAATATCATGGACTCTTTTTCTAAAAGCACCAGTGGGTTCGACCATTGGGTGCGTAATCATTACCAACATGTGGACGAGAACATAGAAATAGCCGATCTCAGATCGTCTGGCGAAGGTCGTGCGCTTCGTGCAACGGGAGATATCAAGAAAGACACAGTTTTGTTTCGTCTGGCTAGAGATCATATCATTAATGTGCGTACGGCAGCCCTGGGTAAGTTGAAATTGTCCAACATCGAGGTCTTGGAGTCTCTTAACCAATGGGAAGCGTTGATTTTGTGTTTGGGGTATGAGATGTTATTAGGTGAGGAATCTCAGTGGAGTTCCTATTTGCAGGTTTTACCTGAAAAATTCAACTCCTTGATGTTTTGGTCGGACGACGAGCTCGCAATGTTGAAGCCTTCGAACGTCCTTACTAGAATCGGTCGCGATCAGGCCGAACGCATGCATGCTCGACTTGTTCCAGACATGTGTGTTCGACTTGGAAGCCAAAAATTGGCGGATTTTCTCACTCTTGAAAAATTCCATATGGTTGCAAGCATAATCATGAGCTATTCTTTCGACGTGGACGATCCAGAGGACGACGACGTGGATGAAGAAGAAGAAGAGGTGAACGAGTTTTTGGCCGAGGAACACGACGGACTCAAGTTCGACGGGTATTTGAAGAGCATGGTTCCTCTTGCCGATACGCTCAATTCCAACACCAATCTGGTGAACGCTAATCTGAGTTATGAAAACGATGTTCTTGTCATGACCGCCACCAAGGACATCAAGAAGGGCGAGCAGATCTTTAACATCTATGGCGAGCTGCCAAACTCGGAGATCTTGAGAAAATACGGCTATGTTGAGGTGCCTGCTTCCAAATACGACTTTGCGGAATTAAGTTTGTCTGTAATTAAACAGACTTTTGTGGGAAAGTACCTGTCGCAATTTGACAACGAGGTTCGCGAGTCTCTGTTTGACAAGGTGGTTGCATTTGTTGGCGAGTCGGAGTATTTGGAAGAAACGCTGGAGGACCAAGAAGGGGGAATCGTTTTGGACGCCTACGAGGTGTTCAACGACGCAGACGTTTTGCCGGAGCTTGTGTTGTTGATCCAGATTTTGACCACGGTTTATGAGAGTTTTGAGTCGGACGCCAAATGGGCCAAGAAGCTGACAAAATCCCGGTCAGAGTTGGACGCGTTTGTCAACAGATGCATTTTGAAATCGTTCCAACTGCTGGAAAAGACTATGATCACCAAGAACTGTGTCATAAACCTTCACCAATGCGTTCAACAACGCATAGCCGAGTACGGCGAGGCAAAAAATTATGAGATTCCAGAAACCGCAGGAGAGTTGAGTCGTTCCCAGATGGCTGCCATTGTGCTGAAATGCGAGATTGTTTGCCTGCAAACAGTTTTGCAAAAATTCCCAGCCAAGCTCGAGCAGATCGACGACTCCAAGTTGTTGAAGAACGTGCTTAAACGTAAATCCGACTCGGAAGAGAAGAAGTCAAAGAAACGCAAGGCTTAGTCGGACTCGGAATCTGTGTTCACAACATGCAAAGCAGAGTTCCTGTTGGGGTTTGGACTGTTTGTTGGTTGCGATAGCCGAGATTTATTCCTTGGGCGAGGTCTCATGACCTGGAAGCCAACACTTGAAGATGGTTTTTCGAATTCCATGGATGCAGCTCGGTTCAGCTTTCTACCTCTTTCCTGCCACATTCGGATCAACTCAGCATCAGACTCAGTGCCTTGGAAAGCTTCAAAGTATATATCTGCCTCTCTAACCGAAAGATCTTTTGTCTGTGGATTGTAGACAGGTTCCGGCATGGACAACCCTGGCAGAACACGCCGGTCTGTAAACTCGAGTTTGTCGCTATGTAGCGACCGGGTTTCGTTATCCTGGACAAGCAAACTTGGAGGACCGAGGTTCCAATCGGCAAACGATTCGTCCAACGAAACAAAGCTTCTGTTGTCAGCTCGCAGCGGCACCTCGATCATCTCGCCACGCTGGACGTAATCAGGTATATCTGTGCCTTTCTTTCCTTTCCTGTATTTGTAGTAGAGTTTGAAAGTGGTAAACAGTTTGTATAGCGACGGAACCAGGAACACGAAGACGATTGTCAACAGATGAAGAATCAAAATCGTCCAGATGAGACGGGTTTTCACCAGTTCTGGACAGTTGACAGACTCTGCAATCGGGGCATTCAAAATACTGACTATGACACGCACAACAGCCAGCGAGATCTTGGTGACATTTGTACCTGTGTTGTAATAGAATGGCTTCAAGACTAGGAGGATGCATAGATGCACAAACTCCGAGGTGATGAGCACACATAACTGGGCCACTCCGCTGAATTGGAGACAGCCGATCGCGAAACTGAACACAAAGTCTTGGAAAAACTCAAAAGGCACGAACCAGATCTTGGACGTTTTCAAAAACGAGTAAAACGTCTGCCACACAAGCATGACGTTGATGGATTTGTAAAGTTTTGCTCTTGCACGTTTCATGATGCAAAACCGGACAGCGAAGTAGATCTCGAGAGTGAAGAAGAGCACCAGGAAGGTGCATACGGTGGCCGTTGTCCATGTTGATTTTTCCTCGCCGTTGGGGCGGCCGTACAGAGCAATTCGAGGAGAAACCAGCACGAAAAAGCTGTACACAAGGAACGGAATCGCCAGGTAGCCGAGAAACGAGTCGACAACGAGTCCGACCCACGTGAGGGCCATGAGTTTGCTGAATCTCGAGAAAGTTAATTCTCTGGCTTTTTTCCTGAAGAGCATAACCAAGCAGGCGCCTGCAAGTTGGACAAACCAGCCAGCTGCCACGAAAATAGCAAACTCGATCAGGAACCCCGACCAGAAGTCTGACACGGAACGTTCCTCTGTGCTGCCTGTGATAAGACTTTTCAGGCCTCCGATCCACATGGTTTTATAGACGTTATCAGCGTGACTAGGAGGACAAAACTTGATGAATCCCAAAATACCTATCCATCTTTGATTGGATATGAGCGTATGGTAGAAGCCTGGGAATTGTAAGTTGAGGCCGGCCACGAAGTAAATAAATTGCAGGTGTTTGAGGTAATCTTTGAAAACGGGACAAACCTGGTTCAACAACGGAGCGTTGCAAATGGATGCAGCACGGTAGAGAAAGACAATGTTAGTGTCGATGTATGGAGAAAACACGTATCCTGCCATGTTGGAGATGAAGACGGTGATGCACACAATTATAACCAAACACATGGAAAACAACGATAGCGACTCCTTTTGGACCGTGCTGAACCACGCGGTGGAGCAGCCAATGATGGTGTGGTTATCGTCTGGGGCGATGAAGGTGATTTTGATCTTGTAGGTGCCAAACGCGGACCTGGGCGTGACTGTAATTGGGATCTGGATTATGAGTTCGTCGCCTGCATAGACTGGACACGAGCGGTCGGAGTGGCTAGAGCCGTTTCCCCTGGTGGACGGGAGATCGGGCAATCCCGAGCCCACGACAGTCTGGTCGTTCACGTTGGCGTTTCTTATCACGCCCAGGGTCTCTAACGCATTATCTGACGGCATCGTTTGGGTTGCACTTGCGCTGCTAGTGGAGGAATAATTGGGATCATCGCCGTGGCCTATGATGTCAACATTGTCGCAAAACCGCAGGTACTCGTCGTAAACGGTTTCTCCCACATATTCCAGTTGCACGTGCATGGTTGTGTATGTATTTGTAGTGTCGTTGACGTCGATGATGGTGTCAAACGAAATCAGTTCCATGTCGACGTTGATCAACCTGTCCTGTTCATAGTAGGAAACATTAAGTAACGGCGCAGAAAGCACGTAGTTATCTTTTTTGTGGCCGTCATTACACGAACGGACGTTCAACAGAGCTCCCTGTGCCGCTGACACGAACGTCAACAAGGCCAGGAACGCTAGCAGAAACATGGTGCCAGTGTTGAGTGGGGGAGGTTCCTTTTATTTTGAAATTAGATCGCGAAAAAATTTTTGGGGCCCCCTGAAAAGCCCGCAGATAGAAACTAATTACATCATACGATATTCTTCATCAGGTACTCGAATATCGAGAAAAAGATCATGGTGGTGGCGATTGACCGTGTGATGGACGGAGCCAGGCCTCTGTACATCTCGCGGGTGGGCCAGCGCAATTTTGGTGGCACAACATCGAGCTTGTCGCGGCCTGCTTCCACACGCAAGATATTCCGGATCACGTCTCTTTGGTACTGAGATTTGAGCGTGTCGACAGGGAAAACGAGGATCCAGCTGAAACAGCCGGCCATGGCCCCCGATAACGGAACGCTCAACAGATCAATGGTGCGGTGCCAGCCCGGATCCTGCACCAGATGGTTGTTCCTGGTTTGGATAAATAGTTTCACTGTTTCGTAAAGTCCGTAAAAAAGCCCCGAAGAAACGCCGTCCTTCACCAGATGGTACCTGTAGCCCGAGTAGAGGCCCAGCACGCCGTCCTGGCGCACCGTGGTGCGTGCCACGTTGAGCAATCCAGACGGTAGCTTGTTGCGCTGCAGATGGACGTCCTTGCCCTGTTCGCCCGAGTTGTTCACCAATAGCAGGATCTGTTGGAATATCTTGCAGAACTCGAACGGACACGCAAATATCGACACCGAGGCCCCCGAAATTGACCCCGAGACCACGGCTATAGGAATGTTGTTGATTACCCGGTCCATCTGTTGCTGCTCCACAGAAACAGCAACCTCCCGGTGGACCAATGGGTGTGTTCCCCAGACCGGCTCGCCCAGCACAGACACAATGGGCTTGGCCTCTGTGTAGATGGACACTCCCAGAGATCGAGCAAATGCTGTAGAGATAAGCGGGGCAGATATCCCGCGAAACAGGCCACCAACGCCTTCGGTTTGCAACGTCGATCGCAGACACTCGAGAGAACTGGCAAAATGATGGGTCTGCATTCGTGTCTTCATGGAGTCCAGCGGGAACCCCACAGACGTGGACACCAACGAGGACGAATACGATAACAGGGCCGATTTATAGTTTGCGAGTATCGGGGGCATCGTGAAAAAAGGATCGGAATACTCTATGTCCCCCGTGATCGCCGGGATGTGTCCGTGGGACTTACGATCCATGACGGAAATGGTGCAACAGTTTGTTGAAGAAGAATCGGAGTTGAAGATTATTCTAGTGCACAGCCGCAGACTTGGTTTTTTTTTTTATTATGTAGCTCCACGGATTTAAATTAATACATATTTAATATTCGGTCACATGTCGATTGCGTCTTTAAAACTCAAAATGTCGTTGAACCGCAAACCATTCACGTCGATCTCGGTATCGGAGAGTTTATCGGCAGACTTGATGAATTCGAACTCGAGGTCGTCTGTAGTGTCTCTTTCTTTGCTTGCAACCAAAATCAGACCTTTGGAGCGAACAGACTTGATCAGGTCCGGACAGATCGAGAGTATCCCGTTCGGGATGATCAGGCCCAGCAGGTTGTTGGTGGTTGCAAAATTGATTGCCAGCTTGATCGAGCGCGTCAACTGATCCTGGTATTGCAGGTCGTTCAAGTACACTGCCGAGTCCTTGTTGATGGAGTCCACGTTCTCTATATTGAGCTCTGTGGTGCGGGTCTCGCAGATCTGGATGTCGCTGGTCGAGAACCCGTTCGACGAACATGGCTCGAACCGGTGCGTCGCAAAGTTGTACTTGATACCGTTGATATTGTAGAAAACAGGGTAGTTGGGCTGTTTCCAGTTGAGAATCGTGCACACCATGGCGTTGTCGCTCGACAAGATCAGCGACCGGTGTCGTTCGCCCTCCGTACGCAGTGCACGCACGTGTGTGAACACGTCCTTAAGTATCAGGTCGATGTAGTTGTTCAGAACATTGTCGGTGATCGGGTTCAGATTCGTGGCCTCACATTTGGAAACAAGTTTCTGGGCAGACACAGAGTAGCACTTCATGTCGAAGAATTTGAGCTCAAACACAGACGGATAGAAAATCTCCAGGTTCAACGAGATGTCCACACAGACGTTCTGCAAAAACGATTCTAGCGGGATGTACAACTTGGACATGATTTCTTCCAAACTCTTGAGATCGCTCTTAAGACTGTTCACCTGTCGCAGTTGCAAACACAGCGATTCGTACTCGTTCGGCGAGTAAAGGATCTTTTGCAACTGGGCAAAATCGAACGTGCACACCGGCAGTTGCACGCCGTTGAAATTCACCTCCCAGCTCGGACACACCAAAGGTGTTCCGTCGCCAAGGAAACAAACTTTGACTCTGTAGTACTCTCCGCTCAGCGAGGAGGCGGTCACAAACGAGATCGACTTGACCGCAGCAGCAGACGACGATGACTTCCAGTAAGTGTCGTACATGGAAATCTCCAACGGAATTCCCGAATACGGGTAAACAACCTCGTAGTTGAACTTGAGTGACCCGATGTTGCGAAGTCTGAGGTCAAACAGCGGAATCTCCAGATCTCCACTTAGTTTTGATCCGACTCCCGGATACAGGCTCTGGAATAGTGTTGATGGCAACGTGGACTTGGCAATCAGCCGTGTTCCAAACGTCGGGAACAGTTCAAAGTCCACAGCAAAGTCGTCAAACGTGTCTGTTTGGAACGTGATGGACTTCTCGTTGTCCAGCACAGGAAGTAGCAGGTTTCTCGGAATCAGATCGTTCTTATCGCAACTGATAGTGATTCGTCCAGGAATAGAGGTCAGGAACGTGTCAGGGTTGAGTTTGATGGAGTTTCTGCTGGTGTAGAAGGACAGTTTGAGGAAAATCTTCTTTTCGAGGAAATTGTGACCGTACTTCCTCAATGGAATAATCGGCGGAGGAAGCGACAGATCCGGAATCATGTCGACATTGCTTAGCTCAGCCAGAGACGGGAGGTCTTCTGACGGAGTCGGAACCATTGGTGACATGACATTTTTCGTGAAACTGAGACTTGGGGCTTTTGGAGGAGCAAGTTCTGCCGAAGATTCTTGGACAGGCTCGACGCCACTGCTTTTCGATTTGAAAGATTCAATCAGAACGTTGATAGCTCCAACATTTCCTTCCCAGATCGCATAGTATAGAGGATTCAATCCGTCTTCGTCTTTAACATCAAAGTCTGCTCCGTATTCTATAAGCTTTTGAGTGGTGGAAGCGTAGCCTTTGATTGCACTGTAGAAAATCGGTGTCCATTTGTTGAGTTTATCCAGTTGGTTTACGTCTGCTCCGTATTGCAACAACAGGGCAAGCAGCTCGTCATGACCAGAAGACGCAACAATATGCAGTGGAAGCAAACCTTCCGCGTTGCTCTGGAAAGATTTCGTCAATAGACCCATTTCCTTGGCCTGAGCAGGAGTGCTCACCTGATTGAGTAACAATTGAACCACTTGCAAGTTTCCTGTCTTGCAGGCAACATTGAGGGGCAGGTATTTTGGTTTGAGATCGTCCTGTTGCGGGAACGCGTTGGAACCGTGTTTTAACAGGATATCCACGGAAGAAACGTGGTTGTTGATGATAGCCATCAGTAACGGAGAAATGGACTCGTTATCCATGACGTCGATCAAGTTGGACAACGGCTTGATCTTGGGAGCGTACTCCAATACAAGCAAAAGCAGGTCGTCTCTGCCGTTTTCTGTGATGTAATGCAAACAGGTCCGTCCAGTGACGTCCTTCAAAGTTGGGTCGATGTTGTTTTCCAGACACAGTTTCACGGTTGCAACACGGCCGGTTTTGCACGAAGCCGCCTCATGCAAACACGTACGGCCGTTCAGGTCGTCCACGAGATGAATGTCGATGAACTGTTTGAAGTTGTCGTAGAAATACTTCAATGCCTCGTCCGGAATTTGAAGGTTCGGTATAAGCAACAAAAACACCTTGGAAATGGTGAACTTCTTGTTATCGGGGCTCAGCTTGGATAACACCTGGTTGACCCACTCGTGGAGTTTCGAGACCTGCTCATCTTTCGCTCTGTTGGCATTCTGGGCAATGATTTCGTAGAAATCAGTGTACAGTTCGTCCGACTCTCTATCCCCCTTATCGAGCTCTGCATCGTCGTTCCTCACCGTATCTTTTGTTTCGTACCGAACAAAACCGCCACCTTCGACTTTGGCCTCCAATTCCATCAAATTGTTGGCAACAAGATCACTCAGCTCAATGATCTGGTCTCTATGGAAAACAGGCTGAACATTGACTGCAGTAGATAAGTACAGTTCTTTTGTTCTGGACTTGGACCTCTTGTCCCATTTCTTCAACACTTTGGTGAACCCGGTCTCGTTGAGCTCAACAAACTGCTCCAAACGATCCAAATCTTTGGAAAACTTCTTAAGTCCATCATACAACGTGACAAACGCAATGGAGTTCTTGGTAACATTGTCCAATCGGCCATCGGCAAGAGCCTTGTTTTTTCTCTCAACCAAGATATCAAGCCGAAACTTCAACTCGGCCTCTTTCTCCAAATAAAAGTCGTTCACCTTCTCCAACTCTCTTTCTAACCGGAAAAAGAACGAGCCCTTCTTGTCCTGTAAAGATTGATCGTTATTGTTGTTGTTATTGGCTACCAGAGCATTGATCAGCTTCTTCAATGCCTTGTAGTTGATGCAATGACCCGAATATTCGGGCAATTCCAACTGGCGAGCGGCCAAATACTTGCCAAACTTCATATAATGCTAAACACCCTAGTTTAACCTGCACAAGAATATTTATTTTGCACTGTCAACCCAGACATGTTGAGAGGTTACGTAAGCAAAACGTGGAGGCCAATTTAAACCATGTACATTATAATGCCGTTCCGGAGCACGCGAAGAGTGCTGGAGAAAAATCCGTTCATAAGTCTATTAGCGTAGGCTAGGCGTACGTTATATACCATCAAAAATATAAGTTAAGAGTCCGCACACGCATCCAAAGCGTGTGTATTCGTAAATGCAGAAATGGCTCGTCTAGAGCGCAGGAATAATGATCATGAAAGCTCTCCGTTGATGAAGCTCTCGAACTCGAGCTCCACGTCGTGCAAACTATCGAATTCGTAGTAGTCGTGGAAATGGAGATCGTTTTTAGAATCCAGATGGGGGCCCAAATCTGTCGGAGCGGGCGAAATCATGGAATCTGCGGTGTTTGATTTAAAAATAGAGAAGGCGGAATCCTTGCCGGGGGAGGAAGGAAGCTCTGCCAGCTTGAAGCCCTTTGGCGATTGGGAAACCAAAGTGGAGCCGGACAGACTGTCCATCGTTTCGTTGGTTTTGGTGAGCGAGATAGTTGGGGTAGGGGTAAGGTCGACAAGGTGGTCGCTATGGTGTTCGAGGTGGTCGTCGTCGGACAAAGCTGGAGACGAGAAGTCCATGGCTGGATCTTCGAATTTTTCCAACTTGATGAACTTTTGCATATCCTCGGATTTGATGGCTATTGGCTTAGTTGCGGTTGCAGTTGCTGCTGGAACCTGCTGAGCCGGAGGCGCAGGAGACTGTTGCTGAACCTGTTGCGAGTGGTTCAAGTCTATAAGAGATACTATGAGTTCGTTGATATCGTCATCGTGGCTTCGTTTACGGGGACATGCTGGAGAGGCTCTGTTTTCGGACTCTGGCTTGTTGTGGTTTTCTCGAATTTCGTTTTTCAAATTTTTCAGGTCGGCAACCAGCTTGATCACCTCCAACTTTAAATAGTAGTTTTCCTCGTTGATTTTCAGGATTTGTTGCTTCAAAGGGTTGTTGACGATGCTGGCTTCCAAGTCCTGAGGTGTTGGCGTTGGCTTAGATTTCTTTTTTGGTTCTTTAATCTCTTTAGTAGGCTGCGTGCCGGTGTTGACGGCCTGCGAGGGCTTACGGCCGGGCTTTGGCCGTGGAGGCAAAACCCATTTACGCGAGGTCTTGATCTTGATGGGACCTTGTTCCACTGGGTCTGGCGACGCTCCAGGACTCGGACCACCACTCGACAGCGGCGTGCTGATGCTTGTGTCAATTAGAGCTACATCGTTAGTGCCGGGCGGCGACATTAGAGACATACTTTGATTGGTCATGATTCATGGAACCCATTGAACACTTGACAATTTCAACAAACGGGTTTCGAAAAGAAATCGGAGAGTATATAAAAGGCTGGACGGGAACGGATGCAGGCAAGAAAGGGCAACAAATAACAAGAAACCCCTACCTTTGGTTGTCCCGCACAGACATTGTTGCCGGAGCACGGTTACCTGATTTAGAATTTTTCACCCCCTATAGGTTGTTCTTGCTATTGTTTTTCGTATTGTCAAATGCAAGATGTTCGAAAGAACACGACAGAAGCTTTTAAAATGCACTCGTGACCCGATCGCATCCGTTTCCGAGCGGGCTTCCTTGTCTCCATCGCAGACCCACCTTTTTTACCCGATGCACCCCCGGTGTGCTCATGATTCAGGCTGGGCTCACAATATCGAATCACGCTTGCCACGATTAAAATAATTGCATTTCCAACCGAAAAACATCCTCGGCCAAATTAATTCAGTGCTGACAATTTACCGTGCCGAAGACGATCTTCACGAAAAAGGCGCATTTCGGCAGCTACTATGTTACAGCCCTTCATCCCTGTAATTATTATTTTTGCTGGGACGTTCCGTGGTTACCATTTACTTGCAGCACATCCTTTGATCCATCGTTATCTTACATTTTCATAAAGTCCATCAGGTCCAAGCTCTTCGTCGTGACTTGTTTCTTTTTCAACAGCTGGCCCAAACTGTTGTTCTTCCGCTTCTTCGCGCGCTCTTTACCAGAACTTTTCTCCACGCTTTTCGTAATCTCCTTCTGTTGCACCAACACGTCTCTCTCCACACATTGTTTACATCCTGTACATCTGTACTGTAAAACTCGGCGTCTGGGTGCTTTGTCGCCAGTGGTTGCTAAGTATTTCACGCGAATTTCCACATTCACTCCGGAAATCAAAACCTCCTCGCACCGCTCACAAAACAACCACCCTCCGTCCTCCACAGCCTCAGGCAACACCAGCCCATGTCGCGAGCTCGTGGCAAGAAATCGTCGCCGCAACACCCGCCGCAGCCGCTCGTCCTTGGCCGCGTGTATCAGGTTGTACTGATAAACCGCCTTATCAGACATTAAAGATGAAAAATTTAAATGCTAATTAAACTTTTTCATTATGCGTTTCTAGATATATGGGGGGATATTCTTAATCATTCACAACACTCCGGTCCGTCGCCGTTTCACAGGACTGAACTCGGGACTAGGAATCTCGTCAGCAGGCTCGTCCTTGACGTACGAATTAGAGGTCTCCTTCCTGTTGGTAATCTCCTGTAGCACCTTTGTTGGCTGCTGCTTCCGAGGCAGCACGTTCTTCACATCAACAATACGCTTCTTTGTCGGCGTGGACGGCGGCGTGAAGTACACAGACGTTTCCTCTGGCGTCTCAAACAGTTTCGGAAGATGCCGTTCGACATAGTGGCACCATTGGTCGCAGTCGGCCTTGATATGGTAGTCAATCACTTTATCCCACGCGCTCATCGAGACATCGCAATTGTTCACAAACACAACTTTGCCGTCGGCGCGCTCGTGGATCCGGCGACTCAGCTGCCGCACAAGCTTGCGCACTCCATCAACCTTGAGCGACGTGCCGAAAATTATAAGCAAATTGGGGTTTCTCGCCATGTCGCTCATCAGTCCCTTCGCAAGCGCCTCCGCATGCGGGTGGTGTTCTCCGTACAGCACGATATCCGGCCGCAGGGCCCCCACAGAGGTCCTGGTGGCACGTTTTCCTTGCTCCTCTCTTTCTCTAAATTTCACCAAACACGTTGGACACTCGGGCAGCTCCCCGTCTTGTAAAAGAGCACTGTTCTCCTCGTCCCATGCAAACGTCTGGTAACACATTGTGCAGCTCAGTCTGTTTAGATCTCCATGCAACTGAACAACGTCCAGATTCTTCCAGTTGGTATCCACCCCCGTGTTCAGCTCGCAGTGTCTTTCCAAACCGTCAATGTTCTGTGTATAGCACCGGAGCAGCTTGTTGTGCTGTTTCAACCTTTGGATGAACCAATGGGTCTTTGTCGGACGTGCCTCGCACGTCCTGGCATAGAGTTGCTGCATAAACCGACAAAACAGCGTGATCGACTCGTCGTCTCTGAACAGCGAGATGTCAAACAGATCTTTTCCCTTGACGATGGTGTTTTGCTTGTCTGTGCGCTTGGCCAGGTTGTACAACCCATCGCTGCTGCGGAAATCGGGGATCCCAGCGTTACAACTGATCCCCGCACCGGTCAGAACAACAACCTTGCGGCTTTTCGACACGGCCCGGGTGATTTCCGCCAGCTCGGCCTGCCATTTGGCGTCTATCTCGAGTACCTTCATTGCCTCCAAGAAGAATACTTTTGTTCTTTTGTTGAAACCTTTTAGACACACCGCCAAAATACTTTTTTTTTCCTGTTTGGGCAATACGAAAACAAACCCCTGCTACGCGGGTGCAAATTACGAAAAGCTCGAGCTCACCAAACTGCAGACCCGGCCGCCGGAACTAAACTGGGCACACTCAACACGGCCGGATATCGCCAGCCAGGATGCCGCGTGGTTTCGCCAGACGCTGGGGGTTCCATGACGGTAACTGCTTATTTTGTAGATATGTACTGTAATTTTTTATCCAGCAGTCCAACAACAGCCAAACACAAACCGTGGCGTAAGACCTCCACACACAACCTCCTGCACCAGTAATATCGCCTATAACACATACTTTGTCCATCTTGTTACCTACACCTCGCACCTCTCCCGAAAACTACGGCGGTACGGCTTTTTTTGGGAAGTCCAAACCGCGAACTCCACGAACGGCAGGTGGTTTCTCGTAGCTAACAAAAGAATGCAGATAATCTTCGCTACAACCGTCGCAGCCACGCCAAACTACACCACCCCACACGAAATCGGCCGCTGATTACAATAAACACACACCCATGAATCTAATATTATTCTATTAATTAATCATCCCATGCACTGTAGTTTTCTCTACACAGCTTCTTTCTGAGCTGTGGTCCCCACTTGTAGAACGAGAATGGCAAAAGGATCATTGCAGTGGAAATGAATGCAAGAAGCCACGAAGCCCATTGCAAGCCCAATTTATGATACATTTGCGTGGTGAAGAGCGGGAATGCTGCTCCTCCAGCGGATCTCAAAAACACCTTGGTAGCCAAAGCAGAAGCGGCGTATTTGGCGTAAGTGTCAATGATGTAGTTGTTCAAAGAGTAGTAGATCAGCACCATACCGTAACCGAAAGCCAGTCCTGAAGATGCAGGACCCACCCAGATAATGTGTTTGTAGGAGGTTGCTCCCAAGATCCACAGAGCGATGGCTGGGAACGGAGAGCCCAGCATGGCTCCAATTAAACGGTCTTCTGGGGTCGGTTGTCTGGTTTTGGTGGTTTTGACGTAGTAGTTCTCCAGAATAGGGGTTGTGAGCAACGCGAGGAAAGCACCGATCAAAATAGGAATCAACATCATTCCAACAAGATCATCACCGTATCCGTAAAGTTCACCGAAAACGGCTGGGTATGCAAAGAAGAAAGCATACAAAAGCGAGTAGATCAGACACACGTAGAAGCACATCAAGTCCAGAACAGGTTCGGTCAAGGCAAACATCAACGGTCTGTACAAACACGTTTGGATCAGCTCTTTCAAAGACAGTCCAACAGCTTCCTGTTCAGTCATGATCTTTGGGTTTCCGGTTTCTTTTCTCAACTTCTTGGCCTTGCGTTTCAAAATCACTGGTGCATAAGTCTCTGGAATCAAGCTTGCAGCGATCCACATGAGACCGGAAAAGGCAAAATTGACCCAGAAAACAAGCTCGATTCTGCCCGAGTATCTGGTGATAAAACCAGCCACAAGAGGACCGATCACCGGACCACCGTATGGGGCAGCAGCGAAGTAGGCAATGGCCTTACCTCTTGTACTGGTTGGGAAAAGATCGGAAATCGAACCTCCCACATTTGCCAATCCGGACGCAGCAAACACACCGCACAGGAAACGACACACCAGAATCGTACCGATGTTCTTTCCCACAGCACACGGAATGTTGAAGATGAAGTAGAGCAAGAACGAAATGAAGTAAACCGGTCTTCTACCAATCTGTTCCGATAAAGGCGACCAGATCAGGGGTCCGACAGAAAATCCTAACACCATCAACGAACATGTCAGGATCGACACTTCCTCGCTAACGTGGTACTTGTCGCTGATCAAGCCCAAGGAACCAGTCACAACAGACGATCCAAAGGCAACACAAACCACCATCAAGGATAAAACAATGGTATAGATCCATCTGAGAGTGGCGTTCCAGTTCATTGGGTTGTCTGGGTCGTTGATCGTGAATGTGACAAACTCAATTTCCGGATCCAAGTCTGGAGCAGCTGCAGCGGCCTCCTTTTCGTCGGTCTCCGAGGAGCTTTGCGAGTCGCCTTGAGGCTTGGGCGCATGAATGTTCGATCTGGCTCTTCCCATATCCTGCAAAGTAGCAACAGGGACCAAACCGGTCTGGGTCTCGAGAGTGTATTCTTCAGGGAACACCGGGTTTTCCACATTTTGTGGTCTGTTCACGTCAACAGCTGACACCTCTCTGGAAAGTCCTCTATCTCGAAGAGACTTTGCTGTCTCTGTCTTGACCATTCTTAAGGACTCTGATCTGGAAAGCGTGGAATTAAGCTCGCCCGAGATTTGCGAGCGGGCATCCTCCGGGTCGTACGCCTGTGGCGTGCTACCCAATTCGAGGTCTGCGTTGTCTGCCTGCGCAGGAACTAGACGTGGCGACCCATAGTTGGAGTGGTCTGGCGACGACGACGAATTCAAAGATGCTATAGAATGCGACATGTTTGTTTAGTTTTTAAAACTCACATTAGGGAACTGCAAACCTTATATACATCCAGCGCGTGATAATCTGTGCAGTGGATTGATTTCTGGAGCAATTTTTTGCGTTATTTCTAACTTTTTTTTACCTGTGCGGCTCGACCAGGGTCCAGGTTCTGTTTGCCACAGCGGGCCACACAGAAACCAATCCGGCAGATCGGTTTCCGTCATCACAGCAACCATCGAAAGAGCAATCCTTCGTGTGGGTTACAGTGTTGGCGACCAACTCTGATGAACAATACCTAACCGTTGGGTTTGTCCAGCAATATATTGCGCATTCTGTGGCCACCTGTCCCGTACCTTCTGCAATTGCACTCGAGTTTCACCAGGAAAATTACGCGGAAATTTAAACTCGGGTGTTTTTTTTTTGTTTTTTTCGCACAAGTCCCAAACTACGCGGATACCCTTTTCGGACATGATATGGAGCATCCTTGCATTTCCATAATAATCGCACATGCAAGTTTTAGCCGGACATCTGGAATCTAGACAGCGGGTCGATCGTCGGGTCTTTTTGGAAAAATATTTAATTTGAATTATTTTTCATGCTTGTGCTTCGGAGACTCGCCAGGGGCCGGGAATTCGGTGCTCGGGTGGTCTTTTTGGACCAGAAACGGCCGATTCGAACACGGCCAAAACATGTGGCTAAAGTGCCTGCAAAGAAAGATACCATGGAGGCGGTGGAGCGATCCAACTCTGCCCGTCGGACGTCCAGATCCAAGTTCAGCAAGACCAATTCTGGCGCAGATTTCCAGCTGGCGCCGTTGAGCAAGCCGCCGGCGCAGATCGAGCGCGAGCTGAAGCAGCGGTTTGAGCAGGACGGGTTCGAGTTCGACCAGGATTTTGCACAGCAGGTGATTCAGCAGGCCCGGCGTGACGAGAGTGTCTTCAAGGAGACGCTCCAGAGTCCGGAAAAGGCAGAGGAGTACACGGTGGAGGAGATGCAGGATTTCGTGGACTGGATGATCCGCGACTGCGAGGAGTACTTGGCGAACCAGGATAAGGACCAGGCGCAGAGAGACAGAGACATTGACACCACCGTGGACAGTATGCTTTCGAGTGAACCGACGCCCGAAAACATGGCCGCCACGTTTGGGCAAATGGAGAAACTAGCGGACGACTTGCGCAGTCCCGGGATCGACAAGCTGGCGCAGTTTCTGCGGCTGATCAACTCCAAGGGGAACGACGAGCTCCGAAAGTATATTCCATTGGAAAGTCTGGTACAACTGTTTGACATAGCCACTCAGATCAACGACGTGACAAAACGCAGCGAGTGCATTTATTTGGCAGGCTCGCTGTTGTACAAGGCCACAGACGCCCGTGCCGACCCGATCAACGAGATGTTTTATATCGAGGCGCTATTGGAACACCGCCAATTCCATACCGCAGAGAGTCTGTTTGCTTCGCGCAAAAATAAACCGGACGTGAAAGGCCAGCGGTTCTGGACCGAGCTAGGAGTCCGCGTGTACTTGAAGGGCAGGAAAACAAGAAAGATGGAGGCTCTGGTGTCGCAATTGAAGGATAGCTTCAACTACATTTCTCCAGACCTGTGTGTGGAGCTTGTTGAATGGTATGTTTCCAAAGACCAGTTTGCGGAGGCGTTCGACTGCTGGACCCAGATACAGGCGGTTATGAACTCGGAGGGTCTCATCGACAAGCTGCCCGAACAGGACGTTGCCCTGCTCGACGACCAGCAACAGGTGTACGCCTACCACAACCGCAAGGAGCCCGTGACGTACGGTCACGTGACCCGCACCACGCAGCTGTTTCTGCAGCACGGCCGTTACGACGAGGCAATGCGGATCCTGGAGACAGCCACGCGGCGCGACAAGCGGTTTCTGTTGCATTTCATGAGTGACGTGCGCCAAAACGTGGGGTTTGCGCACCGCGAGCTGCTCCGCCACGCGTTGCAGGCCAACCCGCGGTATCCTGCTTCCATGAAGAAGTTCATGGTGCAGGAGCTGTCCATTGGGCTGCCATTCCACACCAAGTCGATCGCCCAGGCCCAGACGCTCGTGGACATTGCTGTGTCGTTGCGGAGTCTCGATCGCGCGCGGCTGTTGTCTCAGAAGGACCGGGTTCTTGCGTTCTCCATCATCGACACCATCAACGTTGGCCAGCCTCTGAGCTCGCGCGAGGCCCGCGACGTGTTCCGGCTGCTGTTGCGGGTCAAGACGAAGGACTCGTACCTGCTGGTGAACGAGATGTTGAACGAGATGAACGCGTCGGTGGGAAAGCCAAGCGGCACCCAGATCTTCCCGCCAGCGTCTTCTCACGTGTATCTGCTTCTGGTACAGCTGTTTGGCCGGCAGAAGAAGCCGGACCTGGCGCGGATCGATGCGATCGTCGAGCAGATGGAGTTCCAGGGCGTGCACATGCTGACCATCATGGCAAACCAGCTGATACAGGTGTACTGCAAAGCTGGACGGCCGGACCGTGCGGTTCAGCTGGTGCAGTACTTTGTGCACTCTGAGAGGTTTAGATTGACCGAGGAGTTCTGCAGACTTGCTTTTGGCGCGTACCGTAGCATGCAGATCCAGTCCACGCCCGACGTGGACGCGTACAAGAAGCGACTCGCAGAGCTGCGGCAGCTGTTCCGCGAGTTCTGCTCCCAGCCAGAAATGCAGGTTTCCGAGCAGCTGTTGAACGAGATGGTGTTGACGTTCTTCAAGTACGGCGACTACGTGTCGGTGATCTGTGTGCTCGAGCATTACGGCCTGGTTTGCAACAGAGACCTGGAAAAAACCACCCTGCTGCTTGTTGGAGACTGCTTGGAGCGATCGCTCAGAAAAATGAAGAGCAAGCTAAACGCGCACGAGAAAACCCAGTCAGCAGACCGCATTGCGCATCTGGAACAGACGCTCGCGCTGGAAACGATCAAAAAGACCGTCAACATCCAACCAAGTCTCAGTTGGAGAGACGCTGCTGCGCATGTGGTGCAATTCTTGGCTGTGTTCGACTACAAACCGAACCCGTACTGGCTGAAGGACAAGACGGGTCAATTGAAGTCAGAACACCAGAAAGAACAGGCCAAAACACGGTTTAACACCATGCTCACAGAAACCCAGAACCAGTACGGTCTGCCCGAGGTCTGGATCTCCGATATCGTACAGCTATAATAGCCTCGTGTACATAGTGCACCCCGTGGAGGGAGGTGTAAATAAAATTTTTTATCAGCTGAAAAAAAAGAAGGAACATTTAGTGTTGGATCTCTTGACGAAAATGCCTCCGAAATTCAACCCAAGCGCCAGTTCGTTTACTCCCGGCGCCGCCGACGGCTCTTTGAGCTCGGCGCTTCCGATCCGCGGGCCCAAGAAGGCCGGTGGCAAGCAGAAACTCTCGCTCGACGAGTACTTGAAAGCGCAGCAGCCGGTTTCCGCCACCGTCTCAGACTCTGACGTGTCGCAGGTGTCTTCGGGCTTCAACACCCCAAAGGCCAGAGCCATGGAGTCCACGACGTCGCTGTCGTCGCTCAATTCCGCGCTCCAAAAACTGCAAATCACCCCCATCTCTGACATCCTTAATAACCTGCAAACAGCATCCAAGCTGTCTGAGATCAGAGACGACTGCGACAAGATTGCCGACATGGTTGCCGACGCGGGTGCCAGCTCCATTTCCGAGTGGGACATCCAGCAGGTTCTGCTGACCTTGTCGAAACAAAAGAACCCAGCATTGATTAGAGAGTCCAGCATGATTCTGTTGCAGACTCTGGCCAGAAAGTTCGCAGGAAAGACTCCGTTCGAGGCCTACTTTGTTGACCTGTTTGGAGCCGCTTTTGACCTCTTGGCCGATAAGGAAAACACCGTCAAACGGTCCGCTCAAACGTCTATCGACTCGCTTTTTGGCATGCTTCCTGTTGAGGCATACTCTTCTGTTTTGCTCACGATGCTGCTGAAATACCTCAAGTCCAGCGCCAAATGGCAATCTAAGGTGGGAGCCTTGAAGCTCGTCGACAAGATCGTGCAAGAGGCCCCAGCAGACTTGCTGGAGTCCAGATTCGTCGACACCATTCCTGTTTTAACTGATATGGCTACCGACTTCAAGCCAGAGCTCGCCAAGGTCGGTTTCGCCTCCTTGAGCACGTTCGTCAAGGTCCTGGACAATCTCGACTTGCAACCGCGTTACGATTTGATCACAGAAACGCTGGCCAACCCGCAAAAGGTTCCGAACTGTATCAAGTCGCTTTCCTCGGTGACGTTTGTTGCCGAGGTCACAGAGCCCGCACTGGCCCTGCTGGTGCCAATCTTGGACAAATCGTTCAAGCTCTCGTCCTCGTCCCAAGAACAGCTCAGACAAACCGTCATGGTGACCGAGAACTTGACCAGACTGGTGAACAACAAATTCGAGATCGAACATTACATTCCTATTCTTTTGCCCGGTGTCAAGAAAGTGGTTGACACCGCTTCTCTTCCAGAAGTGAGAGAGCTTGCTTCCAAGGCCCTGAAGGTGATTGAGGACGCCCAGGCTGAGCAGTCTGACGGAAAGTTCCACGGTAAGCTTTCGTTGGCCAAGAGCGAGGAGTATTTGACCGAGATCAAGACCAAGATCAACGACGATCTCGTTTACAACTACCTGGTGGCCATCTTGTTCACCGACTCCAACGTCAACGACTGGACTAGACTGAACGACTATTTGTCGATGAGTCTGGGCCATTTCCTGGACGAGTCTGCCAAAACAGAGTTTATTGAGACTACGATCCACAAATTGCGGGAGCTGTTCACTCCGAACGTGTTTGACGACTCAGCCGAGGACGGCGTGGTGATTGTGAATGCAGACTTCTCTCTTGCCTACGGTACCAGACTGTTGCTGAACAAGACCAACCTGAGACTCGTCAAGGGCCACAGATACGGTCTCTGTGGAAGAAACGGTGTTGGTAAGAGTACTTTGATGAGAGCCATTGCCAACGGCCAGTTGGAAGGGTTCCCAGACAAGTCTGAGGTGAGAACATGTTTTGTTGAGCACAAGTTGCAAGGCGAAGAGGCCGAGATGGACCTTGTGGACTTCATTGCTTCCGACCCAGAGTTGAAGGACGCCTCTCGACAGGAAATCGCCAACGCTTTGGAAGAGGTTGGATTCAACGAGGAGAGAAGAGCACAGCAAGTGGGCTCGTTGTCTGGAGGATGGAAGATGAAGTTGGAGCTGGCCAGAGCCATGTTGATGAAAGCCGACGTTCTGTTGTTGGACGAGCCTACTAACCATCTGGACGTGGCCAACGTGAAATGGCTGGAAGATTACCTGGTCCAACACACCGACATCACCTCTCTGATTGTTTCGCACGACTCGGGATTCCTGGACATTGTCTGTACCGATATCATCCACTACGAGAACAAGAAACTGGTTTACTACAAGGGAAACCTTTCTGAGTTTGTCAAGGTGAAGCCAGAAGGAAAGTCCTACTACACTTTGACCGACTCGAACGTGAAGATGGCGTTCCCTCCACCGGGAATTTTGACCGGAGTCAAGTCGAACACGCGTGCGGTTGCAAGAATGTCCAATGTGACGTTCAAGTACCCTACTGCCGAGAAACCTTCGTTGAAGAACGTTTCGTGCTCGCTGTCTCTTTCGTCAAGAGTGGCTGTTCTGGGTCCCAACGGAGCAGGAAAGTCCACCTTGATCAAACTGCTTACCGGAGAGCTTGTTCCGAACGAGGGAACCGTGGAGAAACACCCTAACTTGCGTATTGGATACATTGCTCAGCACGCTCTGCAGCACGTCAACGAGCACAAGGAGTTGACCGCCAACCAGTACTTGCAATGGAGATACAAGTTTGGAGACGACAGAGAGGTTTTGTTGAAGGAGTCGCGGAAGATTTCGAGCGACTCGGAGAAACAGATGTTGGAGAAAGAGATTGATATTGGCGACGGCAGAGGAATGAGACAGGTGGAGGCGATTGTTGGAAGACAAAAGTTGAAGAAGTCGTTCCAATACGAGGTGAAGTGGAAATGGTGGCTACCAAAGTACAACTCGTGGGTTCCAAGAGACAAGCTGATCGAGGAAGGGTTTGAGCCGCTTGTTCAGAAGTTTGACGACCACGAGGCTTCCAGAGAAGGTCTGGGATACAGAGAGTTGATTCCGTCTGTTATCAGAAAGCATTTCGAGGACGTTGGGCTGGACGGCGAAATTGCCGACCACACGCCGATGGGCTCGCTTTCTGGAGGTCAACTGGTGAAGGTTGTGATTGCGGGAGCCATGTGGAACAACCCGCACTTGCTTGTTTTGGACGAGCCAACGAATTATCTGGACAGAGACTCTCTGGGTGGTCTTGCTGTGGCCATTAGAGAGTGGACTGGAGGAGTGGTGATGATTTCGCACAACTCCGAGTTTGTGGGGGCGCTGTGTCCTGAGCAGTGGATTGTCGAGAACGGAGAGATGGTGAAGAAAGGCGTGACGGAGATCGACCAGAGCAAGTTCGAGGATAAGGGCGGAGAGTCGGCACAGTCCAAGGCTGCTGCCGAGATGGTGAACAAGCCGGCTCCGTTGAAGAAGAAGGACGACGACGACTCGCCGGCCAACATCAAGGTGCGGATCAGAAAGAAGAAGATGACCAGAAACGAGAAGAAGGCCCAGGAGGAGCGCAGAAGACTGCGGCACATCGAGTGGCTCAGCTCGCCTAAGGGCACGCCAAAGCCGGTCGACACGGACGACGAAGAGTGAGTTCAGTCTATGTACAGGGCGGTGATTACACAGGAGAGACCAAAGTCGACAAGCAGCCCGCACCCGATCCACGCCAGCAGGTATAGGATCTTGGGGCTGAACACGGTCCAGATGAACAGGTGGAATCGCAGGCTGTAGCAGCTGAGAATCAGGGTGAGCCCGCTGACGGAGTAGAACGTGGCGGTGAGCACGAGTTTCTGGTACAGTCTGTTCCAGTTGTTGCCGTCGGAGCGCAGCGTCAGCACCAAGAACGCCGCGGACCAGAAGATGGGCCCGGCCCAGTTGCACACAAACGTGAGCAGGCCGGAAAGCAGCATGTTGTAGCTTGTCAGGCCGTTGAAAGAGTTGGTCAGATCAACAGACGACAGCGAGTTGGTGAACCCGAACTGGAAGAAGCTGAGGTTCTGCATCAGAATCGTGAACACCGCCACGGTGTTGGTGCTGGTTCTGGCCTCGAGCCGGCCGAACGTTAATAGAATCAATAGAAGCACCAGAAAGAGCGGCACGTTGGCGTAGTTTGTCTGTGCCATGAGTAGGAACGCGACGCTGACGAAAACCGCCCGCGTGTAGTTGAGCGGCGGGTCTGCGAGACGCAGCTGCCGGAACAGCGCTGGCTTCAACAGGTGCCCCACCGTCGTCCCTAACCATACTTTGTAGAAGAGCGCAAATAACTGCTGGTTCAAGGTGTTGATATCCGTGGAGTGCAGCTGCGACTCGATCCATTGTGTGTACGCGAGACACCAGCCCGGAACGCTGGCAGTGTCTGTGGCGAGATCAAAAGTCACCGACAAGTACGACAGAAACTTGGCCGTGAACACGACCGACGCCTGCACGGAGAACGGCACAAACGTGACGAACCGAAGAATCGTGCCGTCGCCGTTGACTCTTATCGGGGCCCCGTTGGCGGCGTAGAAACAAAACGTGCCCAGCGTGGCAACCAGCAGCACTGCCACCACGACAGGCCCGATTTGTGGGGGTAACGCGGCGATATATGTGGCGATCTTGAGGTTGCTTTTGAGATTGTTTTTTTGGCCGCTGTTGTTCCACGCCTTGAGCAGCCGCAGGGCTGCCAGCAACACGAACGACGCCTGTGCGCGACGGCCGGGCCGCACCACCACGGCGGCAAGAAAAACCGTTGTGAAGAACCACCACAAATGGTGCTCTTCCTCAATCATCGACGACCCAAAGAAATTCGCCGCGTACGCCACGAAAAACACCAGGTCGCCCGTGGCAACGGCCAGCTGGCTCCAATACAGCCGCACAAACAGCGCCAGCACCACCGCCGCTGTGGCAGCGTACCCGAGTATCCCGCACGCAATGTCGTTGTAGTTGTAATCGGACGACGTGCGCGACAACTCATCCTTGGTAGCAGCCAGCAGCGACTGCAGCTCGTGCAACGACCGCACGTCAACGTCCGTCTCCAGCGGCCGCACACGGTTCTGCGACTTGTCGCGCAGCACCTTGAGTTGCAACGCGTTCTTTACCAGCACGTCCAACTGCTGCTGGGCCGAGTACAGGGGCAGCAGCTCGTGCATAAAAGTGCCGAGGTTATTCACCGGGATCTCGAGCCCCAGCAGCGTGCACAATGTCGGCACCAGGTCGATCTGGTCGACACGGCTGTAGTAGTCAAACTCGCCGTTCCACGGGATCGGCGCCCGCACGTCGGTACGGGGCAGTTTCTGGAACTTGGACGACACCAGCAGCATCCCGGCAGAGACTTCGCCAACAGACGACCCGCCATGGTTTCCCACCTCGTTCATCCCGTGGTCCCCCATCACGACGAACAGTGTGTTGTCGTTTTCGCGCACGGTTTGTTCATACACACGGCGAATAATGGCGTCCATCTCCCGCTGCTTCCCAGGCATGTTGGCACTCAATGGGCCCCCCTTGTGTCCAATGTGGTCGAGCCCCAGGTAGTGTAGGATCAGACAGTCCCAGGCGGCCTGCCCCGCGGAGCTCAGCTCAAAGTCCAGGTGCCGCGTCACGTTGTTGTCCACAATGGTGAAGTCGCTGACGTAGAAACTCGCCGTGCCGTCGGTCTTTGCGAAATATGACGGAAACAGCTTGAGCCATGTGTCGTCGCCAAACATGTTGATTTTCCAGCCGGCCGTGTGCATCTGGCGGATCCACGAGTCCTGGTCGCCGAGCGTCGAGGACGTGTCCTCCTCGGCGATATTGAGCACGGCGTCGATGAAATTGGGCGTCGACCCGGTGGTTATGCCCTTGAGACGCGGCAAAGTCACCGTGGGAGGGTTCGAGTACGCGGTGTAGCCAATTGCGCTGCCCGTGTTGAGCAGCTCGTGCACGAACGGCATGTGCGACTCGTTCGAAAACAGGAAGTCTGCACGCAGCGCGTCGATAACCATGATAACCGCGCGGTCAAATTGCCGGGGAGGCTCGAGGTAGGTCTGAGGAGCCGGAGATCTGAAGCTTTTCAGGTCGTCGCTCGAGAGCAGCACCTTGGTGGGGAAAAACCCTCTGCAGAAGAGCAAGTACGCACATAACTGGACGATCCAGACAAGTGCAAGCAGAAGAAACCTCATTGCAACGGTGTAGCCATAACACGGGGAATAACCAGGAAGAAATTAAATTGAATATTTTTTTCAGTAAAGTTAAAACATAAACACGGGGGAAAAAGAGTTATGTAAGTTATTCGTAATCCGGGAGCTCCTCGTACGGGACGTTGAACTGCGCTGGCGGGAATTTGTCGTTGTTGACGGCCTCCATCTCGCACCATGTCTGGCGCAGGTACTTTTCCATCTCGACGCACTTCTTGATGAAAGCAGGCTGGTCGAACGGGACGCCCGCGTCGAACTCGGCAAGCAGCTTCTCCTTGTAGTACTGCAGGTGTTTTTCCAGGTTGGTCAGCCGGTAGCTTGTCCAGTCGCGGTAGAACGCGTCGAACGACTTGCGTGGCAACACCGACGGTTTCAGCGTGGTGAGCACGCAATTGTCGAGGTTTTCCGGGCTCGCTAGGCCGTAGCCACAGATGCACGCGATCCGGTTCGAGTTGGTGATTGGTTTGGTAGCCACATGGCGCAGCACCATACCCTGGATCAATGTGGCGTAGCCCGGTTTTGGCTCTGGCACACGGTACACCTTGTTGTCGCCGGTGATGATGCCTGTCTCGCCGCCCACGGCGTCGTCTCCGATATCCATCATGATCACCAGGGCGAACGTGTTGGAGTCGTAGTGCAGGCCCAAAGTGGACGGGATCTCTTCGCCGTTCTTCTGGTTCTGCTTGGAGTACTCCTGCATCAGCTGCTCCTTGGACATCTGGCCTGCCTTGATCTCGTCCGGCTTGAGGCTGGCGAGCGAGAAGTTGAAGAACCCGCGGTCACACTCGTAAACAGGGTCCATCTTGACCTTGGTGAAGCCTTCAAGGATGGAGGTGAGCTCACGGCTCTTGAACAGGGCCTTGGTGAACGGAGACTGCTGCTCTGTGTGGCCGTTCACGTGGAAGTCGAGTCTTGTGGCGTTGGTGGACAGGTTCGGGGTGCGAGCAAGCTCTGCAATGGTGTCTGGGTTGATGGCCTCCCACAGCATCATGTCGACGGCCTCCTGCGACAGCAACGGGAACGGGAACGCTGCGGCAAAGTCGCACACAGGCGCCACACGGGTGCGGCCGATGCTCAGGTCGTCCAGCGTGCACTGCTTGGTGGTCTTGTAGTACTCGTCTTTGAACACGAGGTGTTTTGCCGGGTCAAACTTGAGGTTTGGGTCGAACGTGGGCTTGGCTTCCAGCTTGCGGCGCAGCGTCGCGATCTCAAGGTCGATCGTCTCCTGGGGCAGGTCGTGGTCGTGGTTGCCTGAACGGAACTCGGTCAGGTGGCCAAGGCTCTTCTGGTGCACAGGCGCGGATGCAACTTCAACGGTCATTGCCCAAACAGCAGACACGTCTTGGTATTTATGTCAACCCCCGCCGATGTGGTTGGCGGGTTTAGTTGACAGGACCTGACATAACCAGAGATAAGAAAAATCGCACTGCGGCTCGAGTTGGAAACATTTCCCCGATAAGCAGGCGCGCTGTTCGGATTTGCGCGGGCACTTCTGGATCGGGAACATTGCACCGGAAATGATAACCAGGGCAGCCGATAAGGCTGACACAAGATTCGGCAACGAGATAACTCCATCACCAACCACCAGCCGCTTGTCATTCGACATCCGTCCACCACATTTGCTATCCACACCTCGCACCACATCGTCGCTACTTTTCCACTCCACTGGCAAAATATTTCTTTTCCCGTTATTCACCATGATTGTACCACGCTTCCGTCTGCTGAGACCTGTTGTTGCCGCACGCCGGGCCGCGCTCGTCCAGAAGTGCGCCAGCTCCAGCTCCGCGTTCAAGGCCACCCCGGGCCCGCCAAAGCTCGACAAGGAGGACCAGGACGAGTTCGAGAAACTCATCTTCAAGGCAAACACACAGTCCGCGATCGACGAGTACAACGAGAAGCTCGGCTTCAAGTCCGAGTCCGCGCCAACGGTCGACAAGGCCACCTTCACAGCCGACAAGTTCACCATCATCCCCGAGTTCGAAGGAAACGTCAACCCCAACACGGGCGAGGTGAACGGGCCAAAACAGGACCCGCTCAAACACGGTGTCGACTGGAGTTTCAACGGCCGGGTGACGGACTTCTAGAGGCTGATGCACGCATAATTTTTCAAGGTTTTCGGAAAAATCGGGTTTATACATCAATTCAAATTTTCATGGATTTCAACTCTCCAGCCACAGACTGGATCAGGTCCGTGCGCAGGTCTAACTTGTGTTTCATGCGCGCCAGTTCTTTTTCGTAGCCCGCCAACGGCGTTCCGGGCACGCTTTCAGTGTCCTTGAGCCCGTCAACGTACGTCTGCACAGCCTTCAAGTCCTGTTCTTTGTCGGCCACCAGTTCGTTCATTCTTTGTAGCTGTTTCGCAAAAGCCGTTTCCTTTCTCGTGAGCGGCGCGTTCGCACTGTTGGTTGTCTGGGAGTAGATCGTTTCCATCGTGGATAACAGTTTGCCAACTTTTGTGTCCAACTCCGATTGCTTTGCGCTCAGAGCCTCCAATTTCCGTTTCGAGCTGTCGTGGGCCGCGAGCCGCTCTGTCTTGTTGAGCTCGAGCTCGCCAAGCGTCGCGATCTGCACCTTGAACTCGCGCCGCATGAGTTCCAGCTTCTGGCTTGTGGTGGCCAGGGTCCTGAACACAGACACCAGCCCCGTGTTGACCAGCTCGCTGCTCTTGTACAGCTGGTTCATGTCCTTGATCTGTGGTTGCAGCGACTGGTTCGAGCTGATGTTGTACAGCTCTTTCTGGATCCGCAGCAGCGTGTTCTTTGTGGCCCTCAGCTGGCGCGACAGATCCGGACTCGTGTACTGGTGCTCGTCCATCAAAGGTTCCGGCTCAAGAGACTGGCCGTCCATCTCCACGTCTTCGTCGAAAAGCCCGTACACCCGCGTGTTGGCAACGGCGTAGCTGTGGATGCTGTTCCATATGAGTGTCACTTTGTGCTCGTTGGTAGCCAGCGGCACAGCAGATAGCGTTGGCAGACGAAATGCAGGCAAAGTGAACGTTCCGAGCTTGTCCACTTTGGTAGGCAGCGGCGAGTTGATCAACGAGGCAAGGCCAGAGAAATCGTTCGATTCCAGCGACTGTTGCAAAACGGACCACCACGACGAAAAGTCCACATGCACGATTTCCGGAACAGACGTGGTGAGCACCAACGAGCTGGGCACAGAAGGATGCACAAACCCAGTCACCAGTTCCTTGGACCCAAACAGCAAACAGTCCACGACTCTGGCAACGCCCGTGCTCTGGACAGGGTTCTGGTTCTCGAACGCCATTGGCTGGTCCTGCTGGTCAAACAGCACGACCAAGGCTTTGTTCAGCAACACAGCAAATAGATTATTTTCCAACGGGATGAGTTTCAATGCGTCTTGTTCGTAAAGCTCGTCAGGGAATGGCTGGATGCTAAGTGGGCCGCTTAGTCTGCCGCGGCTCAGGTTAGCGGGCAGCACAGAACTCTGTGAGGAGAACGAGCCGTTTGTTTGCGACAACAACATGACAAACTTCAGCATCAACACCACCTCCTGCTCCTTCTCCTTACTGCTGTTGTATTTCATGGTTGCATAGTCAAACAGAGCATCCATCCATTCTTGGGACACAGAGACATTGGCAGGTAAATACGGGTAGATCTTGTAGATGGACAAGTCGGAGGTCAATATCGACAGCGTCAAGTCGCCGCACGGGTTGAGTGTGTCCTTTGCGGACCCAAATGCAATGGAAACCGGGTCGATCACGTCCACAGTACCTGAGTTCCCAAACGGCGAGCTTGACCGTAACAGATACATGTGGGTTGGGGATGTTAATGAGGAGTTGATGTCGTAATTATGGATGGACTCCGTGGTGAGCACCACCAGTTCTGCCGCCAATTTCGAGACCCTATTGAAGATCACTTGTAACACAGATTCTTTATGTTGGAGCTTCAATTGGAGCGAGTAAACAGCCGTATGGACGATTTGCGAGCCGGGACTATTTAACGCCACGACACAACACTTCTTGTTGTCGTACAAACACAGCAAATCGTCATTGGCGTTGCCACAAAGACCGGTGGGATCGAAATCAAGCGTATTGTCCAGATAAAACGTTCCGGAAACAAGGTTCACAATTTTGATTCGCCGATTCTCAATGATAACCACTTCGTTGCCGACCAGTCGTGAATATGACAGATAGTTGACGGACGAGGCTAGCGGCAACTGCTGGCGTTTGATTTGATCAAACAAGACCGACATATAGAAAAGGTTGGTTTAAGGTCTTGTTATTTTTTTTTTATGGCTACATAAACCCGGTATTACAGATGGCAGAATCAAGAGAGCTATGCGAACGTGTGCCAGAACGAGCTCATTGGGATGCATCTGAGGCGCCATTTTGCCGCGAGCGCAAGCTTCTTGTTGGCCAACAGCTCCGGCTTCGGCAGCTCGTCGTTGTAGATCAGGAGCGAGGTGTTCTTGGAAAACACTGCGCTTAGTTTGCAACCAGGCAGTTTGGCAAGCAGTTTCTCCAAATGTGACAGCTCAACACCTTTGAACCCGGTAATGCAAATGACAGGTGTGGGTATATCTTTGAAAAAACGGTCTTTCTTGGCCAGCGACGCACAAAACGGCTTCGACCACGGCGAACTAAAGTCCACGGTTTTGTAGAAAATGCAACGCTCAATGCCCATCTCTGTGACCAATTCGCCGTCAATGGCAGGTTTAGCGTCCAAACTCGAGTTCACTATCGTGTAATTGGCATTTTCATCGATAATTCCCCGGTGACTCTTGATTACTTTTTCGAGGATACTTTTCTGAACACTGGAAAACCCGTCCCCAATCCGAAACAGAACCCCTTCAAACAGCGTGCTTTCTGTCCCCTCTTGGCTTCCTACAAGCAACGAAACTTGCGAAAACGCCTCTTCTTCCTCCTCCTCCTGGTCCAGCGTCCAATTATCGTCCTGGCTTCTGTGCAAGTTAGACACCCTTATATTGCTCATGATGGACTTCCAAACCTTGTTTTCCTTATCAATCTTGCGCACCTTGAGATCTTTCTCCTTTTCCGGCACATCGGCTCCGCGCTTGGCCTTTTCTGTCTGTGCTTTCTGAGCTTCCAGCTTTTTTACCTCCTCGACTTTTTCCCAATCGCACGCCAATTCGCGGCGGCCCTTGCTGTTCTCGCCCATCAGATAGTACTCTGTGACCGAAAGCAACGCTCCGCGGTCCACACAGTCGTAAACCCAGTCGGGAGACACCACGGGGACGCCCCATTCGCGAGCCTTGGTGTATCGCAGACCGTCCGGCGTGGCGGTCACCAGGACGTCTGACACGGTGCTTATCGACTCCATCACGGTTCCTCCGTTGGATTCCACCATTAGTTTCACTTTCGTGCCCAATTCCTCACTCAATCGACTCACAGACACGCTAATATTATCAAAAACAGGCAACAGTCCCAATTTATCTGGGCGAGACCCGATTTCCTCGCCCTTGAGCCACACCTGGTACGCCTCCAGCACGGTCTCGTACGATACCAGCCGGATCTCCGGCCGTGTGCGCACCGCGTGCTGGTACTTTCTGCTCTCGAACCATTTCTCCCTCCCCGTGTGCACCACCAAAACAGACGTGTCGGAGGTGAGATCGTCGCGGTAAACGTCGGTGGGGAACATCTTGACAACGACCTTGGTGAGGTCGGCGCGTTCGGCGGCGGTTAACGAGGTCGACGTTATCACTGCCATGACATAATGACAAGGAACAATAGATCACTAAAAAAAAATTAAATTAAATTAGACAAGACATTTCAAATGTGCATGGAGCCCGCAAAGCGCAAAAAAAGCTTCAACGGGTGTTTCACGTGTCGACGGCGCAAGGTGGCGTGCGATCTTGTCAAGCCCCACTGCGGCAAGTGCAAGAAGAGCGGGTTGGTTTGCGACGGGTACGACGTGAAACTCCGATGGAGTCCCTCTGTCAAGTTTGACAAGTACGGCACGCAGTTGCCGAGCGGGCCTAGCAAGGAGACAGAGTACTACCAACGCAGGTCGATCCCGTTTGTGACGTATCCGGCTAGCCAGCAGTACGAGTTGTACTCGGAGCTGGACGATGCACTGGCTGTGCTGGGACGACAGGAAGGATTACAGGAGGAGACTATGTCGCAGGCCGTCCAGATCGGGCCGTTTGGGGTTTTTCGTGGGACCAGTCTGGGAAACGAGCCGGCTTCTAAACGCCAGAAACTCGAGAAAGACGAGCTGGGAGCAGGATCTGAAAACATTGGCAATCTCGGAAACGAGTGGTTGAGTAACGAGTTATTGGACGCTGCGTTGTTGACGGCGTCTGCGTTGAACGGAGACACGCATTTTCTCGACATGTTCAAGACAGACGCGATCGACCCGATCGGCGAGATCGAGGACACTATTCAGCCCGCAGAGACCGTGAGTAACCAGATGTTGCACATGTTGTTCCAAGGACGACACACGGCCAGTCCGATGGAGATCCCAAGCAGTCGTGAAAATAGCCATCTGATTGCCGATTCGTCCACGCATCTAATCAATATCCACGCAGGCAAGGGCGCCCAAATGCCGAAAACCATCATGGAGATCGTGGAGGCTCCGCCGCTGCCCAAATCGATCGATATTGACAAGTTTGGACTCCCCACCACGTCGCTCACAGTGCACCCGATGTCGCGGTATTTGCTCAACTATTACATTGAGAACGTTGCCGACATGATGACGGTGATCCCGTTGCCCAAGAACCCGTGGAAATTTATCTACTTCCCGCGTGCAGTGATGGCCGTTGGGGAGCTGGCCTGTGTGGGCCACACGTCGAACGCAAAAAACTGTCTTCTCAACGCCCTGCTTGGAATCAGCGTGTTCAATTTGCAGAGCAAGTTCCCGCGCGGGTCTGACGAGATGAAACAGTACGTGGACCTGGGTATCCAGCTACGGCAACAGGCCACCAATTTCCTCAACAAGTGTTTGGAGGAGGACATCTTACAGCAGAAGTACAAAGATGTTTTGGTGGCCGTGTTGTCGATGGTGACGATCGACGTTGTGTGGGGAACCATGTCTGGTTGCAAAGTTCATTTGGACCATTGCGAGAAGATTATCGAGAAGAAAATGAAGGTGAAGAAGAAATTGAGCAGCAAAGCGGTGATCTTGCACCGGATTTTCAGTTCCTTGAAATTGATCCAGGATTCCACATCGTTGGAGAATATCTCTAAGAAAGAGATTTTCCTCAACAGAACAAACTACTCGTCGTTTATCATCGGAAGTCCTGTCTCTAAAGACGAAGTTCAACGGTATAATAGCAACAACATTATTGGCATTCGCAAGCGCAGACACAACCGTGAACGGATTCCAGCTGCGTTGATTGGCGACGACCACGAAGATAGCAGTTCCAAGGGAGTCTACAACGAGAAGATCACCGATAACGGTAAGATCCGTATCGAATACATAGTGAACCAGCACGAGTCCGAACAGCCGCACGAGTCGGCATCGCCCAAGTCGGAGGTGCCTGCTTTTATCGACATCACACGGTCGAGTTTCCAGCCGTCCAAGAACAAGCTCGACGACAAAGTGATTTCGTCGGACGCTATCTACGGGCTGCCGAACTCGCTGATTCTGATTTTCAGCGAGGTGGTGCACTTGATCCGGTTTAAGAAGTACCATCGAGACCAAAACTCGGAGCTGCCGATGTTTTTCGACGAGTTGTCTGACCAGCTCGAGTACAAACTGCTCAGCTGGAAACTGGAATGGACGTTGACAGTGGACGAGCAGGGTGTCCAGTACATTTCCGCACGACACGAGGGTATCTACCACCACGTGATGTCGTTCTACCACGCCCTGGTGATCTACTTCTACCGGTTTGTCGAGGACGTGAACCCGATGTATCTTCAGGACCGGGTTGAAAAGGTTCTGAATCATCTGGACCAGATCCAGAACATTGTGGAGGAGCACAAGAACGCGTGCTACATCATCCCGTTGTTCTGGCAGGGATTTGTGGCCGGCAGCGAGGCCATGACCGTATTTCTCCAGAACGGCTACAATCTATGGGGCCACAAGATCAGTCAGACCGGTGTGGGAACGTACTGGAACGCGCGGCAGATCATGTTGGAGATTTGGCGACGCAAAAATTGCAACCACCAGGGCGACAGTTGGCCGGACGTGCTAAAAGATTGGAAGACCAACGTGATGTTGACATAGCCGGGGCCCGCATTAATTTTTTTTTGCAAAAATATTTTTACGTGGCGCATTACTTACCACTTGACATTTTGCCACCTTCCTCTTGGAAATGAGATTAAACGCCGTACTAAGCGCCGTGGGGCTTGTTGTGAGCACCGGAATGGCGTTCGGATTGCAGGAGGTTTCGTCGCTCGAGCAGAAGCCCGAGAAACTGCCGCCGCAGTACGAGTACCAGTCGATCCACCAGTTTGAAAACACGCCATTTTCCTCCTGGGACGAGTACACGGCCACGGTGATCAAGGACAGTGCGAACGTGACGTTCGAGGAGATCAACCTCCTCAACGTGTATGCGCGGCCGTTGGTCACCCGGCTCATCAACGAGAACTTCTTCAAGATCTTTAGACTCAACTTGTACAAGGAGTGTCCGTTTTGGTCGAATTCGCAGGGTTTTTGCATGCACAAGAGTTGTGCCGTGGACACGATCGACGATTGGAAGAACCTGCCGGATATCTGGCAACCGGAAACGTTGGGTCGGATCGAGGGACTGATGCACGATCCGCCCACCACGAACGGTTCGTGTATTGCCACCGGGATCAAGAGCACCAAGGATTACTGTGAGATCGACGAGATCAACGACGAGACCGTTTATGTGAACCTTGTGGAAAATCCGGAACGGTTCACCGGATATGGTGGTGACCAGTCGTTCCAGATCTGGCAGAGCATCTACAACGAGAACTGTTTCAACTTGGGGTCGGAACAATGTTTGGAGAAGAATTTCTTCTACCGGCTAGTTAGCGGGATGCACACGTCGATCAGCACCCATTTGACAAACGAGTATCTGGATCTGAAGACCAAAGAGTACGGTCCGGATTTGCGGCAGTTCATGGCCAGAGTCGGTGATTTCCCAGATCGACTCGAGAACCTGTACATGAACTACATTTTGGTGGCCAAGGCGCTGATCAAGCTGGAACAGGCGGGTGTTTTGGACCGTCTGCGGTTCTGCGACGGCGATTTCCAGAGCCAGGAGTCGCAGCTCAAGTCTTCGTTGAAAAAGCTGGTGGAGCCGTTCTGTGAGCTCGGCGACACGTCGCGGTGTTTGTTCAACGAAAACACGCTGTTCCAGAGCGACGGCGCGGGCCAGCTCAAGGAGGAGTTCCGCGAGCGGTTTGTGAACGTTTCGCGCGTGATGGACTGTGTGCACTGCGACCGGTGTCGGCTATGGGGCAAGGTGCAAATCACCGGGTACGGAACCGCTCTCAAGATCCTGTTTGAGCTGGACAACCACGACAGTTTGAGCGAGGACTTCCAGATCTCGAAGATCGAGCTGATTGCGCTCGTCAACACGTTCGACAGACTGTCCAAGAGCGTTGCTTCCATCAACAACTTCAAACAACTGTACGACAAGGCCATGGCTGCCGAGGAGGACGGAACAACCACCAGCGTGTCGGAGGACACGTTTGGAATCACGTCTGCTCCCGTTGCCAAGGATATCAAGTTCCCTGTTGGTCGGACAGGTCCGGGACTTGGAGATATCTTTATGGAGGAGCTCAATAACGTTTGGGAAGCCCTGTGTTTCCTTTATAGAAGCTACAAGCTGTTCCCGAAGATCGTGTACAATTGGGTGCTGATCCGACTGGTTTACTACTGGAACACGTTTGTGGGCCACGTTCATGAAGATTTCGATGTTAATAGGTTATATAGACTGGAATTATAGGTTATTCCTTCTTTTGGGCTTTTTCGTCAAACAGTTTCTTAGCTTTCGAGATTTCGCGGTCCATTTTCTGCAAATCGTGGATTCTGGCCAGTTTCGTTGGGTCTTTACGCAAAACAAACTTCACGTCGTCGATCTTGAGTCGATTGCGGCCGTGGGCCAGTCTTGTATTGTTAGCAGCAACGATAACATCGATCATATATGTGGTGAGAACGTCTTCCAAAGTCTGGATGGTTTCGTAATTGGGAGCAGGCGAATCTCCAAACGCGTACAACAGCGCTTTCAAATCGTTGTTGAACAGCCGCTGCCGCGTTCGATACACCTTCTTGTAGGAAGAAGACATTAATATAAAAAAAATGTATGGGAAAAATCTTTTGTCTTGTTTAAGTTTACCAATGTCCAGAACATCCGCCAAAAACAGAGTTCTTTCGAAACAGGACGTGGCGCGGATGATCGGCCAGGGCGACCTGATCGTCGTGTACAACAACACCGTGCTCCGTCTCAATAATTGGATCAGGTTCCATCCAGGGGGAGACAAGGCTGTGCACCATATGGTTGGACGAGATGCCACGGACGAGATGAACGCGTACCATTCGGACGCCACGATTGCCACGTTCAAGCGGTTCCAGGTGGGTGTGATCGATCACAAGTGGGTGAACTTGGTTCCCCCGATCCAAGGCGGAGAGTACCCGAAATCAGGAGACATTTCTCTCGCAGGACAGATGCCCGCCACGGTGAAGCCCAAAGTGCCCGTCAACATCGTCCCCACCGCAGCGAGTATCCGGATCGAGTCCGGACCCATCAGAGACCCAGAAACAGTCATCGAGAACTTCGACAACCTGCTGGTCAAGTCCGATCTGGAAACGTGGCCAAGCCTCGATTACGAGACTCAATGGACCATCTCGCAGAAATACAACGAGCTCCACGCCAAAATCAAAGCAGAGGGGCTCTACGACTGTCCGTACGTCGAGTACTACAAGCAGATGTGCATCAACGGCGGGCTATTTTTGTACTTTCTTGTTTTCTGGAAGCTGGAGTGGTATTTTCTAAGTGCGGTGTCGATCGGGCTATTTTGGCAGCAGCTCACGTTCATCGCGCACGATGCAGGCCATCTCGCCATCACCCATAACTACCACATCGACAACTTCATTGGAATCCTCATCGCCGACTGGATGGGTGGACTGTCTCTTGGCTGGTGGAAAAGAAACCACAACGTGCACCATCTCATCACAAACGACCCGGTCCACGACCCAGACATCCAGCATCTGCCGTTCTTCGCAGTCAGCTCGCGGCTGCTCGGCAACGTCTACTCCACCTACTACGAGAAAACGCTCTGGTTCGACAGTTTTGCCAAGTTCCTGGTCCAGTTCCAAAACCATCTCTACTACCCAATCTTGTGTTTCGGCAGATTCAACCTGTACCGGCTTTCGTGGGAGTACCTGCTCACCAACAAGGCTCCTCGCGGGAAAGCCGCTTGGCTGTGGTATTTCGAGATCACCGGACTCTCGTTCTTCTTCTACTGGTTCTTCTACGTTTTGATCGGGTCGCTGGACACCTGGTCCCAGAAGATCCAGTACATCTTGGTGTCGCACATTGTCACCATGATTGTTCATGTTCAGATCACGCTTAGTCATTTCGCCATGTCCACCTCCGATCTTGGAGTCTCAGAGACGTTTGCTGCTCGCCAGCTAAGAACCACCATGGACGTGGACTGTCCCGAGTGGTTCGACTTTTTCCACGGCGGGCTCCAGTTTCAAGCCATCCACCACTTGTTCCCAAGACTTCCAAGACACAACTTCCGCAAGGCCCAGAAGCACGTGCTGGAGTTCTGCAAAGACACTGGTCTGCGGTACTCGATCTACGGATTCGTGGACGGGAACAATAAGGTGCTGCTGCACATGGAGGACATTGGCAAGCAGGTCAAGATCATGAAGGACTGTCTACGCAGCATGGCTCTTGAGTCGTGCGAGAAAAAGAATATTTATGAAAAACGGGTGGAAAAGGCCATGGTGGAGTCCAAGGTTCTATAATGGTCATATTAGGGAGTTGTATGTGGATGTGTTTTTCGGCTTGGGGGTCATTGTCCTTGACCAGTCGATGGTTGACGGCTGTGGTGACGGCTGTGGCGACGGTGTGTTCTGAGGCTGTGGCGAAGACACGCGTGTGGCCTTCATTGGTTGCAGCAGCGAAAACGGGTCGGAGGTGGCTGGCTTTTGTGCTGTAGGCGCGACAGCGGCCGGGGTCCACTGTTTCTTTGGCTCGAGCTTCAACGGAGCAGCGGGCGTGGGCTTCATTGCCGGTTGGAACGTGTCGAAGCTGGCAAAATCGTCAAAGTCGTCCACCACGGGCGCTGGCGCAGGGGCCGGCGTGGTTGTGGTCTGAACAACCGGCGTAGACCGTATCTGCGGGGCCGGAGCGTGCTCCTCTTTGAGCTGGCTCATGATCGACTTCTTGAGGTACGTCTCCACGTCTGCCACGATGCGGAAAATCACGTCTAGGTCGCTCTTTCTTGTCACATACACCGTGAGCTTCCAGAGCTCGAAGAAGATGGTGTTTCTTATCAGCTCTGCGACATCCACCTTGTTGTTGGCCACCGAAATCGTGGCCGGCGAGGTGTGGAGTCTCTTGAATATAGTCTCGTATAGTTGAACAGTGTTCATCAACAAGTTGGCGTTCTTGAAGTTGGACGCGTGCGTGTTCTGCACCAACGGGAGCAGCTTCTCTACAATAACGTAGGTATCCAGGTTCTTCTCGCCCATCTTGCTGATCATGACGTCAAATGCGTTGATGGTGAGGTTCTTGATCTTGAGAGAGCTGGTGGAGCTGAACAGCTGGCAGATTGCAGGGAACATCTTTGTGCTGATGGTGGAGTAGCTCTGGAAGTTGAGGAACGTGGGCAGGCTCACCAGCACCTTTTCCTGGAGCTGGACGGTGTTTGGGTCATTGTTGGCGACGAGGGACTTCTCAAACAGCTTGTTGAGCAACGTCTGGAACTGCGCCGTGTACTTGGAGCTGAGATCGTGCTCGTTGGCGTTGAGCTTTGTCTTTATGGTGTCCAAGTTCGACAGCAACAGCAGCTCGTAGCTGGTGAGATCCTTGTCGTTGAGAACTTTGCTGAGCAGCGGGAATATCTTGTCGGTGAAGGTGAGCTGGGACAGCTGGTTGCTGAGGATGAGCAGGTTTTCGCAGGATAGAGTGATGATCTTCTCGTCGTGGTCGGCGAGTGTTTTGAGCGCAAGCAACGGCGTCACCAGGTCCGACAGCAGCGGAATGAACTTGTTGATGAGCAGCGCGCGCGGGAACTGCGAGATGTCGCGCGTCAGCGAGTACAGGAACTCGCTTTTCTCCGGCTGGCCCAACGTTGGGAACTCGTCGATCACGTTCAGAATGCGGATCAGCTCATTGTTGAAGATCTTGGACCCAAGCAGGTCGTCCACGGTGAGCGGGCTCTTGAACGTGAGCACGTCCTTGTTTGTTTCCTGGGTGTCTGTGAGCAGCTTGATGAAGATGTCCATGTAGTTTGCCGGGATGTTGTTGAAACTGGCGTGGGAGTGCAGTTTAGCCGAGTCCAGCACACGGCGCAGTTTCTGGACGGCACGTTCGTACTCCAGCAGGCTCGAACTTGAGCAGTCAATCAATGGCTCGCCCTCGTTGAACAGGTAGAAGATCAAACATCCGATCGAAAACAGGTCGTTGATGTAGTCAACGTTGTGTTTGACGAGCAGGTTTGGCGACGAGAACCGGAAATCGAGTCCCAGAAACGACGGCAGCCGCGAGTCCAGCGGGTCTATGTACTTTTCCTGGACGCTGTTTTCCACCAGCTCGATAAATTGCATCCCGGAGAGCTTCCAGTCGAAATTCTCGGTGACAAACACAGAACTAGGGGTGATGTTCATATGGACTGTATGGACGCTTTGATGAAGAAACTTGAGTCCCAATGCCAACTGTAACAGTCCCTTTGTGATGATGATCTCGTCCAGGTCCGACTTGGACAGCGTTTCCAGGTCGTTCACCACGTACTCTGTCACAAACAAAATCCGGCTCTTGTGGTCCTCCACGGGCTCAATTACGGTGAGAAAGTTTGGGTGTTTAAACTTTGCCAGGTTGGTGATGTAATTTCTAATTGTGGTGCAAACATCTTCCATCAACAACGTCTTGTTTGTGCGATTTAAAAGCCCATTAGTCTGTAGTCTTGTTTCCATCTCCCTCTTGCTAAACTGCCAAACAGAGTACCGTTTCTTGGTAGTACGGTGTTTGGCCGGATAGATCGTCCAGACGTTGTTGGAAACGAACGACGGGTTGGCCGAAACCGAGTAATTCGACTCGATTCCCGACCCTTTAAATACTTTGAACATAACAAAGAGTTTTTTCCTTGTCTAAGTAATTTTTCTCTACACTATAAAACACTTGTCGTTGCGCTTTGTGTCCGGTTTCTTGTCACGTGCCTTGTCCTGGAGCACCTTCTTGGTCTGATACTCGCGCTGGAGATCGCGGGCTATGCGCTCGTCCTCCTGGCTCTGTAGCTGGGCAGCCAGCTGCTGGTCTGCCCCGGCCTCCGCGTCGCTCTCTGCAGCAACAGACTCGGCCTCGGCAGGCTCGCCCACACGAACCTCGAAAAACCCGTTTAGCAGCTCGTCGTGCTGCCCCGTCACCGTGTTCAGCTCCTCCCAAACAATGTCTCCGCCGTATCCCTCGTCGTTCGCAAGCAGATACAGCTTGTCTTCCTGCTTGTACAGCGTTGTGAAATGGTCGTTGCGGAACAGAATCACCACGCCGTTGTTCGGCACCACTGTCGCGTCGCTCTTGAGCGTCTCGAGCCCGTACGCGGTCAATTGCGTGCTGTTGTCGGCCAGAAACTGCCGGTACTCCACGTACTTGGCCAAAGTGGCCCTGTCGTCGGGGCCCACGTCCAGCGCCAGAATCTCGTCCGCGCCCATCGTGTCCAGCGGCGTCGCACTGAACCGGTCCAGCACACTGATCAGAAAGTCCTGATACTTGTCGAACGTGTCAAACTCCGTGGCCCCGGCTTCCACCAGAAACCCGTGCACCACCTTCAGCTGGAAGAGGTGGAGCAATTGCAGGATGCTGTGAGTGTGTGGGCCAAAGTCGCCCACGACCGGGTTCGTGAACACCGGGTTGACGTTGAGGCCTGTTCCGAGATGGGGCAGCACGTTTAAAATCTCGCCAATGTCCACGGGGTCCTGTTTTGTCTCGTTCAAGGCGAGCATCAGGTGGGTCAGTTCGTTCAGCAGCGACGCAAGGCCGACTTTGCGCGAGACCAGCAGTTTCTTGAGCGAACTGAGATCGCTCGCAGGCACCGTCTTGGCTTGCGTCTTTGACGGGCTCGACCGCGCCTTTCCCACGGTGCTCCACTCGTCGTTACTGAGCTCGCTTGCCAGAACCAGGCTGTTCACCAGCGAGATGATGAAACACGGGCCGTTCTTGTTCTGTAGCAGCACGTTGTTCATATGGTACTCGCCGAGCCAATCGCGCCAATTGATCGTCTTTGTGTGGAATGTCAGGTCTTCCATGGCAAAAAGAAAAAGATCAACTTTATTGGGGGGGAGGATGTTTTTTTGTGGGGCGCAGCCATGCTTGGAACTGGTTGCACAGGTAGCCCGGTCTGAATAATTTGTCTGATTTTAATAAACGCTGTTGCTGTTGACTGTTGGACCTTCAAAGATAGCGGCCAGTTTCGAAGGGGGGGTGTTGGCCAAACGGGTTTTCTGCGGGAATACGCCGCAGAGGTAACCCCTACTTATTTTTCCCCCAGCTAAATTTTTTTTTCCTTTGTTTTAAAACATGCTGATTGCAAGTCGTTTGCGGTTCCGGGCGTTTAGCACCTCCATTCGGGCGCTAAACAGTGTTGTCGATCTTGAGGGTCACGTGATCTCGCTTCTGCGCACAGTTAGTCCCCCCACAGTGCCTCCCGCGGCCGTCAAGTACAAGGAGTTTGCCGACCGATCGAAACGATGGCTACTGCCCCAGGTGCCCGATCTGGACGAGTCGGTCGTGAACAAGTACGTCTTCGAGCTGACCAACTACTCGTACGCGCCAGAAACGTTCTCCACCGTCAAGGACCAGCTTCTGGCGATCGTGGAGTCTGTGCCCGACCTGATATCCAAACAGTCGTTTGTGGACATTGTGCAGTACTTCCACTTCAACATGGACGATTCCACGGCAAACGAAGTGATCACACAGATGGAGCGTACCACGTCGTTTCAACTCGACATCGACTTCCACAACGTGCTGCTTGCCTTCACTGCCACCAAAACAGTGTACCAGCCTCGCATCGACAGATTGCAGCAGATCCAGACCCAGGGACTCTCTGCCAACGCAAACACCTGGTACTATTTGTACCGGGCTCTCAGAACAGGGTCCAAACGACTGGAGTTGCTGGACCTGATGCCCGAATACGGCATTTCACAGAAACCGGTTTTCTTCAGTGCAGCTCACGAGCTCTCGAAAAGATCCACCCACGAGCAACTTCTCGACTTTTACGCTCAAAACGGGTACACGCTCCAGAACATCAACTCGTACCTGTTGAACCGGCTGGCAGCCACGTTTCTGAACGAAAGAAACGTCATGGGGGCATTTGAGCTCGTGAAAAGAATCCATTTCGACAACAGCATCCCAGCAACAGTCAACATGGGCACCTACTCCACGTTTAATAAACACTTTCTGGCTGAAAACCAGGTCTACAACAGCATAGCATTTTGCAACGAGTTTCAATACGTGTTCCGGAAAAAGTTCAGCCATATCATGGCATTGGACATTATCAACGGATACTTATCATCATGTACATATTTCGAAAAATGGCCACAACTCACCAGATATCTGGTCAATATACTGGTCAACAACACAACCCAGAAGAACTTCTTACTTCCAAGACACTTCAAAGTTTTGGCCAACTACGCAAGATTGCACGGTCTGGACGAATTCAAGTGCAGAAAAGTCGAGGTTGAAGATCTTGCGTTTGGCCAAAAACTGATCAACACCTTGAGATGGGAAAATCACCGTTTGTGTCCTGAACTGGAGGAGAATAACACCTCCTTTATAGAAATGGCAAATCAGATCACTCCGCATCAGCCTCAAGACCAACTGGATCCATCCCAAATTTTGAGAAAAATACACTAAAAGATGTTTCGCAAACCGTAAATAGCAATAAATATCCATACTAGACTTGTTTCACTCTTTTGGTCTCCTCCGCGGCAGGTAAACTATCCTTTCTTTTTCTGCTGGAAATGGAGTTGGTAGGGCTCGGCCGTGGAATTGTGGAGTCCACGTATCTCTCGTTAGAATTGGGCTGTAATTGATCGTACAAATCGCCAAATTTATCGTCAGTAGAAATCGTTGCGTCCACTCCGCCGTTTGGAGTTTGGGGAAGTAAGAAATCGTCCATTCTGAAGTCATCCATAAGTTGTGGGTTAGCGATGGTATCGTCGGCGATTTTAGAATTGTTCGTCAATTTGGTAATCCAGTCGTTAATTTGTTTAATTGAGTTTTGTTGTTTAGCCAGTTGCTGATTGATGTTACCAACCAGATAGTCCGAGTTGCCGGCATCTGGTTCAGCTCCTAAAGGAGTGGCAGACGAACCGTTAACAGAAGAACGCATTGGCTGGCTGCCTGGTGCTCTTTGGGTCTGATGGTTGATCTCTGGGAAGTATGAACGAGGAGAGTTCACAAGAGAAGTAGGAGACTGGAAGTTCGTGGCAGCCCCACCAAATTGAGGAGTGGCCTGTCCCGAGTACGGTTTAAAAGCGTCGTACTGCTCCAGATTGCGGTTCTCCGGTCCTCTCCGGATCTCCTGGATCGGAGACTCATCAGCGTCAGAACCCCCTTGCATCATCTGGCTGTTTGGAGTGTCTCTGCTGGAAGACGATTTCGAACCGTTGTGCGCTCTATTGGTAAGCATCAACACACTATTTCCGTTCTGTGGTTGATAGTACTGGCCCTGCTGCTGGGCCATATGCTGCTGCTGCTGCAAATCGTAGTCGGAAGGCCTTTGAGGCCGTTGCTCGCTCATCTGTCTCTTGGTTGCCATATCGAGAAACTCGTTAGGCCCGTTGTTGCCTTCAAGAAATCTTGAAGAGCCACCGTACAAAGTAGCCAAGAACCGCAGGATCTTGTCCAGCGTTTCCGATTGAGCCTTGTGTCTTTCTCTAGCCACAAAGTTCTCTTTCCATAGCAACTCGTTGTCCTGAACAAGTCGTCTAAGGTCGTCGGCAATCATTCTTTGTTTCTGCTTCATTGTCTCTAATTCTGCCATCAATGTGCCGATATCGACCTCGTCCTCATCGTCTTTGGACGATCTATTTCTCACAATATTGTCGAGCAAGTTTTCTTTTCCTCTGATAAAGTTGGGGTTCTCAAACTGCCAAACCTCTTCGGACTGGGCCAAAGACCCAGAATTCACGTCCTGGATCTTGTGCCATCCGTACATGTTCAATTGTCTGACAAACGAGGCGAAATTATTATGCTTGAAGTATTTGGGCAAAACATGTCTCATGAAGCTTTCACGATCGCTCACTTGGAAAGCCTTACCATCCGGTAACCAGGAGATATACTTTGCATTCTGGGAATCGTTCACCATGTTCCAAAGCTTCATGACAAACGCCGGACGCTTCGGAGGACCTGTCATTTGGTTTTGTAACTTCTTCGGCTTGGGCTTTTTGAATTGCAATGATTTCCCATTGGTATTGGATGCAGAAGGGACTACTTGAGGACCCTCGTAGTACGGCAATTGGGCTGGATGATTGTATTTGGAAATCGCGTAGTTTTGTCCGTTAATACCATTTGCATATGGTCCCATGTGATGTGCGTCTGGCTTCACCGAAATAGACGATTGCGGTGAGGTGACAAGCGGGCTGGGCCGGATCTGGTCTCCGGTGTGAGAACCATCAGCTAACGGCGGAAAGTCTGAAGTTGGGAATGAATATAGCCCATTTGAAGAAGGGGTGTTTGCACTTGGTGTGGTTCCTGTAGTTGTGGAGATTGGGTCCAGTAAAAGATCCGAGTCGGTAAGATTGGGGATCGAGCCGTTGGTGCTATCGATGCCCCCAGTCTTGTCTGCCAACTCTTCAATTCTGGGCGACCCTTGGAATTGGTCTAAGACCTCTCCTGGGTCGACTCTTGGTCTGTATGCTCCCATTAGACGTGGCTTCTAGAAATAAGTGGCTCGAATGTCAGTGGTGAAGCATCTATCTAAGTCAACGATTACCCGGCCTGTGCACTGGTGATGAAAGAGTTGATGGATCCGGGAAAGTGCGAGATGGAGCGCAAATTGAAAAGGATCTGTACTCTAGCGGGTTGTAGACAATTCAAAGGGCACAACCGAGTTCAGTGAAGGCTATAGTCTGCTTTTCAAGGGACTTTGAAAGGCTTGAAAAGAAAGATATATTTAATTCTAACAAAAGGGGAAATGGGTTTTTACTAGAACCTTCCACAATTTTGCAAGGCGGGTAAGAAAAAGCAACCACCTGATGGGAAAAAAAAAATTATTAGCTCCGGTTAAATACAGCTGACGTAATTGCTTATGTAACTAGGGGGAAACCCGGTAGCTATGCTGACGAGGTGGTTAGGCCACCAGGGACGACTTTGAAGGACAGGATATCGTTTGTGCCGATGTCGACGGTGTCTGTTGCGCTGATGCGCTTTCCGTCGACACCTTCGATGGCCGCGATGGTGACTTCTCCCATGATGCTTCTAGCCACCTTGGAAACGGTTGTTCCGCGTTTGACAAGCGTGCAGTCTCTAAAGACGCTTGTTCCCGAGCTTCCAGTGAAGGTCTGGATGTTTCTGACTGTGAAGACGGGAATCAGGTCGAGAACCTTGACTGCTTCCTGTAAAACCTGGACCACGCCTGTTGACCCGAATCTGAACAGAACCAGGTCTCTAATGGTTTCTATTCTTTGCAGCAGTTTCTCGTCGAGCGGTCTGAGATCACTTCCCGGACCAACATCTTCCAAGGTGTCTATGAATTCGGTTCCTTCCTCGTATTTGATGTAGTTTTGTTTGGCCAGTCTTCTGAGGAACACCTCGGTGATAGCACTGGTCAGAACTGCTCTGGAGTCCGGATATTTCAGCAAAATCTTGCTGACGTTTTTGTCTGCGTCCGGATGGTCGATCTTGTTGAGTGCCAACACGGTGGGGAACTTGAACATCATGAAATGTTTCACCATTGTAGTAATCCAATGGTCGTCCCATTCCTCCAACGGCGGCAAGTTATCAATCGAGTCGACGGCCCGGGCAATCAGACTGGCCGTAGCACCGTATCCGCCGAACTGGGCGCGAAGAGTATCCACGATCGACGATTTGGTGGCAGTGTGCCGTCTGACAATAGACCCCCATCTTTTCTTGAGATTGGTCTCGATCCAGAGCCGGATCTCGTCCTGCAGCCACTCCACGTCCTTGACCGGGTCGTAGCCGCGCGTGGCCTTGCCCTCGGCGTCGGTGGTGCCCGAAACGTCCACGACGTGGATCAAAGCATCGGCCTGTCTGAGGTCGTCGAGAAACTTGTTACCCAGCCCGAGTCCCTGCGACGCTCCCGGGATCAAACCGGCCACGTCCAGCAACTCCACAGGCACGTGACGTTTTCCCCCGGTGCACCACCCGTAATTTGGCTTGCAAAGCTCCTGCTTCCCAAACCTGGCACACGCACAGTCCACCTGCAAATACCCTGTTGCACGGTTGGGGTCGATCGTCGTGAACGGAAACGCGCCAATCTTGGCATTTGCGTCCGTTAGCGAGTTGAGCGTCGTGGACTTGCCGCTCGATGGCTTGCCAACTATACCAATAAGAGGATCTCTAGGCATTTCTGAATAATTTTCAGTCGAGATTGGCCGATCTTATTCTGGCAGAAATAGTTATCTTAACTAATTACCGGTATGTCTTTGTTAGTTTCGTTCGAAACGCTGTCCATTCGGGACAAGATCGACCGGATCGAGACCGTCAAGCAGTGTGTTTTGGGTAATGATAAGGAGAAGATCAAGATCGAGCCCAATTTCCCGCTGTTGCGGTCAATTTTATTGGAGGAAACCAACAAGACTATTCTTAAAGATACAGCCATTATAGTGCAATCGTTCAGTTTTCTGCGCACAAACATCGATTTGTTGGTGAAATACGACATTTTGCAAGTTCTCATGAAAAGTACAGTAAGATACCCGGCATTGTTGGCGGAGATAAACTTCCGAACCATTCTGGACTTGCTCTCCACGAATTTGGTGGTTAAACCGTCAATAGACGAGACATACGGCCAATTTGTGGACGTTGTGCGGTTGGTTCTGAATAGTCCAAACTCTTCCAAGTCGCTGTTGTTCGATACGTACTTGTTGATCCCGTTTTTCGGGAGATCTCCCGAACTATCCAAATTGTACGTCCCGCTAATGAGACGTATATCCATCACGATTTCGCCGTTGTTTAAACATCTTTTGGACATCAATTACAAACGCAACAGTCTGTTCGTGCTCAACAAGTTTAGAGAATGCGTGGAGTCGCCCGAACTGCCGTCAGAGAAACTGTTTGAACTGTACGCCAACGAGATCAGCCCCGCGTTTTTCGCCCTGTCGCACATTCTGTCGCTGTTGGACGAGGAAACAAGTCTACCGTTGCCGCTCTACTTTGTTCTCACTGCCTGTTTGGGCGCTTACAACCTCAACCTCAAACTGAGCAGCGTCAACGTGCTTGTCCAGTACACTAAACGGTTTGCACACTCGTCCAAGGAAAAATCGGTCAATTACGTCAGACTGGCCCAGGCGTTGGTCAATCTCATCAGCAGAACAAAAACAACCTCGTCGCCACAGTACACACTCAACTCCAGCTACAAGATCCCTCGGTCGATGTCGCCATTGTACCTGTTGTCGCAAATCGCCGAGGAAGACCCGTCAAATAGCGACTATCTTGTGGACACAAACTTCTTTGCCACCATTGCCAATATTATCACATCCAACTACTCGCCAGAAACGTCGTTCATGGACGAAGACACTCTGTACAAGATCTCGGACTCGTTGTTGATCATGAGCTGTATTGGTGGACTCAGAGAGGACTACAGAGAGCTGATTATTAAGTTTGACATTGCGCCTGTGATTTTGGACTCCATCTCCAGACACGCCAATATTTACGCCGAGATGGAGTCCACGACACCGACACCAAACGAGATCGGCATCCTGAGACTGTCTAATCGGATCACTCTTTCCGGATGCTATCTGCTAAGATCGCTGTCTAGATCGGCCAGCTTGTTGAGAACGTATTTGGTTGATCTGAAACTGGTTCGCAAACTGGTGGACTTGCTGCACATTCCGGACGACATCATCGAGAACTGTCCCGAGGAGCTGAAAATGGACGAGATCAGACTCAAGTCTGTGGTGCTGGGGATTGTCTCGAACTCGATCGTGGAGTTTTCCGCCGTCAAGCAGGAACTCGCCTCGGACGAGCTTTCTGGCCTGTTGCGCGACTTCATCTACGACTCAAAGTACGACACGTTGCGGATGAACTCGCTGTGGGTGATCAAGAACTCGCTATTTGGTGGCAACCGCGAATCCAAGGAGAACTTCCAAACAACCGTCTCTTTGGACAAGATCTTTGAGCTCTGTGGAGACCCGAACGAACGAATCCAGGAACACTCGTTCGATATTCTAAGAAACCTGGCTGTTGGCCATTTCAACTACGCCAACCAGATCGTGTCGTACTTCCCCGAGTCCAGCGTGGCCAAGTCCCAGGGATACGCGTCGTTCCTGGACTTTCTGCTAGCCCATCTCAACCAGACCAGAAATCCAGACGTGATAGTTTCCATCGTGTACGTTGTTGTGCATCTGGCTGCTTCCAACGAGAGCAACCGGTCGTTGATCATGTGCAACCGCGGACTTTTGGAGAAACTAGTGAGTTTCCTGGAATACTCTGAGAACAACGCCGATGACGAGGACGACTGGAAGATCCGACTTAGTGTTGTTTGGGCAGTGCTCAATCTAAGTTGGCGAGAAGAAACCACCGGTTCAGATCTCGACACCGACGAAACAGATCCCGTCGAGGAGATGGAGGTGGACGCGTACGAAACCACAAACTACAAACGGTACCTGAGTCCGAAAAACCGGGCACTGCGGCTGATCGAGCTCGGGTTCTACGAAGCCATTCGCACGTTGAACAACCATTGCACGATTTCCGACTTCAAAGAGCGCGCACGGATGGCCATCTTCAACCTCGTGCTCTACGACAACCGCGACAAGACGGTCTAGACCCGGTGACGTGTTTCAGGCTAATTATAGCAGCTGTCAAAGTTGCACTAGCGACTGGAGAGCAGGTTTGGAAATTTCCTTTCAGCTCCCAATTTGGAAGCCCGCCAAACGGTGCTAAAAAAATTTATTTATCCGGGCTTCCATTTTGAGGCCTCAAAGAGCCACCATGAGCTTTTGGAACGTCTCACATTTTGAAACACCCATGGCCAGCCAGTCGAGGTATATAAGGTGGATGATCCGGGCCAAAATGATCCATAACAAGTCATGAGATCCTTAGCATTCGTTACCCTTCTGGCCACAGCCTTGGCACAAGAATACACCACGCTCACTTCCAAATACTGCTACGCGGCCGGGCTCGTGTGCAAAACCACCACCGACTACGCGTCCGTCACCACCGTCACTGCGGAACACGCAACTGTGACCACATGGGTGCCCGTCACGTATGTTCCAACACTCGTTACTGTGGACGGCTCAGAGAGCTGGAAGCAGCTTAGTTACTCCACGTCGGTCAACGACTACGGCCAGTCAACCGTCCTTGTCACCTACTGTGACATCAGCGTCTCCTCCACCAGCAGAGACACCTCCGTTGTCTCGTGCGACCAGCCGTACACCCAAACAGACACAATCACCACCCAAACCACCGGCGCGGATGGCCACGTTGCCACCACAACGGCCCTCACCACCTACGTGACGTCCCGCGCCTGTCCAACCACCACCTCGTGCCATCTTTGTGAGTCGAGCAGCAGCAGCAGCAGTAGCAGTTCCACCAGCACTAGCTCGACGAGTTCAAGCAGCTCTACTAGCACCACCAGCTCGAGCAGTTCCACCAGTTCAACCAGCTCCACGACTTCCACTAGCTCTACAAGCTCTACAAGCTCCACCCCCACATCCAGTTTGACAACGAGTTCTACCAGTTCTACAAGTTCTAGAAGCTCTACAAGTTCGACAAGTTCTACTAGTTCTACCAGCACGAGTTCAACTTCCTCCACTTCCTCCACTTCCTCCACTTCCTCCACTTCCTCTACTTCCTCTACTTCGTCCAGCTCCACCAGTTCTACTGGCTCCACCAGCTCCACAACTTCGACCAGTTCTAGTTCCAGCTCCACTCCGTCGAGCTCCACCCCATCCTCCACATCCTCCACGCTGACGTCTTCGACCACCCCGTCGTCCTCGACCACATCGTCGACCACATCATCGACCCCTACCTCCTCCACTACATCATCGACCTCTACCTCCTCCACTACATCGTCGACCCCTACCTCCTCCACTACCTCCACTACCTCCACTACCTCCTCCTCCTCCTCCAGCTCGGTCGCTCCAAAAACGTTCAGCTCAAGCTCTCCAACTCCCTCCTCCTCCACTTCCTCCACCACTCCAGTGTACAACTGCAACACCCCGTACACCGTCACGGATACCGTCACCGTCAGCACCAACGGCGAAACAACCATCTCCCTTGTCGAGTCCACCATCTACTCCCAGTGCCCAACAGTCACATACTCGTCCCAGGAGACAGTCACCAGCACCACTTGCACAGAGTGCGAGAGGAACCGGCCGTCGCTGGCTACCCAGAGCACAACCGTTCCGCAGAGCACCTGGATCACTGAGACCTCGCAGTCCACAGTCACCTCCACCACCTGCACAGAATGCACCGCCAGCGACACCACGTACACCGTCGACACCACCGTCTCCAGCGAGGTGACCGAGTACGTGACAACATGTCCCGAGAGCACGGAGACAACCTCGAGCGAGACCACCAGTGAGACTACAAGTGAAACCTCCAGTGAGACCACCTCGTCCGTCTCCACTGTGTCCACGGAGTCCACCTCTACCTTGACTAGCTCTACCTCCTCCATTGAGTTGACGTCCACCACTTACACCTCATCCACCTCATCTAGCAGCTCGTCGTTCTCTACATTCACCTCCTCCGTGCCAACCACATCCACCGAAATCACCTCCTCCCCTACATCCACCTACACCACCGCTCCGTCAAGCATATCCACCGAATCGCTAGTTACTGAGTCTACATCTGCGTCCCCCGCTTCTGCCTCCTCCACCCTCGCAGAAACAAGCACCTCGCCAGACCTGGTCACCACAGTCACCTCCGTCGTCGGCACAGTCACTGAGGTCACAGTGCAGACCGTCTGCACCGAGGCAAAATGCACAGCTTCAACATCCTCGGCAGCCGTGAGCTCGGCCTCCTCGTCGCTCGCGTCGGTCACCACCAGCGCCGGCACCTCGTCGGCCCCGGCCCTCTCACTCTTCGAAGCAGCAGCAGCAGCCCCAGCCTTGTCCTGGTCCGCGCTCGTCTTGCTCTTCGTTCACTTCATTTGATTCTATATATTGTATGCAACAGCAATTATTCACTCTCAATTTCCATAACCTCATCATCGTCGTCGCTCGAGTCCTCGCCGCGCTTCAAGTCCTCGGCAATCAAGTCAAGGTCCCGCTTGTTGTCCTCGCCAATGAACTTGAGGTGCCGCGTCGGCTTGTTGATCGGGGTCTGGAGCACGGCTTTCTGAGACACCGCCTCGTCCAGAAACTTTTTGTTGGAAATGTGCAGGTTGCTCTCGAGCCCCTTGTTGAGCAGGTCCAGCGCTATTGGGTCATTGGGCTGGATCGATAGAGCTATGTGAAGCGTCTCAATGGCCTTTGAAATCTTGCCCATCTTGAGATGCAGCAGCCCGATCGCAGAGTAGATGTTGACGTCCTTGCGAGAAATGCGTAGCACCTTGTTGAAATGGCTCAAGGACTTGTCCAGCATGTTGAGCCGTCTATACACGTGACCCAAGTTGCAATGGATCGACGACCAGGCCTTTGCGTTCGAGTCCAGAGCCGTGGCAGCAGTGAGCGCTTTTTGGAAGTACATCTCTGCTTTGGCCAGCTGTGTTCGTCTGTAAAACAACACTCCCAGCTCATTTAAGAGCAGCGGGTCCGTAGGACAGATTGAGTATGAGGACATGAGGTATTCGTGAGAAAGCGTTAGGTTGTTCATTTGCAAGTACTGCATCCCCAGAAACAGGTTTGGCAGATGGATTCCTGGGAACAGTCGTGACGCGGTGGCATATGCACTGATGGCCTGCTCGTGCTCGCCCTCGGCAGCAAACGTGTGCGAGAAGCCGATCCAGGCAGGTCCAAAATTAGGATTGATCATCGAGGCTCGAGAGAAAAACACCCGTGCTTCGTTTGTCTTTTTGATGGAAAAATAGTAGATACCGATGGCCAGCCATGTGATATGATGATTCGGGTAGTTTTCCGCCAGCTTATGTGCCATCAGGAACAGTCTGTTTTTGCCTCCAAGCTCGTGTAAGCAGCTGAGGTAGTTGGGCAGGACAGAAAGATTAAGCTCGTCTCGTTGGATGATTTTCTCGCACAGGTCCAGGCATTGCTGAAATCGGCACTGAATGAACAGCAAGTCGGCCCGGCTGAGCAGAATGTCCAGGTTTTCATCGAGATTGTACTCGTCTTTGAGCCGTTGTTCAGCCTCTTCGAAACTCTGCACGTTTTTGTACTTGTTGAGTCTTGTTGTGTAGAGGAGTTTGACCAGTTCGTTGTTATTATCGGCGTCATCAAAGTTCAAAACACTTAAAAGCTCCCATTCCTCATCTGGGGACATCAAATGGTTGTTTATCAGCTCGTTGAAGGCCTCAAAACACTTCACATCCACCAAAACCGCTTCTTTGTAGCACTCTTTGGCCCTATCGAAATTGTTCTGTTTGCTATAAGTGAGGCCTCTCAAGTAGCACATGGACGCTTCTAGTTTGATCCCACCATCGGCGTTCTTGACACTGTGGTCGGTCTTGAACGGATTAACCTCGCCAACAACGTCCAATGCCTCGTCGTATTTCTCCAGCTTAATCAAACAGAGCCCTGCAAGGTACCGACAACTAACAGACTCCTCGAAATTCGGTCCTGCAAGCAGATCGCGCGCAATTTGGTAGTTTCCGTTGGCGTAGTGCACCTGTGCGAGCCAGAAGGCATCGTTCGGGTCGTTGGTCAGCGAAAGAACCTTGTCGCCAATATAGATGGCGGTGTTGTAATGGTGTTGCATGAGGGCGTCGTGGCGCCAAAGCCGCAGCTTGTCGGCCTGTGTCAGCGGGACTTCGTCGTCGTCGTCCTTACTGGCCAACGTACTAAGCTTGCTGTTGACAGACTTGCCCACATTGGGCGACGAAAACACCCTGCTGTGGGGCTGCGGTTGCTGGCCGATCCCGTGCTGGCCCAGCAAGTTGGGCGGCGTTTGGAAATAGTCCCGGGACCGTTTGTTAGTCACCAAAGGCGAGATGGTCAACGTGGACGTGTTTGGACTGTTGTTTGTCATTGATGGGTGACAAGATCAGAAAAACAAGAACCCATCTTTTATTTACTTTTAACACAGCCAGAAATGGGTTGTGGTACACGACCAGGGTTTTTTAAGATTTTCAATGACTGATTGGAAAAAAAAAAGATTATCAGATATAGTATTTAGTCATGACTAAAGTTATCCTTCATTTGAGAGCAGAGACCAAACCGTTGGAGGCCAGAGCAGCCCTTACACCTAAGACCACTAAGGAGTTGCTGGACACTGGCGATTTCGAGATCTACGTCGAGAAATCGTCGCAATCGACGTTCGACTGGAAGGAGTACGAGGCTGCGGGCGCCCATATTGTCGAGGAAGGTTCGTGGGTGAACGCTCCAAAGGACAGAATCATCATTGGTTTGAAGGAGCTGCCTGAGGAATCGTTCCCTCTTGTTCACGAACACATCCAGTTTGCCCACTGTTACAAGAACCAGGCTGGCTGGAACGACGTGCTGTCGAGATTCCCTGCTGGAAACGGTGTTTTGTACGATCTCGAGTTTTTGGAAAACGACCAAGGAAGACGTGTTGCTGCGTTCGGCTTTTTCGCCGGATTTGCAGGTGCTGCGTTGGGTGTGGAAGACTGGGCTTTCAAACAAACCCATTCCGACTCTGAGGAGCTGGGCGGTGTGACTCCTTACCCTAACGAACAGGCCCTTGTTGCCGACGTCAAGAGCTCCTTGGAGACCGCCGTTGCCAAGGCTGGCAAGTACCCAAAGGTTCTTGTGATTGGTGCTCTGGGAAGATGCGGATCTGGTGCCGTTGACCTTTGTCGTAAAGTTGGCATTCCTGAAGACAACATCTTGAAATGGGACATGAAAGAAACCGCAAAGGGCGGTCCTTTCCAGGAAATCGTCGAAGCAGACATCTTTGTGAACTGTATCTACCTTTCGCAGCCAATTCCTCCATTTGTCAACTTGGAGACTCTCAATACTGAAAAGAGAAACCTTAGAACCATCGTGGACGTTTCTGCAGACACCACCAACCCACACAACCCTATTCCTGTGTACTCGATCGCCACCGTGTTCCAGAAACCAACCGTCAAGGTCGACACCACCAAGGGTCCTAAATTGTCGGTGATCAGTATCGACCATCTTCCTTCGTTGTTGCCAAGAGAGGCCTCCGAGGCATTTGTCCACGATTTGCTGCCTTCGTTGAAACAGCTTCCTCAAAGAGAAACCGCACCAGTCTGGGCTCGTGCCAAGTCGCTTTTCGACAAACACGTTGCCAGACTTTACAACAAGAACGCTACCAGATTGTGAATTAATTTAGTACATGTTTGATTTTTATCCTATTATTCCCGTTCCACTTTAAGTAGCTTCTTCTTGCGCTTCTTGATTTTCTTTCTATCTGCGCGTCTAAGAACAACCTCTCCGTCGCTCTCGTACTCGCTTTCCACCTCTTTGGTCGAGGCGCTTGGCCGTGGTCGTAATGCTTTTTCCACGCTCTCATTAACGGTAGCAACCACATTAAGTCTTTCGCCAGTATCGTAAACGGCCACCTGGTCTTTCAACTTCAGATCCCAGATCACGATCTTGCCATCGGACGAGATCGAAACCAGGTACGAAACAACCTCATCGTTCTGTTTCTCCTTGTAGATGGAGATATCCTTGACTCTATTGGCATGGCCTTGTAATTGGAACTCTGGCGTGTCCAGAGGCTCTGTTTCCTCGTTTTTCTGTGTAACTCGCTCCAAAGTGTAGAACTGGATTGTTCCATTGCCATTGGCAACTACCAGATACTCTCTGTTGTCCAGAGTGACAAACTGCATCTGCATCAGTGTCTGTTTAAGCTGGAAAATAGCAACAATTTTCGCCTCTCTGGTCTCGTAGATAATCAGCCGATTAAGCAGTCCAACGGCAAAATACTCGCCGTCCGACGTGAAACAACACAGGTTCGGCGACTGGCCGTGGGTAAACACTCCTTTGAGCTTCATCACAGACGCTTTTTTGGCCGTCATCAAATTCCACAGCCGCACGGTTTTGTCGTCGCTCACAGAAATGGCCACTCGTCCCGAAGGATGGATAGCCATATCGTTGACGCGCGCGGTATGGCCTTTGAGAATCCCAAACTGCTCCCAATCTTTGGTTCGCCAGATCACAATCTTGCCGTCCTCGGCAGCACTAAGTAGCCACCGTCCGTTCTTATGTGTGAGGAAATCGGACTCCTCTGCGGTGTCGTCCGAAAACAACAACTTGGTGATGGAACCTTGATGCTGAAGCAACGTCCCCAGCTCTTTCCGTTTCTGAAGATCGTAAATCTTGATATGCTCATCGTTCGATCCAGAAACAAGATACCGTTTGGCAATGTCCAGAGCCCGGATCGAAAGCGAATGGGCCTGGAAATGGAAAATCGGCTGGAACACCGGTTGGATGGTCTTGTCGTCTGCCAGCGTCACCGAAACACACAACAGTGCGTGCTCATACGAGCCAGTGATGATTCGGAAGATGGTCATAAAATTTTAAATATTTTTTTGATTTATTCCCAAATAGGCAATGTGAGCTGTCACCGGGGGGCAGAAAGTGAACCAGCAGAGATGGTGATAATATACTGCTAAAGGTTGCCATTAGGGCTGTCGGTACTTTTGTTCCTGCTATCCGCCACTACTGGCTAGCAACACCATCAGCCGTCACCGTTCCTTCCCCCTGCTCCGTGACCATTCCGGCCGGGTAACTCGCCTCGAACTTTTTCCAATACATTTTTTGCTATTTAAAAACAAGTGGGTAATTTATTTCAACACCAATCCAACATTTTTGCCTAGCCGCCTGGATCGCCAGATTACTTGAGATCGTTGAGAACTTTGTTGACATACCACGAAAAAACATCATCCCGTTCTTTCCAGGCCTATCTCGCTAATTTTCCTATCAAACCATGGACGGACTACTTTCCATGAGCCCCCAGATGGGCGAGCCGATGTCTGATCTTTTTGGGTCGCATCTTGAAGAAAAAGACGTTCTTGACGAGTTTCTCGACATGAGGCTGTACGAACAAGGCACACGGGCCGTGGAGCTTCACGAACAACACGATCAGTTCGACCAAGAACTACACGAAATGGTGAAGCAACAGTTTGCCGACCGTTCCCCAAATGCCATCAAAGTCGAGCAGGAGGAGTTCCCCGAGTTTGTCACTCCAGAAGAGAACTTTAGCCACCATGTGTACACAAATGACCAGTCAGAAGAATTCGACCTGTTTGAACAGAGCCGGCAGGAACTGATGAAACTCAAGTTCGGAGGACTGGGTAACGCCCCCGATTTGCCAAGTTTCGAGGAACTCGCAGACAAAATCCAGATGAAGGGCGACACTAACGACGTCACCACAAGCACACTACCCCACGACTACATCAATGACAACAGCAGCCCAATGTACAACTTGGAAATCAAGGAACTGCCGTCCTCCTCCAGAGTGGAAACCCAAATGAAGATCCAACTTAGCATATCTCCTCCGCCACCACAGTTCCTGCTCCATCTTCCAAGGGACACGATCGCCAAGCCTAAACTCACGCTCGAAAGCTCAGAGGTCCCCGACAGCGTGAAACCTCACATGCTGTTCTTGGATACCTTTGTGGTTGGTGCAAGCAACCACTCGACCTCCGACGCACACTATGAACGGCTTCGGTCCTGTAACGTGTGTAAACGGTGCATGAGAAGAGAAATGAAGAGGGCTTCCAGAAGAAAACGTGGTATTGCTGAGGACTCGATCAACTGGAACCTGAACGTGCCGAGAAGAGCCATCATTTTCAACAGTAAAGAAGTGATTTCTTTCCCAAGACCAACAGGAAACGGATCCAACGAGAAGACCATTGACCTGCTCACGAGAATTGTGTGCTACTGCAGACACCACCAGGAACCTAATGGATTCAAGCTGTTCTTTGTGCTAAAGGACGCAAACGACAATATTCTGGGTAGAACGTTGTCGAAACCGATTTTGATTATGGACCGGAAGAAGCTGTTGAAGGACGGGGAGCAGTCGTACTCTCCAGAACAGGAAATGCAGTCGATCAAGCAGGAGCCAAGGTCCAACCTCCACTCGGTCGACGATTCTTCCAGCGAGAACACCAGCGCCAGCACCGCAACGCATCTCACAACCGCAGCCTCGCTCATCACGCAACAACTGCCGCTCGCAGACGATTCACGGACATTCAAGCGTCAAAAGAGACATTTGTCGCCTGCGGACAGCTCGTCAGGTACGTACTACGACGCTGTGCAACAACATAGATCCAAACCGATGATGGCAACGCGTCAGGACTCGGTTTCGTCCACTATCAGCAAAAAGGATCCAACCTCTCCAATGAGCTCCGACAACTTGTCTCCGCAAAACTGTTTTGGAACCTCCTCGGCAACAAGCATCTTCTCCACAACGCCGGAGAAGAAGTCGTCGTCTTTCGCACACCTCGCACAAAACCACTCGAACGCCAACATCGCTGGCACCCTTGGGCAGTCGACCGCCTCGTCTTCGGTTCCCACCATCCAGAGAATTATTCCTGCGCAGGGACCGATCAGAGGTGGTATTGAAGTCACTCTACTTGGTTCAAGCTTCAGGCCGGGCCTCACAGTCAAGTTTGGCTCGAATGTGGCTCTTGCTACGCATTGTTGGTCGGATTCTACAATTGTCACATATCTGCCTCCCGCTTCGCAGCCTGGTCCGGTGCTTGTGACGTTTGAGGACTCGTCCAGAGACGGTAAGAACGGTGTTTTGAACTCGTCTTCGCAGCAGGTGTTCACCTATACCGATGATTCTGACAGACAGCTTGTTGAGCTGGCTTTACAAATTGTTGGGCTCAAGATGAACGGAAAATTAGAGGACGCGAAAAATATCGCAAAGCGCATCATTGGAAATAACAGCTCCAATGTCCAACAGCAGCAGCAGCAGCAAAAGTCGCGCCAATCGTCGGATTATGGCGATTGGGTCGAGCAGGCCACTTTGAAGATGACAGAACTGTCTAAGACTTCTGTGGACCATGAAGAGATGCTGCTGAAGTTCCTGTCGATGTTGAAGCTGCCAAACTCTCCAATTGCGGTTCCAAACTGGGCCATCTGCACGCCTGAGGGCCAGACGATGCTCCACTTGGCTTGCATCAAGGGCTACGGCAAGCTTTGTCGGTACCTTGTGGAGAACGGTTGCAAGCTGGATTACCGTGACATGAGCGACATCACGCCTCTGCACTATGCGTTTGTGAACGGACAGCGTGGTATCATCAAGCTTTTGGTGAATTACGGTGCTGTTGCGTCAACGAAGCTGAACAACGGTTTGACATTGAAGGACATTTCGGACTCCAACGTGCTGGATCTGCTTGAAGGCTCCACTGGAGGCCAGTTCCCATCGGTGAGCAGACGGTTATCGAACGACTCGATCGACTCGATCTTCGACGCGTACAAGACCACGAGCTACGAGCCGAAGTTTGTCACTGTTGGCAAGAGCGGGCTCAAGAGCGCGGATTTCTTTGAGAACGAGTCGCAGGACGGAGACGAAGAGGACGAGTTTGAGGCCGACGACGAGGACGAGCTGGAGTCGGACGCGGACCTTGCTGTTCCTGCCACGGAGCGGGCCAGCAAGACCGAGACCACGGGTGTGAGTTTGTGGCTGAAGATGAGCAAGGCGTTTGGCAAGAAACTGTCGTCGATGCCTGTTCCTAGCGACACCGACGAGAGTGAGGACGGCCAGGAGGAGCTGCTTCCGTCGTACCAGGAGCTGTTCCCTACGTACTCGTCTTCGCGGTCGCTGATCAACTTCCGGGGTCACGACTCGGAGTCCAAGAAGAGCGCCAAAGCCAAGCTGCAGGAGAGCACCACGACGTCTCCGATGGAGATTTCGCTCAAGGCTTCGCAAAAGACGTTGGACGCAGACAAGCGTCTGTTATTCTTCTGGCTGCCGTTCATGCTGTTACTGTTGCTGGTTCTTGTGGGCAACCAGCTGGAGCTGATCACGCTGGACAATTTCACGGTTGTTTCCAACACGATCGACGGGAGCCGGAACGTTCTTGGACGGCTGATGCTGGGCAAAGAGCGGTTTACCGGGCTGTTGAACGAGAACCTGAACTACGGACGAGAGCGGGTGAACAACCTGCTGAACGACGTGAACGGGGCGGTTTTCACTGCGGTGGCCGGCCGTTGAGAGGCCCTGTCTCCGATTTATTGCTACTGTACTAAATAATTTAACACTAAAACGTCATTTTTTTTTCTCCCATTGTTTTTCACCGTTTGACCGGGGTTTTCGAGGAAATAGTATAAATAGTGCGGTGAGTCACGTCAATCTATGGAATTTCGATGAGGCCATCATAAACATGTCACGTTGGAAGTTCACACAGCAACTGCGAGAAGAGATATACAGGTATGCCCAGTTACCACAGACGGGGGTTTCGTTGCGCCAGATGGTGCAGTTTGGTCCGCAGCCGTCACCAGGGTCGGTGTTCCATGCCTCGCGGTTCATTGTGGAGGAACTACCGATCCGGCTGAGTCACCGGGTCAAGGAGCTGGAGAAACTGCCGTCTGGTCTGAACAACGACCCGTCGATCCAGCTGGTTCGAGACTGGTACGCACAGTCGTTCGAGGAGCTGCGGGCGTTGCCGGAGCCGCAGATCAGCAACGAGATGCGGTCGGTGCTGTTTCCGGCGAGCTTGAAGAACGTGGCGAGTCCCGGACTGCACTCGAAACGGGCGTCCAAGTTTGAGGACGATGGGATCGTAATCGACCGTTTGCGCTCGCACGGCCAGGACGAGACCCACCAGCCGGCGCAGCGTGCTGCCAGCAGGCGCGACACAGCGAAAAAGACGTATTTCGTGCCCACGCCAACAGATATCGTGTACACGAACGACGTGCTCGACTACAACAAAATGGTGAACCAGACGCTCGTGAAAATCAAACGCCGCCACGACGCCACGGTAACCACGATCGCCCGCGGCGTCCAGCACTGGAAACACAAAAACAACTTCGCATACCTCGACGGCAGCATCAACCAGTTCCTGGACAGGTTTTACATGAGTCGGATAGGCATACGGATGCTTATTGGGCAGACGATCGCGCTTTACGAACAAAGCACCATGAACCTGGTCAACGACAACTACGTGGGGATCATCTGTTTGGATACAAACATCATGGAGGTGGCTCACGACGCGATCGACGCGGCCAGGTTCGCGTGCGAAGAACATTACAACATCATGGAGGCTCCCAAAGTGGTGCTATATGCTCCAGCCGATCTCAACTTTATGTATGTGCCGGGACATCTGGTGCACATGTTGTTTGAGACGCTGAAGAACTCGCTGCGCGCCACCGTCGAGCACCAAACGGCATTGCATCCGGAAACGCATATCGAGGACCTGGAGTTCCCGCCAGTCAAGGTGGTGGTTTCGGAAGGTAACGAGGACATCACCGTGAAGGTGAGCGACGAGGGAGGGGGGATCCCGCGGTCGGCCATCCCGCTCATCTGGACGTATTTCTACACTTCTGCCGAGGAACTAGCCGAGCTCGATAACGGGTACAAGCCTCCTTTTATGGGACTCGGTGTCGGATTACCACATAGCAGACTGTATGCGCGCTATTTCTCGGGCGATCTCAAGCTGATCAGCATGGAGGGCTACGGAACCGACGTTTATCTGCATCTCAACAGGCTGAGTTCATCATCGGAGCCATTGCAATGACTCATTATCTAAGACACCCCCTGTTTATATCTTCTATCTATCCCGCACTGAGTTTCCGAGTAAGGAAGGTCCCCGGACTTGAAAAATAAATCTTTAAATATCCGACTGGTTTTCTACTAATTAGTCATCGTAATGTCTGTCGTTGCCAACGAGCCCGCAGACCATTACAAGGACGAGGAGCAGGGCGGCGTGGTAGAGACCACTGTTAAGGACCCACACGCGTCTGCAAACCGTCCCGTCAACAACGGAGAATACCACGAAGAGGACGTTCTTGACCGGCCCCCAGACGGAACCCTGTGGGCCTGGATAGCTGCCGCGTGTGTTTGTTCTGCCAACACGTTCTCGTGGGGAGTCAACTCTGCGTTCGGCGTGTATCTGAACTACTACCTAGACGCCAATGTTTTCCCCGGTGCTACCAAGAGGCAGTTTGCCATGATCGGGAGTCTTTCCCTGGGGATCAGCTACATGTTCTGCCAGCTGGGAAACGTGGTTGCCAAGCGGTACCCATTGCGTGTGGTGATGAGTGTTGGATTGGTGATCATTTTCGTGGCGTACTGGCTCGCGTCGATCGCCAAGACGGTGACTCAATTGGTCATGTTCCAAGGGCTATTAATGGGCGTGGGGTTTATTTTCGTTGGTGGACCAGCCACAATCATTCTGCCCACCTGGTTTCTGCACAAACGGTCCATCGCGTCCGGGATCGGTGTTTCTGGTGCCGGGTTATCTGGACTCATTTTCAGCCGCTCATGTAATGCCATCATCGACCGGACCGGCAGCCACGTCTGGGCTCTGCGCATGATGGGGCTCGTTTGTGGCGCCATGCTCGCCATCACCATCGTGTTCATCCGTCCTCGCAAACCGTTCAACTCCAAGGACACCAATCTGTGGCACGAGATGCAACGGCTGTTCGATAAACGCATCATTTCTCTGCCCCCAGTGCTATACATCTGCGCATGGTGTTTCGTGTACAACTTTGCATACACGATCCTGCTGTTCTCGTACTCGTCGTTCTCGACGTCCATCGGCCTGACGTACGAACAGGGCGCCGTGGTGACCACCGTGCAGAACGTGGCCCAGCTCATTGGCCGTCCTGCGCTCGGCTACATTTCCGACAAACTCGGCCGGGCCAACGTCTCCATCGCATGCACGCTGCTCATGGGTCTGTTCAGCGGCGTGTTCTGGGTTTTTGTCACCACGTACTCGCAAATGCTCGCGTTCGCGTTCCTTTCGGGCCTCATTCTCGGCACAAACTGGGTCAACTACACCTCGTTGGCAGCAGACGCTGTTGGGTCCGGAAAAGACATGGTGCCGGCCATCTCGTTCATCTGCGTTGTTTCCGGACTGCCGTACCTGGTTTCCGAGGTCATCGCTTTGGAACTGGTGGACTACTCCAGATCCAACCCGTTCTTCTGGTGCCAGATCTTTGTCACCGTCACGTGCATCATCGGAGGCCTCACCTTGCTGCCCTACAGAGAATGGAAGATCCGCAGAATCCTCACAGCACAGTCCCAGCTCGCAAAACCAGCCCGGCTCACCGCCGCCGGCTGGCGCGCCTATCTTGCCCGCATGTTCTACCCGATCAGGGCCTAATCCACGGGAACCTCTACACAGCCCGGAAACTTAGAGTAATAATTAATATAATCTGAAAATTTTTAACCAATGCTGAGGTGCGCACTGGCAAGACAGCTATCGACGGCGCGCGGACTGCTGCAGTCGTCCGTGAAGGAAGGCACGGCGCTCAACATCAACGTGTTCAAGACGGGCAAGTCGCCCGTCGCTTTGAAGGACGAGGAGTACCCAGCCTGGCTGTGGCGGGTGCTGGACAAGGAGGCCCAGGAGGCCGAGCTGAAGACGGCCGACCCGTTCAAGTACATGCGCAAACAGGCCAAGAAGGTGCACAAACAGAAACTCAAGCACAACAACTTCCTTGCCGCGCTCAAGAAGTAGATGTATATAGCGAAACGAATGTACGAGGATTTCCAGCCAAGTAGGGTGTCGCGTGACGGGAAGTCACGTGCCGCGCATCTGCAGATCCGTGCCTACGAGATCTTCGTTACGTCATGAGGCGCTTTCAGAACACCTCCTCGCACCGCCAAGTACCTGCATCGTTCCGCGCAGGTACATCTTCTCGTTATAAATACACAACCCTCTTCTCTTGTTTGTTGGAGATGTATTTGGATCTGTTCAAAAGAGACACAACCTCGACAACAGGCGACTTCTACTCGAACCTGGAAAAAGTGACCCAGGTCCAGGTCTCCTCTGCATCTGGCTCCACGTTCGTGGCCTCGATCGCCGGCCATTCCTCGTCCGCGTTTTCGGACAGTTCAATCTACACAGACTCCTCCAGTGCGACCAGTGCGGCCAACTCGGTCCTGGGGGTGTCCCAGACCGCGTCTGGTTCTTCCGCTGCATCTTTGGCCGCTAGTGCATCATCAACAGGCGCCGCCAAAGGCCTGTCCAGCTCGAAATGGAGCTTTATTATGGCCTTCGCCGCGTTGTGTTCGTGTATAGTTTGAATAGTGCACGAAGAAATTGTAAAACACGTGACCTGTGCCAAGGGTTGGCGTGCCCTCGTGCTCTTGGAAAATAAATTTTCATCACCACCAAAAAATATTTCACACTACTCTACACTCATAATGGCTCCAATCGTATGTATTCCACATACACTGGCGGTTCTTTTATGCCCTTTAGCGATTCCACCGCAGGTCGGTGCGTTCTAAATCTCTAATGCTATTCCGCGCGTGTCCCCCGGGTCCGCTGTGGTAGGCTTAAAAGTAATCTCTAGTGTAGCTCTGCCGGAAACCACTAACTGTTCAGACCAAGAAGTCCCAAAAAGTCGCCAAGAAGTTCACCGTTGACTGCTCCGGCCCAACCGAGAACGGTGTTTTCGACCCAGCCTCCTACGTCAAGTACCTTGTCGAGCACATCAAGGTTGACGGACACCTTGGTAACCTCGGTTCCGACATCACTGTTTCGCAAGAGGGTGCCTCCAAGGTTGTTGTTGTGTCCACCACCAAGTTCTCCGGAAAGTACCTCAAGTACCTTTCCAAGAGATACCTCAAGAAGAACCAGATCAGAGACTGGATCAGATTCGTTTCTGTGAAGAAGAACGAGTACCAGCTGCAATTCTACAGTGTTGCTGTTGGTGACGACGAGGAGGAGGAGTAATTGTCTGTTGACAGTAATAAAGATACGAAATGTACGAACCGTGTAGTTGTCCGTATGGCTCTTTTTTTCTGGCTGTGCAGCTCTAAAATAATGTAGATATAATTAGTTGGCATATTGATGAGTGGGCAACCGGGAGACGAGCACGAGCACGGCTCCGCGGCAATGGACTTTGAGGAGTTCCAGTTCAGCGGCGACGTGGTCAACGTGGTGGACCACGCGATCATCGCGGCTCCCGCGGCCGTCGCAGAACCTCCGCAGCACAACAGCGACGAGGCAGACCTCACTCTGCCGCCAGAAACAGACTCGTCGCTGCGCTCGTCGTCCGACGACGAGGAGTGGAAGGAGATGGACACCCAGGTGCACCAATCGGACATCTACAACATCAAGGGCGACAAGATCGACACGTTTGTGCAGTCCGTGGAGACGTTCAAGAACGACAAGACTAGCGACGCTGCCCAGGGGTACACGAGGATCTCCGCGCAGGAGGAGGCGTCCAAGTACATGGAGATGAACGAGAAGTTTGACTATCTGTTCCAGAACGAAAACTCGAACCTGCGCAAGCTGCGCAACAGCGAGTCTCGTTTGGACAAGGACGAGAGCGACGGGGAGTTGGAGGACGGGTTCGACGCCACGATCGAGTCTGGCGCGTCCGACATCGACGAGCAGCTGTACTCGACCAAGGCGTTGCTGGACGACCCGCAAAAGGTGGCGTATGCGGCGCTGGTCAAGCTGATCATCTTCAAGATGCATTTCGAGCTGTCGCAGCTGCGCGGATCCGGCTCCACCACGATCTTGAAGAAGAACGCGGCCGCGCAGAAGTCGTTCACGCGGTGGAGCATGGGCGTTATGGGCCAGTTGTACGACCATCTGGGCATCCGCGAGGGCGAAGAACGCGACATGATCGAGAAGCTCAGTTGCCACGGCATCGAGGCCAGCGACCTGGTTGGCTGGCTCAACACGAACCTGACCGTTGCCAACAAGCTGGAGACCGAGCAGGTGCAGGCCATCGACCTGGACTCGTCCAAGCCGACGCTGGAGATCGATATCCGCTGGACGCTGATCTGCGACCTGTTTCTGATCCTGCTGGAGTCGTCCACATACGACTCGCGGTCGCGCGTGCTGCTGCTGCGGTTTTCGCAGTCGATCGGCCTGAGCCAGCTGGACATCTTCCAGTTCGAGCGACGCATCACCGACGCGCTCGAGATGGACGAGTCGCTCGCCAGACTCAACAACTCGCAGATCTGGGACGAGAAGGACATCCTGACCGAGCACAAGCGCAAGTTCCGCCGCCAGAAGCTCGTCAAGATCGGGTTTGCGACCGTGGCGGGCGGGCTCGTGATCGGGCTCAGCGCAGGCATGCTGGCTCCCGTCATTGGAGCCGGCCTGGCCGCCGGACTCACCACCGTGGGCATTGGCGGCACGTCTGGGTTTCTTGCAGGAACGGCAGGAACCGCCATCATCACCTCCACGGGAGTTCTCACAGGCATGCGGATCGGAAAGAACGGCATGGGCCGTCGTGTTGGCGCGGTCAGCACGTTTGAGTTCAAGCCGTTGCACAACAACGCTCGTGTGAACCTGATTCTCACAGTGAGTGGCTGGATGTCGGGCAAAATGGACGACGTTCGTCTGCCGTTCAGCACAGTCGACCCGGTCATGGGCGACCTGTACTCGCTGCTGTGGGAGCCGGAGATGCTCACCAGTATGGGACAGACAATAGGCATTCTTGCGTCGGAGATCTTGACGCAGTCGATCCAGCAGATTCTTGGTAGCACGGTACTGATTGCCCTGATGGCCGCCGTGCAGCTGCCCATGATGCTGTCGAAGCTGGGGTACCTGCTGGACAATCCCTGGAACGTTTCTCTGGACAGGGCCTGGAGCGCAGGGCTGGTGCTGGCAGACACGTTACGACGCGGCAAGCTGGGGTTCCGGCCGATTACGCTGGTCGGGTTCAGTCTGGGCGCTCGTGTGATCTACAGCTGTCTGCTGGACCTGGCGAAAACAGGCGACTACGGCCTGATCGAAAACGTTTACCTGTTCGGGTCGCCGTTCGTGGTCAAGGAAGACCAGATCACCATGGCGTGTTCTGTTGTGAGCGGCCGTTTCGTGAACGGTTACTCGAAAAAGGACTGGATCCTCGGGTACTTGTTCCGTGCGACCAGCGGAGGACTTAATAGAATCGCTGGTCTGTCGCCGATCGAACAGGTGGAGAACTTCAACTGCTCCGAGCTCGTCCAGGGCCACATGGAGTACAGAAAAGTGATGCCCAAGCTGATGAAGGAGATGGGCTGGGAGGTGTTGAACGAGGAGTTTGTGGAGATCGACCAGCCCGACGAGCAAGAGACCAATAGACAGCGCAAGCTTGTGCACGACTTTGAGGAGGCGTCCAAGAAGCTGGACACGAAAAAACCGTCCAAATCGTGGTACAGCAAGCTGTTTGGCAAGAAGAATAAGGAGTGGTGGGAGATGTACGAGGAGGGCGTCAAGGAGGAAGAGAAGAAACAGGAACTATTTGACGTAGACGAGCTGGCTAAAGAGGTGGAACAGATCGCGTTGCAAGCTGAAACAGAGCCGCAAAACGAGGAACTAAAGACATTCAACTTGAAAACACCGCCACAGGGCCAAACTTTCGACGGAGCGGAACAACAACGCGAACGCGAACGCAAAACGTCCTCGCCGTTCAACATGACGGTGGTCAAGTCGTCCACGCCATCGTCGCCAGAGTTCCGCCCGTTCAAACTGGACAAGTCCGGTAAAAGAGTCTCCTCAACAATGGATAAAGGATTCAACCTGAACGCAGTGGAGGCAGAAAAGAAACAGACGTCTCCAACAGAGCCAGAACAGCCTACAGAAAATATCTATGACGACGAAGATGAGTTCCCAACCGACGAACGCAACTTGAAAATCACCTTTGCCTGATTTTAACATTATAGGAACACCTCCGCGTTGAGCTCGGCAATACTCACAGCAAACGGCAGGTCGAATCTGGCCAAAACCTCCGGGTGAAGCACACCAATCACACCAATGTTCTGTGCAGCAGCGTCGGACTTGGCTCTGTACATGATCTTGGCACCTCTACCGGCGAAAAACATCTTGACACTGTCGTCCTGCTCGATCCAATAACCTTTTTGGCCGGTCTTGGAGTCGGCAGCAGACAACCATGGGGTTCTGAAAGTCTGCATGATCTTTCCCAACAGTCCCTGGATCAACTCGAATCCAGAACCTTTACCTGCATAGGCTCCACACCAGTTTCTCTGGTTGGAAGCTCCTCTTTCAGAGTCATCCTTCAACACGATGTCTCCACACTCAAAGACCCTGATGGGAAGAGAATGGTCCTTGTTCTCCTTGATAGTCTTCAAAATACCGGGCACAAGAGTCGTTCTAACCACCTGGTACTCAATGGTCTTAGGATTGGCCAACTTCACAGCCTTGGAGTCATCTAGATTGTTTAGGAATTTGAAGTTTTCATCATGCGAACACAATGTCAACGGCATCACCTCGAGCCACCCGCTCTGCGCAGAAGCGATTCTCAGGATGTCTGCAATCTTGTTGATCGGCAATGGCTGGGCCACCGTAGCAGCAGTCTTGGGAGTGGATCTCTTGAGGTTGTCGTATCCGTAAGCAATAGCACAGTCCTCCATCACATCACATTGGTGCAAGATGTCCGGTCTGGTGATTGGAATCTTGACCACAATGATGTCTTTATCGGTCTTGGAAGGAGTGGCCTGGACAGACATCTTGGCCAACAGCTTGCAAACCTCCTCTGGGGAGAGCTGGAGTCCAAGACACGAGTTGATGTACGGAACCTCGCAATCCAGAGTTCTCTCTGTCAAATTAGGACATAGTCGCGACTCACCGTTGTGAGCAGAGATGATCTCAACCGGCTCGATGGTGAACTTGTCTCCGCAGTATCTGGAGAACATGGCCACCAGCTGGTTGATGACAATCTCGGCCTTTGTCTTGTCTGTGGCGGTGATTTCAAAGAACAGATTCTTGGTGTTGAGAGTCACTTTGGAGTGGTTGGAGTTGATAATAGGAGGCAACGAGCACACGGTTCTCTCCGAGTCCAATATCACTGGGTAAACCGGCGAGTCTCTGATAATGTGCAAGTACTTGCCGAGATTTCTGTCCTTGTCGTAGAACTCCATGATTCCGTTACCGTCCAGCTCGACGGTCTGGTTCAACGGAACAAACTTGAACTCGGAAGGCTTAAGAGCCTCGTACGTGAACGGAGGTTTAATGGTATCCAAATCGTGGGTTCCCATGGCAACTAGAGTTCTGTGTCTGCACAAGTTGGTGTGCAGCTTGTCCTGCAACGCAATGAAAGACTCGTACGATCTCTGGGTGAAATGGACATCACGCAAAATCGCGGCACAGGCGTACGGTCTGATTTGTTCGGTGGACTTCTTCACGGTCAACGAGGTGGTGGCCGGAGTGAGTCTGTAGTTTGGAGCAGGAACCCGGCCAAGATACTCGTTCAAGGCCTGAGCAATCCCCTCAATACAGAGCATGTCGTATCTATTGGCCCCAATCTCGATTTTCAGTTGAGGTCTTTCGTCGGTCCCCTTGACGTCTTCGGTGGTGTCCTCGTCAAGCTCGATTCCGAACTGGAAACAGAGCTCGTCGAACTCCTCGGTGGTGTATTCCTTGCCCAACAGGGCGAACAGGTCGGCCTTATCGACAGCGACGGTAGGCATGGTTGAACAAGAAGAAGTTTTTGGGAGAAAAAAGTTACCCGGGAACTTTGTTAGGAAGAAGGGGTTACCCGGTCGAGAGGGGAGCCACCATGGAACAAAGGTTAGGAAACACCAGGACAATAACCCAATGGGCCAATAGGATGGTGAATGTCACGTTGACATCTCCCCGTTGTCAGCTTTGCGCCAGCGGTTATCGCCATGGCAACGGAATTTCGTGCCGAGAAAAAAGTAGCTGGTCTGTTTTCCCACGTCTTTATCTTTTAATAAAGACAACTGTAAAAAATATATCCTAGTCATGTCGGCAAATAGGGCAAAGACGTTTGATAAGACGATGAAGCTGCTTCTGGTGGGGGACTCGGGAGTGGGCAAGTCGTGTTTGCTTCTGCGGTTTGTGGACGACAAGTTCAACTCGTCGTTTATCACCACAATTGGCATTGATTTCAAGATTAAGACTATTGACCTAAACGGAAGCAAGATCAAGTTGCAAGTGTGGGACACGGCTGGTCAGGAGCGGTTCCGGACTATCACCACGGCGTACTACCGCGGAGCCATGGGGATTATTATTGTTTACGACGTGACGGACGAGAACTCGTTTGAGAGCGTCAAGAAGTGGTATCAGACGGTCAACCAGCACGCCAAGGACGAGGCCCAGCTGTTTTTGGTCGGAAACAAGTGCGAGGACAGCGAGAGCAGACAGGTGAGCGAGAAGCAGGGCGAGTTGCTTGCCGAGGAGCTTGGATTGCCATTCATGGAGGCGAGTGCCAAGTCCGGCTTGAACGTCAACGAGGTGTTCTACAAGCTGGCCTCCTTGATCCTGGAGAAGAACGGCGACGATTTGGCCGCTCCGGCCGACAAGCTCAACGTCAACCAGCAGAGCACTACAAGTAGCTCATGTTGTTAGCTAATTTACAGGTAATTGTATGCGATATGGTTGTTTCCCAAACGATCACCGTCCCTAGAGACTTCGTAGAGATTAGGAATATACCGCCATGGGCCGAACTCGATCGTGATAAACACGAGAGCTCAAGACCCAATTATTTGAAAATCCCTCGACAGAGCTTCCTGTGCCATAGTTCGCAACGAACGGCCGCCCATCAATACCTTCTGCGAACAAAAGGTAGACAGACGATTGCACTAGCTTCTCGAGTGTCGACAAGCACCTCAAGCGGCCTCTAACAAAGCAGAGGCCAGCCGGGGGTGAAGATTAATTGGTAAAGAATTTTGTGGAAAATTTTTCCAATGAGCAGGCGGATTGCGCGAGCTGCTGCCAGACGCGACCAAACTGGCGGCACGGGTTCTGAGCCGTTGCGGCTTGATGAGCAGGACACGCTCGAGGTGTTTGTTCCGTGGCTGGTGGAGGGTGTTGAGGAGACGGTCCAGACGGTGAAAGGTGAGCTGTTTCACCGTAATTACATTGAAGCGTTCAACACGGAGCAGAAAAGAGAGGCGTACGCCGCGCGGTGGTCGTCTTCGCGCAGTCTGGCGTACAGCTGGTTCTTTTCGCAGGGCGCGGTCGGCCAGTTGCTGGCGTCCCGGACAACAGTCAACGTGGTGAGCATTGGTGCGGGAGCAGGAGCAGAATTGGTGGCTCTGGGCAGCGTGTTCAGCAGACTGCTCGAAACGCTTGCGATCGGCTCGGAAAAACACCACTGGACCGTCACGGCCGTCGACATCAGCGACTGGACAAACGTGGTGGACCAGATCGCCGGTTTTGTGGACTCTCGCTGGGTGCAACCAAAATTGATTAATGTAGCACATTCGCTGCAATTCGAGTTTCTTCACCAGGACGTGCTCCAGAAACCGCAGGAAAGCATGGCCAGACTGCACGCGGCAGACCTGATCACGAGCTGTTTCACCACGAACGAGCTGTTTGCCGAAAATAAGACCCTGGCCATCGGTTTGCTCAACTCTTTGAGTGCTTGTCGGCCAGGAACGCTTTTTTTGGTGCTCGAGTCGGCCGGGTCTTACTCGCACATCACCGTCGGGTCCAAGAGCTTCCCCGTGTACTTCCTCGTGGATACCGTTCTTTGTGGGCCTCCTGGCCGTGCGCGCGACTGGGAGCTGGTTTCGTCGAGCGACAGTGAATGGTACAGGGTTCCCCACGGGGTGCAGTACGGACTCAAATTGGAGAACATGCGGTTCTTCTACAGATTGTACCGTCGACGGTCTAATTAATCGATGTCTATTAGTTATGCTATCGTTATATCAGATTCCCCCCACCACTAGAGTCATTCCCAAAAGTCCGGCCACAAGAGCCTTGCTTTTCCAGGAACCCTCGTACATTCTGGCAGGCGATCCGCCGCTGCTGATCGAGACAGAGTGCACGGAAGACTGGTCCTTCACGACGGCCGTCACCACACTGCTGCTGACAGTCACGTATGCAGATCCGCTGGCGCTCACAGTGGAGGAGTACTCGGTGGTGTAGGTGGTGGTGTAGGTGGTGCCCTTGGAGGCGGCTGAGCTGCCGAGCACAGACGACGCGAGCGTGGAGGCGGCCACGCATCTGGCCCAATAGCTGTTGGCCGTGACGCACTGGTAGCCGTCCTGACAGCAGCTGGCTCCCGAGTAGCCCAGGCCGCCACACTGCGCGTATGCAGCTCCGCATGTTGTGGCGGAGGAGTCTGCAGCGGACGTGGTGGAGGTGGCGGTGATGGACTCGAGGGTCGATTGCTCCCACGACGGGGTGGTGAGGGTGGCGGACTGTTCCCATGCTGGCGTGGTGGTGGTGGATTGCTCCCACGAAGGAGTCGTCGTCGCAGACTCTTCCCACGATGGCTGGGTTGTTTCTCTGGTTGCAGTCTGCACGGTGGTCTGTGTGTCTGCCTGTGTTTCTGTGCCTGCCGTGGTAACCGACGTCACCTCGGCAGATTCGTTGGACGCGTTAGAATTCTCCGAGCTGCCAAAACTGCTGTCATCGAGGCTCCCGCTGGAGGCCAGGACGCTGGCGAAAAATGGGATGGTAGCTAGGGCAACGTTATGCGAGTGAAGAGTGGGCAACATGATGGTGATGAGGTTGGGTCGCCGAAGTGTGGTTCTTATACCCCGAGAGCTCCCAAGCCCATGCCAAGGCTTTGCCAATAAACGAAAACCAGCCATCTGGAGCACTAATTAGTATTCCCCATCGGGAAGTTTGAAAACACTGCCCGAATCGGTACAAGAACCACCAAAAAACGCGTCCAACGGCCTCCCCCCTGTGACACGGTGCCCTTACAGGAAAACACGGTTAAGCGAGAAACAGTCAAAGTGCCGGCCCCCACGATGGAGCAAAGACGAGCTGATGGCTCCGAAACCCGCAAAAAGCTCTGTTTACCTGTCCATCCAGTCAGTTACCGCAATAGGGAGACAGCAGAGGGGGCTAGTAATTGGCACTGTTTACCTCTTTCTCCAAAAGGAAGGTTTGCCCAATGAGGCTTAATTTTTTCTCGAAGCCGCACTCCTTCGGGTTCCAAAAATAGAATCGTGTTTCACGATCTACCCAGATCAACAAGAATTATAAATAGGCCCCTTTTCCACCGTGTTGTTTGTATCAAACAAAAATGGCTTCCGCTTCTTCTTACTCTTTGGTCCAAACTCAAAACGTTGCTGCTTCCAACTCCTCGAGCGCTGCCTCCTCCTCCTCTTCTGCTGGAGCCAGCTCTTTGAACAGCCCAATCTCTTACTCCGGCTCCAACTCTAAGTTGGTTGCTCTGTTTGCCGGACTCGTCGGCTTGGGTGCTGTCATGTCGGCTCTCTAAGCTCATGGACTTTCGACGCATACATAGTTAAATTAATAAATCAGGTTATTTAAGAAACTTTTCACGGTGGATTCTTCCTGTCAAAGCTCGTGTTGAAGTATTGCAGGTTGATGCACGAGTCGTTCACTCCTCCCACCGAGCTTGCGTCCTGGATCAGCTCGAACCGTCGCACATTGAACCGCACCAGCGTCTCGCTTGACCGGTCCACCAGATAGTACTTGCGCTCTTCTTCCACAAGCGTGTCCTTGAGATGCGCAAATCGCGCGTCCGCCAGCAAAAACTTGAGCTTGTTGTTGTAGCTCGGCGGACTCACGTTCATCGTGTACACGCTGCGTTCTGCGTGGGGCGCCGACGACGGCAGCGGCGAGTTCGTCGTCGACGTTGGCGTGCCCTTGTTGAGCGACAACGACGTGATGAACGGCGGCTGCGGCGTCGGAACGCTCGCCTGGGGCGCTGTCGCAGTCGTCTCCGAGATCTGGATCTTGATCGAGATCAGCGTGTCGTATAGCAGGTTCTTGAGCCGCGAGTTCTTGTCCATCACCGAATGGTGGAACAGTTTGGTCAGGTTGACCAAAAAAACGTCTCGTTGCAAGTTCACCGACCGTTTCAAGATCAGGTCCACCAGAAAACTCTTGTGGATCAGAATGATGCGCGAAACAAACATCACCGCCTTCTCCAGGTCGTCCGCGTTCCGTTTGGCGTCCACGTTCGAACAGTAGTACATCAGCTTCTCCAAAGACAGATTGAGCGAAAACACCAGCGAGTCGCTCAACGTGATGGTCTTGGACTCTTGTAGTCGCGAACAGCTCGACGCCATGTCCATCAGGAAGTTGGCGTAGTTCTGGCCGTTGACCAGAAATCTCGGGAACTGCTCCGATCTCAGATACAGTTCCTCGCAGCAGTTGAGAAGCCGCAGTTTCAGTGTGTCGTCTAGATGCTCAAACAGATCGCTCACCAGAACAGACTCGTCGTTCGCGGCGTCCAGTTCCTGGAGAATGTTGCGCAAAAGCGTCTTGAGTTTGTCGTCGTCCAGTTGCAGCTCCTCCAGCAACGACTTGAACAGCAGCTGTTCCAACGGGAGGTTGAAGTAGTTGAGTCGTTTAACGAGACTCAGCACAATTGCTTCGTCGTTGGACGCGCCGACAGGCAGGTTTTTCAAAACCACCAGCAACAGGTTCTGGAACTGTGTAGCGTCGCCATGCGTTTCGTAGAAAAGCTTGACAAAAAGCGGCCGGTTCGAAGACACCAGCCGCCATATGCCGTCCTCGATCAACGAGTTGAGTTTGCGCGGCTTCGCAGACGGTCTCACCAGTCCTGCGGCCGACTCAGCGGAAACAGGCGGGGTTTGCGCCACAGGAACAACAGCCAGGTCTGATAACGGGTTCAGATCGTCCACGCTGACTCCTGTGTCCACCAGATGGGATGGAGCCACCACTGGGAGTGGACGTGGTGTGGCAATGGTCGTTGTGGTGACCACGCGATGCAGTTGGTTGTAGAACAGAACCGAATGCTCGTTTCTGTACACTTTTCGTTGGAAGTTGAGCAAGAAAAGATCGTAGTTGCTCAACTCAAACTCCTCGCAAAAATGAAGGTCCCAGATCAGTCTTTCCCCGCTTTGGGAGCTGAACTCGTCTTTGGAGGCATCCTCGAAAAGCTTGACAATTGCGTGGATGTCAATGAAGTTATCCAGAACAAGTTTCAGAATAAACTTTAAGGAAGCCTCGTAGTCCAAGGCCAGCGACGGCAGACTGAACTTTTTAAGGTGCAACACTAAAACGTTCTGGAACTGCTCGCGTTTCCATGCCTGAAGACCTTTCATTAGTCGGTAGATCGGCGACATCTGGCTATCTGAGTAGCTCATACTGTTCACCAACGACCAGTACTGGTTGATGGCCTGTCCAAGAGAATGAGAGAACTCGGCAGCATTGACCAGTCTTTCCGCTGAGGAGACCCCAATCAGGCCCAGATGTTCTAGATGGAGGGTCTCGAGCGTGAATTCGGTTTCTCGAAGTGTTGGCGATAGCTGTGGATTGAACCTAACGTCCCACAAAACCTGGGTGATGTTGAACCGATTGGTTTCGTACCAACTGGTGATGGTGGAGTAAAGTTTCTGGTAAACGGTAATCTCGTTGTCGTAGCAACAGGCAAGCAATTCGTCGTTGTACGAGACGAGCTTTAGCAACAGCCAAATCACACGCGGTTCGATTTCAGTATATGATTCAACATGTTCCACAACGAGACTTAGGAACTCTGGCACTTTTTGCAACCGTTCCTCAAATATCCTGTAATAGCAATACAGCGAGTCGAAAGATGCCACCCAATCCTTCTGTTGTTTCAGTTTCGAATATAGCCATCCGTAGTTCTTGATCCGAACTCCAACGTCCAACGGACTTGTCTCTGAACACGGCCAGATCTCGTCCAGATCGTAAATGTTTGGAATGCTCAACTTCTCCTGCAGTTCAGGGTCATCCTTGTTGCGCAACACGATGCCTGTAGAGTCGACCAGTCGTTTCAGAATGTTTTTCGCGTTCGAGTCCTGGATCGACAGCGAATCGAGAATCAACAGATGAACGTAGCATGAGTTGTCGGCTTTTTGCAGATAAATGACTCCGGACGCAATTAGTCGTCTCAAATACGATGAAAGCACAAAAAGACCCATCGAATGAAGCTCGTTAATCAGCAGCAAAAACTGTGTAAAGCTGTATGGGTTGGAGTCCGGGTTCAAGTAGTCCAGTTCGTCGGCCATGCTGTATGCGAAATCTATGATGGCCATCTCCAACTCCAGCTTGAATTGTCTGTTTTTCTTGGACTTGACCTGGCCAAGTTGCTGGATCTTGATGCGCAGCAGTGAACAGACTGCGCTAATACGACGGGCCCATGCCGAGTCGCGCGACGTGGTGATCGACCATTTAAGTATCAATGCTATGGTGGTTTGCCAGTCGTCCACAGAACCGCAGTCGGAGTCGGAAGTGTCTTCAAACACCTCTTTGCACAGGTTCTTGAGCGACAATGAATGCACATTGTCGAGTTTCTGGATAGCTCTGATGGCTTTTCGACTGCCAAAATTCGTATATGCTTCGTTGGTGGCCTCGTCGATCATTAGGGACTCGTTTCTGTACAAAATCAGCTTGTACTGTTCGGAGATTGGCGGGTACGACAGATCAATCAGCGCCTTGAGACTCGATTTAAGCGAGGACCACGAGTTCGGGATGATAAAGGCGTCCGAGTTGTAGTAAAACAGATACTGCACCAACAACTGGAAATCGCGTAGCAATTTCGGATGCTGCACTTTGGAAACGGCCAACAACAGCTTTTCTCCCAGATCTTTGGACAAATAATCGACGCTGATCATTTTGAACCAGAACAGTCGAACAAACTGGTAATGAACAGCAATTAGGTTCAACGACTCACTTTTCAACAAATTGTCCAGATAGCTGGTTATCCAGCCGAGGAAAGTCTCGCGACTCAACAGGTCTTCCACGTACAAGTTGCTGCTGAGTTCAAGAATGAAGTTGAGTCTCGATTTCCACGAGTCTCTGTTTTGCGGAGCGAACGAACTGGAAATCACCTGTTCCAGAAACTGGACAACCTGTTCTGTCCATTCGACTACCCATTTGTTGAGTCCAGCTGCGTTCGAGAGTTTCCGTTTCAATTGTCGCTGTTCGTTTGCAGAAACACACCGCACAAGCCATATCGTGCGAGCAATTGGCACCTGGTGTGCCATGCACTGTTCCAACAGAAATCTGTTTCGAAGTCCGTGGGGAATGGCTCTGGCCAGCTGTTTCAACGGGATATTGGGGTTCGCCAGGTTATTCATCCAAAGTTCTCTTTTGTGGTCGGTCAACGTGACTCTTGGCGGAGGTCTATATGTAGACTTGGACTTGATTTTATTGATATCCCGACGCTTAACTAGAGCTTTTACCATCACGTCGCTCAGGTTGGCCATCTTGATCTTTGTGCTTGCATCGGCGACTTCTGGAGTCGTTCTGCTGAGTAACTGTGTGAAAATTTGCCGTCCCGAATGGCTTTCGCTCGCAACAACGGCCGGCTCAAAGAATCCCTTCTGGAGATTGGCTTTCATCGTCATATCGTCCTTGGACGAGTGTTTCCAAACACGAAAGTCTGGAAACACCGGCTCCTTTCCCGGGTTGGGATCCTCACCATTCAGCGGGTAAACTCCCGCAGGATTGGGCACTTTCCCTGGGGAAACGCTCATTGATAAAATAAAAGAGGATGAATTAAATTACTTAGTTTTTTTTTAAATTCTCTTGTTTTCTTGTTCCGTCAAATGAACACCCATCGGCCAATAGACCCGGTAGTCCATTCCAAGGAACCTGCTGTGTTGAACGCGGCGTTTAACCAGGACCAATCGTGTTTCGCTGTGTGCCATGAAACCGGTTTCCAGGTGTACAACACAGACCCCATGGAGCCCCGCATGAAACGGACCTTCAACTCGAATGGAGGCATCGGGCTGGTTTCCATGCTGCATCGCACCAACTACGTGGCATTGGTGGGCGGGGGCAAACAACCACGGTTCCCTGTCAACAAATTGTGCATCTGGGACGATTTGAAGAAGAAACCGTCTATCTTGTTAGAGTTCATGAGCCCGATCTTGAACGTGCTTCTGTCCCGGATATTGATTGTGGTGGTGCTCAAGAACACGGTGCTGATCCACGCGTTCGAGTCCAAACCGAAATTGCTCGCCCAACACGAGACTTTTGACAACGAGTCCGGAGTGGCAGAACTGAGTGTGAACGAACAAACGAGCTTTCTGGCGTTTCCTGGCCGCGCTATTGGCCAGATCCAGCTGGTGGACGTCTCGCCTGCAAACAGAGACCGCAATCTGATCTCAATCATCAAGGCCCACAAGAGCAAGATCCAATGTCTGGCCATTTCCAACTCCGGGGCTTTGATCGCCTCCGCCTCGCAAACAGGAACAATCATTAGAGTCCACGACACGGCCAAATGCTCGCTGCGTTTCGAGCTTCGGCGTGGATTGGATAGAGCGACCGTTACCTCCATCAAGTTTTCGCCAGACGACTCAAAATTGGCTGTGCTCAGCGATAAGAACACTCTTCATGTGTTCAATCTGACAGCAACAGCAACACAGCCAGACATCTCGATGCCAAACAGGATGCATTTTCTGGGCGGATTGCCGTTGATGCCGACGTATTTCAAGTCGATCTGGTCGTTTGTGTCTTATCACATCGACACCAAGGACGATTTGGTCAACGACACAGGAGTTTTAGGATGGGCAGATAACGAAAGCATTGTGGTTCTATGGAAGTTTAAAGGGATCTGGGAAAAATACGTTTTGGTTGAGAACGAGAAATGGGGGCTTGTCAGAGAAGGATGGCGTCGATTTGAGGAGTGACAAGATTGTCTATCCGATACTATATACAGAAGTTACAATTTGGATGGTCGTCTAACACCGTTGCAGACGACTTCTAAGGACAGTTTGATGGCTCTTCTTCCTGTCACCACGCGACACCGTTTGATCATTGGGCCCCAACCGCGGCTTTCCAGCTCGCCAATACCGACACGCAGGCTTTCAACACTGTCGCCCAAAACGTTCACCTGGGATACTCCACTCAACGTTGCGAGTGTGTTTGCGCACGCGGCCGCCTGTGCTGGCAAATCTCGCGAGCGACGGGTATCGAAAATCGACACCCGAAACATAAAATTATTATCACTGGGGAAGCCAAATTATTATTTTGTCAAATAATTTCAAATCCAGCCGCACTTTTCATCGAGCAGCTCTGCCCTCACAATTGGCAGCTCCTGATCGTAGAAAAGATGGTCGCCGTTGGTCATTGTGACGCAGCGCACGGCGTCTTCTGGGTTGTCGAATACGACAACGTAGGTGCTTAGTCCCGTGGAGTTATCTGTGTGGATCTGCTGCAAACTGAGATCTTGCACCTGGTAAACCTCCAAGTCGTTGAGAAATTCGAAAATGCGACTCTGGCTGGTGTTCTTCGGTATGTTGTGGAGAATCACGCACTGGTGACGTTTGACCGGGTGGGTTTCGAGGTAATCGAGCACTGCTGGATCTTTTGATTCTAGGCTCAACCAAGGCTGTTGTCGCAACAAAGAGGCGAGTTTCGGGGACACAGACGAGTTTTTCAGCGAGTGCCAGTCCACGAGATCGGAACGCAACTTGGAGTCCGCCAAGATCGGGAAGAAGATATTATTTAGTTCGTCCTGAATATTGACGAAATCAAACGAAATATACGATCCATTGAACAATGCAGACCTGTTATCGCTCCAGAAGATGGAAGCATCCTCAAAAGAGGAGAAAAACAGATAGAAGATGCCGGAAGGAGCCAAGTTTTGGACGTATCTGCCCTTGACGATATCCAAAATCTGAGCCTTTCTGGTGTATTTCCCCTGGCCCAGCACGTAGGTTCTGTAAATGTCCGACCCGGCAAGCACACCTTGTTTGCTGAACATTCGCAGAACGTGCGAGTCTGTAAGATGTGGCGTTTGTTGGAGTAAATTTGTGGCTTCTAAAACGGCCATCGAGGGACTCGCTCCAGACATCTGGCGTTTAGCTGTTGTCAACACGTTTCCAACGGAAAGTACCGCACAACAGCAACGCCGGCCATTTTGCACAATATACATTATCCTTGGGCGCTGGTAATCTTACCCTCTCTTACAGAATATTTTAAGCGTCGCCTTTTTTTCCTTGTCTCATACTTTATTTGTTTGTATATAGTCACCATATTGACGCTATTGGTGATCGTCGCGGCTCGCTTGTACATAGTTGGCTAACATCCGCCTCGATCTACTCTCATGACAAATTGGAGTTCTTATAAGAGTCCTTCTGGTAAGTTACAGCACAGAGGCGAAACCGTTGTCTAACCTCATAGTTGACGAAACAGTTGGCAAAAATCCGTGGGATAACGGAGCAAATAACGCAAAGATGGCTGCGGCTAACGATCTGGACAACGAGGTGGCCAGTATCATTTCAAGTTTGAGCGGAGCAAACTCGAATTTGTTTGGTAAAGCCAACTCGGTGTTTGCTCAGCCGGTCGGTTCTGTTGGGTTGGCAGACGGGCTTACTAGCGATTCGGGTGCAGATTTCCCGAACCTAAAAGACGCCTTGAGTGCCATCAGTGCTCCTGTGCCTCAACAGAAGTCTCGGTTCGCAAACAACCTGTTTGGATCGGCTTCTCTCAACGGAGTCAACGTTTCCAATTTTAACAATACGGGCCTCGGGTCGTCCAATTTCCTCGAAAAGTTCTCTTCCATCACGGAAAAGACAAGGGAGTTGGAGCTCAAGATGCAACGGCTCAACGTCCAGAACTCAAGCTCCTCTTCTACAACTGCAAATACCGCAATCATCTCGTCTTCGTCAGATCTTATCGGGTCAAGAAGATCCTCGAACTTGAACTCGAGTGACATTCAAACTCCTCCATTGGCTTCCAGAGAACCTAGAAAACAGTCCTTTAGTGAAAAGTTTGACAACTATGTTTCCAACTCAAACTCTCCAACAAACCAATACATCTCCAACTCCCCAAATCAACTTGGCTACGCCGACATCGCCTCTGAACATAGCTCCGTCATTTCGGAATCGCCCAACGACCAGGCAAAGAACATCTGGAACCCGGCAACAGCACCCACTTTCCAGCCTCGTGGATTTGAGAAACCAGCGGCACCGTTTGGTCCTCCATTCGAGGCGGAGATGCAGCAATTCGGAATGCCTCCGCCCTATGGCCTCGGACAGTGGCCAGGCTGGGGACAGATGATGCAAATGGTTCCACCGACCGTTGCTCCTGTTCCTGCTCCAAAGGACGAGGACTCGAGCGAAAAAACGGACGACGAACAGGCTGCTCAGATCCCTTCGCCACAGGCGTTTTTCCAGCCCGGCCTGAGATCAATGTCTCCGTTTGTGGTTCCGTCGTTCAACCCATATGGTATCATTGCGTCGCCTCCACCAATGCCGACTGTTCTTGCCGAGCCTGTTGGACCACAGCGCGAAAATCAGTTAGGGTCTCCAAAACTGCAGTCTCCTGGTAAGCCATTGAAGAAAACCAATTCTCCAAAACCAATGAAGCCAAAGAAGCACATTGTGAGATCTCCTTTGCTCGAGGAGTTCAGAAGCAACAAGAACAAAGAGTACACTTTGAAAGATATCCATGGCCATGGTTTCGAGTTCTCCAAGGACCAACACGGTTCTCGGTTTATTCAGCAGCAGCTCGCTCTTGCCAATGAGAGAGACAAGGAGGTCATTTTTAACGAGATCCGTAATCATGCCATCGACCTGATGACAGACGTGTTTGGAAACTATGTGATCCAAAAGTATTTCGAGCACGGCAACGATGTGCAGAGAAAAGTCATGTTCGAGTCGATGAGAGGAAGTTTTAATGACCTGTCTTTGCAAATGTATGGATGCAGAGTTGTCCAGAAAGGTTTGGAAACGCTTCCTGTTGAGGAACAGCTGCAAATCATGGACGAGTTGAAGGGCAACATTCTGATTCTTGTCAAGGACCAGAACGGTAACCATGTGATCCAAAAGTCGATTGAATGTATCCACATTTCCAAGATTCCGTTTATTTTGGAGTCGATCAAGCACCAGATCTACCACTTGTCCACACATCCGTATGGGTGTAGGGTGATCCAGAGACTGCTGGAGTTTTCTGGCGTTGAGGACCAGAACTTCATCCTGGACGAACTCAAGGAGTATATTTACTACCTGATCCAGGACCAGTTTGGAAACTATGTGATTCAACACGTGATTGAGCACGGGTCCACCGAGTACACGGACGCGATCTTGAAAGTTGTGCTTGAAAACCTTGTTGAGCTGTCGAAACACAAGTTTGCCTCGAACGCGGTGGAGAAGTGTATCATCTACCAAACAGAGGCGAACCGGGGCAAGATCTACAAGGAGATTCTGCGGGGCAACACCGACCCGAACGGCAAGCTGGACGAGAACACGTGCTTGTGTTTGATGATGAAGGATCCGTTTGCAAACTACGTGGTGCAGAAACTGGTGGAGCTAATTGACGACAAGAAGAAAGGACTGTTGGTGAAGAAGATCAGAGACTATCTGAAGCTGATCAGCAAAAACAACTACGGCAAGCATCTGGCCAGTATCGAGAAGTTGATTGCGTTGAGCGAGAGCTACGAAGAAGCAGCAAGAGTGTGAGTTTTCTTATAAATAGGGTGGTGCTAAAGTCTTGATTAGTGCTTATGTAATTTTTGATAATTTTTTATCGCTATTTTAAAAAGAAAAAAAAAATATTTTTCAGTTAACATGTCTACGTTTTCGCCGATTCCTGAGAGCGTGAGATCGCACGAGTCTTCTGGCGAGGAGGAGGAGACTGTTCTTCCAGGGCTGGACGAGATTTTTTCGCAGCTCGCGAGCGCTGCTGGGAGCAGAGATCCGGCGCAAAAGAAAGAGACGTTTGAAGACGTGAAGAAAGCCGTGGCTGGGCTGCCGAAGCTGGCGTCTGGCGAGCTTGTGGCGGCGAAGAAGGAGCGGCGGGTGGCCAAGGTGGACGATCCGATCGACGTTGCGATTCCGAAGAGCGAGAAGAGCGCCAAGAGCTTGACGGAGCAGTGGTTCGAGATGCCTAAGGTGGAGCTGACGGAGCAGCTGAAGCGGGACCTTCTTGTGCTGAAGCACCGTGCGTCGATTGATCCGAAGCGGTTCTACAAGAAGGAGAAGTGGGAGGCGCCGGAGAAGTTCCATATGGGCACGATAGTTGGGGGCCCCACCGATTTCCACAACAGAATCCACAGAAAGCAGCGCGGCACGGGCTTTGTGGACGAGCTGCTGAAGAACGAGGAGACCAGCGGGTGGCTGAAGAAGCGGTACGAGGAGGTTCAGGTGAAGAAAGGCGGCCGCCGGCCGTTCAAGCCCAAGAAGAGAGCCAGACGGTAGCCAGGTATACAGTAACGAGTCATGATCATATACATATCTATTAAGCGATGCGGGACGTGGGCAAGTTGTCGTCAAACACACGCACCTTGTCGAAGTTGCGCTGGCGGATGCTGTTCCATAGAATGCGTCTTTCTCTCGAAGACATGTTGTCGACGTCGACCCCCACCTTGTGGGTGTAGTAGAACTCAAAGAGCGTTTGCGAGGCCACCAAGAGGTTGAGGAAGTAGTTGCGCAGGGCGACGGCGACGAAGTCGGGGCCCAGCGGCAGCGAGTTCTCGATGGACACCTTGGCCACCAGGTGCTTGAACTGGGTGTCTATATTAAATTCGCGGAACAGGTCACTCTCCACCAGAGTTTGCAGAATCTGCTGTGGGGTGTCTCCCAAGGCGGTCACCCTGAGTGGGGACTTGTCTTGCAACGAAGGGGAGGCCACATGAAACAGGAACTTGTTGTACTGCGGATTCTGCAAACGGCGGATCTTGGTCACCTCGCTGACAAGCGCGCCGTGGTCGGTGAGCTCTCCCGTCTCGAGCTGCACGAACACCTGTTTCCCCCGCCAGTGGTGGGGCAGGCTGGCCTCGCGCACAAATAAAAGCACCCGCAGCAGGTTGAGGTTCCAGTCGATGAGTTTCTCGGGCGAGCTGGCGCCCGCGCGCTTCTGTGTGTCGCGCAGCACGGCGCTCAGCTCGTTGAACACGCGGTTGCCCACGTCCGCACACGCGGTCACCTGGTCCAACACGGCGCCAAGGCCAAGAGCCAAGGTATCCGGTTCGGACACGAGGTCCTTGAAATCGGAGTTGGGCACGCGCAACGGCTCGCTCTGGATGCTTGTGGCGGTAGTATGCAGCGACGACGGCGTGGAAAACACCGACCGGTTCGAGTCGTACGAAACAGTCCTGCTCAAAGGAGCCAGCTGGGGCCGTCTCTTGGCGAAAAGCGCAGACCGGTGGCGCACACGGTCGATGATAGACTCGTTCTTGGACCGGGGCTTGCCGATGTTGTCCAACACCGCCTGGCGCGCGCGTTGGGTGATCTCGTCCGGCGGCTTGAACGACTGCTCTCTAAGAGTGAACATATATATGCAGAAATAAAATATTCAGATTGGAAATCCACTACTTATATCGACACTTTGTGCCCCACACGGAGACAGAAATATGGGTCAGACGGACTATTGTTCTACAGGTCTGATTATTGTTCCCCGTGTTTGGAATTCGGAGCTGCGAGCTTTTATTGGAGGGATGTGTTCGCAGTTCCGGAAAAATAATAATCCGCACGGCACAATTATTATTCATTGATTCTGCGGTCTGTGGATTTCCCAGTTTCTCGCCGCCGCTTCATGATGGTTTCGGCCTCCTCCACGCCCCGTTTCTTGACGAGCTTGGAGTGGAACAGGCCGCACGCGTTGCACAGCGTGCGGGTCCCGTTGGGGCCCTTGCGCCATTCCGGCGTGTTCAGCGACCCGCAGTGCAGACAGCGCGTGCGGGGCCGGATACTCAAATCCTGCTGCAACGTTCCTTGCGGAACAAATTTTGGTAATTGTTCAGAGTCGGTTTCGGAAAAAATTAACGGTTTTGGCGGGTGCACTTTTAGCAGGGCAGCTTCGCCGCTGATCGACGGCTCGGACTTCGACGAACGGTGGACCTGCACTCGCGACTTCCGCCTCTCTGGCGGTGGCCCGGTTCGCGTCTGTGTTGGGCTCCTCTGGCCGCCCGGACTCCTCTGGCTCGAGTCCGTGTCGCTCGTCCGGGGAGGAAGACGTAAATTTTGGCAGTACATCAAAAATGCGCGAATCTCGCTCGCGTGGTTGATCGCATGCAACAGCTCCTGGTCCGGAACCTGGCTCACGTACGCCATGGTCGGGTTGTCGGAGATTCGTCGATGGAACTGGTTCAGAAAGGAAAGGTTGCGCTCTACCCCACGGACTCTTTCTGCAAACTCTTGGGCTGGATCAAGGGGCGGAAACCGAAACTGCTCGCGCACAACAAACTCGGCAGACGGCGTGGCCACAGGTTGGACCTGGTAGCTCGCAGAAGATGTCCCCATCGGGCTCACGCCAACAGGACTAGGCCTCCCTGGCGCAGACACTGGAGAAACGCCAAAATACCCCATCTCTGATGGATTTCTAAGATGCATTTGCTGGAAAGCAGGAAAGAACTCGGTCTGTAAACTGGGAAGACGACGATGTTCCATAATCACACGTTGTTGTTGTTGGGGTTCCGGCCCTATCAGTCGTGGAGCAGCTTCTGCGGTCGATGTTCCTTGCGCATTTTGTTCTGGAAATGTCTTTGTCAGCTCATCAAAGGACGGTAGCTTGATGTTTAGCTGCTTGTGGTCTCTGTTTTGCATCAAAGAAATCATCAACGCTCAAGACGAACAGACAAACTGTTCCCTGAGCGAGGAAATGATATCTAGCGTTGCTTTATATTTGTTTCCCTTCTGGGAATTGGTTCCTCATGTCGTGGTTAATGGCCTGGCTAGAATTGCCGTGACACGTCGCGTAATCCATGCACTCGGCACTATCTGCAATCCTGGCAACAGATGAGCAACCTGGAATTCTCCCGCTTTGCAGCCCAGCGAAACAAAATCGCATGCACCACTTTCCTCAGCTGCACGTTTTACAGGAATTTTCTCTTTAGTTTCTTGATCCATCTGTATCTGGACAATAGATTCCCCATCGGATGCACCAGCTTGCTGCTTTTGACCGTTCGTGCTACCATATTATCTGGTGCTTGCTTATGTCAGCGAGGGAAGACCCCCCAGCTTGTGACAATTGACGATTTGGATCTTGAACTTTGGTAGCCAGTTGCTGTTTCATATGAAAAGACAGATCAGAAGCTCCACGAGCAGCGATATCGCGCTGAAACTGGCCTTGAGTCCGCGGTTTTTGGACGCGGTGGTGTAATTGGTTGTGGAAACCGTGCTGTTTGTGCTTTCGTTGTGGGCCACTGCAAATATCCGCCGTGGTTGAGGGAACAGCCGGTTTTTCTGGCGGATTTTCTGGCTCATTTTCAGTTCGAGCACGTCTCTTTCCCAATCAGACTCTGCTGGCCACGGCCGACCCAAAAGCGACCCTTTTCTTGTTTCATTTGTTCGGGACATTCCGAGTAAAATAGACGCTTCTACAGTTTTGCTGTTGGCCTGTTCGTAAACGTTGGCCGTGCAAATCGACGAAAGCAGGTCGTAGGTGTTTTTGTTCTGCAATTGGTTAGTATGGAAAATAGAGTATACTCACATAAGCTGGACAAAACTTGATACATTCCGACACCAACGCTCCAACGTAGTAACATTTGCAGATCTCGTTTGGAGCAGTACAGGACAGATACCCGCTCCTTGCCCTATCGTGGCATTCTAAGTAATAACCATCGTCCTGGTGTTAGGTATCAAAAAAAGCTCCACTTACGCATAACGGGCCGCATTCCAAGAACGAGTCTGTTGTGATGAGGGCGTTCGCGGGCAACGCGGTGACTAGCGCCCAATAAAGGAGGTGTTTCATAAAGAAGGATCAAAAGGTTAAAGATCCAAGAAAAAACCCATCTGGGGATGCGGCACGACCATTTGGCAAAATATATATTAAATATTGTGTTAGTCATTTTCTTCTTGTGATTGTCTTATGACAAGCTCCGAGGCTCGCAAAGGTGCTACGAGCGAGATCCGAGACAAGCTCGGGTTCCATGATGAGACGCTGTGGCGCAAGTTTTCGTCGCGACGGCTGTTGTTGGTGGAGTCCCTGTCTTTGAGCTCGAAGAAAGCGTGCGAACAAGATGCGGAAATTGCGGTGTGTGCCAAGACGTTGCAGCAGGAGTTTGGGTTTCCGGACGACACGCTGGGCGAGTTTGACAAGCTGGTTCGGCTGGCCATTCAGAGCGTCCGCAGAAACAAAAAACGGTCGCAGAAACGGCTGGCCAACCGACGCCGTGAAAAAGAGGACAATGTGAGTCCGAGTTACAGCGATCTATTGAACGAGGACGTAGACATGGCGACTGGAAGCTCCGAGGAGCACGAGATCGAGTCGAAAACGGCCATCTCTGCTCTGGTGGCCCCGTCTGCAGAGCGGCCGTTTGGGGCCTCTTTGCGCCGGCTGGGAGCCAACCACGAGTTCCGAGCAGCGGCAAACAGCTTTCTGGCGAGCGTGAAGCGGTCGAGGACGTGTTTCGATCTCACCAAGTCCGGAACCGGCTCGTTCGAGTCGATCGAGGCATTTGGGTCGTCGTGTATCTCAACAGCTGTGATGTTTGTGCTGGAACGATATTTCGGCCATCTGTCGTACGATTCGGTCATTTACATCAAGCAAAAACTCAACAGCGACATGGTGTTGAGCTCGGTGGTCAAGAGTCTGGACCACGAGTCGTTGGAGGTGGCCCAGCTCGGAGAGTTTGTGGCAGCACAGCTCTTTAAGAAGCTCGTTGGTGGATGTGTAAAGGATTTCGGGTTCAACCAGGTGTTGTATCCTGTTTGCGACATTTTCCGCAGCATCTTGGAGAAAGACTATCCATTCACGCCACAAACGTCGCAGCTGGACGAGAAGTCGACGATTTTGTCAAGATCCCCAGCCTCGGATTCACTCATCACCGTGGTTATCAAGTTCAACACCAAAGATCTACGGTTCATATACCCTTCAAGTTCGTGTTCTCCGCCAACGGTTCTGGAGCTGATAACCAACTCGAAAACGGCATTTGGAATAGTCAACAACAATCGGATCCTCAAGATCAGAAACGCCCAGTCCAAATCCTTGATCGACTCGGACTCGGAGCTGGAGAAATTGTTCGATGCAACCAGAAACAAGCCCCATAAACTCATAGAGCTGGAACTCATCTACCACAACATGCAGGACTATCTCAACCTGAACTTTGATGTTCCGCAGAAACAAGTCAGACCGGCAGGCTTGCATGCTCTCACTCCTCCGCTGCCGCTACCAAATAGATCGCCGTTCAAATTCCAGCCTTTACTCTAGTAAAGGTTTTGTATTTTTAATTGTTAACACGAGCTCCTGAGCCACCTGTTTCTCCTCTGCGACCTGGTCCGGTTCGGATTGGTCGTTGTGGTTTTCCTTTTCGTCGGCCTGTTTCTTTTCCAAGCTCTTGCGTTTTTTAATGTTGTGACTTTTCAGAATCAGTTTTGGCAGCTTATCAAAACGCACAATCAGATCGCGTCCTTCGAAGCTGGCACCGTTGAACTTCCGGATCACCTCGACAGAATCGTCCAAACTGGAAGTTAAAGCAATAGCAAAGCCTTTGGACCCGCCGTTAGGCTGCGTCTTCAAATACAAATGCGAAACCAGGCTCGCATTGGCGTTCAGATAGTTCAAAACCGAGAGGTAGTTGGATTGGAACGGGATGTTGCCGATGAAAAGCCGTGTCGGACTCACATACTTGGACGCTGAAAACTGGACCAGCTGGTCTGTGGGCTTTTCGTTGTCGTCGACCGACGAGTCCGAGTCCTGGTCCGACTCGTCCTTGTCGAAGTCCGGGTTCAGGATCGACGAGTAGTTGTTGCCCAGCTCGACCCGCTGCTGGGGCCTATTAGGTTGCCGTCTTTGGGGCCGGTTGGCGTGTGGCTGGAAAGAGTGTGGCGGTGCGGCTGCCGCAGGTTGGGGATCAGCGTATGGGAAGGACACAGATCTTGCCCTCTGGATGGGCATCCCGTACGAATAATAAGGGTAGTACGGCGGCATGGAGGGCATAGGAATTGGCGCGGGCATTGGGGTGGCCAACGGGGTAGGCACAAAGTACGGCTGGACCCCTTGGTCGACTGGATCTGAGTAAAAGGCCGAACTCTGTGGCTGATAGGAGTTGATTAGCTGGCATTGGAGAATGGAGCCGTCGAATTCGTAGCCGTCCAGCTTGTTGGCAAGTCCGGCGGCTGTGGAATAGCTGAACGCAGAAATAGAGGCCCAGGCGTCCTGGTTGTTTGGGGAGTTGTAAATCTGGATTGCTCCAATGGAGGCCGTATTGACAGCCACGGTTTGTAAGAGAAGGTCCAGGTCTGATTTGGATAAGCGCGCGGGTAAATTGAACACGTTCACGACGTACTGAGCGGTCGAAACGTCCTGATAATACACAATCGGACTGCTCAAAGCCCCTCCCGGGGAGGTTGGCTGATCCGACCCAAGAGACATTTGAAAGGGACACTGTGGTGGATATATGAGCTGCTAATCACCAGTGTTCCAATATTAAATTGTCTGACAGGACCCTGTGGCGCACAATGTTTTCCTGCTTCCCGTCCAACAAGCACTTGTCTGTCCAGGAGATTTCTCCTGATATCTACGATTCAAATTAATCTGCCGATCACAATAAATAACAATAGATTTCATGCAATCCGGCTGAACAACCTACTCCTAACACCTCTCTCTATGTTTTGCGTTGATACATATCCAACCCGTTCACTTTCTCCATTTGTGTTTGCCGTTTTTGTGATTGTGGTTTCCGTGGGGCTTGGCCGGCTTGAACCCGAGGTCTCTGGCGAGCGCAGAGTCCAGCGACAGGCCAAACTTGTCGATTCGACGCAGACTGGCCTCCAACTGGGGCACTTCGTCCTCGTTGCCGAACTTCTTGGCTCTCGCGATCTTCTTGGTCAGCAGCTCCACGGCGGCCTGTTTCAGCTCCTCTGGACTGATCGGTTTCTTCTCCTCCTTTGGTGCAGTCTCGGCTTCTTTCTCGACAGACTCGTTCTTTGACTCTGTCTCCACAACGGGCACCGGCTTCTCGGCCACCGCAGACTTCTCCTCGTTCGTCACCTCGGCTGTGCTGGCGGGCTCCTGAACAGGCTCGGGCTCCACTTTTTTCTGCTCTCCGCCGTCCTCAGCGTCCAGCTGGGCCTCGATCTTGTCCGACTCCTCCAGACGAGCAATTAAGTCCGCCTTGACGCCGTTCGTCGACAATCCCCGCTGCTTCAGTACTTCCTTCAGTTGTGGCACCGTTTGACTCGAATATCCAGCCATTCTCTTGATATGTTACAACGCGTTGGTAAACAAGTTTTTACAGCAATTCCAATTGCCAAAAGAGCACAGCCGTGGAAATTTAATTCAGCTTGGAAAAAGTATTCTCCTACAAATGACTACCGTTTTAGAGCCTGTCCAGGTGAAATACTGCGGTGTTTGCACGTTCCCCGTGGAGTTCTGCGAGTTCGGAAAACGTTTCAAGAAATGTAAGACCTGGCTCGAGTCCGACGACCCAGAACTGTACAAAACTCTCTATGCCGATAGCGCACTGAACTCGTCGCTGTCGTCCGAAAAGGAGGCCAAGATCTCCGAATCCCTTGCCAAGATGCAGCTCAAAGAGGAGCGCAAAGAGGAGCGCGAGCTGCAGTCGCTCAAGAGCTCCAAGGTGCTCGTCAAGCGGATCCAGCGCACCAAACATAAACACGTTATTGCCGTTGCTGGACTCGAGGTGTTCGACGTGGACATGAAGAAAATGGCCAAGACGTTCGCCTCCAAGTTCGCTACGGGCGCCTCTGTGTCCAAGAACGCCGAAAAAAAGGACGAGGTCGTTATCCAGGGAGACGTTGGGGACGAGGTCGAGGCGTATCTTGTGGGTCTTTTGAAAGAGAAAGGACTTGAGGAAGTCAAGGTCGAGCAGGTCAGCGAGAGAAGAAGATAATACATAGCACAGTCGCCCTTTTAAATGGGCCTTCTAATTGTTCATCCACCCTTGATTACAGCGCACCCGTACACCACACGTGTAGCCCATTTTTCCAAAATAAATTTCCAGCAGTGAATCAATTTTCAGTACATGTCGTTCTTTGATGTTTTGCAGCGCGGAGACGAGTTCATCCTGAACGACCGCCCGCAGCAGTCGCGCTGGTGGAACGTGTTGTCGCACGCCACTTGTCTGGCCGCGGTGGGCAGTTCCAAGCTCATCATCTCGCTCTTCTATAATTTGAACCTGAAAGGACTCGAGAACCTCGATCGAAGTCTGGCCAAAGCTCGTGCCGAGAATCGTGGGTTTGTCACCGTGATGAACCACATGTCTGTTTGTGACGATCCGTTTCTTTGGGCGTGTTTGCCCTGGAGATACTATGCGTCTCTGGACGATATTAGGTGGGGACTTGCAGCCAAGAACATCTGCTTTGTGTCCAAGTCTAGCAGCACGTTCTTCTCGTTGGGCAAGTTGTTTGCGTGCGAGCGGTTTGGCCGAGGCCCGTTCCAAGGAGGACTAGACGCTCTGGTCAGAGTTCTTTCACCAGACGACACTCTGGACACAGATCACATTTTCCAGGGGCTGAACGAGTCCAAACCAATTGCATCTTCCCTGGTGGACAACGTCAAGTCGTTCTATTCGCCAAAATATACCCCTCCGATTCTCAGATATAAATCTTCGTGGGTGCACATTTTCCCTGAAGGATACGTTTGTCAGCTGAAACCGCCCCATAACAACTCCATGCGGTTCTTCAGATGGGGTACCGCCAGACTGATCTTGGAGCCCACAGTTGCGCCGGTGGTGGTACCAATTTTCTCGGACGGGTTCGAAAAAGTCGCTCCGGAAGCAAAATCGGACGATCTGGTCGACTCCATTCTTCCTCAGGGCATAGGGTCCACCATCACCGTGAATATTGGCCGTGCGATCGAGGACCGCGTGATCGAGGCCTTCCGTGCTGAATGGCGTGCTCTTTGCGACAAATATCACGATAGATCAAACCCAAACGACCTCACTCCGGAACTCAAGTTTGGCAAGGAAGCACAAAACCTGCGCAGCCGGGTCTGTGCGTATTTGCGTGAACGAGTTGCAGAACTCAGACTCGAGAACGGGTTCGCTCCCGAAGACCCACGACTCGCTTCCCAGAAGTTCTGGAGCGAGTACACAAAAACAGAAGGCCAAAGTGCGCCCGACATCCAGTTTGTCGGGTACAACTGGGCCATCCGCGCATACCAAAAGAACGTCAGCTCATATGACGAGCATGGCAACGAGGTGTCCAAATGAGCGGTTGTAAATAATTCGATAGATACAATCCTAAAACCAAACTGGATCTATTTCAGCTGAGTGTTGTTGACCTTGGTTGCAAACCGTAGCGAGTTGAGCGTTTCGTTGAAGTGTTGTAGTTTTGACGAGACGTTCACAAACATCAGTGTCTTTGAGTTTCCGCCCAGAGAGTGTTGTAGCAAGTACGTCAAACGAGAGTTCCGGTACGGAATGTGCTGGTTCTTGTTGCACAACGACGTGATAACGTCTCCAAGAGAACTTAAAGACTTATTGATCGATTGGGTCTCTTTCAGTCTGTCTCCTGTGACAAGCGAGTGAGAAATCCGTTCAGACCCCGCCAGGTCGATCAAATTCAGTTTACCGCTGATTGTGTCGCCAGTTTTCGAGTTGAACCCTTGTAGCGAGATAATAAAGACAGAGTGAGACCGCGACGAACGGTTATTGGCGTTGGTGGACGCTGTAGCACGGTTCCTGTTCGCACTATTAAGGATGTGTGCGACCTGGTCTTGGTCCGTCAGTCTGACTGTGGTCAGCTCGGTGATGGTGGTTGTGCGAGTGTTTTCGTCATGCTTTATTTCGTGCTTGACCGAGTCCAAATTGCGTAGATACGACTCGGTCATTAGATCGTTGATATTTTCGTTGTAAATTTCGAGAAATTGACCCTCTACTTTGTAATTCCACCCTGTCTGCTCTGCCAAACGACACTTTTCAAATATAAGTCCCACAGACCGGGGTATGATTCCATCTTGCGTGCTGGACATGGTGTAAGTCTTTCCCGAGCCAGTCTGTCCGTACGCAAAAATGCATACATTGTAGCCATCTAGAGCGCTCTGCACTAGCTGGCTGATCTCGTCAAAGATCTCCGTGTTGGTTGAGTCCTGGTCAAATACCTTGTCAAAGCCAAATCTATAATTTTTAGGAGCACTTTTGTTGAATGAATGCTGTTGAGGATTGGCAGGCTCTGTCAAGATGATCTGTTCGTTACCATCATTTGATTCCACCGAATCAAACACCTGGTACTGGAACCGGTTTTCGGGCTGTTCGGGTTTGACTCGACAAAAAACCCGAATGTTCCCTTTCAAGTCCTGGAGCAGGTTGTGAGCTTTGCGACGCAGCAGCTCTTCCGACTCTAGTTGTTGCTTGAAACCAACCGACATCTCTGCGTATTCTTTGGCCGTCTGGTGTTTCTCTTTGAGAGTTTGCGACCTTTCAGCCAGTTGCGATTTCAACAATTGAATTTCACCTCGAATATCTGACGTTTTCTCTTCAAACACAGATGCCTTGCCTTTCGACGTTTCTATTTGCTGGCTGAGAGTCTCATTTTCAGTCTCTCTTTCATTGATCAGTTTCTTAACCTGGGTTATTCTTTCATTCAACGTCTGAATGGCTCGTTTGTATGCATCTTTGTCCGAAGACAGATTTTGTATCTCTCTGTTCAGTTCTCTATTCAGAGCCTCCAGTCTCGCATGTCTGCGCTCCGTGAGTCTATTCAGCTCCTTTCCGTGGTTCTGTTGTTCTGTAGCGAGTTGTTGTTCCAATTCTGCGCACTGGGTTTCCAGCATGTGTTTTGACTTATTAAATGTCTGTTGCTTGGATTCCAGCGATGATTCAATTTTATCGTGACATTCCTGGCTCAATTTCTCAATACTTTGGTTAAAATTGCTCTCTACAGTCTGCCTGTAGAGCTCAAATTCGTGTTTGAGCGCCTCGATCTCGGAATCAAACCGTCTGTCAGCCTCAGCCAGCTCGTTCTCCTTCTTCTTGTACTCGTTTTCGAGCTCCGAAAGCTGATGATTCAGTTTCTCGAGCTCCAGCTCAATCTCAGGCAGGTCTGTTCGGATCTTCCATAGCTCGCTGTTCAGATCGCTAAGCTCCTGCTGGGTACGATCCTTTGTCTCCAGGACCTTCTGCAACTCCAGCTCTCTGTTACGGTGGATATTTTCAATCAGACGGGTCTGTTTCATTATCTTTCGTGGTGGAGACTTGTCATCTGCCCGGTTGGGCGCCGAAATGTTGGAGATGTCTCGTAAAGCCATTTGTGATAAATCACAACAGTACGCGACAGGAAAAAAGTTGTGTGACAAAAAAAATTGTGGTAGCAAATTCCGTGCAAAGTTGTGCTGCGATGAGAGGAGGCAAAGACGGCGTTTAAAAAGCAAATACAAACAGATGGTACTCGTTGGATGATGAGTGGTCTTTCAAGTGAGCAAATTCTCGGCTATCGTTATTCTCTTCTCCATGTTAACCTCTTTTTTCCTACCCTCTATTCTGCTACCATTTAACTTTTGGCATTTATTATTTCTCATGAATTAAATATACCATTCATTAACTATTCACTAACCATCCAACACACCAACCCCCACTTCAAATCGCTACTCTCTCTCAATAAATAACCTTGTTCATCATTTAGTCATACTATTTAATGCTTACCATTCTGGAATTGCGACTCAGTCACACCAGCTCCCATGGCAGCAGTACTACTCACACCACCGGAAACAAGCTTCACAATGCTGTCAATGTACTCGGCACCAGACCACTTTTGGTGCTTCACAACCTCGACACCATCGTCAATCTCTCTGGCTTGCACGTTCTGGCCGTAAGCCTTCATACCGATCTTGGAGTAGTCCCGAGAGAAGTTGTCCACAGCCAACGCAGTGGTGTGCAGACCAGCAAGAGTGATGAACTGCCAGATGTAGCCGAGATCAGCAAGTCTCTTGATGTAGGTCTCCTGGTCAGATGGAGACATAGCAGCGTTCCAGTTGAAGGATGGAGAAAGGTTGTATGCCAACCACTTCTCAGGGTACTTAGCCAAGACACCCTCGGCAAACTCCTTGGCTTGCTCGTAGATTGGAAGCTTGGACTCCATCCACAGCATGTCGGCGTATGGAGCGTAAGCTCTGGCACGGTTCACGGCACACTGGGTGCCTCCTTGGTATCTGTAGTAACCTTCTCTGACTCTTGGAGCGTCCCAGTCAAAGAACACGTCTTTTCCAAGAATAGACTTGGCAATCTCCTTAGCAGCCTTGTGGGAGTGGCCGCTCAATGGTGTCACGGTGGTGGTGAACTTCTTGATGGCACCCTCCTTGTCCTTGAGGTCAGAGGCCTTGATGGCGTCGACAACGGCCTCGTGGAACAGCTTCACACCGGCCTTTTCAATCCATTCTTTCTCAACAGTCTCCAACTGGGAGCCGTAAGCACCCTCGAGCTCGGCCTCGTTCATCACGTCAACCAATGGCTCGACGTCTGGGTTGGTCGCTCCAAGAACAAAGTAGTGGTCTCTGGAGTCGATCGTGGAGGTGATCAAGGTGGCAGCCTCGGAGTCGGTTCTGGCAACACACAAAAGGTCGGAACCAAAGATATCAGCAGAAGTACGGATAGCAATCAATCTGTTGATGTGTTCTTGGATAGGAACAAGCACCTTACCGGCCATGTGTCCACACTTCTTGGTTCCAGCGGCCTGGTCCTCAATGTGGATTCCTGCGGCTCCGTTCTCAATGAACATCTTGGTGAGCTTCACAATGGCAGTGGTACCTCCGTGTCCAGTATCAGCATCGGCAATGATTGGTCTGAGAAAGTCAATGTATGGCAATTTGGCACGCTCCTCCTTGGACAACGAAAATCTCTCGTGTCTTTGCTTTCTGTCGTGGAAAAGCTGGGCATAGAACAAGTGTTGCACCTTGTTTGGAACAGTGTCCATAGGGTAGTCTGCAAGGTCTGGAGATGGCTCGTTAGAGGTCGAGGCGGTGGACGAGGATTGCCATCCAGAAACGTAGATGGTGTCCAGGTACTTGGCCATCTGGGTCACGTGAATTGGATCAAGAGCACCAAAAGTGAAAGAAACAGTCTTGTTCTTGTGGTGTTCCTCCAACAACTTGAAGGCCTTCTTGGCCATGGCGTCCGAAGCGTTAGGGTTTTTCAAAGTGGACCGTCTCTTGGCGATCTCCTCTGCTGGGTAGACTCTCTTCACGCCTTTCCAACGAGGCTCTGCCCACCATTTCTCGATAGCTTGCACTTCCTTTTGGAAGTCGAGTTCTTCTTGGTCAATGTCGATCTTTGTGTAAACCATTCTTAATTTTGATCCAACTTTTACCCCAGAAAATTTGCACTATATATACTTGTGGCATCGCCGGCCTCCATATCCCCTGATGGTTGACGGGACATCGGGACTAAGGGAAGCTCCCAATTTTACTATCAAAAATTAAAATCTACTGCCGAAAAAGGAAAGTCCGGGGAAAAGGCGTGAAAACGTCATTTCCGTTCGACCATTTCCATTCTACCTCGGACTCTGTAGTTTCGATGCAACTATTTTCCGCTCCCTTAGGCCCAATCACGTCTCGCAATGAGTAATCCCTTGCGACCTCGGAGCAAAACTCCGAGTGCGTTGCAACTGCTTATGCTGACACACTTGGACCGGGGGAACAAGCTGGGGAGCGCCATCCTTACACCACAGCAGTGCAAAATAATTTTCTAAACAATTCATGTCGCAGGTAGAGTTGAAGGATCTGTTGAAGCAGGTCCCGACGATCGATGAGGACGTGCGACGCACGCTGCAGCAGCTTGGCGAGCCACAGACGTTTTTTGGCGAGGATAACGCCGACCGTCGCGCCCGGCTTGTCGACCTGGTGGCCAATGACGAGACTGTTCGCGCACAGTTTGGTCGTCTGATTGGTCTTGACGGCGAGATTGACTCAGCAGAGGACGAGGACGAGGAGTTCTACACCCCGGGAGATGACGATGTGTACGACTCGCGAGTATTCGTGGCCAATTACTCGCTACCTCGCGCAAGAGCAAGAGTGACGGCCCAGGCACAGCTGTTCAACGAGTTCAAACCGGTGGATATCCTGCTCGAGCGGCGGAAGTACAACGAGAGTTTGAAATCTGTCAGTTTGCAGGGGTCGCAGGTCGTTTCTGACAGATGTACTTCGGTGCTGAAATATTCCAGAGACCAGAAATATATCGCATGTGGATCGTGGGACGGCAAGACGTATTTGTTCGACGACAAGCTGGAATTGCAACGCGTCCTGGAAGGCCACGAAGAGAAGGTTGGTGGGATCGACTGGCATCCGAACAACAACAAAATAATAGCAACCAGTGGAAGTGAAGGATTGATTCAGATATATAATATTGGAGACGAGTCGGCAAGAACCACGTTGAAGGGCCACGAACAGCGTGTGGCACGGATCCAGTTCCATCCGTCGGGCAGGTTTCTTGCGTCGGCGTCGTTTGATTATACATGGAGGTTCTGGGACGTGGAGAAGGCCAAAGAGCTGTACTACCAAGAAGGCCATTCCAAAGAGGTGTTTAGCGTGGCACATCAACCGGACGGGTCGCTAATTGCGAGCGGAGGACTCGACGCCATTGGACGAGTGTGGGACTTGAGAACTGGAAAGTCAATCTGGGTGATGGAGGACCATGCCAAGGGAATATATGGTATGGATTGGAGACAGAATGGGTACGAGCTCTTAACAGGCGGTGGAGACGCGAACTTGAAAGTCTGGGATATTCGGAACAACCGCAAGCCCAAACATAACATCATTGCACACAGCAAGCTGATCTCCGACTTGAAGGTGAGCAGCAACGACAAGTTCATGGTTTCGAGCTCGTATGACGGGTATTTGGACCTGATTTCCTGCGACAACTGGATTGTCGTTAAGAAATTCAAGGCCCCGGAGAAATTGATGTGCTGTGATATATCCAATGACTGTTTGAACATCGTCTCTGGCGGCTGGGACAGGTGTGTCAACTTGTATAACGACTTATAGATTAAAGACGGGCATTTCGTTATTGTATCCATCTAGAACCACGAAATTGTTGAGTGGCAGCTCTCTTCTGCCCAGCATGTTGATCACATCCTGCGACAGTGCTCCTCCGAGAATCGCACTGACGGGCTGGAACTCGCAGAATGCCTGATTTGCAAGCTTCTTCACCAAATTAGTGTCCAAAATCTCCTTTGGTAGCTGAAGATCAGCGATCACTCGAACCACTTTGGCTTGCAGATCAGACGGCTCGATATGGACCTCCTCAATTGGCTTTCCCAAAACTGCAGCGTATTCAAACAAAGCCAGCAAGATTGGAAGCACAGGTGTGATCTTGCGCAGTTTTCTTGGAGTTGGGAAATATGGCGCAAACTTGTTGGTGGTGTTGACCAAGATGGACGAGAACGGGTTAAACTTCGTCTTGACAATGCAGTTCTGGATCTCAACGTCGTTCTCCACGGTATCTGTGATTCGAACAATTTCTGCCACTGGGTTCAGAACGCCCAGTTTTTTTGGAACAGGGTTTCTTTCGTACTTAACTGACGACTCGTGCTCAATCAGGTCCACAAAGATGTAGCCGTACAAACCATGGCTTCCGGCCGCGTAGAATGGGATATTCAGGTCTCTGGTGATGGTGTTGAACTTTGACAACTGATCCTTGTCCAGACCTGTGGCCACAATCAGATTGAATGAGGCAAAATAGTCTGTATCCTTGGACTCCCAGTCGTCGGTACTGATACTGAGATTAACTCTTGGATTGAGCTCGCGGATCCTCGACTCTGCGGCCACCACCTTGTATTCAGACACCTGGGTCTTGTCGAAGAAAAAGTTGACGTTCAGGTCCTGGTCCAACACCTTAGTGGAGTCGATAACTGTGATTGCGCCGATGCCTCCCAACATGAGATTTTTCACAACTTCACCGCCCACGCTGGTGAGGTTGACCACCAAAACCCGTGACCCACGCATCCTCGTTTGGGCCTCCATGCCCCACAGACGGATCTGTCTGTCGTACAGCTTTATTTCGTCTGGTTGTTAGTACCAAAAACACCGATTGACTCACCTTCTGTTAGCGCTTTCAAAGACATAAAAGATGTAGTAAATAAAAATAATTTCACAGATTTGATTTTAGTGGGTTTATTTCTCTTGTACTATTTACCATGGACTTACTGAAAATATTGGACGCCAAGCCCGAACCAACAATTGCAACCGAGCATTTCGAGGTGGAGGAGAAATACCAGCTATCCAACGATTACAAAATCCCCACCGGATTGAGCGATTTCCAGAAGGAGCTGATAGACCAGATCGTGTCGTTGCACTACAGTGACATCCTCAAGTTCTTTGAACGGGTGGACGATACCCAAGAGAATGACCGTGTGATTGTGGACTCTCTTGAGACAATGCTGCTGAACACGCAATTGGTTTGTTCCCATCCGTACTTGTTGATTGACCACTATTTTCCTAAAAGTTTAACTGCAAGAGATATTCCCAAACGGCTTTCCGAAACAAGCGGCAAGTTCAAGATTCTGAGCGACCTGCTCAACATTCTGGACAGCATCTACAATGTCAAGGGCAAACAAAGTATAGATATAGCCATCATTGCTAGACCAGGCAAGACCCTTGACTTAATTGACGCTCTTTGCATTGGCCACAAGTGCAACTTCAAGCGGTATTCTGGGACAAAGTTGAAGGAATCTGCGGGAGCAAACAAGAAGAACGTGAACTTGAACGTTCACCTGTTTCCCTCGGACTCGAAAGATTTCACGTCTGAGCCCAACACGAGAATGAAGATAATCATCTCGTTTGACATCAGTTGTTCTTTGGACCACGACAGGATCTTGAGACTCCGCAACAGAAGCACCAAGATTTTGCATCTTGTTCCCATCAATACGATTGAGCACATTGCGCTGTATTTCCGCAACCAGGTGGAAACCAGGAACTACAATGACTACCTAAAGCCGGTCACGGCTGCTGCGGTGGTTCTGAGGGACCGGGCTGGGCAGTTGCCATTGGAGCTACGGCCAATATACAACAAGAACCTGGAGTTTTTGAGCAACTGGATGCGCGATCCAGAGGTCCACCGGTGGCCGTTGCTGGACATGCCGATCATTCCAACGTACACCTCGAACGATGTTGAGCGGTCTTTGTTAACAGAGGTGAAGTTCAATTTTGACAACGATGATTTCCTCAAGGAGGAGGAGACTAAGGACAGTGACCTGAACCTGAACTTCAACTTCAGCGGAAAGACCAAGATGATCGGACACATTATCCAGCCCCGGTTCAAGAGCAATCACCAAAAAAAGACCGATTTTTACGAGTCCAAGCGTCTTGAGAAGAAATACTTGTTCAATGTTCTGAATTCCGACAACAAGACGCTGACGGGGATCTCCAAGGACATTGCGATGGACCAGATACTGACCCATACACTGATGTTCCACTTTGGCCAGAGACTGCAGGAGCTGATTGCGAAGAACGAGGAGCTAAGGTCGTTTGACGAGTATTACGGAGCACACTCCAAAAACATCGAGGAGATCATGGCCACTTACCGGAAGATCTCGTCGGAGTTGCAGGAACGGGAGGACTCTGCGGCCCGGAGCAGCAAGGAGGTGACTGCTTCGAGCGAGCGCATTGCTGTCCACAAAGAGAACATACAGACCTACAAGCACGAGATCGAGGAGATAACGAGCAAGAAAGACAATTTTGAGGAGACGGCATCGCTGTGGCTAAAGTACGACAGCGAGCTTGTGCATCTGGAGGAGGAGATCGAGAAACTGGAAGGCAAGATTGAGGCTGCGACGAACGAGAGCTCGTACATGACCGCGGAGCTGGAACGGGCTAGCACGTCGATTGTTGAGTCCGAGAAGGAGATCGCAGAGAAGCAGACGCAGATCGGATTGTTACGGCAGCAAGTTGAGAGTCTCAAAAAGCAAGACGACGAGGATCGACTGCAGAAGCTGGAAGCAGCCAAAAAAGAGTACGAGTCCACACTGCGGAAGAATCAGCTGTTGCAGGAAGCAATGGAGACGTCGTTCAAAAAAGTGACCGACTCGGAAAGCCGATCACGATATGTAAACTACTCGAGAAACGGGCTGCTTTCTAAAAAGAATGCAGGCGCTACTGTTTAATAGAAGATGGTTAATTTGACCTTGATAATTTATTATCGAATTAAACCCAATATCTAGCAGGTATCACCAAGCAACCAGCAAGGATTTGATATAGCATACAGAATCGCGCTTACAACAACAAAGCACCGGCAGCGACAGCAGCACCAGCAGCGGCGTAGTAAGAGCCGAAACCGGAAGCAGCACCAGCCTCGTAAGTGGAGATAGTGCTGTTCTTGTATGGGCAGTCAGTCACGGTCTCGTCACAAGAGTAGATGGTGGAGGAGACAGTGCTGGCCTCAGTCTTGGTCAAGACAACAGAGGAGGCAGCAGCGAAAGAGGTAGCAGCAAAGAGCAAAGTGGCGACGGAGAATTGCATTTCTGAAAGAGCGAAGGTAGTTGGTTCAAATGAATACTTCAACCAGGGGGGAAATACAGGACATATTTATAATGTTTGGAGGGCTGGCTTTTGTTTTGAAAAACCTGCCGTGTAGCTGGAATGTAAATAAAAAACCGCCACGCTATTTCCCAATTGGGCGTGAAAAATTACTGATTGGGAACATTCGTTAGCTTAGGTGCCCTGCCTTTACCATTATAAGAAGTTTTATGCATGTATAAGTTTTTCACTCTATTGTTTCAGCTGCATATTCAGCCCAGCCTTTAACGAGTCTTCCTCGAAAAGGATCTCGCAAAGAACAGCAACCTCGCAGTTGCCCAGCCCACAAGCTACTTGGATGTTTGCAAACAGCCCCTCGTGCAATCTCAGGGGCTTGATTTCATTAAATCATCCAATTACACACCGCAAAACAGCAACCATACGCGTGGGTGGCCGTTTTCACTGACGCACAATCACATTTCCCTATTATGTCCAAACAATCCGAATTAAAAATAGCGGACCAGTCAACCCCAGAACGCCGGAATTGACCAATGCTTTCACACCTATTGCCATAATTGGCCGACATTCCGCTGGGAAACAATAACGCCGATCTGGTGGCCTCCTGGTCTAGATTCCCTCCACCTGGTGTCCGGATGCGAGAATGTAGCGACTCAGAGATCTTGCATCAGCACGCTTGCCAAATCCGGGAATGTTTAGATTCCATCCTCTCATATCTGGGTCAGCTTGACAATAGCATCAAGATCCAGACCCTGTTCCTGGAAGTACTCTGTTTGGATCTTGGACCAAAGGAAATCCGAAACGATAATGGTTTGCAGCACACTGAGCACCAACCCGATAGCGTAGAAAAAGTTTGCATTTCCAGAATTCAGACACATCCAAACGTAGTAAAACACCGGCAATAATGTCAGAATTATTGTGATCCCCACATAACTCAAAAACGGAGAAAATTTCAGTTTTTTGTAGTACACTTTGAACACAATCAACATGGAGTAGAAAAGATTCAGGTCGGTCACCGTTGGATACGGCTTGGCAAAGTTCAGAAACCCTATGAGGATCCAGGAGGCAAACAACAGGTCGTTGGGGAACCGGAGCGTCAGCGGGATCACAAAGATGAACGAGTAGATATTAAACACCGCCAAGTAAAAACTGTTGAAGAACTCAAAGATCTCGGTGAAAAAGTACCACCACAATCCAATGTTGGGTATGATTTTCTTGAACAGCACGGTGGAACAGTAGTTGAGGTAAAGGAACCTGAATGAGTTGTTGGTAAGCACATAGCTGGAGTACAGCAGTGCGCTTATCGATGCAAGGTATAGCGCAATCGAGCGAATAACCGCGTGCTTCGAGGCCGTATTTTGGTATATCGAGTACAGCACCGGAACCACAAAGTACCAGTTGTAATAAGTGAGATAGGACGACACTGCCAACGAGATCACTGAAGATTTATAGTTTTTCGAGAGGACCTGGTGGAACACATATAGCAGGGTCAGGTTATTGATCACTGTGGTCGATTTGGACAGGGTGGTAAGAATTGCCAGCGGGTTGAGCGCATAGAATGCTGCAATGATCCACGAACTGTATTTTGCAGAATAGTTTGTCTTTTTGTTGATTTGGACCAGCAAGTAGCCTGTAAGTGTGTCTAGGGCGGCGAATACGAGGTCCAATTGGGATATTTTGGAGAAAACGAGCAACAAAAGAGGTGGAAAGTGCACAATTTCTCCATTGTAAGGATCGATGGAGTTGGAAAGCAGGAATATACCTTCTTGAAGCGAACGGAACGAGGAAATCGGCGTCGAAAACAAAACCGACTTATCCAAGATTGTAGTGATGCTGGGGAAAATCGTAGGCAGCACCCATCTTATGAGGAATCCTGCCGTTAATATGAGATACGTTTGTTGAGCCATTTGTCCTAAAAACAAGATTGGCCGCTCGTTTGACAAAAAGGGTCCGAGGTTAATTAGAGTCCTCTGCCTATTTTTTTTTTTTTTGATTTTTTGCCAACGCATTTTTTTGAACAAGGACCCAGTTGTTTAATACTACCTGTAAATAGTCTTTGGCGTCAAAATGGCAAAAGGTAAAAACAAGAAGAAACAGAATGGAAAGGACAACGGGAGTGCTGCAAACGGCACCGAAAAGAAGCCCGAACAACCAGAAATCCAGCCAGATACTCCTGTGGAAGAGGACTCCATTCCAAGCCAAAGTGAAGAACTAGTCAAGGAAGATTTGAAACAGGAACCAGAAACGAATACAATTGAGGAAGAGGCTAGCGAAGTCAGTACGGACCCTGTTTCAACTAGCCATTCTGACGAGAAAGATAAACTCATTGAATCTTTGCAACAACAACTCAAAGCCAAAGACGAGAAAATTGCTCTTTTGGAGTCAAACGATGTTGCTGCAGAGTTGGAGAAAAAAGTACAGGAATGCGAAAAGTATCAGTCGAGCTACCAGGCTCTTTTGAGCCGGTTGTCGTCCATGAAGTCGGTATTCCAGAAAATGAAGGAATCCGAGATAGAGCTAGAAAATACACAAAGCGAGCTGGCGTCTTGCAAAGAGACAGTGGAGCAACTGCAAAAAGATATTGTCGCGAAGGATAAGGCCATTGAAGATCTGAATACAAGTGTCAAGTCTCTAAAAGAAGAAGCAGAGGGGCTAAACAGGGAATGCGATAAATTATCCAAAGATTATACCCTTTTGAAGAAAAATACCGAGCTTAAGGAAGATGAGCAGGTCCTCGAAATCAAGCGCTTGGAAACATCAAACAGAAAACACAACTTGGAAATCAAGGAGCTCAAATCGGAGATCGAGGAATATTTGATTATTGTCAACGAGGAGAAGATCTCGAAGCAGAACCTGTTCCACGAAGTGAATGAGGTAAAGGCCAGAAACGAAGCCTTGGTCTTGGACAATGAAAATTTACAAAAAGATAGCGACGGCCTACGTTCCACCGTCAATAGTCTTGAGTCAAAAATAGCCGAGCTCACCAGCGCTTTTGAAGGTGAAAAGCATAATTTACAACATCAAATTGAGGTGAATATCACCAAGGCCTCCGAAATAGAGGCACAATTACAAACAGCGAACGCAAAGCTTGCCGACGCGGACCAGAAGCTGACTCGCATGTCCGACCTGGAGAATGAACTGAAACAGAAACAACTCACCATTGGAAAATTGAGACACGAAACGATTGTTCTGAACGAACACTTAATGAAGGCGATGAAACTGGTGAAGAAAGAGTCCACCACAGAGACCGTTGATAGAGAATTGATATCGAACTTGTTGATATCGTTCCTACAGCTACCGAGAGCAGATGCCAAGAAGTTTGAGGTTTTACAATTGATTTCGAACTTCCTCAACTGGGACGACGAGAAGAAGCGACATGCTGGATTAATGTCCTCGAACTCGAAAACCAACTCAAGCAGTATTCTTAATGTGCCGACTACACCAATAGCCGAAAACACGTCGCAGCGCTCGGGCCAATCGTTCGTGTCTTTATGGACCGAATTTCTAGAGAAGGAGAGCACTCCAAACAACAAGTAATAAATGCATTGTAATAAGATTCAAAATTGTTTAGTAGTGATCGGTCGGCTGATTGTTCCTCTGGTAACCGAAATCTTTATAAGTTCGGCAACAGCAAGCGTTTTTTTTTTTGATCGCTTTGCGGCTCACTTATCTGGAACTTGCGGATCTCATTTTCTTATATATATACAGTGCACCTCTTGGACAGGCACCGCTACAAAAATTTAAAGCTTCTTCACTATAGTTAGATAGACAATGTCGGGTAAGAAGATTGAGCTGTATTCCTCTGAATACTACCTTGCGTGCGCAACCGGAGGTTTCCTAGCGTGTGCTCCCACGCACTCGGGAGTGCTACCAGTGGACCTTGTTAAGTGCAGATTGCAAGTGAAGCCCGGTCTCTATAAAGGAAACTTTGACGGTATCAGAACGATCATTAAAAACGAGGGCTTACTCAAGATTTTTAGCGGAATTGCTCCTACATTTATTGGATACGGTCTCCAGGGTGCTGGAAAGTACGGGTTCTACGAGGTGTTCAAAAAGAGGTACAGCGACTTTTTCGGCGTGTCTAACGCGTATGTGTATATGCTTGCATCTGCATCCGCAGAGTTCCTCGCTGATCTTGCGCTTTGTCCGTTCGAGTCCATGAAAGTCAAAATCCAAACTACGCTTCCTCCTAACCAGGTCGTGGGACTGTATTCTCACTTGTACTCGGGATTAGTGCCTCTGTGGTTCAGACAGATTCCGTACACCTGTGTTAAATTCACCTCGTTCGAGAAAATTGTTGAGTTGATTTACACCACTTTCCTTACCAAACCAAAGGAGCAATACACAAAGCTACAGCAGACCGGTGTCTCTTTTGCAGGTGGTTACGTGGCTGGTATTTTCTGTGCTATTGTGTCACATCCTGCAGATGTGATGGTGTCCTTGATTAATAACGAATCAGGAAAGGGCGAGGCAATGACTGCTGCAGTGAGCAGAATCTATAAGCGTATTGGTTTCAAGGGGCTCTGGAACGGATTGGGAGCCAGAATCTTCATGATCGGTACTTTGACCGGATGTCAATGGCTGATCTACGATTCGTTCAAGGTCGCAATGGGATTCCCAACTACAGGTCATTAGAAAATGTCCAAATATTCGCAGTAACCTATTATTGCTTAAATTATATCCATTCCGACCACTTTTTGCGCTGTAAATATATAAACGTCCCTAATCCAAGAAATGCTAATAGCGATAGCAGGTAGATTCTTGGAGAAAATGCTAGTTGTTGAGATTCCTTCAGCCGCTGACTCTGAGTGACTTTGATCTCTTCGTATGTCCTGTATTTTTTCTTCTTCACAGATGCTTTCTTCTTATCCAATCGGTTCTCGTCCGATCCCGTTTGTTTGATGTATCCCTTGAAACAGGGTATCAACATGGCGAATGCATTATCAGAGTGCGAAACATCGTAGAACGCCGCTGTGGCGTCCACTCCAGCACAGTGGAATAGAACTTCAGAGCCTCCTGGATGGCGATCGATCAAACTTGTTACATCGTAAACCTTGTCGTTGATCGTCATCCACAAGTCATTCTCCGAAACATGGGTCGCTACTTCGTCAGAAGTGTATACTCGTCGAGAATATTCGCCGGCCATTTGCAATTAAGTGCGCGCGAATAAGCTAAAGTAGTATCAAATTTGTGCAAAGCGAATTATAAGCAGCAACGAAACCTGATTCTAGAAGTTATTCAATCGCAAGAATGTCTCTCTATTCGAATAGCTAATAAATATTGCTTAATTGATTGCCTCAGTAAATTAATGAAGTTTATTTTATTTTGTTACCCGACGGTTTATGAAAAACGAAAAATCGGTTTGGTGAACTAACTTCTAAAAATGCTCCCATTCACAAGAAAAGTCTCCTTCTCGTTAGGACAAAACATTGGAAGAGGCATCCGGTTTCAGAGTACCGCTGCGTATGAGACGGTAATCAAATCTGTCAGACAGGATTTGAAAAATAATATCAAAGCCAAAGCAGATGTTCTCGAGAGAAATGTGATTAAGAGCATTTTAGTCGAAGTGAAAAACTTCGAGGTCAACAACCCCGGAAAGACCAAAGACGAGTTCCAACTACATGACCTGCTCACAAAATTGGCCAACCAGCGCAGGAAAACCGCACAGGAATACCTGAAGGACGGAACATCCAAGCGGTCCAAGGAGATGGGTGAAAAGGAGTTGAGTGAGATACCATATATTGAGAAGTACCTCAAGGAGCTTCCAGTTGCCTCGGAAGCCGAGATTGAAGCAAAAGTCGAGGAGATTGCGAATGAATTGATTAAGGAAGGACCGCTGGACAACCCCAAAAAACTGTTTGGAAAGATTCCTTGGAATCTGATCCAGTCTGAATGGAAAGCATCCAGGAGCTCAGTTACAAGCGTGATCCCTAAAGTGCTCGAAAAGTACAAATAGATAAAATTACTTGTATATACTAATTCTTACCAGCTTCTTGCACCAGATCCAAGAACTTCTCTGTAGAGATCTCGTTAATCAGTTCCTTCTTTTTAGATTGTCCGACACCCTCAAGCGCACCAACCTCCTTGTTTGTTTCGGTTTGCGTCGATAATATTGCGTTAAAAAGCTTGATCACTCCTCTCTGAGCCACCTTTCTATATTTTTTCTCCTTCTCCAAGACCTCTCTAGCAAGCGAATCATCGGTTGGGAGCAAATTGCGCACACGATTGGATGTCAGCTTTGCCTTCTTCTCGGCCAGAAGCTGCCTCTTTGCCTTGAGTTCCAATTTTTCACTCTCCAATTTCTTCAATTGTGTTTTTGATCTTGCTAAAATAGGGTCTTTTCTATCATGTGCCTTCAGCTTGGAGTCAAGGAGAGCATTCATAGCCTTGGAGAATGCTTCAGAACCATCGCTCTTATTCTTTTTCTTTGCAGGTAGCGCTGGAATCTCATCGTTGTCATCGTCAGAGTACTCAGATTCATTTGATGATCCATCCGTTTCCGAATCGCTACCTTCATCTCCCTCATTTCCTGAATCATCACTTCTTTCGTCTTCACTTTCGGACTCGCTGCTGCCATCTTTATGGTCACTTTCGCTTTCGTTGTCGCTCTCCTCATTCGTAGAGACATCAATACTTTCTGAGTCGTCGTCGCTTTCGCTTTCGTCACGTTTCCTCTTCTGGCTCTTTTCTTCTGAAGCCTTCACCTGTACACGAAGAGAGCCCTTGGGCGTTCCGGCAGAAGCCTTGGATGCTTTTCCAGATTTCTGTGCCATACCTCCTGAATTAAATTTTAGTCTACAAAATTATAAATTTTTTTTTTCGCGGTGTTAGGTGTGTTCAGCTATCAAGCAGAGACTTTAGCTGATCGTTGACGCTCTTGATGTACTTGACAGTGGTCTTCTCGGGGGAGGAGCTCTTTCTCTTAGCCACCTCATAAATGACCGCAACCAGGATAGCAAACGCAACGGCAACCACACACAAAACGTAAGCGTTTCTCTTCAGTAGCTGGTTACGGGTCTTAGCTCTTGGCATTTCCCAGGTCTCCTCGTCATAAAAATCACCGTAGCGGTCTGAATTTAGACTGGAAGTTGGCAACGACTTGCGAGTATCCAACGAATTTTGAGCGGTTCGACTTTTCGAAAGAGATGAGTCCCTTTCGTGGCCGGCAGAGTAAGTGGTAGCAACATTTAGACTGGAGACCTTGGCGATAGAATTCTTGATATTATCGATTTCGTTAACGTAATGAACGAGCTTTTCGAAAATAGACTTGTCTGCAGATGGGTGCGAGGCTTCCAGTCTTTGAATGAAATCAAGATCCAGCTTCTTCGAGTAATTCTGAACCTCGGGGGCACTGAGCGACAGGCCAGAGGTTAGGGTGTCAGAAATATCGCTGTACAAATTATCCTGATGGGATTTCAAAACGTTTTGGAGGTTGGAAAGCACCATCTTGTAATAATCGATTAACACTCGCAAAGCAACTTTTTTGTTCGGCTCATCCAGCTTGTATCCATTCTTGAGTTCACGGATTCTCTGGTCCAACTGGTCAAGTTGGGAGTCAATAAACTTGTATCCCGTATTGAACGAGTCAGACTGGGTATTTCCGAGATCAAAAGCTTGCTGGTCGGTCTGAAGTTGATACGTCTGTTTCGAGATGTTTTTCAGGTCGTTCTTCAAAGCCTTGCATGTAGTGAAAAAGAGATCTTGTAGCTCAAACTCGTTACTTTGAGGGAACTTGAATTGAGGACCGATTTGGTCTGAGAAAGGATCTGCGCTGATCAGGTTGTCGTCATCAAAAACGTTGAAATTCTTGTTCCGGCCATCAAATGATGGATTGTTCAATCTTTGAAAAGACTCACGATTAGTAAACTTAGATTGAAAGAAGACCGTTCAGACTTACCATCTGTCAAAGTTAAATTGATAATTAGAAACAATGCATCTAATTAACACCTAATAAAGAATCTTATCAAAATGCGCCACAGATCGACATGAGGGTCGTGGCTAATAATTTTTTGGCGGTCTGGGCTTCGATGGATCTGCCATTTCTTGGACCTGGTCAATTTGAAATGAGTCATTTTTTCGTCCTAATGCGGTAATTGAACAGGCGGAACTTAATAATCACAATTATTCATTCCCAAAATCTAAGGCCATAGATCCAGAGAATCCAACCAGGTCACCAAGTAAAGGTCATAGTGAACAATTTCCACGCAGAACTTTGTACTCCGTTCTTGTCCCGATTTTTAACTCTAAATTTTAGCTACTTTTATATCAAAAGCTAAAGCCGTATCTACAAATTCCGATAGTGGCTTTTTTGTGACTTCTCCCCAATCGCGAATATATAATAAACGAATTTTCCGCTATGGCGAATTTTTTTCTTTTATACTTTCTTTCTTCAAGACACACATCAAAACCAAGTTATCTACCCAAGTTATTATTATTTTCCCCGTTAGTTGTTAGTTTGAGTTATTAGTCAAAAACTAAAATGTGTGCCTAAATTTATACCCTTAAAGGTTATAATTTCTGAATTGTTCCATCATGATAAACAATTAAAGAAACCAAAGAAGAAAGTTTTTTAGAGACTTAAGTTTCGTTCGAGTTCATCTCATCCCCCCATTGAAAATGTTAAAGTAATTAGATTATATCCACCGTCCATCATGGCGTGTCGTTGTTGACCATTTTTCTCACAAGAAAAAGATTAAATTTACCAATTAGAACTATTATATCATCATTATGTTGTTAGGCGAATCAGTGTTTAGTGCTTTTGCGGAGCCCCAGTCGACAAAGCAAGTCGATGTTGAAGACCTCCTTTTTGGAGTGAGGGGTCCGCAAGTTAGCGATCATGATGTTGATCAAGGTTTGTTGTCCGCAGACGTCGGTACAACTATTTCTCCTTTTGAAATCCATTCTTCGGTCATAGATTCAATTTTTACCGATCCTATCGACCAAGAAACTCCAATGTTCGAACCTCGCGAGGATTCATCCACTTGGGAACCTCTTTTCAAAGAGGAAGAGGAAATCAAGCTCATTCCCGAAGCTCCAAAGCAACATGCATCTCCAGAAGTCCATGCTGAGTCGCCTTTGGATGACATGGAGCTTACCAAGAGATCTTCTTCTTGTACGAGTATTTCTTCTGTCACATCCAAGAAGGATCGTCTTGGATGTACCCCTTACACTAGAAAGAAGAGAGCACTACCTTTGGAGCCAGTGGTTCCTGAGAGTGGCGATTCTGTTGCAGTGAAGAGGGCTAGAAACACAGAAGCAGCAAGAAGATCTCGTGCTAGAAAGATGGAAAGAATGTCTCAATTAGAGGACAAATGTGAAAGTTTGTTGCAAGAGAACGAGTCATTGAAGGCTGAAGTTGCCAAACTGAAGTCTCTTCTCTCTTTTTCTGCTTAGTTTTTTGTATTCGAATAAAAGAGTTTAACATGGTTTTCATCAGATGTAGTTCATTTTGAATGAAGTGCAGAGTCCATCAATAACCAAATTTTCGTTCAGTAATATTATTGATACTATACATTCATTACATGGTGCGCACCGATACTACTCACTCAAGAAAGTTGGGAGATTAGTGTAGTGGTGATCATTCCTGCCTTCCAAGCAGGCGACATGGGTTCGAATCCCGTATCTCTCAAATCTCAACTTTCATTTTTTTTTTTTATCTTTCTTTCAAAGAAACTATATTTTTTGGAGGCAACAGGAGCGGCTCCACAAAAATTCTACATAGAAAGATTAGTATGATGTAACTGGAGCGAGAGATAGGATTTTGATTGTTTTTGCTTATCAAGCCATAAAATTAGCGAAAGAGTGCAATTTCTCTACAATTCTCAAAACCAATAGAGCCTTTTGCAGTTCACGGTTCAAGAATACCATTACTTGATAGGTTGTTAGGATAACAGGTCACGATCAATTTCCCATACGACGACCGATTCAGAAAAGCTTCGCAGCGACAATTCTCGATATGGAAATATAGCTTAGATTCGATTGTGGAATAACGGTATAGGCCTGAAGCAACCGCCCACTAGAATTTTCGAGACCCGTCACGGCCCCAACGCCCGGAAACAATCCAGATCTTAAGGTATCATATCTTTTCTTGATATAAATGACCCATAAATCTCCAATTTCTCTTCAATCGCCGCTGCCATTCTATCTTTTTCTATGGCGATTGGAGCCTTTTCCCGGAGCAATTTAGCTTTCCGACCTCCTCAAGCTCTTACATGCACTATACAGATTTATGCTGCTTTCTCTCGAACCTCAACTCCACCTACATGGAAAAATCTGCAACATATCGCCAGCAGCGAAATCAAAACCCATTCCGAAAATCTACTATAGGGTCTATCAAATCACACAAAGTGCCAATTTTGGTTTTTTGGTATTATACGATTGGAATACAAAACAGATATATGTCTTCTACTGATTTACAATTTGACCCCCTAACCTTATACCCATCTCATTTTACTAGTCTTTCGGTTGCGGCCATATCTAGCAGAAAGCACCGTTTCCCGTCCGATCAACTGTAGTTAAGCTGCTAAGAGCCTGACCGAGTAGTGTAGTGGGAGACCAT